CTTACCTTGAAGCTCAATACATGTTCCAGCTGCGAAAACTGGCCTACAAGATAATACACTCCTCCACTATAGTTCTTCCTGCATGGCATCAGATCCTGGCCGACTTGCGCAAATTTGCAACTCTCATGCCACGTGATGTTGCTACCCGATGGAACTCGACATACAGTGGCTCAAAAAACCGTCCGTATGTTTTGGCATTTTTCACTATCTATAATATTGTGTAAGAACAAACAAATGCCTCAAAAACATGCTTATACCACATTGTAGTATGGCTTCAGGGCTTTCATTTGAGCCCTACACCGTGGGAATCGGTGGAGATATGGTGGAGATACAAGGCTCACAAAATGGTGACTCATGCGGACAGTTTTTTGACTCAAGTATTTTACAGTAATAACCAGGTATTCTAGTATTTTGTATGACCTCCCTTGGCTTTAATTACTGCCTCTATCCTTCTAGGCATACTCTCAATTAATTTCTGGCAATCCTCAGCTGTGATCTTCCCCCATTCCACTGCTACTCTCTCCCAAAGCTCCCATACTCCTTTAGGGGGGTTTTCATAGGCTTGAAGCTTTTTCTTGAGTGTTCCCCAGAGATGTTCAATGACATTGACATCAGGAGACTGTGCTGGCCAGTCAAGAACATTGATGTTATGTTCTTCAAACCATTCCCTAGCTCTTCTGGATGTGTGCTTGGGATCATTATCCTGTTGGAAAATGATATCTTCTTCATCAATCCCTGATTCTGCCAAGCTAGGCAGCAAGTGGTCATTTAAAATGTCCACATACTGCTCAGCATTCATCTTCCCCTCAACCTCAGCAAGCATTCCCACACCATTCCATCCCATACAGCCCCATACCATTAAAGAACCTCCTCCAAACTTGACAGTCCCATTAACCTCTCTGTCTGTTAGGCCATCTCCCTTCTTTTTCCATACATACACCTTCCCATCTGACCCAATCCTATTGATTTTGGTCTCATCTGACCATATAACATGCTTCCAGTCCTCTACAGTCCAGTGTTGATGAGCTAAGGCAAAGGCTAGTCTTCTCTGCCTATGTTTGATGGAGAGAAGAGGCTTTTTCTTCTTTGTTTACTGCCTTGAGATGAGCTGCCTTGAGAACATTCCTCACAGTTTGTGAAGAGACAGGGGTAGTGATGGTGGAATTGATATAATGGGTGGCTTGGACAGCATTATCAGCCTTTCCTGTAGTGATATGTTGGATAATAGCCCTTTTGTCAGTAGAGGTAAGCTTGGATGGACGTCCTCCACAAGAGTTTTCCTTGTCTGGGTGGCTTTCTTTGATGAACTTGGCCACAGTGGACTTGCATATTCCAGTTCTAGAGGAAATTTGGCGAGCAGAGAGGCCAGCATAAGACAGAGAGAGGATATTATCTCTTTGAGCAGAGGAGATGGCTTTCATGGTGATTATGACTATGATACATGAGATATTCTGGTTTATATAGTTAGATATAGTCATAAAATAACATAATGACACCACTTTATAATTTATATAATAGTGGCATGATTTTTATGGTGTCATAAATAATGATTTATATAGTTTTAATATACACTCAAAAAACTGTCCACATGAGTCATCATTTTATAAGCCTTATATCTCCACCATATCTCCGCCGATTCCCACGGTGTAGGGCTCAAATAAAAGCCCTGAAGCCATACTACAATGTGGTATAAGTATGTCCTTGAGGAATTTGTTCATTCTCACACAATATCATAGATAGTGAAAAATGTCAAAACATGCGGACAGTTTTTTGAGCCACTGTAGACACATCATCACTTCATCAGGATCATTGCTCAGAGCACATTGTCTGGAGCGACCACTCCATCGTGAATCGAAAGGACACTGGGGGTACAGGTTTTAGTTATCATGAGGCCGAGATTTGGCTCCCAAGCAGTGTGCCCATCGTGGATGGAGCTTGTCCTATGGGTATTTTCCCCCACACCACCACGCTCAGCTGTGTGTACAAAATTTTGGCAGTACTTTACCAGGTTCTCACCAACTAGCTCAACGTCCTCGAGTGCTTCCTCGTTAAAAATAGCACCAGTAGTGCCAGCAACTTCCAACTCTTCCCTGGTGTACTAGAAGCTCGCCACACATGCCTGTACACCTATGATTAGTCTCCTCTAGTCAGACCATTGCAGAAGGAAGACGTTTGTTCCTTCTATATGACCACCCAAGACCTTCCCAGATCATAATCTATACGGTGCGCAGCTCGCGACCAGAGGCCTGTGTCTGGACTCTCCGAGACATCCAGTCGCCAAGCACATGTCATCCCGGCCAAAATCTCCTGCAGTCCAAATCAGCCGCGTCGTAAACCAAGTGTTCGACATCGGCAATACGGGGGCCACGGGATTGCACGGACTTCACAAAAAGTTCGAGGTATAACATTGGAACGCTCCGGACGTATCCTTTCTCAGATTACACATCTTCCACGCCATCCAAAGCCATCATCATTCTACAAGAAATATTGATTATGCCCAATAAAACGCGACACAGCCAGGAGAAGAAATCCAAAGGGCTTCGGCGTTGAGCACGGCTGACGCTGGACGTCGGACGCGTAACTTGAAGCGTTTCAAATGACGGCCCGGCTTTCCTGTTATAAGCCTATATACAATGCTATGAGTTAGGCTCGTGACCAGCCTAGCTTGTACTACCACGGATGCTCGAGTGGTGTGGGCAGAAATCCTCAACATTTGCATAAGCAGACTGGTTGCTAGTCTGGCTTCGGGTATTTGTGTATGACTGTAGGTATAATATCAAGGTATAAATGTTGAAATCTGTCCTTCCAAAAAAATGCACAGCTACGATCAAGCTACGATATCTCCAGTGTCCTGACATGCATTCTATGAACAGAATCCGCCACTTCCTTGACTTGTGCAATAATATTGCGATCTGACGCAATTCTCTTGTATTCTCCACCGCGTTGCCGCGCTAGCAGAAACGCGCCGAAAGGTTGTCCAAGGCGAACGATCAATCGTAATGCCCGTGGGTGTAACTGTGAATCAATTGGCCCTGTTTCACCAGAAAACACGCTGAGGTTATCACGAAACATAGACCCCCGCACAGACCAATTGTCCATGCCCTGTGGATTGCCTGTCAAGTCAGGCAGTTCCAGGAGATAAGGGTCCCACGGACGGACGAGTAAGAATGTCTGAAGAGTGGGCTTTGCCCGCGAAAATTGTGTCAGCTTGTCTTCCGTGTTGATCAACAGGTCACGAAGTCCGTTTGCCTTGACTTGATACGCGAAACATGCCTCCTGCTCTTGAGCATGGCTCCGTCTAACTTCTGTGACAAGGAATGCAATACAAGGCAGATGTAGTCTGCGGTCCGCAAAACGAGGAGCGCCCAGATCGTCAAGCAGGCGATGAAGTTTCAAGGCCACATCAATATCTAGGGCATTTTGCAGCCTGGAGACCGATGTCTGGATGTCGTCTTCGGACAGAGATGGCAGCGCGCACGGAAGAGCTCTGTATGAAGTAATATCGGCTGGCAGGCAACTATTGAACTCGGATGATTTTCCGACCCAGTCTAGCGCAGTGATGTCGCCCGACTGGGCCACAATCACCTGCAGGAGCCGCCCGAGTGCATTTTGCTTCTTCTCGCCATAAATAACAGGTAGGTGGATGCCGAAGATACCAAACAGTGAGTATGCAACATCTTCCTGCACTGTTGTGACACGAATCGACGCCCATCGCAATTTCTCTCGCGCCCGCCATCCCCGGACGGAAGGTGACCAGGGAGTGTGCATCTATGCCTGTCGCATTCTCCAACTCCCCCATGATTGTGAAAGACTCCTTGTGATTGCAAGAGCGGTCGTCGAGATATAGCGTCCAATCACTTTGATAAAATAGAACGATTTCGGGAGCAAGCAATTCCGGGAGAGTCCATCCACGCGTATTCCAAGCGCTCCTTGCCAGTGCACCAGACTTGGACGAAGCCGGAACGTCCGCGAGGTAGACGATCGTGAGTGCCGAGTGGCGATACCAAATAAACATGGAATTAAGTGATTTTTGGAGCTCGACATTGTTCTTCTGGTCGATGCAACAGGTATCAATCCATGCCCATCGATAGCCCATGTCGCGTGCAGTTTTGCAGAACGACTGCAACTTCACGATACCATCAACTGGATTCAACTCGTACACGACCTTGTCCTCGATGTCGTACAATAGTGGCTCTTTCCCTTGCCACATATGTGATAACATGACACAGCGGAAGTAGAACGCTACCACTTCTTTGATGCGCTCCGTTCGGATGTCTGCATGCTTGATTATGAATGACAGGAGTCCCTTGTATTCGGTGCTCAGTTTGAAGGCGCATATCTGCGTCTCTCGATCACACAAGAGCCCAGAAGCAGTGTCTAGTAGACGAAGTGGGGCGTCGTCGAGTTGTGTGTAAATGACTTTTCGAATAGCATTGTCTGCTTCAGATAGACTGATATACTGCAGGCGCAGTTCTGGATAAAGTGTCGAGCATCTTGACACATGAGTTATTTGGTACTTACCTCGTAACTGTATCTCAGGAGCATTGTCTAACTTGGAGAGCATGATTTCGAAGGTCTCAAGCGCTTCGTCATAGCGGTGTGCACCATGAAGCGCTGCATGCTTCAACTGGTATCCAAGATAGGACGATGGGTTGAATGTGATGACCTATGCATCGCCAAAATGAGCACTGGCTCCAACATGATTGATCTCATACCTTTTGTGCATCAAGAAGCGCGTCCTCCCACAGCATTTTTTCTAAATTTGCCTTACTGCTGTCTACAAAGACGGTATCAGTTGAAAAATCCAGGTCTATCCCTGACCAGTATGGGTTGGTAGCCCTATCAATAGCCTTGTCATGGTCGCTCGCAGTAATGGCAGCATCTGGCCCGCTGGCAGGCATCTACACAACACAGCAAAAGAAAATCAATCATAGCACCGTCGTTAAGCACAAACGAAACCGAGATACTCGCCTCCTCTTTCATTGATGGGTACGTAGGAACTACGGCGAGGCTGGACGCAATACCTGCTGTGTCGAGGGTAAAGTGCAAGTTACTTGAGTCTTGTTGTTCTATATCGACCACATATCAAAACAAACCACACTTTTGTCATCGACCGAATGACAACGTAACGCACCATCATCGACTTCTTCTGTGACCTTCGCGCTCGGTCGTATGAGAGATGTATTATATGGAAACGGCGTAGGCGTCGGCAGCAGCGGGTGTGGCAGGCATATATGAGAACGGGGTCCCAGGGGTGGAGACGGCGCAAGCAGTGTTGATACACTCACGTGAGGTGATGGTGGGCCGTAGTGCGAGTGGGCAGGGAAGAACCGAAAGACATGGGTTTGTGAGGGAACAACGGGAAGAAGATCGAGTTGGCGGAGTGAGGTAGGCGGTGATGGCATGTGTGATGCATGTGGTGATGGCGTGCATGAGGTGGGTGGTGATATCGGTGATGGCACGCGAGAGAAGCCTTCTCCATAATGACGGTGAAATTGTCCAAGATACTCCATTTCAATGTGCTATACCAAATATCAGTCTCCATCAGTCAGGAGGCACAGGGGAGAAAACAAAATGATAAGAGTACAAGGAGGGTGAAATGACTGGGGCGAGAAGAAGAAGAACGCACTCTTCGATCCATCTTCACGTCCCTGCTACTAATCTCAACAGCCTTACGCTCCTCCACAACCCGCATAACAATATCATACATTCTCAACGCCTCAGACACCACCTCATCCGCATCAAGTAACGCGTCAAGAAGCTGCTCCTCCAAAGTCTGTTCCTCTGCATCTCCATTAGTATCCATACCATGGTAATCTCGACTTGGCAGAGAACTGAATTGGATGTCGGGCTGCGATTTCGTAGGTCTATTTCCTTCTGCATTCCTTTCTCGCTTATTGCGCGGCCGTTCAGCGCCTGCAGACGCCCATGGAATTTGGGTATATATGAGTTCTTGTGACTCGCGGCACTTCATCAAAAATTCCTAGGGATTGGTCAGATTGATATGAACAGAATGGGGGCAAGAGCGCCATGATGTGCCACGCAAAGATGATACGGCAGACTGACAAAATGTGGATCAGGAGTTAACTGAGAAATCACACGCACATGTATCAGCCTCCCTTCTATCTGTTCTGGCGTCGCGTATGCAAGCATCTCGCTAAAGAAAGTCGCATATCCTTTCGCGATCTTGCATTCCTGGAATAAGCGCTTCATGTCCTCTTCGGGAGGAATGACACCGAGCTGGTGACTCTTCCTCGACAGCCGCTAATTGTGACAAGACAACACCGAAACAAGCGAACAAAAAATAGAGCAGGAGAATTGATCAGGGCACTGTCATAAACTACAAACCAAAAAAGCTGACCTCCTCTATCGGTGGACGAACTATAGGGGGGATAAACATAACATCGGTGTCGAATGGAATGCCCACATCAGGCTTATCAGGGGGCTTCAATCGCATCCATAGGGCACGGAAACCATCCCTATCACAGTCGCGATTTTTAGGCGAGAAAGGCGAGAGGTTGGGACCTATGAAGAAGAGTCGGCAAGAGGTCAGGTCAGTATTGCAAAAAAAAACGTAGCTTTATTATATTATAGAACGAGGAGATAGGACCGATACAGACAGGTTTCAAAAGGTACATCAAGTAAGCAGTAGATGAGGAAACAAATATCTTCGGCAAAAGGGGGCATAGTAAAGAATAAATTTAGCAATAGATAAACGCGTACGTGAACTAGTGATGAAGGCGGCAGCTGCGAGCACCTCCATTAGTTGTTTTCTAACGACAAGGTTTGTTCTCTTTGAGTTAGAAAGATATCGGACGCGGTGCGTACCATTATTGCCCATAGCTGTGCAAGCAGTAATGCAAATTGGATGGAGAGTGGACGAGCATGCGTTTTCCAAGGTGAGAGATCAAGGACGAAGCAACGAGCTGGGTAGTGCTTACCCTAGCAGCAGATAATTGAGATTTAGGCTCTGCATATCTGTATCCCAGATACCCTGTCAATGGTATAGAAAGCGAGGCGAGACTATAAAACGCACTTGAATTCCCTCCGAAGGGCTTTCACAGCCTCCTTGGCATTCGCTTCAGTAGCTGATGCGCGCTCGCAGACCTCGAGCACGAGCGTCCAGTCCTCCGATGAGGTCGCCGTAAGGTACCCTATGCCGGTATAAATTCCCGCACATCAAAGACACGGAATCGGCTGAGATGGCGCACCGATCATGCGCGTCAGCTCTGAGGGATTATATTCCTTGCGCCAAATGCGATCTCGTCCTTCCTCGTCCTTTTCTCTTCCCTTTTCCTTCTCACGAGTTTCACGCTCTTCATCACGTCCGCGCTCCTTGTCCTTGTCCCTGTCCCAGATAATCCCATCCCAGAAACTCTTCCTCTCCTTCTTCTCTGCCCTGTCCCTGTGTTCAACTGAAAAGGAATCATCTGGTACTTCGTGGACATGGTGCCGGTGTGGCTGTTGCAGGGCACGCTCCAGATGTAGATCAAGGGACTTCAGTACACCAATTGCAGCGGGTATCGGCTGCGTCTTCTGGATCTTGCGTCCGTCTCTCCGCACGGTATGGGTTGGGTTTGGGTTATTCTGCGAGGTGGGCGTGGGCGTAGGTGGTGTGGTGGTGTGACTTGTAACGCTGTATGGACTGCTGGAACGTGGTGGTAATATTACAGGTGGAATCGAAGCTAGGGAAGACGAGCGGCTCGATGACATCGAAGGCACTGCAAACTGAGGATACGGACTAGAAGGGACAGGGGGCTCAGATAGCACCTCCCAGTCACAGTGGTCCCCTGAAGGTTGTTTGGGACGCACAAGTAGTGTATCCTCATGGGTTGGGTTTGGGTTAGTCTGGGAGGTGGGTGTGGGCGTAGCTGGAGTGGTGGTGTGACTTGTAACGCTGTATGGGCTGCTGGAACGTGGTGGTAATATTACAGGTGGAATCGAAGCTAGGGAAGACGAGCGGCTCGGTGATATCGGAGGCACTGCAAACTGAGGATACGGACTAGAAGGGACAGGGGGTTCAGACACTTGTACACATCATCAACTGCCAATCAACGCTGTACCTTATCCTACCCCATCCATATAACACGACCTCTACCTCGGCATCTCCCCCCCGTTACCATTACCGCTACGACTCAATTAATCCTCAAATAACCCAAACCTATAATCTCACAATCCAACCATATTCACTCGCCTATACGGAATCACGGCCTCCACTGAAATCAGTCAAATCCATCAGAACCTTCCTCTCCGTCACTAGAGGAACCATTCTTTTACCATACTTTGCATTCAACCAGATTCCTATACCAGTCGCTTCGGCGGCCGAGAACGCGTCCAGACGATCCTTATCTGTCCAGTTACTTACCTGCGCGATCTTCTTAAAGTCACCTTTCCTTCGTTAGATTGCATGTCTAAAACGCGCGGCGGGAACGGCGGACCGGTGGAGGCAAGCCTCACACCGGGGCATTCATGAATCTAGAGGTGCGGGGGGGCACAGGGGCCCCCAAGACTAGATAGTATTGTCTTACATAGAGTTACACTCTCAAAGACACAAATTTGGATTTTAAAAAAAAAAAAAAAAGGGGGTTCAGATAACACCTCCCAGTCACGGTGGTCCTCTGAAGGTCGTTTGGGACGTACAAGTGGTGCATCCTATACGTATGCATCAAAATTCGGGTCAGTGATGATCCAAGTTATGACATAGATGATTGTTGCCACAAGTAAGTTGAAGATCAAGACTTACATCGTCGATGACAAAATCCGAAACATCTCTGTGCGGGATCACCTTTTGCTGCCTCGTTGCTGCTCGAAGTTTGTCGCGCCCACTGGCAAAAAGTTTCTTCATTGATAGGAAAGGAAGAAAAGATGTAAGGAATATCACTTACCTGGCTACGGAATTCCCTTTGTACTGCCAGCTATCTCATACGCAGCATTACAAACTTCAAAGAGCTGGGAGTAAATTGATGATCAAGGGCTACGCTAGGCTATGAGCAAGCTATGAGCCTGACTCGTTCAGTCACTTATTACAGCTTATTACACACATGACTCAGAGGCTGTGCATGAATATGAATATTAGCCTAGGGTTCGCCCTGCCGACTTTCACCTTGCTCCGTGGCGTGCGATTTTATTTTCTATACTTCCATTTTATTGCGAATGTACTATGTAGCTCCCAGACGGTTACATTTTCTTCTAAGTCTGGTTTTAGTTTGATTCAAGTACTAGGTACGTCCTACGTCAGATTATACATCCAAGCGGCTGCCTCGGGTTATCATGATGGGTAGGGCTAAAAAGTCGTTTCCGCAGTGACTAACTTTTGGAGTCGGGGATAGAGTTCAGATATGTACATAGCAAGCTCGTACTAAGCCCGTGCGCAGCATATGATACAATGCTAGCAGCCAAGCTTATTGTCTTCGAATGCTAACAGGTGACTCCCCCACTGGAGGGACCTCATTGAAAATAACGCTGGCAGCAGCTTCCAACGCCTCACTGGTATACTCGAAGCTTGCCATGCATGCCTGCACGCTCAAGACCCTTCTAGAAAACAATTCATATGGTGCGCAGCTCGCCAGGACCACAGTCGGCACTCCACTCAAGGCCTGTGTCGCAACTCTCTCCAAGACATCCAGTTGCCAAGCGCTACGATCCGCATTGCGTGTGACGAATATGAGACCCTCGCCGAAATCTCTTCTGCAGTCGAAATCAGCCGCGTAAACCAAATGTTCGACATCTGCAGCGCGGCGTCCCACGGACTCCGCGAAAGATATATAGTAAGGCGCCGCTGTGTTCCGGACATGGCCTTTCTCGGTGCGTTGCACACCTTCCGCATCATCCACCGCTGCATTAAGGCTTTCCACGACGGGTGTCATCACCACAATCTTGCCCGAAGAAAACACAGGAAGAGATCCAGAAATGAGCGCGGTAGATTTTGCGTATGCTTCCTCGCTCAGTTTCTTGTTCGTTGCCTGCAACGCATTCATCGCCTTCTCGTCGAATGGATTTCCGAGCACGTCATCCCATGTCCCAGCGAATTTCCGTTTCAGCGCAGCAATCCTTTCTCCACTTTTCCTCAGCTCGTCCATATGCAGCTCGCCCTTCTGGACTGCCTCGTAGGTGGCCTCCATCGATCCCTTATGGAATGCCATAGTATGGCAAACCATTACCACGTCTGTACCGGCTGCTAACGCTTCCACAGCACCACGTGGTACGCCTCCCTGCCTCTCCTTCACCGCATTCATTTCCAGACAATCCGTCACGACCACTCCTTCAAACTGCAGCTCCTCTCGTAATAGAGTTGTAGTCACAGCTCGTGAGAGGGAGGCTGGAGTCACACTGTCACCGGTCAGGGCCTGGATAACCATATGCCCCGTCATGATGCTGGCGACGCCAGCGTCGATCAGTTCTTTGAAAGGTTTCAACTCGGTTTGATCCAACTCGGCACGACTTTGGTTGATGACGGGGAGACCAAGATGTGAGTCAACGTTTGTATCACCGTGCCCTGGGAAATGTTTCGCGGACGGTGCAACACCACCTTGTGTGAAGCCATCGCTAACCGCCTTCGCGAATCGTGCAACCTCTTTGGGGTCTAATCACCGAAGCTCAGCAAAAGTTCTCCAAGTAAATAAACAGCTTGGGTCTCACCATCTCCAAAAGAGCGTACACCTCAAGGAAAGAGCACAGGTTAAGACACCATCGAGCAGCAAAGTACTTGATGCTCACCAATGACCGGGTTCTGTGGATCAGAATTCACGTCTCCTACCGGAGAGTAGGACCAATTAATGCCAACAGCTTTCATCTCGCGAGCTGAAGCCGCTGAACAATTTCTGGCATATTCGGGATCACCGGTCGCAGCGATCGCCATAGCTCCTGGACTAGAAAGTGATGAGATGAAAGAGGGTGAACAGCACATGACTTACAACTGTGTCCCAGCTTGATACTTTGCAGTCGAGCTAAACGCAGATACAAGGCCTGTGTGACTATAGTATCAGCCTGACGTGAAAGCGGACGCTGAGAAACGCACCATTCTCTTGATCAATCCCGATCATCAGCGGATGTCTGTGTCCAGCATCTCTTGCACACTGCTGCAAAGATTGAACAAGCGCGTGCACCTGCTTCACACCTGGGGCAATCATGATTCGCATAGTGTCGATATTTCAACAAACAAATATTGCGTCTCACTTTGCACATTCCGTTTCATGAGGATGATGTTCCTGATTAAAATGGCCCGTGAGTATAGGACACATCCATATGCGCTTTTGCCTACCCGACATGATACTTATTGATGAGCTCCTTTGCATCCTCGCCGACCTCATACCCATGAAATCCAAAAACGAAGTGCTGTAGTGGTCCTCGGGATTTAGTCCCACTCTGAGAACGGCTTTTAGCGCACCTGACCGATCTCCCTCTTATCCTCGTCTGAAAGATCCATGGTGGTCGGGAACGAAGAGATGAAAATCTACCATATGGTATCACGGTATGTCGACATCGTGATCACGTTGTTACGAGGTGACTTTCAACTTGGGCCACGTGATGTGCCTGAAAAGGCATTTTGGTACACAGTGCGGCCTGCTGTTCATGTGGCCGCATGATACGTAGACAAGAATAACTGTATATCGTTTTCTGGGCCGCAAGATGTCAGGTCTTTTTTGCACCCTGCCGTTATGCACCTCGGATTGGAGCCCCGAGTCTTTGAAACACTAAACGGTCGCCTCGCTTCCGATTTCAATTCATCCTAATAGATCCATGGTTATTAGTTACATCACCGTAAAGTAACCGACTGCTATACATTTTGGCCTGGGCGCTTGACTGCGCTTGATGGCTTCTCGAACAGGAAGCGACAGCATTTGATAACTTACATTATTTGGAATTCGGCTGTATTGAACATGCCGTCGATTTCCATTGAAATGGTAAATGAGCTGGCTACTGCCAGTGATGCTCCACTGCTGTGTGGCACATTAATGGTCGTGATGATCATGTGCGTAAAATTAGGCAACGACTACTGAATTGAATGCACTCACACCTGAAATTATGCATGCATTGGGATTTGAAATCATTAGCATGTGATGCATTGACACGAAAACTCGGCGCGGTAGTGACAGGGACATTGACGCGACGTTTTTTTTTTTTTTTTTAATCCAGTTTTTTGTCCATTGAGAGGAATACTCTATGTAGGACAGTGCTTTCTAATCTATAGGACCCCCGGTGTCCTTTGGTCTCTGAAGTCGCGAATGCCCTGATGTGGGGCGTGCCCCCATCAGTCCGCCGTTCCCGCCGGCCGTTTTAGACGCGCCCTTCATGTGATGAGATGAGATATAATTCTGCGTTTGTGATGATATAGTGCTTGTGGTGATGGTACGCTTATCTCGTCCGCTTTCGCGGAGTAACAGGAATCTAGTGGAGCGTGTTTTGAGGGAGAAGATGTTAGTGTTCCGTTGTGATCTATTCTCCATATCTCCGAGGCGCCTTTCAAGGTGCGGCTGGTTTCCATGTGTACGAGGTGTTAGGTTGGTGATGGTTATGAGGTATACTGTAGGATTATGGTGTTTGTAGAGTAGTCTTGGGTATATGTTGATGCTGGTGGTTGCTACATTTGTTTGTGCGATGTGGGGTGTTACATTGAGTGCGTTGAGTGTGTTATCTTATTTCTACAGGGTGGGTCAGGTCTTGCGTTTTTTGGACATGGGTACTTCACCGAAAGTGTTCTTGAGGCGTTTGGTTTCGTTGACATATTTGACTAAATGAGCAATGGCTTCTGCGCTTGTTAGGAGAAAGGGTATGGATGATGCGTCTCGGCCGAGTTCGTTTTGTAGCATGTGTCTTTGTTTCTGATAATGAGGGCATTCTAGCAGATAGTGGTGAACGGTTTCTTCTGTGTCTGGGCAGTGGGGGGCAATGCGGGTTTTCGGTTTGTTGATTCGGTGGAGATGGCGGTTTAATGGGATATGTTGAGAGCGGAGGGTCATGAGGAGTCCTGTGAGACGCTTTGGGAAGTTAGCAGTTAGTTGATGAACGCTCGGTTGATAACATTTGGGTCTATTTGTTGAAAACGTGCGTATCTAGGAGACTTGGTCCATAGTCTCGTCCATCTTGTGTGAGTTTCTTGATGATGTGCCTGCTTTAAAACGCTGATATACTGAGAGGGAGTGATCCATGGCGCAGGTAAGTTGGAAGGTCTTCGCGTGGGCTGTTGTTGTCGCTGCTTGTCGCTGCTTTCTTTGCTTCGATGTCGGCCATCTCGTTTCCGTGAATGTCTTCATGTCCTGGTGACCACCGGAGAGTGACGTCAAAGTTGGGGTATGTTCTTGCTAGTTTGCGCATTTCTCTGACGAAACAGTTTGCGATGTATGAGCCAGGGCGTGCTCGCGAGTTCTCTCCTGATTTAAGCGCTGCTTGATTGTCGATGGAAATTGATAGCGGGAAGGTTAGATTTGGTTCTGTTGAGATTAGTTTCGCTGCTAATGTTAATCCTACCTCTTCCGCTTCGTAGACTGTGTGTTCGTCTTCGTTACCTAGGTGAAATCTTAGGATTCTGGGTCTTGCGCCTGCTCTGAATAATATGGCTGCCGCGCCTATGTTTTTCTTATATCCAGATCCGTCGCAATAGACCTGGATCTCGTCCTCTAAGTTCGCGTGTTCTTCTATGGCCTTCTTTCTTTCTGATATTTGGGTTTTGTAGGGGCAATGGTGAGGACGGGCGCTATTGTCGTTGGTTTGAGTGATTCTATCTCGTCTGGGTTGATAGCAAAGAGATGTGTGAGTCTGTGGAGCGAGGAGCGGTGAGACGTTACGTAGCGTCCTGCAGCGCGTCTGACTGGTCCGTGTAGCGGATGAGTTTTTGGGAGTGCGGATATGCGGACGATGGCTCTGTGGCAGAAATTCTGGAGGAGTAGGGTAATTGGGAGGACGTTAGCGTGGACTTCTAGTAGGTCAGTGGCGGTACTTCTCATTGCTCCCGTTATTGCTAAGAGTGCGATTCGTTGGACTGATGTTAGTCGCTTTGCTGTTCCTAGGGAGCCTTTCTGGGGTGTGTCTGAGCCGTCTCTGAATGCCGGGGAGAACCAAAGGTCGGCTGCGTATATCATCTTGGGTATGGCGACTGCTTGATATAGTTGGCGCATGAGATGGGTCGGTATTCCTTTGGCCATCGTTGAGAGTCTTCGGATTTGAAGTACGTACGCCGTTCCTTTCGCTACTGCGTTATCTATTTGGGCTTTCCAGCGTAGCTCCTGGTCTAGAATGACTCCGAGGAATTTGTGGGTGGGGGAGGGCCGTATCGTTATATCTTGGAGTGTCATGTTCGGGCGTTCTTTGTTCCTGTTCATTGAAAAATCTATTAGTGCGAATTTGCTGGTTTCGAAGCGGGAGTTTGTGATTTCTGGACCATTCGAAGCCTCCTCCGTCTCGTTCTAACATGTCCTTGAGGATTCGGTGCGTCGTTTCGAAGTCCTTGCCTATTGCTATGAATGCCGTATCGTCTACAAAAGCCAGAGTTAGTTCTTTGAGCGCCTGCCTTCCCGTTCTGGGCTTGGCTACTTCTACAAGGTCAGAGTTATAAATTATATAGAGTATCATGGATAGGGGGTCCCCTTGGCCTATACCGTTATTGATGGGGATCCATTCAGATGTGTAGTCGTCGAATCTTAGTTGCGTTTTCCTGTTAGTTAGTAGTCGTTCCGTGAAGTCGATTAACTGTCGTGGTAGTCTGCGCTTTTTCATGTTGTGTAGTAGGCGTTTTGTTACTGCGTTCGGGAAAGCTCCTTCGATGTCGAGAAATAATACTGATGCTACTTTTCTTTGTTCTCCAGGCGTTGCGGATTGTTTCTTCGAGTAGATGGAGGGAGTCGGAGGTTGATCGTCCCGGGCGAACCGCCGAAGTGCGTGTTGGGGAGGAGTTGGTGTCGTTCGAGTAGGAAGGTCATTTGCCTCTGCTACTACTGCTGTTAGTAGCTTACCCGTTGTATTAAGTAGTGCTATGGGTCTATATGCCTTGGGGGTGGTGTAGCTTGGCTTGCCTGGTTTGCGTAGAACTACCGTCGTGAACTGTCTCCAAGGGTCGTAATATGTTCCATGCGAGAAGACTCCGTTGAAGAGGTGTACGAGGTATGGGGTTAGGGTTTCGGAGCAGCGCTTGAACACGATGTTGCAGATGCCGTCTGGGTCCTGGAGCTTTGAATCCGCTGAGGTTCGTTATGGCTTTGGTGATTTGGTCCTTGGTAAATGGGGTGTGTCTTGCTATTGGATCTGGGTAGGCGTAGTCAGTCGGTACATTGTCTGTTAGCGGAGGTAATGGGAATAGGGCTTGGGCTATCATTTGGCTCTTCTCTTCGTTCGTGCTTGCTGTGGTAGTCGTTCCGTCGGGGGTTTGCTTTCGTTAAGGTGGGGATTCTTGTTTTTCCTCCGTCGTTTGGGGTCGATGTGACGTAGCGGTTGGCGGTCCAGATATCGTTGCCCTCGATGTCCTCTAGCCAGTCTTGCCAGTGTTGCTTCTTGGTTTCTTGGATAAGGGTTCGCGTATTCGTTCTTCGTCTTCTTCAGTTCTTCGTGGACTTCGTGGTGGGAGAGGCTTCTCATCTGATAGGCGGTGCGGTGTAGTTTCATTACTTTTTTGCGTAGTTTGCTGAGGTCTTTGGTCCACCATCGTTTTGAGTGCGGGCAGGGTTTGGAGTTGGGTACGTGTTTCTTCATAGCTTGTGTTATACTACGGGTGATGAGTTCTGCGGTGAGTTGAAATTCCTCGTCAGACGCCAGAGGTAGCGGGGGGGGTGATTTGCGAGAGAGTTGCTTAGCGTTGTGTTGAATTCCTCCCAATCTACTTCTCTCCAGTTCTTGCGTGGTTCCGCGTGTGTTTTCGGGATGTTCATGTCGAGAACGAGTTGGATTGGTATATGGTCGGTCTTGGGTCCTCTCAGTTCTGGGGCTGTGGTACATGAGATGATCGCGTCGAGGAGGTGTTCCGTTCCGAAGGAGTTTGTCTGGTCTGGTCCAGTTTTTCGTGCTTGAGGATTGAAGGGTCGGGAGGCCTAGCGGGAGCAGTTGTAGCATTCCATAGTCGGCGAGTAAGTTGATGAGCGGTTGGGATGTGTGTAGTTGAAGAGGTGGCGGTTGCGGATTTCTTCCCAGAGGGGATGGTGTCTGTTGAAGTCGCCTAACCATAGCATGTGGTCTTCGGTGGTTGGGCGGAGGGTTGCGATGTTTTGTTCTAGGTAGGCGTCCATGGCTGCGAGTGTGTCTTGCTTCTCACCGTCGTTGTATATGTTGAAGATGGTACATTTGCCGAGCGGGCTGGTGAGTTGTAGTAGAACTATGTCTGATGATGGGAAGTTGATCTGGGTCCAGGAGTTAGTATCTAGCTTGGCGTTGATTAATGTTACCCGCTCGTGATCGTTTCTGAGGTTGTGTGTAGTGGGTGCGAAGGGTAGAGAACGTGCCATCTGTGGTTGGCCCTTGTGTTGCGTAAGAAGTTGATGTACGGTTCTTGAATAACGATGATGTCCCATTCCATGATCTTGGGGCCGTTGAGGAGGGGCTTCTTGTGCGGCCATCGAAGCGTTTAAGTTTTGCTGCCATATTCGTAGACTTCCGTTATTTATGTTGTTGGTGGGTTTCTTCAGGCATCCCAGCCGGAGGTGTCTATGTTGAGCTCGTTGGATTCTTCTAATGGGAGATGGGCGAAAAGGGTTGGTGAATGGCGGTGGTGTGTAGTTTTGGGGGGATTTGCGATCGGCGTCTGGGGGGGGTGTTTTGATGATCTAGGGTAGATTGGGTAAAGCGGGTTAGTGGGCGGGTGGAGAACTTCGATTGTGTGTTTGAATGAGGGCGGGGGGCGGGCGGGAGGGAGATGGCGGCGGTTTGTATTTGCTGGGGGTGCGCTATCTGGGTCCATGGGATTTCGGTAGGGTAGTAGGCATTCTATTTTCTGGGTAGCTATCGTTAAGGATTTCGAGGCGTCGTTTGAACTCTGGACATTTGCGGCTCCAGCTGGTGTGTTGGTCGTTGTTGCAGTTGGAGCAGAATTCGGTCTTGAGGGCGTGGCATTCTGAGGTCCGGTGTTGAGCGCCGCAAGTTCCGCATGTGTCTGAGGCCGCTTTGCAGTTTCTGGCTATGTGGCCGAAGTTTTGACATTTGGCGCATCTTCATTGGTTCTTTCTTGTCTTTGCGTATGGTGAAGCGTTCGTTTTGGATGCAGAGTCCTTTCTTGATGATGTCGTTGGCCGTTGGAGCGTTTATTGCTTGTAGGATGGCGAAGGCTTCTGTTGAACTTGGGTGCGTCTGTTGACCGGTTTGATCCATTGATGTTGATGAGGGAGTTTTCTTGGGAGGTCGTTTTTCTTTCTCGGTCGTTCTGAGGAACTGTTCGTTTTCAATCTGTATGCGGATAGGTAAGTATTCAATGACTATTGGGAAAGCGCTACTGCGGAACGATACTGTTGGGCCTAACTTGCTGGTGAGTGCTTTGCTGTTGATCGGTTTCCTGATCCATGTCGCTAGGGCTTCATTGTCTAGTTCCACTAGGAGGCCTCCGTTGCGGAAGGTGGTCACAGATCGGACGTCTCCTTGTGGGGATGAGTCGTCTTTGATGTTGGCTAGGGCGTCCTTGATCAGTTTGACAACGTCTGTGTGGGTGGTTTCTGGCGTGAAGACGTTTCCTCCCGGAAGGGGGTCGAGGATGATTTGGCAGGCTCGTAACGCTGCTCTTGCTACTGCTTTATCTATTGATGGTGGGAGATTGGCTGCAGTAACTGAGCTGTATGAGGGTTGCTGGGGTTGTTGTTGTTGTTGCTGAATGGAGGGTGGTGTGTTGGCGTTCTGAGATGTGTTGGCGTTGGATGTTAGCTGCTGGGATAACTCGTTGATGCGTTCCTGGGCCTTGGTGAGGTTTGGTTCGAAGGATTTCAGTGTTTTGCTGCAGTTGTTCATGGATTCGTGTAGGGCGTCTGCTGCTTCTTCAAAGCGCTCTGCTGCTGTCGCCGTATCGTCTCTTTTCTCTTCTATTTCCCTTTCCATCTTTGCCTTTAATCTTTCTGCTTCTTTCAGCGTGTTGTCTAGTCCTTCCGATGTTGATAAGATCTTTGCTACGTGCGGGGCAATTGCTGCTATGACATGTTCTGCGATTCTGGGAGAGAGGTTGTTAGTGATTTGGTTAGTTATATTTTCCGCTATTTCGTTTGCTTCGTGCTTTTTCATTATGTACGCTACCGCTCTAATGGCTTCTACTGCCGGTAGGGGAATTGACTTGAGTTGGGTGATATGGAACATTACTGAGATTAAGTGGGTTAGTGTAAATGGTTCGTCGACATGGCACAATAGATTTTTGTTTAGGTATTCTTCTGCATTTTCGATGTTTTTGATGGTACTTGGTAGCGCCTCGATGTCTTCCTGGGAGAGGTTCGATCTCCTGGTTTGACGTGTGGTAGCGATCGTCGCTGAGGGGTGAGGTGCTTTCTGTCGGCGTTCCAGTACCTTTGTTGGTGATTTTCTTTGGTATAGTCATTTGCAAGGGTGTTTTTATTGGTTTTGGAGTTGGGTGGGGTTTGCTGTGCGCCGTTGGGCGTCTTTTGTCGCCTTAGGGCGCTTTGTTGGTTGGTTTTTCTTCGGGGGCCTAGTCGGGGTGCCACTTGGTATATGACCAAGGTGCGATTTCTTGACGCGACGTTGACAAGGCATGTATGCAGTTTGACATAGGACTTACCCGGTACTACTCCACATAATTGGCGACAGAGTCAGGAGGCTTGGATATTTGAATTCAAATAGTCAGCCCTGTCATGAAAGTTAACACACTCACTGGACCACTAATATTAAAGTTGATAGGAACACATGAGGCGAACATCCTCTGTACGAGTCCATGCACGTTCGCAAGCACTTCACCGAGAATGAAATCTACATCGAGCGACGAGGTCATGGTTTTCTGTTGGTCGGCGTCACGATCGCGGTGTCACAACCGACGGCGTGGCGCGGTGGAGATGACCAATCATAGGCCGCGGCTCCTATGATCATTCAGGTCATTCAGGACGAAAACTTTACAGTCATTGCAATTATCTTCTCAGCCTGAAGCGAATATGGGGGTCAGTCACACACATGTACTTTCTTCTGATCCCAAATACTAATGGCGCCCGGTAGCCCGATAATCGACCAGCCAAAAGACCTCGCTTGCAAGGACCTGATGGCTTCCAAGTAACGAAGAATACCTCGAAACCCGCGTACAAACCTCCCCCGCCCTTTGTATCCTCTTTTGATCCACCGAAGGCCGGGCCCTCAACAAAGGTTCCTTATGACAAGCAGGCCAAATCGAAGGATTCGACTCATGTTCGACAGCGACCGCAAAACCCGTTAACTGCCGAGCTCCCCGACTTTGGCGACACTTCACTCGGACGCGAGGCTAAGGGAAAGGAGAAGGAAATATCGGTTCGCCCAGCTGGCAATCGCAAGCGACTGATCCCATTTATCACTGCGAATAACGCAGGGTCAGACACATCTCGTGCGCCAATCGTGAAGCGCCTCACTATTGCCCCTTCGGAATCAGCATCTGTACATCTTCCTATATCCCGTCAAAAACCGCATTCCGCACCTCTTCGGCCTCTTCAACCTCTCAAGCCACCTTCGTTTATAATCAGCGCCCCAGCAGATGCATCATCTTCCAAACCTCAATCTTTCTCGATTCTCAAGCCACCTCCAAGGCCTCAGCCGACTACTAAAGCGATCGTTCTGAAGCCTCTTGCTCCGCCTAGCTTTGCCCCGTTTCCCCCCAAGAAATCATCGACTAACATGAAGCCCATCTCATCTTTCGCGATAAATCCCACAAAGGACGGTGCAGGTGCTGAGCTGCTCTCGCTTTTCCTCCAACAGCACGGACATAACTTTGTCACTCCATTCGAACGCGAGATACAGCGTGGCATTGGACTCAGCCCTCGCAAAAACAAGAACGCCAAAGGGAATTTTGTACGGTACGTGCGCGTGTCGCGAGATTATCGGCCGATTGATAATGAAACACGCAATGGTACAACAGCGGTGGGATGGCGGCGCGTGCGCAACACCTCATCTCAGGCACAAAGACCGACTATACCCTTTGGTGCCTACAGCTTAAACAGAAGCTCTCGTCCGCGTCACCCTCCGCGCCGGCTTTATCGTGTGATTTGCGCCTACATATTCTGCGAGTACTACCCCTTCCCACGAAAACCCCCACCCCTACCCGTGTGCACATCGCCATATGCCGCATCTCATCCCGCCACAGGTCCGCCAACATAACCGACTTGAGAGATCAATGCTATGTCGTTCTTTTTCCACACGTTGTGGAGCCCAGTCGTAATTTCGAAGAGGGCAAGGATGTCTTGGCCTGGATGCCGTGGTACAAGGCTATGCTCTCCCATGTAGTGCCGAGGGAAGTATTAGGAGGTCTTTCGGTTGAGCCATTGATGCCTCCAAGAAGCGTCATGATTGTACCACGATGGCACATTATGCAGGCAGACTGAGTGACAGGAGGAGCTAGGGTCCGTACTGGGTACTGGGTCACCGCTACACTGGTACTGATGGTTTCATAATCATATTGCATGGCGTTTGGGACGTACCTTTTCAGTCACTTGTCAAAAGTCCTCCTGCCGACGAGTCAAACGCCAGTGCCTCGATCCGCATGCTGATTCTAAATTGATATCTTGAAGGTAGTCCAGCTCTGACATGACTGAAACGAGTCTTTCGAACTGCGTAACCATGTTGTACTCCGAGTCAACGCTGAAACCCACATTATAGAATCTAGGCACAATACAATCGCGGTCTGCAGCTGAATCTCCGACTTGAGATTTGAAATGAAATAGGATTGTACACTAGGCTCGTGACCAGCCTGCAGGCATATACTACCACGGATACTTGAGCGTCGAAAAATTCTCACCATCGCATAGTCAGACTGGCAACGAGTCTAATTGTACATGCTGCGGAACTTAAGGCCAAGGGGCGATTTAGTGGATAGTTTAATGAATACACCGCTGTGTAGCACTACCCTATGGGTGCTGCCAACGTGCGTCTACTTATTCAGTGCGGATGTGAATATTTACACTATTTAGTTTTGCCTCTATCAAAATGAGGTAATTATCACATGCTCACTCGTAGCTTGCAAGTTGCAGCGCAGCGCTTTAGCTCGAGGCGGAGTTCCATATGCAAGTCGCCGGCGAGTTCACCGTCATGTTGCCCATTAGAAAATTAATATTATCGCTACCACCTAAAAGCACCAAACAAACCTGCCACGTACTCGGTTGAATGCGTCTCAAAGCGGCCAGCTACCATTGGCGCACATAAAGATAAACTACCCCACACTTGGCGATGATCGATGATCTACCCTTCCACGTCAATGGTATACCCCATGATGCATTGATGGAGCGGTTGTCTTGCTTCTCATGTCTGGGCCCTGACGTCAGTGTGAAAGAAACGGCAGGCTGGGAACTAACAAACTCTCAGTTCCCGCGGCGCGTCGGTATATATCACTACGTATACCGCATTCTGCCAAAGCGACAGTAAGGATCTAAGAGGGAATTGACTACTAAACATATGCCCATGAAACCGTGACGCGTGCGGACATGCTCCTCAAAATGGACGCAGAGGTACATGCGATCACGTGATCACGTGTTGGGTTAGCCACAAACGCGCATAAAGTTAAACTTTTGACCGACTCGGATTAGCCAGATAGACTCACTTGTTTTCTCATTGATATCATCCAAATGCCCAGAAGACGCGTGCCATCAGGGCCAGGTAGACCTCCTTCTCAACCACCATCCGGAGACGAAGGAGACATAGATTTCAAGCACTCTCAGGGCAGCAGTGATGACCACAACGAGTATTTGCGTGACATTTAATATACCACCTATCACGCTGACAACAGATCTCTAAGAACGTTCGCGGTCGTCGCAGCGGAGTTTAAAGGTGTGTCATTCTTCATAGCCCTAGGTGGACATAATAATCTGATTATATGCGCTTGCCAGCGACCTGGGAGAAAAAGCTGAGGGGACGCGATGATAAGATAGTACAGACGACACAAAAGGAACTCCACCTTGCCGTTCGTATTCTTGATATCCACGATGTCCCATCTTCACCTTTCAACCAGCTCCAGAACAAGGAAACCGAAATAGCCAATATCATAAATGATATGTAGGACGTCCTGTCACCGTGTATATCGCTATCTGTTCAACACTGATACGTGACCCAAGGGAGGCCCTTCACCAGGATTTCCTCGAACAATATGCGATTCTAGAAGACAAGAAGCGCAAAATCACAGCTGCGATTGCTGAAGCCCAGGAAGAACTTATAGTCTGTTTTTCAGCGTCGAGAACCCATCCTTTCATTCTCTAAGCAAATGTCATCTTACAGCCGCTCGCGGTCAAATGCCACCAAGCGAATATCAGCCTCGGACACGAGGTCGAGAACGGCCAACTGGAAGGGATGGCCCTCATCAAGGGTGCTTGTCAGTGTATGGTCATTTCCGTTCTCTTGCTGCTCCGCATCTGATCTGCCTTCCCCCGCTCCATAGCCACGCGGGACATTGCCCAGGAACTAGGCACATCACACTTCGATTGCTGAATGATAGCACGATATATTGTTCCCCCTTGACCAGCTTGGTCTGTATTAATTGTTTGTAGATACGGTCGGCCTAGCCCATGTTAATAGACTGCATATATGGACTGCTCGACATGTCAGCCGTTTCATCCCCGCTTCCGCATTGTATGACATGGGCGGCCAGCAGTTTTACCTCGCCGCTGAACATCATATATCAATAAGTCGTCATGACTTTGATTCCCATACGACGTGGGTCAGAAGCACTGACCGTCGGGACTTTCCCGTACAATGAACTCGCAAGCCCCGGTCTCCGGGGCTGATAGGTTCTCTTCTCTTCGCTTCTGATGCGGCGGGTAAGTAGCCTAAGAATGGTAAGATAGTGCCTGGACTATCATATGCAAGGAGGGCGGAATTTCTGCGAGCCTCCGGAGACGTAGGAGATGAAAAAAGCAATTGGTAAGTGTCCATCGCAAATCTCGGACGGCCCCTGGATGCGATACAGACATAGATCGCCGGCATGTTTTATCAAGAGAGAACACCACAGCAATTTGTACGAAACAATGGATGGTTCAAGATCGGTACTGACGCTTGTTCTTACCAAAGTCGAGGAAGCAACGTGCATGACACGCGTGGAATATGAGCTAACAGATAACAGAACCGATAAACCGTAAGCTTGGACAGCAGCGGCACAACGTGGGTGTGTAGACAAGGAGGGCCTATCATTCTCATATCTAGGGCACAATTCGCGACCTCGCCAATCTTCGTGTAAGGACCCGAAGTGCTGTTCGTGTGTCGCGACCCGAGCAGGGATAAGTTATCGCTGGTGGCACCGTCGGCAGAAGCGAAGGTACATTAGCTAATGAATGAATGAATGAATGAACATAACAACTCACGGTTCATACTAAAATCTATCCCTGTTGCGCGCTTGAGTATAACAGGTTGTATTACCAAATGGATAATTAAAGATTTTCATTTCGTCAAGGTTACCCTGACTTGGTGGTATAGCGCCTGCCAGTGCGGTGTGCGCTCTTAAACCATGCTAAGCCAGAAGAACTATAACCTTTTCAGCGACCCGCCACTCCGCCTTGGCGCCGTCCACATCGAGATCTCTCAACCTTTTGAGTTCTGTGGCACCTTCGCCAAGACGACGATTCGTGGCCATAGGCTCGGTGTCTGGTGCCACATCGAGGTTGATATCTAGGTCGTATAAAGAAGGAATGTGTAGTATCACTCTTCGTGGCTCTATGTCGAGCGTTGAGTTGGAGATATGGGCGTGAGTCTATATAATCCAATGATTACCATCAATACAAGAACTAAAGTACGGGCGATACCATGTCTCCGTGGAAACAGACGGACAATACTTAATAGTATGCCGGGGGATGGGACTTACCAGATTGGGCACATTGATCATGAAACGGATTTTACGCTGGTCCTTCGTCGGGGTCCACGACCATGTGGGAGTCTGGGTATTCGATGCGGTTTTGAATATCCCCTTGACTCTTGGAGCCGATGCGGTAGCTGTTGGAGAAGCTAATTCCTGAATGAGCGTAGTCTTGGTGTTGGATTTGTGGTGAGGGTGACCGGACAGTCCAGGCACGAGCACTTGTCGCGACACAGGTTTGCCTTTCGAGGCGATGTTGGGCGTGCCGATCTGCCGGGAAAGCAAAAGCGAGGTGTGCGATTCAACGCGCTGCAGTGCAAGTTCTATGCCAAGCGATAGTCAGGTAATGTATCGGATAGCGAAGCATCAGATAACGTGCCTGTGATGAAAGCTTTGAAGTTTGGTTCTTTCAGGATGCGAGATTTGATGGATGTGTTGAAGACGCAATCAACGACAAGGGCTGGTTGACCGGCTAAAGACAGGATGTGCGAAGTGCTCGGAGACGGGTAGAGGATAGTACCGACCTTTGTCCTTGTCATCACGAAGATCTGATACTACGACTGGAATGAAACTTCCATCCGAATTTGATCTGTCATAGTCTTGGTCACGCATTGCTTTCTGAATTGCATCTTCGCTACCAGGTGGAGGCGGTGGTACGTTCGTGTCCCATGCTATGTTAACAAAAACTTTAAGTCCTTTCGGAATAGTGTTTTGTGTGTTTAAGAGGACTCCTAGGGCATCGGAGGGCGTACTAGGAGGATGACTAGTGGCGGTTCTGGGGACGACGGCGGGTTGAAGCACGTTTGATTTTACACAGAAGCCGGGCACTGGATTTAGTGCTAGACTGATTGAAGAGGACATTAGCGAACATAGCGTGGAAACCAAGTGGAAACAGCTCACTGTTCTATGAATAACATCATTTCCATATCCGGTCTAAGGACCTACGCTTACCAAAATTGAATGTCAATTACGAAATTGCCAATTTGCGAATGACTTGTCAACGTTTGCTGTGTTTCTCTGAATAAATCGGAAAATTACTCGGCCTCGCACATCTATAAAAACCCTTTGATTTTCAGTGGCTCAACATTTAACACGATCCACCTCTCCTCCTTTTCATTGTAAAACTATATTCACATTTACATTTGATCTCATTTCTGTTTGCAATGGCCTACAACGTTACCCCCCATTCCCGATGTCGATGATGACCAGAAGCTACAGCAATACATCCAGGATAGACGTGTCATTGGTGTATGTGTCTAACTGCTACCATTTGATACTCATTGTTCATTAAAATTTGAATAGTATGACCCTCTAGTTCAGCCTGCTTTGCTCAGGCATGAAATTCAGCCCACATCGGCCTCTCAGCTCACAATTGCAGCTGCTCGTTACAACGCTGCTCGCATTGTAGCGGGTCAGGACGACCGTGTTCTCGTCATTGTTGGCCCCTGCTCCATTCACTGTGCAGACCAGGCTATCGAGTATGCCAACTTGCTCAGATCGAAAATGCCATCATGGGATAATCTCCTCATCGTGATGCGCGCATACTTGTAAGTTGTGCCTGTTCCTTGAGCCATCTGGACTATACTAACGTTATATGTCTCGTTCCAGTGAGGTTCGCCGGCCGCACATCAGTTCCTGGCAATGACTCACCTATATCCTTTTATAGAAACCTAGAACTACCGTTGGATGGAAAGGTCTCATCAATGACCCCGTTAGCCAATTTTTTTGCTTTTACCTCTATTCTTGCTCATGTCTTCTGCAGGATATCGATGGTTCTTACAAGATTAACAAGGGTCTTCGAGTGGCTAGACAGCTTCTCTGTGACCTGACCGATATCGGTGTTCCCGTCGGTTCCGAACTACTCGATACCATCTCGCCTCAATACATCGCTGACCGTACGTCACGCCTTATCACTTTCCACATGTTCTGTCTAACACTGCCTTATTTCTTCACACGCAGTTATCTCTTGGGGAGCGATTGGAGCCCGAACAACGGAATCCCAACTCCACCGCGAGCTCGCTTCCGGTGTTTCCTTCCCTATAGGGTTCAAGAACGGCACTGACGGGAGGTATGACACCATGTTATGTTTTTATTGAGGAACATATTGCTAATGGGTCATCTTGGCACAGTGTCAATGTCGCTATTGACGCGATGCGCTCCGCTTCTAACCCCCACGCCTTCATGGGTGTGACGGAACAAGGTCTTGCCGCTATTGTCAAGACACGCGGAAACCAGGATGTTCACGTCATCCTCCGTGGTGGCACCAAGGGCCCCAATTTTGCATCCGAGCACGTTCGCGCGGCTTCTAAGTCGATCGAGAAGGCGCGCCCAGCGAACCATGCCAGCATTATGATTGACTGCAGTCGTAAGCCATACATTTTTATCCAATAGTTAGCGAGGGAACTCATTTAACTGCTTTAGACGGCAATTCGCAGAAGAACCACAACAACCAACCTAAAGTGGTTGATGATATCTGCTCCCAGCTTGCTGCTGGTGACAAAAACGTCACTGGTGTCATGATTGAGTCCCACATTAACTCAGGACGCCAAGATGTTCCTGCTGAGGGCCCCGGTGCACTGAAGCACGGTGTTTCCATCACCGACGCATGTGTGGACTGGGAGTGCACTGTGGGCATGTTGGATAAGCTTAATGCGGCCGTCAAGGCACGCCGTAATTACCTCTTCGAGCAAGGCCTGCAACGGCCAGCTGGCTTCCAACGTGGCACCCCTCCATCGCCGTGAACTCGGGTTATTTTGTAACTTCGTGGATCTTTCGTTACATGTACGTGGTCCCCATGTATGTGTTGTATTTTAGCCAGTCATACTACCTCTTCCAACGTCCATAGTATTAGACCTTAGATGGAGGGCTCTTGCTGTATTGTTGTAGTTAATAGCATCGAGGCCTTGCGCGGTTAAACTATTCTTATGCTTTATCTTTTGTCACCCAAAACATGCTACGATAATATGAATATGTTTTTGGCTGATTCATCGTGCAATCATCAATACTGTCAGTCCCTCATATTTCGAATTAAAACAAGTGATGCATCGAGCGGTGTACCTATGTGCGTTGAGTCATCGATATACTTACGTACCTGAGTTTATTATGCATGAGTGTAGATGGCGAAATAAAATATTCATATTCATATCCTATGTAGGATATCTGTACGTGCGCTGGATCCATCTATGGGAGCGCGTCACGGTATAAGTCCTTATACGTAGGTCGAATCAAGATGAACCAGATAATTACCGGCTTATTGGACCGCTCTAGATTCGTGCGTCTAGTAAGGTACGTGGGTCCAGTTTTTAATGACTTCTACTTAAGACGATGTAAGATACGAGCAGGTCAGGGTCAATGTCAGGGTCTGTGCAAAATCTAGCCAGCATCGCATCTCGCACCTCCTGGCACCCAACTAGTAGCCTGAAGATTGTTGGATCCCGGATCGAACGGATCGCGGTCTGATCAAGCACGAGAAGTGAGACAACCGCACGACGTCGGCCGACAACTGCAACATTCCAAGTGTTTCACAATTTATTCCAAGTGTCAACTCCTGGGCTCCCTATCACCATATGCATGCTTGAAGATACGAGTCTGTCCGTCCGAGCATTTCCCCGAGATTAAGTTAAGATGATATTATCTTTTTACCAGCTCCCTCCGCGTGCGCGTGCTCGTTCGCCCCTGATCACCAGATAATGAATTTGTCACAAGTCCATGAGGGATACTTCCTTGCAAGTTGTAGGAGGACACAGGATCTCCGGGATCTCCGACACCCAGCGTTAGTGGGAGGAGGGCTCCGACATGCAAAATCCCTATAGTCACCGAAAAGATGTGCAAAGCTGTGCTAATTTTTTCCACGGCTCGATACTTTCATCATCATGTCGACTTTCACCGACTGACACGCACTGACACCGTCGGCTGAGAACTCGAAGCAGTGCACTGGACTCTTTGTTGTGGTGAGCATGTCGGCTGGCTGAGGAACGAGGCCAAGCCGATATGCCAATTGGGGATGAAGACGACGTCACGGTAGTACATGAAATGGATCCGAGCGACCCATATCTTGAGCAAATCGCACGCAAAGCAAATCAATTCAACGTGGTGTCAGGAGTTGGGGCGCAAACGTCGTAACTCGCGATAAAATTAAATCGGAATCATGTTTCGATCAACCTTCCTGTAGCCTCCTGTGGTGTGTTGTAATCCCGGTGAAACGAATACTATAATTATGGGATGTGCGTAGGTTTTGTGGTCAGTGATGTATAATCGCTGCATGGAGCTAGCCCCAATAGTATAGCGCCAACTGGTCGGCGATGTGATCCGGCATTGTAGAGTTCTCCGAAGATCTTTGAATCGATCTAGAAGATCATGTATCTTTACGTGAAATTCTCGACGCCGGACGGCGAATACTTACGGTGAGACATACCCACTGTTTCGTCTCTCACCGGCACCGTTGGCGAGTTGCATTCTATGTACTTAATTGTAATAGTACTGTATGATCATCATCTCCATCTGGATTCTGCTGCATCTTCTCCATTACAATGCATCAACGCGATTCGCAACCGAAAACAAACAAAACAAAGTTGACCGACTCGGAATCAAGTGTGGCATGCCTTACGAATGTCTCTGCCATGCATCAATAACCCTCTCCAAAGACGGACCCGACCATCCTGACCCAAACACTGTATTCATCTTTGTCCCCGTCCCTCTTAGAACTTCCTTTATGCCCTCATCCAGCGTCCTCAAATCAACATTCCCAGGAGCGGCACATTGTGCATGAGCATCTTGTGCAAGTTGCTTGAGAATTGCTAGCAGCGATGCCGACGGAACACCATGGCGCAGCAGATACCAAGCCAGCCAACGCGATACTTCAGGGGCTTCTTCGGACTCCACTATAAGTTCCCCACGAGCATATCTGCCAAAGACCGTGTTAAGGGCTGTGGAATTTTGGATTTCTGCGAGGTGCTCATCCAAGGCTTGTAATGCGCCAGAGACAGTGTTTTCGCGAATCAGAGAAGGCCGAATATTATTCTCTGATTTCCCACTGAACCGTCGATCGTAGACTTTGCTATAAAAGTCGACAGCAAAACGAAGGTCTTGCAGCCGGAGATGGAAGTAGCTGTTCGATGGTGATTGAGTGCGATACTGATAAAGCATGAGATGGGACTGCAATGTTTCCATCTTATCCTGAAGAATGCTATCAAGCAGGACCGCGTGACAGTAATTGTGGAAGACTCTCTCTTCGACTGTCTTACCGTCTTCGCGTGAGAAATGATCTGCGAAAGCAAGAAATAGGGTGTCGTTGGAGAAGGATGAGATGAAATGAGTCAGGTCGCTTGCAGGGTGTGCCTTCGTGTCGGTCAATTGCGGGAAGTCTAGAGTTGCAGCATCTCCAGCGGATGAACCAGAGCGAACGAAAAGACTTCTACTTCCCCTAGGGTCCTCCGTATAGCTCAAGAAAGCCGTACGTCGCTTCACGTACAATGTTTGGTGCTTTAACTAGGCTTCTCCTATGCTGTGGTACGTGTTCAAGGTCCACAAAGAAAGGCCAATAGCGGGGTGTATCGATTCTAATGGACAAAAGTTTGTTGAAATCCGGTATCAACGTAGGCGATATCAGCTTGCGTTGCACCCTTTTCGGCACCTTCTTTCGTGGTGATTTTGACTGGGAGATAGACTGCTTCTCTGGTATTAACATCCCGTGCCATAAGGCATCTAGGCTCAACTGCAAGAACCCAGAGGTGACGAAGAGCCTGAAGATAGCTCTTGTTATCTGATGATACATGGTGGAAACGAGGGAAAAAGGCGATGATCATGCAAGCAATTGCGGCATTCGAAGTTCCGAGTGTATACCGACCGGCCCCGAGGAATAACAAGCCAAGCGACAGGTGAGTCGCAACATGGACGCCATATCGAAACGCTTGGTGATACATGCCATATGCATATCTCAGGCGTCGTAAGCAGGTGATTTCCCCTGTACCCGCCATGACCATACAAAGTGCAATGGAAATGAGGTTCAAGCCTTCACGAACAGCAGAGCGCTTGATCTTGTGATCAAAGGCAGGGCCTGGAAAACATCAAATATTTAGTATGACGTCTTGTGAGTTCCGTGAGGAAAAATTACCACTAGCTGCCACAAATCTACTGAACATGTCGAAATAATTCGATAGCATAATATATGCCTCATGACGCGCTGTCCCCGCGTACTTCAAGCCAATAGCAAAACAACAACCTGCAATGATGTTGTAATAGGCAAGCTCGATAGCATCGTCAGCTGGTTTTCCTCGCACGTGACCGTGCATGGCCTTCACGATAGATTCGGGCACCTGAGCAAGTAACCACTGCGGCGTCGAAGCGATATCGTTCCACATGATCAAGGATCTTGCAATGGTCCGCATGAGCAAAAAGCTAGGTTGTATACGGTTCAGTTCTAAGACCGTGCTAGGAATCTCCAGGATATCAGCGACGTCTCGTCGCTCTGTTTTGAGATACATTAGTCCAAGGGCGATGGAAGCTGCTGGCGAGGTGATATTGACATCGAATGTGGGCCGTGCTTGGGAGTTCACAACTGACTTTCCTTCACCATGCACAAGGACGCGGAGGCGATTGAGCGATGAGAGATCTGCGGGAACGGAGGAACCTTGACCTAGCATTATCATGCCGAAGGCTAATGCAGCACAATAAGTATAAGCTTCTCGGTGTTCATTGCTGAGGTCCGGTTGCACGAGGTCTTTTCTGCTGATTTGGTGGAGACATACTTCTGCCATGCGCCTGTTTTTTGTACCGAGGTATAGAATTCCGACTCCCGCCAAGCCGGCTGCTTGGGTCATGAGGGATACGTTCAGGTCGACGTTCTGCGTGGGAAGCAAGGCTGGGGTATGAACGGCAAGTAACTTTGTCACATGGCGATTGCCTGTCCCAGCGTTCGCAGCTGACAAACCAAGCAAGACGCCAATGGAGGTCAAGTCATGTTTTGGGGTTAGATATCCAAAGGTATGCCACGTAAGCATTTCCTTGAGGTGCCCCGTGAGGCCAAGGCCAAATAGGAAACCGGCATGCTCTGGGGTGAGCTCAGAAGGCTTGTTGAAGGCAATCCACGAACTCTCTACACCACGAGCTTCCGGGGAGATGCGTAGTCCCGCTGCGACACCATTATGGAACTCGCCCCAGTTAAGGCATTCGACAGGTATTTTGCCAAGCTCGGGTGCAGATGTAACATTTGATGGTTGTATCTTAACCGCATACTCCATCTTGGGGGTGACATAGGCCTCTTTCGTGACCGTCAACACAGAACCAAAGGTGAACATAGCACGACCATAGGGTAGTGCCAGCGTTCGCTCTGCAATACGAACTACTTGATGCTGTTGCTCCTTCGCCTGGTCATGTTCGCTATTCAGGAGTCGTTAGCGAAGCCTCGACCGAATTTATCAATTATCCTGCTCACTTCAATTCCGGGCGCTCCACAAGCCGTACTGATGGAACCGCCGACGAACAAAGCATACGAGCCACTTCTTCCAATCTGCGATCCTGGCCAAAACGGATCTTAGTGAATCCCTTGAGATCAAGTTCGACTCCAGAAACCGCATCGATTTCTCCGATGCTCGCAGATTTGGCCTGTTCGGCCAGACTGCCGATCGTCACTCGTCGGTGGGTATTCTAGAATCAGATTAGCCGATACAATATATCCTGGATTGCAAGTCCCACCATATAGGTCTCGGCAGACTGAGCAATGCCCTTCTGAGAGAGCTCTGGCTGCGTTCCAGCAACACTGAAAGCCAAGTCACGCCGGCCAATGAGGTCATAATGCTCTTTGCGCCAATGAGAAGGAGGGGACAGTTGACACGTTCTAATAGCTTCTCTCAGGGGCGCTGCGATACCCAATGGAAGACTATTAAGGAACGCAAATCCCTTCTCCGCTGTCCCAAGCATATCGACGAGCTTTTCGACGGTCTGCTCTGCCCGCTTTTGCGTAGATGACACCGTTTTATCAGCAAGACACATATAGGCTGCCGCGAGACGCTGCAACGACACGAGCGGTTCGGCATCCCCAAAAGCAAATGACGGATCAATGGAAAAAGATCGGGCTAGTCGGGAAGTTCCATACGCAGGGAATTGCCAGTCAGGATTACTTATGCTTCCATAAAGAATCGCCGACATAGTCTGGTGGCCAGACTGGTATGCGGTCGTCCAGCATGTCCACACCTAAATAAGAAGATTAAGAACATTTCGGTAAAAGAAAGGCATAAACTGACGCGTTGTAGATGGGGCGGGCCATCCTGGCATGATATTAGGACAGAGGCGCTTCCAGTAATCTGCCCATTCTGGTCGAACGATGTGTGCAATTTGACATATCAGAGGAATGAGTAACGTGAGGGATTCGTATCGAAGAACCACTAAGCGGAGGTCCTCTGCCAACATGTGCAATGCATACAGCACAGGCGCAATGAAGAGGATTGACGGTCAGAGTGAAAAGGAAGTAATGTTGCGTGGTTGGAGGTATAGGAAGCTTCAAGCTGTTTGAGAGCCGGATCGTCGTTGAAAGAACGAATAGAAGTGGATCAAAGCTGAGAATCTTTCCCACACAGAAGAACTTGTGGAGTCGTCGTTTTTGAAAGGATACACAAGCTTGAGCTCAAGAAGCGCGAAGAGTGCGAGCGTGAACTCCTGGAACTCGAGCCCAGGCGATGTTCGGAAGTAACGCTGTGACCATGACTCGAGAATCTTTCGCTGCAGGTCAAAAGCTTGAGCCTTCGGCATCACAAGTGCCAGAACCTGTACGGCCTGGGTCACCAGTGGATCGCGTGGGGTCATGTCCAGTTCGCGCGTAATATACCTTTCCATCACTCATCTCCATATATACCGATGAGACGCAAACATGCTTCAATGCTACGACATGATCAAGTGAGATGACCTCAGATGAATCGTTGCTGTCGCCGCTCCAGGGTTGCGCGAGCTTCAGTCGTATACGGAGCTCGTGCAATCCATGAATAAACAATGATAACGAACCATCCTTCTTCACTGCAAGAAGGTCCCAGATATCACCACGTGTCGCGCGTATTGACGCGATTGCAACGGCTTCCAGAGTACCGAAACTCTCAACCACAAATGATTTCTTGCCTTCCTCAATGGTAATCATAAAGACGATCACCTGAGCATCAGGCAGGCAGACTGCGAGGAGCGAGCGATGAACTTTGCCATCAAAGCGTTGATCAAACGACGCAACAGAGATATCACGCGTCGGCAGTCTACAACAACATGAGTGTATGTTTAGGTGACGTATCAATAACCTCCTACTGTCTCCCTCCCAAATGATGAGTGGTCAACTGCTGGGCCCAATAAGACGCCTTCATCCTTCCATGTTCAACAGGGGTGACCAACACTTCTGGGTCTCTCTGTCCTCCAAGCGCCATCCTGTCCATTGTCAAACTGAGATCTAGGCGAGTTATGGAGTCCCGTTTCCTTCCTGGTATTGGTGGCTGAGCAGTGATATTACTTGTCGTCGAAGGCGGAAGTCCGGAATTTGGGGGAAACGGTGGGGGAAAATCGCCATCAAACTCCATGTCCTGAGGTAGCCGGCGATCAAGTTCCAAAAGGTCGCTAACACTTGATTGTCGCCTATTCCCAGCGGCGGACATGCTCTTTCGCGAAGTGCTATGACGTCGAGTCCGAGTAAGAGGCACAGGAGCATCCTTGGGCTTCAAGTAGGCATATCTCCATATGGAGAGACCCCCTTTGTCCGTATCAAAGGTAACCAGAAATTCGCCGGTCGAATTAGGGACACCAGGAGAAACCCAGACAACCTCGTCGCTAGCAGAGACGGTAACCAGCGGCTTGGAACAATTCTCTTCCTCATCCACTAAAGCAACACGTTCGTCACCAAAGCCTCCCAAAATGCCAATCGTAATTCCAACAGCTTCAGGCTCCGAAAACGCGCTCGTGATGGTGAATATGGTGGGTAATACGTCATCTCCTGTGACACGAGCCTCGTCCACTTCAGCTGGATCAAGTATTCGCTGAATAAGAACACCATGAGGACGAAGCGGCCACGCTCTGTGAACAAGAAACGGAAGCGGAAACGTATAATCCATCCCATTCTGCAAGAAAACCTTCCCAATACTCCGCAAGAAAATAAATACACCTGATATTTCCTCGTCTGTATCTTCAACAGCTTTAGATTCATATCTGAGTGATGTGAATGGCCCGAAGATGTTCGTCGTTCCGGGTGTTTCGTTTGATCTTGTGTAGTGGGCGCTTCCGTGGGCCTGGCGATTGGAGGATCCAGTCGGCTGCATGAGCTTTCCGATACAGGCATGTTGGATGATTTGATTTTCTTGACTGAGGTCCCACTTTCTCTTGATGACGCCTCCTTCGCTCAGGACTACGCAATAGTCGTTCCAGGAAAGTTCTTGGTCTGTCCAGGATTCCGATCCACCTGTGAAGAGGGGGCTAAAAGTTGTGTTCACGGTATTAGTACCGGAACTTCGGATGGCAGCACGTATGGAGCGAAGGAGGTCAGATTCTTCGGAGGCATCTCTTGATGGGGTTGTGAGGAAAGTGGTGGCGGCGGAGGGTTGATATTGTCGAGCTTGTATTACAACACCAGACATAATATGCGGTGTGCAATATAGATGACAAAAGCAAGTATGATCAGAATAGGAAAGCGCGTTATTTGTGTTTGTTGTGCAATACCTTCTGATGCTAACATATACAAACATTGTTAAGTCAACTCCTATAACTGGTGAACACGTTGGTACTATTGCAAACTTTTACGAACACAATTAGACTATGCAGGAGTACATAAGGGAGGCATAAGAACTCCAAGATAAAATAAATGACCAAGATAAACAATATGCAGAATATGCTGGTACGATTGCGAGATCCAACTTGAAAGTGCGAAGATGAAGCAGAAAAATGCGCGAGGACGTCTTGCGTCAAAGCAAGCAGTCCGTCATATGAGCCAGCACTAGGGGAAGAACAAATAAAAATACCAGGAATATCACTCTAGCCGTATTCTCCGTACAATACCCAGGACGCTGTCCGCATGTCCATCCGTGGAGACCTGTGGTGTCCGCACTTGACTTTGCTTGTCGGTATCCTTCCCTATGCTTAATATATATACGTGGTGACTAAAGGCAAGGTGAGCATAATTGTCAAATTAAATCAACAAGAGCTTACAATCAAGGCGAATTAGGTTGGCGACGCAACGCCTCGTGGCTACTTTTCCTACTCCCTATCAAGCCAATGTTGGGCAATGCAACGCCCGCGATACCCTTCGTTTCCTCGTCGTTTAGCTTCCAGATGTTGCTAACAGGCAGGTTCGACGAAGAATCGTTCGTGACAATGCGATCCTTCCCAAATGATGAGCGTTCCGAGGAGAAACTATCGTCATAATCCTCTGGGGAGAGGTCGGTGGATGACGTAGAACTCGGAGACAGGGTGGGAGATTGCACGATATCCTGCAAGAAAGACGGAAGTAAAGGAGCGGGGACATTGGAGGGAAGATAGTCCTCGGGATCACCAAGGCTTGGGAACGAAGACGGGGAGGTACGACGGGGAGCGGACGTTTCATAGATGAATTGAGAGTCTGAATATTGTGCGCCCGCGTCGAAATTAGAATGCGAGCGGGATCGGTATGGTACCTGATTCTGAGGAACGTTGTCCATGAACATACGACGGCGCTGCGGGGGTGTCATGGAATGAGACCGGGGAGCTTGAGATGAAAGGGATGGGGGACCACTCGCGAGCGGAAGTTGGTTCTGCGCGAGGAGCGACGTGAGTAAGTTGATGCGCTCCGCTTGCACAGCAGCGGAGATGGAATCGCCGTTTCCTTCAGCATCTGCAAAAGGTTGGTAAGAATTTAACATCGTAGTTGATGAGCACCTACAAGGAAAACAAGTCTGGCAAACTTTACGGCGTCTCCAATTCAGATAATTGCACTTTTGACAAATCCAATCACCAGGCTGATGTTCGATAGGCCCACGATTACCAGTGTTCAGGATCGGGGGCTGCTAGGGAAAAATATATGTTAACTTGGGAAGGAAGGACACAGAGCGCAATGCTTACTGGAACAACCATCAAGCTGCTTGGTCGAATCTGACCCTGTTCTGGGAATGATTCGTTGTCCGGCCAATACATGACGCACGGCGATAACGGGTCCGAAGAGACATTTTGCACCTTACCTCCCACCGCAAAAGAACGACCAGACGGAGTGAGGAGAGGGTGTGCAGGAGAGGGGGGCTTTGCACTCATCATGCTCGGCTGGATAGGCGGGGGTGCATGACGCACGTTATGACCGGCGCTGGAGTAAATAGGAGAGGTAACTGATGGAGAAAGACTGCTTTGCGGCATGGGCGTGTGTCCGGATGAATTGACGAAGCGGGGTGATACTGGAAGACGCGACGTGGGTGGCCCGCAAGACCCTTGTCGCTGCATCGTTGAGGGTGGGTTCTCAGAACGCGGACATCCACAACCTCTGCAAGCTAAATTACGCCTGTGCAGAATCATGCAAGGAAAAGAATCAGTCAGCACCATCCTTGCACGAGAGATAGGAAGGTAGAGGGAAATAAGACGATACGGATAGTGAGATATTCTAGATTCTAGAGCGGTTCAAAGTAGGTAATGATGACGCATATGACGATCGAGGAAGTTCAGAATATGTTTTCCCCTAGCTCCGTCGGGATTCTCCGATTCAACGGGAATGAAAGAGTACGTAGAGATACGGCGACCGCGTCAAGGAACAAAACTCACCCAAAGTTGTGAGCCGCGCAGTTGGGCGAATTACATCTGTCGAAAAACTAGTCAGCACCGACTCTACAATCCATTTCCAATAAAGTTGCCCCTAAAAAGTCTCCATAACACAATCATACCGATCACAAACAAAATCGGTGTTTGCAAATTGGAGTAACCTAAAATGAAACTACTTACATCCAATCACCCAGCCTGAATGTTGTCCGCGGATTGGGCGGGTTGCTGGAGATGACAAAGTCATCATTTGGTGCCCCGATAGTCTGCGGGAATGCGGGCGTCCCAATCTGTACGCATTTATGAAGGTCAGGTGTTGACAGGGACATGCGGAGACCAGTAGGATATGAAATCGCAGTAGAATTCTGACGGACGGCGACTTCGGGTTGAGCCGCTGGTAAGGTACATCGATAGTCGTGACACACCTTCAACAATGAATCAACTCTGCGCAATCTATCAAAAGGTTCCAAATCGCCCTGAAGAGCAGGGGTGATGGTGATGGAGGGGTGAGAGAGAGAAAGTGCTGTGCAGGCCTAAGATACGCAATGTTCAGTATATTTAACATCGGATAATCAGTAAAAGTGAATGAACAAAAAAATAAGCCAGCAAGTGGAATAAAACGTCAATATGGATTTTCTCGGGCGTGCCTGGCTGGTAGCAATGCAACGGTATCCTTTGCACTACCCGCTCTCACGTGGAGGACAATGCTTGCCTGGCAGTGGCCAAAAAAGGAAATTACGCGTCAGGGGGAAGAAACCGTTCGAGGGAGCATTGCCAAATAAAGAATGAAATGGGCCGCTTACATCCTCGTGTGACTGAAATATCGCCCAAACGTCGTTTGGCTCAATGCACTCATTCGCGACCCACATAGACATGGGCGGTCTGACAAAAGCGCGTCGATCTCGTCCCTGTTCAAGCAATCGTTCAATGCGTGCGTCGGCGTTCTACTGGTGTCGCGCTTACCTCTGTAAAGAACGACACAAACGATGGCAATGGCCAACGACGATCTTTCTGGAGCTTCAAGTGGCCTATCAGACATTGAAACGCGCGAAGAATCAAGGTACTTACAAGGAGGACGCGCGATCGTGTAGTTCTGAATTGCTCGAACAATGAACGACTGGCAGGGAACTCGCACGATGGCAAGGACAGTCCCTCACTGCTCCCTGAGGATGTTGGAGACAAATTCAAATGGGAGTCGTTGTGAAAGCGGTGATACGCTGGAATACCAGTGTCTAAATCGTTTGACATCTGGCAGGACACAGGGATAAACGGAGCGCCCAGGCAGGCAAGGGGTGAGGGCGGCTGAGAATTAGCCGATCGAGGAATACAATTAGGTCCGACTGACTCCAGGTGTACCAGCGGATAATTCACGGATTGGGATAGGGAGGAATTACATGAGGGAACGGACAACTTGCGAAACTGACGCAACATTCCCTCGAAATGAACTGCTGGATAAGAAGGCATGATGAAGGAATTGGAAGACATAGGTGAAGTACCGCGACGACTGTCCAGCGAGTCGGTCCTATTTGAAGGAGATACCGCCAGCGGAGATGGCATTTTTGTTGGTTGCCAGGTATTGGCAGACTGAACGATTTGCAGATTAAAGTGATTGAAGATCGCAAGTTGACTTCTCTATACCTGAAATAGAGAAAGTACTACCGACTAGACTGTAGTTCTGTGATAGAGAAGAGACTCGTAGTTAGAAGGATGAATGAGGAATGTCTCCGCCGTGACAAGGATTGAAAGAGGGAAATAAGAGGGTACTAGTAAAAACATCTCACAATTGGTGCTTTTCAACTGTCCTTGGAAGGACGCTCGTTCACATTTCGTCAGTTCACACCGTCAAATTAGAGTGCGATATGTCGCCTCACATCCCACGTGGCCAATCAAAGTACTCCGACGGTTACTTCCGCTCCCTACGTAACTACGTAATCATGCTTCAACATCGATTCAATTCATCACTCTCCATCTTCCTTTCCAAATGATCATCAATTTATCCAAGAAGGAGGCCATCCCAGTTCTACGCCGGATCCTCGGCGCTGACAGTTCACTACTCTTCCACCCACAGTGGTCAGTCACCCCCGGCCGTAAGTCTAACGCTAACGGAGGTTTGAATAATGAATTACTACACTCACGGCACCGCGTCGGGTCCATATCATTCGGAGCCCTGCACACAACGAGGCATACTAGTTTCCCTTTTTCCGTTGGTGTATATATCATCATCGACTCGGTGGTCATGGAAGCCTACGGAAGCTCATGCGAACCATATGAGCTGCAACACAACACCATCGAAGGTTCAAAGGAAGGTGCGAATCTTTCAGGCCAAGGGTTGTGACATGTTGTGAACACTTGGAAAACGCGATTTAGACTTTATCTCCTTCTGTATTTTACACCGTGTGATATGATGGCAAGGAACTATCACTGTCGAACAACATTGAGCGCTGAGCGCTTGGGCCTCGGATTTCACGTCTGTCAGTTAGATATTGGGCGATATGGACAACCGGGACAAATTGAATTTAGTTGCGCCGCGGTACGGGGCGTGCTTCGAGCGATGACGCCGGGGCCGCTGTTATGCGGTTCGGATCTGAATCAGGAATCATGTATTCACGTACTCGTCCAGCAAATCGCAGCTTCAAGGCTTTCAGACTGCCACATATATAACAACCGCGGGTTTGTGACAACGGTCGTTTAGCGTCGAATCCGCATCGAGAGAGTTGAGCATTGTTACGAACAGTAACGGCGCGAACTCCGAGTCCAATGTGCTTATAGTGCACGAGGAGTGCGCAAGTGCATCGCTTTTTGTCAGGGTCGCGAAATGGCATATACGTTGCATGTCGTCCGGCTGCGGTCCAAGTGCCAAGCCGTCCCGGTTTGTCCCATGGGTACAACGTAATATGAGCGCCGAAAAGTGTCAATCAATGATCGAAAACATAGCCTTGAAGGGTTCTGGCTTCTCGAGGTCGATGGAAAACTTACGTGCTTTCTGATAGCGGCACTGAGAGGGGCAGTGCGACACAATAACGCTAAGAATAAAACATACGAGACCAATGACCAATAATATGTACAGTGATCCAGCAGGTGAAAAGACTCAGCTCGACGTCACCTTGGCGCATGCCCGTACAGCATTTTCCTTAGTCTATCTCCGCTAAGGGTCAGCACCATGTTCCCCTCGAGGAGGTATTTCGCGTATCTCCTCCAAGCCTCAGCCCCTTTACCCACCCTTGCAGGACTCTCACCTGACCATCCCTTGGCCATCTTCCCAGCCTTCAGAGTGCTAATACTCCCAACAACGAACAGCCCTCTCTTCGCACGCGTCAGGCCAACATTTAATCGACGTCTGTCAGCAAGGAACCCAATGTACCCCGAAGTATTATTTCGCACGGTCGAAAAGATAATGACGTCCTTCTCCCGTCCTTCGAATCCGTCCACCGTCTTCACTTCGATACCGCTAAGCTGCATCATTCGGCGGTCGCCAAGAGTGGCTTCGAAGCGCTTGCGATACTTGGCATCGGTGTTTAGGAGGCGATACAAGAGTGAAATCTGGGCAGCATATGGAGCGATGACACCTATGTTCGCCCCTTGCAAGTTCTTGGAAAGAATGTCAGCCAGAAATACTCGGACAACCAGGCAGGCGCTCACCTCGTTTTGCAAGAGTAGGTCTTCAACGATGCTACAAACAATGTGAGCCTCGTTCCAGTTCACCCTGCTGCGGTCCTTGAGAGTTTCTGCACCACCGTGATCAATGAATACGACAGAGGGACGGTGACCAGTGAGAGCATTTTGCTCGAGGTGACTTGACAGCGGTGGTAGTAACATGGGGTGTATGTTACCAGCAGAGTCCACCGTCCCGTCTTGCAAAGCAAAATCATAAAATTCTAGCGATGGAAATCTAGAAATGGAAGGGTGCATCCTGTACTGCACATCAAGCATAATTGATGGAACAACTATAATTTGATATTCCAGATAAGAAATCTTCTGATGGATGTGTCAGAATCACACACCTCCTTCTTCAGTAAGTCTTTCAAATAGACTGATCCCAAGGCCGTTAAGTTGCGCCTCGCGACTGGCAATGACGGGAGGTAATTGTTTGTGATCTCCAATCAAGGCAACATGTCGAGACTGCGCTAATGGTCAGAACGACAACACAGGAAAGAATTCAGCAGGCTCACTCCTCGCATCAAAGGAATAAGTGACGCTGGCTCTGTCGACATGGAGGCCTCATCTAAGAACACAACAGGAAAGTCAAGAATATTGAGTGCGGCACTGGCGGACGTGATGCACGTTGTGCAAATCTACCAAGGAGTCGTGAGTCGGAGGTAAAGTGGGGCAGATAGTAGATCACTCACTACGTCAGCCGCAGCAGTGATATCGTTGAGCATTTCCTGATGATGCGCATACAGTTTCGCTCTCAGCGCCAAAACTTGCCTCTCCAATGCTGTAAACGCAGTCCGCATGCTACTGAGCTTTTCACTGCCCAATTTTTCAGCTACATCGATTCTCTGTTCCAGCGCGCCCAACTTTCTTTCCACATTTTCCTGGTCTTTCAGAAGTTGGTCGACTTTAAGCCTGAGAGGATGCGCCTCCAGCTTCGCATCTAAAGTATACTCGTATAGAGACGATTTAATTTTAGCACCGAACCCGACTCGAAGGGGTTTCACGCCAGCCGCTGCAAAACCCTCCACGAGATTATCAACCGCAACATTGGTGTAAGTGCAGACAAGAAGAGGGTGATGCACTTCAAAGTGAACCTTGAATAACATCTCAGAGACAAATATAAATCGATGCGAGGATATCGAACCTTGAGTAATTTCACGGTTTCGATGATGGTTTTCGTTTTGCCCGTACCAGGCGGCTAAAGTGGATGTCCTTTAGTTTTCGATGTTACTTGACCAGATGAAACGTACTCCTTGAACGAGACTGATCCTTTCGCCAATCATCATGGCAATAGCCCGAATCTGCGTGGCATTCAGGCCCTCAAGGACCGGATCACCATCTATTGCAATTGGATTGACCTGTGAATATCGCCTTGCCCAGCTTTGGATGTGCATGTCTTCCTTGAACGCGCCTCCGTGCCCTCGCACCTCTCGACTGTCATGCTCAAGCCTCCCTCGAGGCACATACTTAACCTCATCTGGAGGTTGCAACGGTGTATGCAGTGATGGTCTATCCGGGGAAAATGAGCGCAACAAGACGTCTCGCAAATGTGTTCCGTGGAGAATAAACTGGTTGTCTGGAGAGGATATCAAATGAGTTGGGTCTGCTAGCGCTTGCGGGTCTTGATTGAAACGAGAAATGGCTTCTCGCATACGAATGTACACGATGTTGGACCGCCCAACGTCCAAGCGCCAGCAGCCATCTTCAACCTCGAATTTCTCTTCAAATGCTACGCGCAACTGTGACGCAGTCTTGTTAAGGACGCTTCCTCGGCGTGGTGGCTCTTGAAGGGGATCGAATCTCGAAACGAGAACTTGTGTACCATTCCTGAACATAGTAAGCGCGCTTTTTCGACAAGATTCCAATCGACACAAGAACTCACTCAAACCTATGATCTGGCAAGTCGATACCAGGACCAAGAGAAAATGAAGCTACAAAACGTCCGAACTTTGGTGCGCCCATCCAAAAAGCAGAAAGACCCGTCATCGTATACCCTTCTTCTTGTAATCGAAACAACGACCAAGTGGATAGTCGCTCCCTCAAAACTGCTTCATCCTCTCTTTGTTCCGACTCCAATAGGGATAAAAAACTGTGAATAACTGATTTAATACAAAGGCAAAATTTAGAAAAGCAACGAACTGTTTATTGTATGCCTGAATCTCTTCGAAAAATGGCTCTCCCTGTTGTACTTGGATGTGGGGAGGATTTGCACGTTTGATGTATCTCCTGTGCCGTTGGCCATCATATATTTGAGTGAGGTTGGTGCGCGAAGTGGCTCTTAGCCGCCAATCAGAGCGCTGAGAAGGTGGAAGAGGAGCGTGATTTCCAGAGTAATAATCTTCTATTGGGATATCCAACTCCTTCGGTTTCTGAAGCAATATCTGCGCTGAACCCCGCGAAGGACACGAAACCGAAAATTGCGCCCGATGGACGCCTGGAAGTTCGTGATTGTGTTTCTGAACATGTCTTTCAAGGCCATTGAAATAGTTCCGGATACCGAGGAAACTCAGGTTCCTCGCGGAGCGAGAAACTCTGTGGCCGTTCAAGGATGTCTTGGTTGATGTCGGGATACGTGCATTACTCCGAACAACGTCTCCGCACAAAGCTTCTGATAGCGACTTTTTCGGACGCAAGAGGGTAGCCAGCGCGTATGGTTGAATACAGACGCTCGGAAGAGTGTCCTCGATTTGAATGTTGTTACAAAGTGGATTCTGGAAGGAAGTTAAAATATTAATGCGGATAGGGACATGACCAACACAGCCACATACTTACTTCGTCAACTAGCAATGATCAATCGCAATCAAACTGAATTAATTCAGATAAGTAAATATATTTTCAAGCAAGTACAAGCGTTGAAGAATTCTCTTGCATTATCAAAGAAAGTGTTAATACTGCGTAGGCTCGCGCGTGCTCTTGAGTAAGTAAACTAAGCTCATGGCACTGCAGACACATGACGGTATGAACCTGATAACTTCAAGCTGGTTACTGGGATGACCCTTAGGTTTGGAGGAGATGTTGCTACATGCGCGGATCAGATTGTGAGTCTAAGTAACCATTGGAACACGCACCTTTGCTATTTTCTCGCCTTCCGATAAGATAGTGAGACAAGATCGTAGATCCTTCAAACACCATTGCCTTGCGAGCCAGGAGAGGAGATTATGATCCCAGAAAGACTGGAATATATGGGAGAGCCTCTCGTCCCACGGATTCGGAGCTCGTGAGAGATGAACGACCCAGTTTTGACATGCGTAATTGAGAGCGTCGGAAGCGGATCGACTTTCTTCCCGTGCTTCATATACGAAACTTGAAAAGACCTTCATTGCATGGATGATCTCTATGTCTGGTGGAAGACTAGCATGTGGTGATGTTGCAGGGGAATGATCCTGATGCCTCAACGCCAGGAATCCCGGAAACATTAGAAAATCCGGCAAGTTCTTGAACTGCTGGATAACTTGAAAAGCCGGATGCAAACCCATGTCTGGGGCAATCATGTACTCTCTGAGTGCCTCCAAAGTGCTCGAAAATTCTTCCATTGTCACCCAGATTGTGGTCAACCGCCATGTTTGACCATATGGCGTCAGCAGCCAGTCTCGTCCTCCCTGGTTCTGCAGCCAGTCTCGTCCACCCTCTGCCTGCAGCCAGTCTTCGCCACCCAAGATCAGCAGCCAGTCTTGGCCACCCTGGATCTGCAGCCAGTCTTCACCGCTCTGAGTCTGCAGCCAGCGTCGCCCGTGCGGGGTCAGCAACCAGGATCCCCTACTGCTAGTCTGCGGCCAGTCTCGCCCACCCAGGGTCTGCAGGCATTTTCGCGCAGCATGGGATTGCAGCCAACCTCGCCCGGTCCGGGTCTGCAGCCAGTGGCATCCAGCCTGAGTCTGTCGCCAGTGGCGTCCGGCCTGGGTCTGCAGCCAGTCTTGCTCGTCTGGGGTCTGCAAATTTCTCAAGCCATGGACCTGCAGCCAGGAGTCGTCCCACGTCTGCACAAGGCCTGCGCTACTGGTGTGTGGGAACGAGGATGGCTGGGGGTGTGTGGGCGAGTCTTGCTGAGTAGATGATGACAGAGATAGCTGGAGCGCACCAAGGGTTTGGAATGGGTGTTGCTGATCGTAGTGAAGCCAGTCTTGCCCATCCTCGGATTCCACCCAGTCTTGCCCATCCTTTGACTGCAGCCACACTCGCCCTCCCTCAGTCTGCAGCCAGTCTTGCCCATCCTCGGACTGCAGCCACACTCGCCCTCTCTCAGTCTGCAGCCAACCTGTCCCACCCCGGATCTGCACCCACACTCGCCCCTCCACAGTCTTCAGCCACACCTGCCCTCTGTTAGTCTGCAGCCAGTCTTGCCCGCCCTCGGATTCCAGCCAGTCTTGCCCATCTTCGGACTGCAGCCAGTCTTGCCCATCTTCGGACTGCAGCCACACTCGCCCTGCCATATTCTGCAGCCAGTCTTGCCCATCCTCAGATTGCAGCCAGTCTTGCCCATCCTCGGACTGCAGCCACACTTTCCCTCTCTTAGTCTGCAGCCAGTCTTGCCCACCCTCGGTCTTCAGCCACAGTCGCCGCCCTCCAGCACTCTGCATCAGCCAGTCTTGCCCATCCTCGGACGTCAGCCAGTTTTGCCCATCCTTGGAGTCCAGCCAGTCTCGCCCATCCTCGGATTGCAGCCAGTCTTGCCCATCCTCGGACTTCAGCCAGTCCTGCCCATCCTCGGAATTCACCCAGTCTTTCCCATTCTCGGTCTGCAACCACACTCGCCCTCTCTCAGTCTGCAGCCAGCCTTTCCCACCCCAGATCTGCAACCACACTCCCCCCACAGTCTTCACAGTCCTCAGCCAGGCTCTCCCGCTCATAGTCCGCAACCAGCTTTGACCTCCCTCGGTCTGTAGCCACACATTCCCGCCCCGGCTCCGCAGCCATCCCCTAGCCCACATCAGCAACCACTGTGTCCCCCCATCGGTCAGCAGCCAGTCTCGCCCGCCCTCAGACCCAAACCGCCACCCGCTCCCAATCTGCAACCAGCTTCGACCTCCCTCTGTCTGTAGCCACACTCGCCCGCCCTCTGTCTGCAGCCAGCTTCGACCTCCCTCGGTATGTAGCCACACTTGCCTGTCCTCAGTCTGCAACCAGCTTTGACCTCCATCGGTCTGTAGCCACACTCGCACGCCCTCAGTCTGCAACCAGCCTTGACCTCCTTCGGTCTGTAGCCACACTCGCACGCCCCGACTCTGCAGCCAGGCCTTTCCCCACTGCGTCAGCAACCACTGTGTCCCACCGTCGGTCAGCAGCCAGTCTTGCCCCCCCCTGGGTCAGCAGCCAATCTTCCCCTCCTGCAGTCTGCAACCAGGCATGTCCGTCCAGGGTTTCAAGCCAGAATCGTAACTCTGAACTGCGATGTCCCCGAAGCCATAGTAGACTTATAAGAACCTGCAGAGGTTCCGGTGGCTGCACCATGAAGGATAACGAATCATTTAAATTCTGAGGGTCGTGGGATTCCATAGCTTGATTGTGCCTATTCAATTCTGAGAGCGCGTCGAGGAAGGCTGTGCTTCCTGGAATCTCGCGTACCATCAAGCGGAGAGAGGAAAGTGCGAGTAGGGAGTGTGGTGATGTGATATATTTCACTTCAGGGAGGCTGCAGTTAGAGGGGTGGAAAACATAGTCACGAACGGATGAGTGATAGATATTCACAGGGAGACTGTTGTCGGTGGGTACATCTATGACAGACCGTAGTTGCACCAGCACTCTTTCGACGTCCCTGCCTTCACCAGGACCAAGAAGTTTCGAGATTTGTGACATAGGCAGAGGATCTGAAAGGGCAGCAACGACGGACAAGTGCAGGTATGCCTGCGTCGGGTCGGCGCATGTGGAGAGAATACGGTCGTATAACCTGTACACCTCCGTTCCTGGAAGTAGGTCACTCGCTAGTTCGAGCATGAGCTCAAGTCGGTCGTAGGGATCGCTGTGTCGATCATCGATAAACTTCATCATTGTAGATGCCACGATGCAAACGTCTCCCCGCTCGGTTCGCTAGCCGCTCAAGTTGAACCTTCGTTGGCTGCGGGAAAGTGGGAATGCGACTTTGCAGTTTCATGAAGGAATGCTCCAAGAAAAGATAAATGTCTTTGTCGACATCCGCGCCATCTAGCGAGATGATGGCAGCAATGCCCTGTCCGGAAATCTTCACTGGTATCTCACACACGAGCGGGTGCACATCTTCGTGCTGCATGGCTTCATGAATATGCGGTTCCGAGCGGCTTGTGACTAGAATGTGGGTCGCGGGCAGATCAGGATCTCGAAGAGCTTGGGCGAGCAAGGAGATGAGTTCAGCAAGCTCAATTTCAGATTTGTTTTCATCGAATGGTTCAATTGTGGGTTGATCGAGGGATTCCGGTGCAGCTTGGTTGAGGGATTCTGTGCATTCATCAAGGGCATCAATAACGAACGCCAAAGGCGGACAGTCACGCAGTCTGGATTTGAGCTGCCGCAGAGGTCGGGAAAGTAACACCTCCATCTGTTTGCGAAGAGACCCATCGGGGTGTAGAAGGGCAGGGTTCTCGAGGATGGTTTTATTCACGTACGTCCTGATGCTGGGGAAATTACTGGCCAGCTGGTATGCAAGTGTCGCAAAGAGACGACCAGTTGTGCGGCGGTTCGTGTGCTTGCGAGAGAAAAAGAAAGTTCCTGCGAGTCGCTTCTCGACATTCGTCTCCTCTGTCACTTTCAAACTTCTCATCCTTTCGGCTACAGTAAACGCAACAGCAGACTTTCCGACGCCCGCTGTGCCATGGAGCCAAATGAGTCGATTATTCGATTTGTCATCTAATACTCCGTAGATGTAGTCGAGGAGATCCACTCGGGTCCCTTTCAAACATTGGGGATGGGGCAAACGTTCCCGAGAGTCGTGTTCAGCACCCTCGATAGCGACCTGGGCCAGCTTCTCCAAAGTTCCTTCGGACATATCCAAAATCTGGTAATAAGGTCAGAGAAGGAGATAAGGAAAAAGAGATGGGTATGCTCACAATGACTCCTCAACAAAGGGACGATGATAGTCGTTACACAGATTGTGAGATAAAGTCTCACTAGTCAGGTAAAGACAGCTATAGGTTAGAAACCACAGGAGCGGAAATCACTTTGAGCCTTACCAGGACGCCGATCCAAGGATAGAAGGCGAAGCTGTAACTTGGATCTTTTAAGGCGATGTCGTGAAACAATGTTTTGCGTAGTAAATCTGTCCAACGGTGGTGATCATGAGGCAGTGGGTAACGAAACGATGAAACTCTGACACTCACTGCTGTAGAGTGATACAAAATAAAAGGTGCAAGAATTACCTGCCGGAGATCGAACGGATGTGGTGGAATGTAGCTGGAGGACGTAGTCAAACTGGTTACACCCAGTCTTGTGTCTTGTACTTGGGCTGTACCGTGGAAAATACACACAACCCTCTACACAGCATCCTCAAGATTCAGCTAAATAAAACTTCAGTTTCCCAAGACCTGTGGCTTCTACGTATGCAAGTGTTTATTCCATTCCCAACCTTATAAATCGGACTATTGACTTCCTGCAGTGGATGCTGTACGCTACTTGTCAGTGCCATGGCAAGTTATCATATCGTAGAAGGAGAATGAATACGTGTGTCACCTGTGTTATCCGCATGCATTCAAAGCACAGTGATATGCAAAAGTTGACCTTCTTTTTGGAACATGACAGTTTGGATGGCGTTGACAGGTGGTTTCAAGGGCTCAAGAGATAGGATGCAATTGATTATTGGACGATACGCCAGACATAACGTCATACTACGCATGCTGTTCCATGTCACGTACAGAACACACTTCAAGCCGTGGGTTTGGCAGGGGCTGTTTTTGACGCACGAGCTTGTGGGAGGAGCGGCGAAGGGTGGAAGAGTAGAAGATGGACGGACAGTTAGACTGCCCCGTGAGCAATAGGTATGGCAATTACCGACTACCTACCCAGTTTCTTTCCCAGGTCTTACTACTGACATCAATCGTTCACATCCAGCGCCGAGCTCATAAGAAGGACCAGCAGATTTATCGTAAAATAGTATGTCCCCTTGTCTCGTAGGCGTATCAATCAGTATGACGTTTTTACTTCCTGCAACGACGCGCAGTGGCGGTGTCCTCAGACGAGGAAAAGATGTCGTCGAACGCAAGCCCCCACGGACACTGCACGACTCGACGTTCACAACCATACGTTGATATCATCTCAGCGGTCTGCCTCCGCATCCGTGGGTTGCATTGATCTGAGGAACAGCTTGAATAAAAGGGAGGTGGCTTACTTTTAGCCTGATAATGGATAGTGTGAAGAAAGCGCATTCGGCGGTTCTACACGCGTCTATCTGAACCAACATAGCCAGAGGCGCTTACCCCACGTGCAGACAATGTGTATGGTGTGTAACCATTGCATCATCTGGCCCGGTTCCAGAAGACGAATGTTCTAGACTGTCAAATTTGATTCCGAACGTCCATCAGCATGTTCCGATATCTCGTATGCAGTGCACACTGCAGGAGACTCGTGCGGGTTTTTTAGGGTTTCACAAAGGCAATACATTGCTGTATCAATGGCGCAAGAGAAGAAGGATAACGTACGTGATGATATGCTGAATATAAATCCGCAGGTCCCCATGTCTGTTCGTTCATAGCAGGGTTCACAACCCTTCAAAAGAGGAGAACTTCCTGTATTTCTTCCACAGCATTTAGGGAGCCTCCCAGTCACCACCACTATCAGAGGTCGTCAATCGTGAGTTTATCACTATGCATATGGCATTTGCGGCTTTCTAATATTCCTAGACGACTTTGAAGTCACTGAGCGACATTCTTACCATGAGCGCCTCTGCTGCTGCAACAGGCAGCCGTGACCTCAAAGATCTTGTTGAAGAAGAATTCAATGAATATATCACCAATGAGATGCCCATTCGTCTACTTCATATCACCGAAGAGGATGAAAAGATAAAGTTTCAACTCGTGGACAGAGATTTCGTCAGGAAGCACTTCAAAGAGAAAATGGTCCCCAACAACATTCTCGCCGATTTTGCTGAAAAGAGGATCGTGGACGGGGAGGAAAAGGGGGAGCGTATCAGAGAGCGCGTGAAGAAGGAACTCAAATATGCTGTCCTCTCGCATAGATGGTTGCCGGACAATCAAGAGCCTCTATATCACCAGATGTCGAAGGACCCGAAGGAAGTCGCTGATGGGCCAGGATGGAAGAAGCTTCAACGCTTTTGCCGCACAGCGAAGGTTGTCCACAACTGCGAATTCGCTTGGTCCGACACGTGCTGCATAGACAAGCAAGCAGCTCAGAATTGGATGAATCCATCCGCTCCATGTTTCGCTGGTACAGAAATTCCCATGTATGCATCGCTTTCCTTTCGGAAACGGCAGACCTCGCAGCTCTCCAACTGCAAGAGAAGGGCAAAAGTGGTGAAAAGGCAGTCGATGCGTGGTTCGAGAGAGGATGGACGCTTCAAGAGCTCATTGCTCCGTTACAAATCAAATTCTATGGAAAAAACTGGACGCCCCTCATCCAAGGCTCTACGAACGACAGAAACAACAGAAACAGCAAGGTCATCATGAAAAAGATATCAACGCTGACGGACATACATATGGATGACCTTGAATCATTCACTCCTGGCATCGACAGAGTGCCAGAAAAAATGTTGTGGGCATCCAGGAGGCGAACGACTCGCATCGAAGATGTCGCGTACTCCCTTATCGGAATATTCGATATCAGCCTCATGATCGCATACGGCGAAGGCAACAGAGCTTTCTTCCGTCTCATGGAGGAGGTAATAAAGAGATACGATAAATGGGACGTGTTTTTATGGAGCGGTCGTTGTTCCCGCTATAACGCGGCCCTCCCGGATGCGCCGCACTCCTATGCTGCGGGATGTATCAAAACACTCCGCCACTCAGTTGAGCGGGCCGCAGGCTACGAGTTTGGAGATAGGCGCTTTGCCTTGACCAATCACGGACTCGAAATTTGGGTGCTCCTACTGGAGGTCGAGTTAGCGGGCATCAGTGAAGAGTCGCCTGACTCGAGATGTCTTTCGTTCAAGCATGATCACTTTAAGGTGAAGGTGAGGCACATTGGCCCAAAGCCTCACGATAGGAGGTGGGCAATAGGTGTCCTGGACTATTCCATAGATGGTGAGGGAGGGTACATCGACAGGTCGCCGACCCGGGAGAGCCAATTTAACGTGGAAAGCCCACATACCACGTTCTTGCTGTCGTGCTCGAATGAACATGCATCTACTCGTATACCAGCAACTACAAAGTGGAAGAAGGAGATGACAAAGGAAGTTGTTAGAATTCATTCTCTGCGGGACCACGTAGGAGAAGGTCCGACTCTGTTGTACCTTTAGTATGACTTTCGCTATCCGGCCTTTATCCCTAGATTTTCTACTCTTTTTTTCAATTTGTGTGTATCATACATGACGGGTACTACTACATGCTCTCGATGTGTTAATGATTAGTTATACGACGACACTGTCAATTGAACTCACGAAGGTATAATTTCTCAGTATCTGGTCTTCGAAGTACGCATGCTTCTCCTCGCTCGCCATAATCCCGGGCATTGTTCCCCGCAAAGGGTTACACAAGCTCAGTCAGGCATGCAGGCTCTCTGTGCGTGACCTCGGTTAGTAACGGAGTGAAAGGTTCGCGGTAGGAAAGTTCGAACCCAGGACAGATGGCCGAGCGGTCCAAGGCGCCAGACTAAGGAGAGAACCAGCTCATTTGATGAGCGTATCATCTGGTCTCTTCGGGGGCGTGAGTTCGAATCTCACTCTGTTCAATGTCATCAATAGTTTTGTTCTGCTGGAGGCGTCGCCGTCACTTCGCATTCAAGCCTTGAGAAAAGAAGTTCTGATGTCGGTCGCATCCGGTCTTCCTCGAATACTTCAAGCCCCGCCGTCATGGCTCCTCTTCGGCTTCATTCACTGGCAGTTCCTTCTCTCACTTATCGCATTCGTTCCACAAGAATAACAATTTTAAAGGTTTCCCAATGATTCAACCTGTTCGGTGCCGAGTGAATGACTCCACATCTGTTACTTCGATGGGAAGGCCCGCGTGTTTCGAGAGCGCCCATGCTTTGCGCACCTTAAGCTAAGGGAACGTGTCTTGATCGTTCCGTGCAGAATAACAACTCCACGATATTCACGGCATATCTCCCGAAGCTCATTTAACGCATTAATACTTTTAGCTTGCAAACACGCGTGGTTTCTCTACAAGCAAGTGTTGGCCCTCCGAGGCTCTGCCTAAACAGTCAGCCCAGTCCCGGTTACCAACCACTCGCCTCCACTAGCAGTGTACGCCGCACGGTTTCTGCTCTTTGTCATCAACGATTCTGCCAAAGTCGGACATGCGTGCCGTAGAGCGGATCATCCAATCCTTTCAAAAGGGCAAGGTGTGGCAGGAAGCACAAATCACGAAAAGGAACTTCAGTAGAAGGCTAAATCAAATGGTTCGGTCTTCTTTTCCTAACAGAACATAACGGTTTCAGCTGACCTAATGGGTGATTTTAGCTAGGAAAGCGACCTACAGCACCTTAAGAACTTGAATGGCTGAAGAGTTAGGAACGAGCGTAGTGGACGCAATGATTCCCTCGCCATGTTTTCAATTCCTGTCCAGGATACACTTCACGTCGAGGGATGATATTGATGGGTGGGTACGAGATGAAAGAACGAGAGAGAAAACAACTGAGGAGAACTGGAGTGAGAAGCGCGGGAACACAGTTTGGTGAGATGGCACCGTGAGCAAGGAAGGAATCCCCGCCCACCTAGATTATTTACTGAGTTTTTCTTTTCATACTAGCATAAACAGTGGACGTTCAGAGCCGATGGGTGGATGCGAGGACTGAAGTCTGTCATAAGCATGTACTTACGTGGGTACTTTTTTCCTAGGCTGACACTTCCTGCCACCAAACGCTTACAGCCGATTACAGATCATTGAGAGAAACCCCTCGTCGGCCAGTCATGACGCGGCACATGCATGTGTCCACAACACCCCAGCGATCTGCCCTTCAGCCTGTAGTACGGAAGAGGGAGACATCAAAAGTTGTGTTGATTCAAGCTCTTCGAGGAACGACGGCTTAAAAGTACCAGAACACGACGGTCAAGGGACATCTCGAGTCTCGATGCAGAGCGAAGTGTACTTTTCATCAGCACTGGCACGCGTCGACGTAAAGTCCTTCAGGACAAGATCTAACCAGGGGTGCTCAGAACTCGAGCCTGTTCCTATGTCTAGGTTATAATTCATGGAACTGCATAATGTATTCATTACCGGCCATCCGTCGTAGTGAGCAGTTTTACATTCTCAGCTCGATGAGGAGGCCTCCGAGGGCTGGACTCCGTAATAAACGAGGCAAAAATTTAAACTCGTCAAGGCTGGTTTTAACATAGAGGGGTCAACGTGGCACGGTGGCACCCAGGTCGCACATTAAATTATGAATCTAGGTCGTATTCTGCTACTAAAACAATGCCCTTATTTTGTCCGATCAAAGGGAAGCGTGGGTTCTGCTGGGACGAGAGAAAATGTATAATCGAGTCGGATGGGTGGTATATATGTAAACACTCGACCAAATTATGAATCTAGATCATATTCTGCTACTGAAACAAACACCTTTATTTTGCCCGATCAAACGGAAGCGTAGGCTCTTTTGGAACGAGAGAAAATGTATAATCGATTTGGATTGGCGGTATATATAAACACTGAAGACGCGTGAAAAAATCAACGTGCATCGACAAAATAGCGAGGAATGCCGCGTAACATCGAGTGCTTCAGACTCGTGATAGAGATAACATTGGAGCTTGAAGATGTTCCTGTACGCGCAGTTCAGCCCGTCAGGCTAGAAAATTTTCATTGGGAACACATACCTGTGCAAATTTCTCCTCTTCACATAAAATAGTGAAGCAAGAGTGCAGATCCTTCAAACACCACTGCCTTTCGAGCCAGGAGAGGAGATTGCGAGTCCAGAAAGACTCAAGTATATAGGTAAGCCTCTCGTCCCGCGGATTCGGAGTTCGAGAGAGATGGAGGGCCCAGTTTTGACATGCATACTTCAGAGCATCGGAAGTTGATCGACTTCGCTTCCATGCTTGGCTTGCAAAATCGATAAAGGCCGTCATTGCATGGATGGTCCCCACGTTTGGTGGAGGACGATTGCACGTTGATGTAAAGGCCGAATGATCCTGGTTCCTTAACGTCAAGAAGGCTGGAAACATCAAGAAATCCGGCAAGCTCTTGAACTGCTGAATTACTTGAAAAGCGGGCCGTAAAGGCGAATCCGAGACAACGATGAACTCTCTGGTTGTTTCCAACGTGCTCGAGAATTCTTCCATTGTCACCCAAAGAATCGTCAACCGCCATGTTTGACCCTGGGGCGTCCGCAACCAGTCTTTCCCTCCCTGGGTCTGCAGCCAATCTTTCCCTCCGTGTCTCTGCAGCCACTCTCGCCCACCTGTAGTCCTCAACCAGTCTCGTCCGCCCGGGGTTTCCAACCAGTCTTTGCCTCCCTGGGTCTGCAGCCACTGTCGTCCGCCTGGGTTTTCCAGCCAGTCTTTGCCTCCCTGTGTCTGCAGCCACTCTCGTACTCCCGGGGGTTTCAGCCAATCTTTACCTCCCTGTATCTGCAACCAGTCTTTGCCTCCCTGGGTTCGCAACCACTCTCGCCCGCCCGGAGTCTGCATCCAGTCTTTGCATCCCTGGGTCTGCAGCCACTTTCGCCCGTTCGGAGTCTGCAGCCATTCTTTGCCACCCTGGGTCTGCAGCCACTCTCGCCCCTCCGGAGTCTGCAGCCAGTCTTTGTCTCCCTGGGTCTGCAGCCAGTCTTTCCCACCCTGTGTCAGCAGCCAGTCTTGCCCACTATGGCTCAGCAGCCAGTATCTCCCGTCTTGGGTCTCCAGCCACTGTAACCACTGTGGCCCGCCTGTGGCTCGCAGCCAGGCTTGTGTACCCAACGTCTGCAGTGGCCCTCACTCACCTATGGTCTCCAGCCAGTCAGACCCAGTGGGGGAAGGTAGTGGAGGTCGTGGGGGTGTTCAGGGTGACGGGGGCGATGGGAATAGGTCTAAGGCGTCGTCCGAGGTCTGTAGTGGCCAGGATATGTTCGACGGGTGAAGATGCGAGCTATGCTCAGGCTTGTCCAGGATCGGTACCTGGTGTGCCGTGTTAAGATCTTGGAGCTGGTGTTTCCCTCCCTTGGCCAGCTGAGAGAACCTTATTCGCAACTTATTCAATTCTAGCCGGTCCTGCCTGTCCTGCCTGTCCTACCTGTCCTACCTGTCCTGCCTGTCCTACCTGTCCTGCCTGTCCTACCTGTCCTGCCTGTCCTGCCTGTCCTGCTCGTCCTGCCTGTCCTGCCTGTCCTGCCTGTCCTGCCTGTCCTGCTCGTCCTGCCTGTCCTGCTCGTCCTGCCTGTCCTGCTCGTCCTGCCTGTCCTGCTCGTCCTGCCTGTCCTGCTCGTCCTGCCTGTCCTGCCTGTCCTGCTCGTCCTTCCTGTCCTGCCTGTCCTGCTCGTCCTGCCTGTCCTGCTCGTCCTGCCTGTCCTGCTCGTCCTGCCTGTCCTGCTCGTCCTGCCTGTCCTGCTCGTCCTGCCAGACCTGCCCGTCCTGTGTTTGTAGCCAAGCACACCCATCCTGGGTATCCAGCCAGAATTTTAATTCTGAATTACGATGCCCCCGAAGCCATAGCAGACTTATAAGCACTTGCAGTGGCTCAAGTGGCTGGACAATGAAGTCCAATGCATATTTTAAATTCTGAGGTTCGTGAGATTCCACAGCTTGGCTATGCTTCATCAATTCTGAGAGCGCATCTGGAAGGGGCGTGTTTTCTAGAAGCTCGTGCGCCATCAAGCGGAAACAGGAAAGAGCGAGTAGGGAGTGTGGTGATGTGATGTGGTGTACTTGACGGAGGGAGCAGTTTGAGTGATGAGAAACATAGTCACGGACGGAGGAGTGGTAGATATTCACGGGAATATTGCTGTTGGTAGGAATATCTATGACAGATCGTAGCTGCACCAGTACACTTTTGACGTCCCTGCCCTCACAAGGGCCAAGAAGTTTCGATATTTGTGCTATCGGCAAAGGGTCTGCAAGGGTAGCAATAACAGACAAGTGCAGATGTGCGAGTACTGGGTCAGCGCATGTGGAAAGGATACTGTTGTACAACTTGTACACCTCCGTTCCTGGAAGCAGTTTGCTCGTTAGCTTGAGCATGAGCTGAAGTCGATCGTGAGGATCATTCTGCTGATCATCAATAAACTTCATCATCGTAGAAGCCACGATAAAACGCCTGCCCGCTCGGCCCGCTAACCGTGCAAGTTGATCCTCTGAGGGTTGTGGAAAATCGGGATGGCGAGTTCCTAGCTTTGCGAACGAATGTTGCAAGAAGACACATATGTCGCTGTCAACATCTATGCCATCCAATGAGATGGTGGCAGCAACACCCTCCCCAGAAGTCTTCACTGGTATCTCGCACAACAGCGGGCGCATTTCTGCAGTGCGCATGGCTATACAGATATGCTCCTCCGAACGACTCGTAAGAAGAATGTGGGTGACGGGCAGATCAGGATCACGGAGCGCTTCGCCAAGCAAGGAGATGAGATCAGCGAGCTCGCTTTTATATGCTTCTTCATCGAGGAATTCGGAGATGCATTCATCAAGGGCGTCAATAACAAATGTCAAAGGCGGGCATTCGCGCAATCTGAGTTGAAGCCTCTGGAGGGGTCGGAGAAATAATACCTCCATCTGGTCGCGAAGGGACATGTCGTGATCTAGCAATGCAGGATTGTCGAGGATAGTTCTTTTCACGTCCTCCCTGATGCTGGGGAAATTGGTTGCAAGCTGGTAGACAAGAGTCGCGAAGAAATAACCAGTTGTGCGGCGTTTTGTGTGCTTGCGCGAAAAAAAGAATGTTCCTGCGAGCCGCTTTTCCTTGCTTCCTTCTTTCACTTTCAGACCTCTCATTCTCTCAGCTACGGTGAACGCAACAGCAGACTTTCCAACGCCCGCCGTGCCATGCAGCCAGATGAGTTGACTCTTTCCTGGGCTGTCCAATGATTTGTAGATGTAATTGAGAAGGACCACCCTGGTCCCTTCCAAACATTTCGGATGGGGCTGACGCTCACGAGAGTCATATTGAGCACCCTTGACAGCGACCTGAGAAAGCTTTTCCCAAGATCCTTCAGACATATACAAAAGCTATCAACGAGATCAGATAGCGAGAAAGGTTATAAGAGATGGAAACACTGACACTGATTCGTTCAGAAAGGGTTGGCGTGTGTCCAGTGACGACTCGGATGATCAGCTAGAACAGTCAAACTGAGATGCGATAGAGAATGCAAGGCGTAAAAGCTGCTTCAACTTGTGCTTGAGATCGAATGGATGGGTGGAACGCTCGCTAATTGATGATGGTGGAATGAGTTCAAGCAATAGGCGCTCGCCAAGCTTGTTGCAGGGGGCGTGCCAGCCACGAGGCTCTGAACCAACGGTTGGCACGCAAAATTCATGCATATTTAATTGTGCTACACATCCGCTTAGGAAATGGCTGCTGATGTACCCAGATAGTAATGCAGTTGCCCGACGAAGACTGCTTTATATCTGAACGACGAAACAAGACATCGACAAACTGCAAGAGACAAACATGAGAAGAGGAATAAGGCAAACATGACTGTGGAAAAAACAGTGTGTTTTCTTGAACTTTTGCATTGTGCAGGCAATGGGTTTGTGTCTCTATTGCATGTACTCAGGGGATCGGGTGAGCGCTATGTGCGGGACAGATCTTTGGGAAAGACGAGATCAATGACGACCTCCGGTATACTCAGGAGAAGTAGAAGAAATGAAGAGCCAGAAATGAGACCATCGTCCAGGCTGTCGTATCGTTGCATCGAGGCGCGATGGTGTCGACATTTAGAGCTGCAGAAGTACAGTGGTGGCGGGAGGTGTGATAGATGTGGCAGCATTGGGCTTGAGCCGCGTCACTAGATTGTGTGCAACAGTCGTCTTAGGAGGCCGAGAACTGCCTACAGTAGCATTTTTCAATGGATCTCGGCTCCGCAAGTTTTCTCTTGCTGAAGCGTGCCTCTATATGAAATCGGGTGGAGTTCGAATATCCAAGGAGGAAGGCAGGAACATACATGTTTGCCCTTTGCATACAGGACATCAGTGGCGCCAACTATGGTTGAACGATGCTTGCGCAACTAGTAGATCTCTGCATCACTTGGTCTGCGCTGTAATCCAGAAAGGGTTCGAGCGCAGTAGAAGTGGCGAGGTCGGGATGGTGTGTTGTGGACTCGTGGGTATCAGAGTCGGTGTGATGGAATAACAAGAAGAGTGCTTTTGTGCGATGCTAATGATAGACCGGCACGGTCACCAACACAAAGTTGAAAAACAAAAATGAAGTGATACTGATAGCAACAACGTACTCGAGAACCATCTGGTGGGACTCTATCGAAAAAGCCTTGAGGTACCCGATAAGCAGGCGGACGTCGTTGGACCGGACGTTGCGTAACATCAGACTAGAGTATATATGTTGAGCACAACGAGTGATACAGTGGGAAATGCCTGCTAACTCACCTTTGAATCCAAAAGAAGGTCATTGAGGCCGGATTCTTTAACAACCTCAGCAATATCCCATGTGTACATGTTTTTGTCATAACAGCCAGTGGCTAGTAGCTTTCTGAATCCATCCGCGGAAAATGACGCACAGCGCACTCGCTCTGCATGCTGGAGGGGCGAATTGATGGGTTGCCCATGCTCGAGTTTCCACAATCGCGTGTATTGTCTTGTGATGCACTTGTGAGTTTGCGGCCATTTGCAATAGCCAAGTGTGCTCAACAAGTACCGGTTTGCTCCCACTTCCATGTCCTAATATTGAGCAATCATAATATGACCCAGAGATAAGCGTTTTTCCGTCCGTTGCGACAAACTTGCCTGTCTTTGCGTCCCAGATTTTGACCCAGCACTCGGTGGGCTCCCCAGCCAAAGGCCCATCCCATCCACCAGTCGCAATCATAGCTGTGTCCGGTGAATAGGCAACTGCGTACACCAAGAAGTGCCCAGTCACAATTGGCTCTAGGATTGTCACTCCGCTTTCCACGTCCCATTGCCTTACAGTCCCATCTCAGGATCCACTTAACACTCTCCAACCATCTCGACTCCAGCAGACAGGCCACACGATGTTTGTGTGCCACATCCATTTAGCAATTACCTTGCCTGTGTCGATGTCCCACAACCTCACTGCACCATCCTTACTCCCGCTAACCATCGTCTTCCCGTCCGGAGACAACGCTATACTCGCCAGTGCTACTGCACCTTCTCCGTCCCGCCAGTCTCCTCAAATTCTGTGCCGCTCTCCAAGTTCCACACTCGCTGCGAGCCATCCCATGAAGAAGTGATGATCCACTGTCCGCCTGGCAGGCGTATGATGCCCCAGATAGTATCAATGTGTCCTTCTGGCGAGGCATTATTACTGATATCTCTTTCATTTTAGTCGTGGATGAATACATGCTCCAGAATTCCTCCTACCGAGCGCAGCGCTATCTCAGTTTTCATCCATCACATTCCAAAACCATAACTTACGAAGACAACAACGACAGGCGAACTTGGATAGCAGGGAACAATGGACGTTTCTGCCAGGAGTTGAATTCTTTGCTTCCTGGTACGTTATAGATGCTTTATCTTTGTGTTTTCTTCACAGCTCATACACGACATAGGCTGTGCGGTTGAAGGATTATATGATCACATTCCGTCAAGTTTCAGTCCATGATTAACTATCTTAACCACTAGGGAAGACGAGAGGCCCATCGCTGTGAACTGTTCTCGTGCGTCCTCAATATCTACTGCTGTTGAATGGGAGGATGACTCGGAGTTTTATTGCCTATATGCTAGCTCCCGTTATCTAACCAGTTGTTTATGAAACAGCGAGAAATGGCAGGTCACTTTAAACTGGTCTTCTGGTAGATCCCAAGACAGGCTAACGTCGATGATGATGGACTCGCGGATAGGTAGCCGTCGTATGGCCCAGGATCACACCTATGTACTTTTGAAATTTGATCCAGGAAAATGGATTACCCTGTGTTATGCGCGCACAGATCATTGTCAACTGATGCCATGTTTCCGGAGTCCATGGTGATAATCGGGTGTGGGTATTCTGTAAGGCTGGTAATGAGTTCGACGGGGATTGGTGATCACGAGTGATGAGTGAGTGGGAGCTAATTCACTAAAGATACGGAAAGTAAGGATACTTTTATATCCGAGCAAGTGGCTCATCAAAGTCGAGGCCAGCTTCTCTAACAATCATAGCAACATCTCATGAGTATGCATTTTTATTGCGGCAGCCAGTGGCTAGTAGCCTTCCATCCGCGGAAAATGATACATAGTCAACTGATTCTGGATGCCAGAGGGGGAAAATGATGGGCTGGCCATTCTCAAGGTTCCACAATCGTGCTGTGTTGTTGAATGATGTGCTTGCGAGGATGTGGCTATTTGGTGATATTGCGATGGCAAAGACAGCATCAGTGACTCGGTGTGCTCAACAAGTACCGCGATTTGCTCCCACTTGGTGTCCTAACGGAGGATTGAATAATGAATTACTGCACTGGCTTCAAATTTCACGACACCGTGTCAGGCCCATATGATTCGGAACCTCGCTCTTTGTGCTGCACACAACGATGACGATGTTGTCAAGAGGTATAGCAGATCAATAGATTCCCTTTTTTCAAATTACCGTCGGTGTATATATCATGGACTCAGTGGCCATGAAAGCCTACAGAAACTCATGCGAACCACAATTGGACCCTTTCTGAGCTGCAACACCCATTGAAGGCCCACCTCCGTTTTAGCCGTGAAAAAGGAAGGTGCGAATCCTTCAGGCCAAAAAAAATAACAAGAGAAGCAAGTTTGATTGTAGACAGCTTGATCTCAGGGCCAAAACTTGAGTAGAACACAATATAGTATTGTACCTGTTAGGCTTGACCATCAGGAACCTACAGTCTACTGTAGAGCAATGTATCACAAATGAATTGTAGTAATGATATACATCAATCTTTCAGGTACAGGTGAGCCCAAGAATATGTAAGGGTGTGTTAAATCTTGGATCAATGAACAAATCAAGATTGGCAAAGAAATTGATGGATGACATAAAAACTGGAGTGCCGAGGATTGCAACCCCAAACCAACATGGACCTATCAATAGGGTGTTTAGATTTTGTGAGTCTGAAAACTTCAGCTCATATTCCTGAATCCTAAAGATATCGCTTCTTGGACCCGAACCAAGTGGCACCCCGACGAGGACCCCGGAAATCAAACCGCCGACAATGCGCTCAACAGCGCTAAGGCCGCCACACGGCGCCTCGCGCACTTCAAGAACCTCAAGCCGACGACCTCAAAACACCTCACCTACAACCCCATCGACGTTGTCACGGCCGACATGCCGAACAACGACTCAAGTTCCTCGACACTGACTCAAACCAACAGAATAAACCGCAAGACAACTGCAAGTAAACCTCTTTTTTCAACCAGCAAATCAATCGAAGACCATGCGACGGGCCTAGGCGTCAAGACCGACGTCAACAACCTGAACAATGCAAGGAAAACACTCACCATGCACGGTCTCAACCTTCCCACGGCCGGCAGAACACTGTTGGCTATCTCGGCCGCGCTCTTCGAGTTCAGCACATCGGCCAATCTCGGGGCCACACACACAGATATAATCCGAGCCTTCGCATTCATCATTTACGAAGTACAGAAAGATATTGACACGGAACATATCATAGAAAAAGTCAAAGCGCTAATGGGAGGACCAGTTGCTACTTTGGACGAGAAAGTCGATGCACTCGAGGATGTGTTAGTGAAGTACAACAAGGAGATGGAGAAAACAGTAACAGAGGGGCATGACAACATTCAGACCACAGTAGAAGAATTGGCGAAAGCAGCAAAGAGTGCAAGTGCAAATCCCCCCCGACACTCTCAGACGACCAGTGACATACCAGGGTCTAACGGACCAAGATCATATGCAGCAGTAACAAAGTCTAACACCTCCCCGCTACTGACCAAAGCCCTTGCAAAAAGCGAAGCACAGTCTCGACAGATTCTGATAGATAGAAGATCCCCACTCTACGCCAATTCACTCAAGGACTTAACGGAGGCGCAATTAGTTGCGAAGGCTACCGTGGCAATCAAATTGATAACCAAGGACAACGAGGACAATGAGGACATGCCCAAGAGCTTAGTGTTTTTATCAGCACAAAGACTTCCGCACGGTGGAGTACTCTATAAACTGGACTCAGCAGAATCCACCTTGTGGTTCAACAATCCAGCGAACAAGAGCAAGTTCCTTGAGCACTTTGGAGTAGAGGTAGTCATCAAAGATCGAGCTTACCACGTGCTAATCGAGAATGTCCCAATCTCTTTCGTACCGGACAACCATGCGGCAATAGACGATGTTGAAAAGAAGGCCGGCCTAAAACCCAAGTCCATCTGCAAGGCAAGATACATCAAACCCCTCGCCAGGCGCAACCCAGGTCAGTGAACGGCTCATGCTATCTTCACTTTCAGCACAAAGGAGGGGGCCAACCACGCAATCAAGTTCGGGCTAGCAGTCGCAGGTAAGAAAGTATACGGAAGGAAACTGATTCAGGAACCCACCAGATGCCTTAAATGCCAATCGTTTGATGGCGCACATGTAGCGGCCGATTGCCTGCAAGAGCATGACATCTGTGGCACATGCAGTGGTCAACATAGAACAGCGACTTGTACAGTAACTGACCAAAATCAGTATCGCTGCAAGAACTGCAATGTGGAAGGCCATGCAGCATGGAGTCGCGACTGCCCGATGTTCATGGGCAAATGGGACAGCTACAAGAACCGCAACAAGGACTCTAAGTATTGTTTCTTCCTGACAGATGATCCGCTCACGTGGGAAACCTTAATTGACCCACCCTGGTCAGGGGATGAAGGCATTAACGAAGACCATCGTCAGCACCCGCGACCGCAAGTCCAACAACACTTCCCACCTCCAATCGACCAAACAAACAACAGGCAAAACATCAATTACAGAAGGCCACCCCCTCAAGCATGCAACACCCGTTGTGACAATCATACCAGCGCTAGGCGCATATGAGTGCCATAGTCATATTTTGCCTTGCATAGAGGAAAAGAGTAAGGTGCTAGTCATCAGCGCTATTCAACTCCCAAGCTATCCGCTTTGGAACTGCTTTCTCCCATAGCGCGCTGCCCGGCCTGACGCCTAGGTATCCCGTCCTCCCATGTCCTGCCTATGTCCACCTACCTCCGCTGGTGCGTTATTTTTCCTTAAAACATCGCTACTCATCAGTTGCAGGTCTTATTACATGCATCCTCGTGTTCTGCTGCGCTGCATGTCTTATTACCTGTCGCTACATTGTGCCTCCATCAGTGTCGCTACTATTCTCGCCTACGCATTCCTGAACTTTTATGCAGTATGATAAAATGACCTGTCGCACATACAGTACAGTTGTTAAGACCGTAGCTCAAGGGTAGACGGATCCGAAGGGCTTGGCCTCAGCTCGTGCGCTGTGCCCCTTACCCGAGTACGTGCCCTTAATTTCAGAATGAAGTCCAGATGGAATCCGACGAAGTCCGAAGGACTTCCGGAGGCTGGCTACTCTGGTTGAGTGCTGGAGGACTTCCGGATGAGCGCGGGAAACTTTCGGATGAGTATAGGAAACTCTGGAAGAGTTTCACCCGCTGCATTAGATCCGAAGGTAAGCTCCCTAGATGGAAACACATAGAAGATAGGCTGCAAGGGACAGAGTCCAAAGCAGGATAGGGTAGGAGGAGTGGTCCGAAGGACAGGACATCCGGAGGTCCGAAGGTTAAGACGTCCGAAGGTTGCGTCGTCCGAAGGTTACGACGTCCGAAGGTTGCGACGTCCGAAGGTTACGATGTCCGGAGGACCGGAGGACCGGAGGAGCGGACAGGATTCTAGGACAAGAGAAGAAGGGCTACAACGGACAAGGTCCGGAGTAGAAACAGACGGAGGTAGACTACACTATGGTAGAGTCGGATAGACGGGGTTTAGACAGAAGTCTCAGAAAGACAGGAAGTGCCAGAAAGGCAAAGCTTCGGCTTAGGGAGTCAATCCCTAAGCATGGACATAGACGGAAGGATAAATCCGGAGGACCGGAAGGTTGGCCTAGGGAATCCTTCCCTAGGCCTAAGGAAAGGCAATACTAAGATGGACCGAAGTCCGAGATCAGAATGAGTGAAGTCTAGGATGCGAGAGAGCAAGTCTATGTTGAGCAGAATCTAAGATGATATTCGAACTAAGGAAACTTTACAGGAGTTGTACAGAGGTTTATATACTGGACGGGATCCGAGAGGATCAGTAAGCTGAAGACAAATGCTATGTACGAGCATGTGGAAACATATTGGTAAGTATGAACGGAACATAAACAAATGAACTCGGAGATGAACAAAGTACAAGGATCAATAAGCAAGACGGAAACACAGATAACCGAAGTCCGGAGTCAAGAGGATTACCATAAGGAGATAGACGCTGATTTAAGGTTTGAGCTTCAGATATGAGTATAGGTCGGATCCAGAGGTCTAGAGATATCGGATGAGGCGTCTGGATATCGGATGAGCGGATCCGAAGATCTAGGTGAAGACGAGACTAGGATATAGATCATGAATATCATCCGGTAGTCTAGGGAAGGTAAAGTCTCAGGTAGGATGAGCTCGGATCCGATGGGATCAAGGGTGGATGAAGCAGGCTTAGCTGCGGAGGTCCGAAGGTATGGATATATGGATGTACGAAGGTGTACTGGATCCGAACCGATAGTGGACTGGAGGACTGCAGGCATGGATAAGGGTATGGAGTCATGGATAAGGGTATGGAGGTCCGGATGTGCATCCGGAAGGCGTGGGAACATCATCGGACGTAGGTCCAGAATACGGGATATGACAACAGTACTTCTCTTCCCCAGACCTTTGCTGGTGTCGGAGTCACTTTAGTCGCTATATCTTAGTTTTGGTCCAATCGATTCCGCTCTTGCCAATCTCTCTGATCACGTGTCACTTGACTTGCTTTGAGTGCACGTCGCTAAAGTTGCCTCATAAAGTTGATCTTCGCAACGTCGGGATCACTATCGGTAGTCGAGCTATAATCTAGTTGCTATCAGGCATTCCACTTGCACTATCATACCTTATCCCTCGCTTTCCCTTCTTTTGATTTCTTCTCGCTGTCGCTAGTCGGACGTCGCATAGCGCTATCGCATAGGACAACTTGCATAGTGCTACTTACTTATACGCACGTTTCTCTGTCGGAACTCACTTGTCGCTAGTCGCTGATCGCTACAGCGCTACTCATTGGTTTTTGGTCTTAGGTCGCTATAGGTTATTAGCCCTTTGCATCATCGATACCCTTGCATATTTGAAGGGAGTTGCTTCAATAGCAGTCCTCTTGGGTCGAATATTACACTCGCACCTATTTGGATAAGTAGCGCTAGTTTCTAACCAGCCTAGTCGCTATTACTCTTTCACACCGTGATGTGAACCGAATCCCACTTGGCAACCAAACGCGACTCCCGGACACCTGGCGCTCGCAACCACGACCTCCTCAACCCCCACCGCCGCCCCAAGGAGAAGACCACTTGCAGAACGGCGAACATGGCTGGTCGTCCCACCACCTAGGCTCCCCGTATGAACAGTATAATCCAGGAAGTGGGTGGGACCAAGACCACGCAGGTAATCTATGAGTAACGACGACCTCAGAGACCAACCTGTGCGCGACGACCTCAAGATCTGGCAGCAAAATCTCCGCAAATCTCTCAATGCCTGGGAACATATGTTAAGAAACCTCAACCCAAATGTATATGATATAGCCTGCATACAAGAACCATACCTCAACCCTGTAAACCTCACTAACACATCTAACTTAAAACAGTTCTGGGATGTTATCTACCCGACTGACCACCATGCTAGTGCGGGAAGATTGCAAACTCTAATCCTGGTCAACAGAAGACTATCCAAAAACAACTGGCATATCGTCCCGATCAAATCGCCCAATGTTATGGCGATAGAAATCACAGGCCAGTTTGGAAAGGTGCATATATACAATATATACAATCCGTGCGACAGCGATACGACACTTCACTTCCTCGAAAGGCACATGGCCACGGAGAGCACCCAGCGCAACCGCACGCAAAGTATCGCTCAAGGCGACAACAGTGAAACGAATGAATATATTGTATGGTCAGGCGACTTCAATCGCCACCACCCCATGTGGGAAATGTCACATAACACACATCTATTCACTGCGGCGAATCTAGATGCCGCAGGCACACTAATTAACCTTCTATCTTTATATAATTTAGTACAGGTACTTCCACCAGCAGTAGCAATGCTGGAAGCATCTAATACCAAGAACCATACCCGCCCAGACAACGTTTTTTGCTCCGCTCAGCTAGAACAAGCATTCAGTCAATGCAGCGTTGAACATCATCTACGTCTGGTAATCACTGACCATTTCCCTATAATTAGTACACTAGATCTCCAGCCAGAGCGCATCCTCACCACACCCAAGCTAAACTACTGAGAAGTTGAATGGGACAAATTCCGGAACACTCTGACTAGCAAACTTGACGTTATCCCCTGGCCAGTCGAACTAACTGACCGCAAGCAATTCGACACTGCCTTCGCCAACCTGACTCGATGCATCGCCGAGACCGTTGAAGAACAGGTTCCCAAGACCAAACCCTCCCCGTACGCCAAACGGTGGTGGTCCAAAGAGCTAGATGTCCAACGCAAGGAAGTGAACAAGTTAGGAAGAAAAGCAAAACACCTAATAGCTAGAAGGAACGACCCGATACATGAGGAATTCAGAATGGCCCGCAATCGCTTCTCGGAAAGTATCAAGAACACAAAGGAAGAGCATTGGAAGGAATGGCTGGATGGGCTTACCCTCACAGGAACCTGGACCCTACACAAGTACGTAGCGAGTACACCTGCTGACCAAATACACACTAGAATCAAGACACTTCAAGATCCGAGGGTGAACGGCCAGAATGGAACCACGCAAGACAACGCTCACAAGAGCGAGCTACTGTATGATGTGTTTTTTCGACCCCCGCCAGACAACGATCACGTAGATCCCGACTTCAAGTATCCCCCTCCTGTTTGCGAATTTGAGCTGATAACGGACCCACAGATCCATCGAGCCATCAAAAAACTTTCCCCCTTCAAGGCCCCGGGCCTAAACGGTATATGCAACGTTGTGTTCATGTGTTGCGCAGACCAGCTAGTACCCTTCATGGGACCGATATTCAGAGCGACATTCACACTAGAAGTCTACCCAAACGAATGGAAATGTTCATCAATGATAGTTCTCAGAAAGCCATGCAAACCGGATTACAGCGCCCCCAAGGTGTACCGGCCAATCACACTTTTGGACACAATGGCTAAGATCTTGTCATCATGTGTTGCTGATGATCTAACATACATCGCAGAACAGAACAACCTTCTTCCCGCAATGCACTTCGGTGGTCAACCAGGACGCTTGACAACGGATTCACTTCATCTACTCACCAAGTTCATTACCGACTCATGGGCCTCGAAAAACAATCACATCTCACTGTTATTCCTGGATGTCAAAGCAGCTTTTTCGAGTGTAGTGGTAAACAAGCTCATGCACAACCTTAGAAAAGCAGGAATCCCGCAGGAGTACGTTAACTGGTATAGAAGACACCTCGACAACAGGTCAACTTACCTATTTTTCGACGACTATCAGTCCAACCTGTTCGATGTAGTAGATGGCGTAGACCAGGGCTGTCTGCTATCGCCTCTAGGATTTGTTTTCTACAACTCAGATGTACTAAGAGTCGCTGACCCCAACCCCAGACAAGGAGAACTAAGTCTAGGGTTCCTAGACAATGTGGCACTCGCAGCAAGGGGGAAATCATATGAGGAGTCCAACGGCAAGCTCAAACACATGATGGAAAAACGTGGTGGCGCTCTCGAATGGAGCGAAGAGCACAGTGCAGAATTCGAGCTCAACAAAACCGCACTGATCTGTCTTTCCAGTGCACGGATCCCAGATCCAGATAACCCCCGCAAGTCAATCCCAACCCCCCATCAACCTATCACCATCCGCAACCACACCATACACCCGTCGAAATCTCACAAGTTCCTGGGGGTAATCATTGACCAAAACCTTAATTTCAAAGAGCACGCTGCCTACGCCATGGCAAAAGGAATGAAGTATGTGATGATATGCAGACAAATCATCCGTCCTACCAGGGGCATTCATGGTAAACTGGTGAAGAGACTGTTTGAGGGCGTTATCCTCCCAAAAATGCTATATGTGGCTGATATATGGTGTGCGGGCCTAGTGGCAAAGGGCAAAGGAAAGAACAGAGGGGGACGAGGAGCAAGGGGATTCGCATCCCAGATGGCCAGGGTTCAGCGGATGGCCACATTGCTGATAACAGGAGGACTAAGATCAACTGCAACTGATATATTGGACGCTCACGCTAACGTACTTCCCTTTCAGCAGGCACTAAGGAAGACATGCTATCGAGCATCTCTAAGAATGGCAACGCTCCTTCCCCTGCACCCGCTAGCCAAGGAAAGCAAGAAAGCATATGAATACAGCGAAAGGCGAGAGTTCCAGGGGAGAAAACGGCACCCTTCGCCTTTACATAGACTGATGAACGAATTTCAGATTAATCCGTCCAAGATCGAGAAGATCGAACCAGTCAGACATTACCCCAAGTGGGAACCGGACGTCGACACGCGGATTGCAGAGTCAACACAGCAAGCCATAGAAGACGACACACTCGCCATGGAGGACCTAAGGGTATATTCGGACGGATCTTCAGTAGATGGGGGAGCAGGAGGCGCAGCAATACTGATGAGGGGAGAGGAGGTGTTGAGAAGGAAGCGATTGCATTTGGGAAGCAACAAAGAACACACCGTATATGAGGCCGAGCTGGTAGGGATGATCCTGGCAATCCAGCTGCTGAAAGAGGAAGGAGGCAACCGGGGGGGGACAATGGCGCTTGGAGTAGACAACCAAGCAGCGATACTTGCCATGACAGCATTCCAATCAAGACCAGGTCACCACCTAGCAGACACGTTCCATGACGACCTGCGCAACCTGCTACCCGACAAAGACAGCAGAAAACTAGTCATCTGGTGGTCGCCGGGCCACAAAGGCATACCAGGCAACGAGGCAGTGGACGAAGAAGCAAAGAAAGTCGCATCAGGAGACTCTTCAGATGCGCACGAACTCCCCAAGTCACTCCTGACCAGAAACGGCACAATTAGAACTCTCCTGCAAAGCAAATCCGCACTCAAACAGCAGTTCTATGGCAAGATCAAAGACGAGGCCGCTGGAATCATGAAAGAATCACCCCGCTACCCCCGACTTCAATCCATCAACGATACAGCCCCATCCAAGAAATTCGCCAGCAAAATCGCAGACTTACCAAGAAAGCACGGGACACTGCTCTTCCAACTACGCACCGGCCACATTGCCCTCAACAAACACCTTCACCGCATAGCCAGAGCGCCGTCCACAACATGCCAGGAATGCCACGCCCACGAAGAATCCGTCCACCACTTCTTGCTAGTATGCCCCAACTTCGTCAGACAATGCAACGCACTCAGCGCGGAAGTAGGACCGCGCCAGCTCCACATCAAGTATCTTCTAAACGAGAGCAAAGGGATTAGAGCGACACTCAAATACATTGCGCGCACAAGAAGGATGGAACAGGTCTTCAGAGACGTCACCCCCCCAAAGGAGAAGGAATGAGGAGGAAGGACAGAGGGAGAAGCCAGAGGGGAGGAGAAGCGCACCCAAGTTGTAACACAATATCTTAACACCTTAAGACGGCGTCACCGTCCCTGCCCTCGCACGGACCATTGTTTAGTATTGACACACCAGAGCCACGACACATATTTAGCAAAGTACGATATTGTAGGTAGTGTCCACCATAGGGCCCCGCCCCACAGGACAATAAACAAGGATCAAAAAACAAAAAAAAAAAAGAATCCTAAAGATGACTTACTGAACCATGCAGGCCCTTCAATAGTCAACACAAAGGATGCCCAAAACAAGTTGAAGATGAAGGAGAGGACATGAACAGGACCAGGTGATCTTTCTTGGGCAGTTTCCTGGGTTGTGGGAAGGACTGAGATCATGAAAGCTAGGTACCATGTCAAGACCATGATAAACAATCTTGTGACTGGATTATAGTCCTTTGAGGCAAGATATATGGTAATAGCAATGATGATATACCAAACAAGAATAAGAGCCCGAGCCACAACACCTGCAATTGCACGCATGATGAGTTTGTTAGATGAATTGCAGCAGATATTTAGGGGGTCACGCGCGCGACGTACTGTCAATGATGTCACTATTTATGGTAATTCTGTTCTGTACGGTCACGTGTGCGCTTCAAACACGAGCCTCTAGAATCAAAGCTAAAGCACCCAAGTTCGACGTGTCCTTCGAAATTTGCCTTTCCGCCGTCATTTCAAAGCCCGAGCTCCTGAGCATCCGTGTAGTTCACCTAGTCTCGCAAACTGATACTTTGTTTCCACAAATTGACACCCTCAACAATCCTTCCCCCATGGAATCAGACTCGTATAACATGCATATATGGTTCGGCTTTCCTGTGCACATCGTTTTCAGCGTACTATGAAATACATTGGATCCTGCATTTTGCCTTAGCCTTCAAGTGCTACAAAGATGAGTACTACGCGATGAGCGTAACATGTTCGGTCTGCATCACAAACTCTCAGTACTTTCCCCGACTGACCTTGACGTTGTTCTTCGCTAATGCTAGTTTAGCCTCTGCGCTTAGTGCAGCCACACAAGCATCCCAGATCATGCCTAACAGCCATCGACAACATAGAAATACACGTGCAGCATGACCTAAACCCTCAACCCCTCATCCACGGTTCCCGCCCCCGTCTTCTTCTCCTACTTATTCTGTCCACCACACAGCCCATCCTCGATCCTTGTCATTTTTCCTTCATCGCACTATCATGCCCGGTAGCTTAAAAGACGCTCCATACTACCTTCGTATCTGTTTCGTTATTCTCACTCTCTATCTACAATTATCAGCGGAAAAAATCTCAAAGTCCCTTCCAAGCGCATTCACGTAAGGCACCTACATATCCATCAGTCTCGACTCGAGCAGGCGCTGGAAATCAGTCATCGGAATCTTATCATCCGCCGAATCTAGTGTGGGCGGATACTGTGTTCTTGTACAAGTTCAAGGAGTTTTACGGACACAATTCGAGGTCTGATCTTCTGTTTGTAGATCATTGGATGCGTCACCTGTATTATCACTGGAGATCAAGGCTTCTTTCGAGCTCGATCGGATGTTGGACAATGGAGAAGTTGTTGGAAAATATCATGGGATGCGCTGCTCGATCATGGAAATGAGCCTTTCGGTGAGTCACCTCCTCACTCATGCGCATATACTCACATCTCGTAGACATCTCCTTCTCGTCCGTTCGTAGTGTTCACCCTTCCATCACCCTGAAGACTGATTTTCTACGTCCTTGCAATAGTCAGGACAGCGCCCTGCTTGACGTGAGCGATATCTGCCTCTGTGTTTCTCTGTGTTGTTAGTTTTGTTGACGGAACACCTGTAGTCCGTCGTCGAATACCAGATTACCCGAGACACGGATGTGGGCCATGCACAATTTGTGGCAAGCAAGATGATCTCTCGCCTAAACTATGCCATATAGCATTTTCACTTGGTCCTGGACCAATGTCCGGTCGGCCATCCTCATCAGGCAGCCGCTCTCACCAACCTCTCGCGGGCCCGTTCTAGGCTACATTCGAAAATATCTTCAAGACATCGACTCTATCACTTCTCTCTTCCGCGAAGCCCTTGCATTACGTCCGCAGGGCCACCCCGATCATCCATCATCTATCTATCACCTCCTGAAAGCATTGATCTGGGCGCTACAGCAAGGAGAACACCGCATTTATCATCCGTTCTTGCACGCCGACAATCTAAGCTCTGATAAGATCTAGACAGATGATGAAGACACGCGTGACTTCTTCTTTCGCTGCAATCGGACAAAGTTCGCCGAGCACGAGACAAAACAAGACATTCTTGGTTCACGACAGCGAGCTTGAGCTCGTCCCTGCGACGGTCAACACAATCACTCTGGCGACGACGCCACACGAGCAGGTGCACTCGACGCTTTGCAACGTAACACCTGGTGCACCTCACTTTTCATGGGAAGCAGGATCGCGAGCAGCCTTACTATTCACATTTCGCTATGAAAGATGAACCTCTCACGCTGCTCGATATCATGGAGAATGACACTCCGCAGGCTGAGTTCGCATTCCTGTCCGCGTGTCATACCGTTGTTGGCGATGAGAAGTCACCCGATCAAGTCATTCACCTCGCAGTTGGACTCCAGTTTTCGGGATTCAAAGTGTCATTGAAACTCTGTGGGTGGTCGACGACCTGTCGCGAAACACGTTGTCGAAGCTTTTTACGAGAATACGCTCAAGGATTTGGAGGATGGTGTCATGTACTACACGAAGGCGGCCTGGGCACTCAACCGTGTTACGTGCGCCGTCAAGACGAAAGTGCTGCTCGAGCAACGGATGGTTTTCATTTATGTTGGTGTGTAGTTCTATGCTGTATTGCTTTCGTCTGGTATAGGCTTTCGATTTATTGATTTTCTCTCTTTCATCCCATCGGTGTACCTGTCATAGGTTGTTGCAAGATCACTTTAGTGTCGCATTTATTTTGTATGACATCCCCTCTCCTTGCTGTCATATCTACGCTCAGAAGAGTCTTTGCAACTTCATTAATTGCTCGAGTATTTGACGTATGTTATTCTTATAAACTGAGAAAGATCAGGAATATGATGCTTGATAAGCAGGCTGATACGGGCATGAGTTTCTTTCCCCAAACTTTAATACTGACACCAATCGTTCCAGCACCGAGGGGGAGAACCAGCAGATTCATCGTAAAATAGTACGACTCCCTTGTCTTGTGACCGTATCAATCAGTATGACGTTTTTACTTCTTGCAACGGCGCGCAGTGGCTGTGTCCTTAGACGAGGAAAAGATGTCGTCGAACGCAAGCCCCCACGGACATGCACGACTCGACGTTCACAAGCATACGTTAATAAGATCTCAGCGGTCTGCCTTCGCATTCGTGCGTTGCATCGACTTCAGGGATAACGGCTTGAATAAAAGGGAGGTGGCTTACTTTTGCCTGATAATGGATGATGTGAAGAAAGCGCATTCGGCGGTACTACGGGCGTCTATCTGAACCAGCACAACCAGAGGTGCTTACCCCACGTGCTGACAATGTGTGTGGTGTGTAATCTTTGCATCATGTGTTCCGGTTCCAGAAGACGAATGTTCCAGACTGTCAACTTTGGTTCCGAACGTCCATCAGCATGTTCCGATATCTCGTATGCAGTGCACGAGACTCGTGCGGTTTTTTAGGGTTTCACGAAGGCAATACATTGCTGTATCAATGGCGTAAGAGAAGAAGGATAACGTACGTGATGATATGCTGAATATAGATCCGCAGGTCCTCATGTCTGTTCGTTCACTACAGGGTTCACAAGCTTTTAAAAGGGGTGAACTTCCTGTATTCCTTCCAGAGCATTCAGGGAGCCTCCCAGTCACCACCACTATCAGAGGTCGTCCATCGTGAGTTTATCAATCTGCATATGGCATTTGCTGCCGTCTAAACATTCCTAGACGACTTTCAAGTCACTGGGCGACATTCTTACCATGAGCGCCTCTGCTGCTGCAACAGACAGCCATGACCCCCTCAAAGATCTCGTCCAAGAAGTATTCAACGAATATATCACCAATGAAATGCCCATTCGTCTACTTCATATCACCGAAGAGGATGGAAAGATAAAGTTTGATCTCGTGGACAGGGATTTCGTCAGGAAGCACTTCAAAAAGAAAATGGTCCCCGACAACATTCTCGCCGATTTTGCTGAAAAGATGATCGTGGACGGGGAGGAGAGAGGGATTGTATCAGAGAGCGCGTGAAGAAGGAACTCAAATATGCTGTCCTCTCGCATCGATGGTTGCCGGACAATCAAGAACCTCTATATCACCAGGTTGTCGAAGGAACCGAAAGAAGTCGCCAATGGGCCAGGATGGAAGAAGCTTGAAAGTTTTTGCCATACAGCGAAGGTTGTCCACAACTGCGAATTCGCTTGGTCCGACACGTGCTGCATAGACAAGCCAAGCAGCTCAGAATTGGAAGAATCCATCCGCTCCATGTTCGCTGGTACAGAAATTCCCATGTGTGCATCGCTTTCCTTTCGGAAACGGCAGACCCTCGCAGCTCTTCCAACTGCAAGAGACGGGCAAAAGTGGTGAAAAGGCAGTCGATCCTTGGTTCGTACGAGGATGGACGCTTCAAGAGCTCATTGCTCCGCTGCAAATCAAATTCTACGGAGCAAACTGGAAGCCCTCATCCAAGGCTCCACGACCGACAGAAACAACAGAGACAGCAAAGTCATCATGGAAAAGATATCGACGCTCACCGACTCCATATGGATGATCTTGAATCATTCACACCTGCATCGACCGAGTGCCAGAAAAGATGTTGTGGGCATCCAGGAGGCGAACAACTCGTATCGAAGACAGGGCGTACTCCCTTGTTGGAATATTCGATATCAGCCTCATGATCGTATACGGCGAAGGCAACAGAGCCTTCTTCCGTCTCATGGAGGAGGTAATAAAGAGATACGATAAATGGGACGTGTTTTTATGGAGCGGTCGTTGTTCGCGCTATAAACGCGGCCCTCCCGGATGCTCCGGACTCCTATGCTGCGGGATGTATCAAAACACTCCGCCAACTCAGTTGACCGCGCCGCAGGGTACGAATTTGGTGATAGGCGCTTTGCCTTGACCAATCACGGACTCGAAATTTGGGTGCTCCTACTGGATGTCGAGTTAGAGGGCACCAGTGAAGAGTTGCCTGACTCGAGATGTCTTTCGTTCAAGCATGATCACTTTCAGGTGGAGGTGAGGCACATTGGCCCAAAGCCTCACGATAGGAAGTGGGCAATAGGTGTCCTGGACTATTCCATAGATGGTGAGGGAGGGTTCATCGACAGATCGCCGGAGAGCCAAATTAACGTGTTGCGGGAAAGCCCACATACCACGTTCCTACTGTCGTCCTCGAATAAAGATGCATCTACTCATTCTACCAGCAACTACAAAGTGGAAGAAGGAGATGACAAAGGAAGTTGTTAGAATTCATTCTCTCCAGGACCACGTAGGAGATGGTCTGACTCTGTTGTACCTTTAGTATGACTTTCGCTATCAAGCCTTTATCCCTAGATTTTCTACTCATTTTTTTCAACTTGTGTGTATCATACATGGCAGGTACTACTACATGCTCTCGATATGTTAATGATTGGTTATACGACGACACTGTCAATTGAACTCACGAAAGTAGAACTATAGGCCCAATGCGTGCTCGGCACTTGCAAGTGCTTTCACGAATTTATCTCCGAGTCAGTATCTGGTCTTCGAAGCACGCATGCTTCTCCTCGCTCGCCATCATCACGAGCATTGTTCCCCGCAAAGGGTTGCACAAGCTAGCTGCTCAGTCGGCATGCAGACTCTCTCAGAGGGCGTGACCTTGGTTAGTAACGGAGTGAAAGTTCGCGGTAGGAGCATTCGAGCCCTGGACAGATGGCCGAGCGGTCCGAGGCGCCAGACTAGGGAGAGAACGAGCTCATTTGATGAGCGTGTTATCTGGTCTCTTTGGGGGCGTGAGTTTGAATCTTACTCTGTTCAAATGTTTTTGATTGTCATCAATAGTTGCATATTCAAGCCTTGAGAAAAGAAGTTCCGGTGTCTGTCGCGACTCGCGAGCAAACCCCCGTAATGATGACTCATCAACATCTTTGGCTTCATTCAGTTCCTTCTCTCACTTACCGCATTCGTTCTTCAAGAATAACAAATTTTAAAGTTTTGCTAATGATTCAACCTGTTCGGTGCCGAATGAATGACTCCGCATCTGTTACCTCGATGGGAAGGCCTGCGTGCCCCGAGAGCACCCATGCCTTGTGCGCCTTGAGCTAAGGGAACAGGTGGAGCGTAGGATGGCAGGAGAAACGAAAGAACAGGAAATGAACTTTGGGCAAGGCTAAATGAAAAGGTTTGGTCTCCTTTTCGTAACGGAACATAACAGTTTTCTACACAAGTGGACCATTCTAGCTAGGAAACCACCTACAGTACCTTGTGAACTGGAAGGGCTCGTTCTGGCCCTCTTGCCCCGCGCCGGAAGCATCATATTCTTTTTGAATGCACTTACCCCCAATTTGCACTGCTTGAGGCTCGCATGCACTGATGCCGGCCCGTCATGAGTCGAATGCGTTACCAGCAGTCGCATTGTCCCATGGGGAGTCTGACTGTCAATGTTTGAGTGATGAGATACATTACTCATTCCATTCCTTGATATAACCGCCCGAAAGTGACACATTTTCCGTTCTCAGCTCGATGAATAGGGTTCGACTTGGAAATATACGAGGTTTAACTTACCGAAGATTGGTTGTGACATACGAGCGTATGCAAGATAATATCAAGAATGTGAGCGCATGAATCTAAGGAGTTGAAGACAAGAGGGCGAAGAGTGAAGGATGAACATTCAGAGTGCGCCGTGACTCTGCAATTTGTTGTATCAAAGTGACGACCCAGGTCTGGCATGCGGTAAAGGAAGGGTCAGTATGGCCCGGGGCACTGAGGCTTAAGTTTGAATGACGTCAAAATGTAAAGCAAAGTCTTATCCTGCTACCAAAATAACACGATTGTTCAATGATCTGGAAGCGTAAGCTCTACTGGAATCACAGAAAAATATAATCGAGTCGGATGGGCGTATAATATTAACTTGCGGCAGCAAAATAGCGAAGGATATTGCACGAATTGAATCGACTGCTTCGGACTCATCACGGAGATAACCTTGGAGTTTGAAGATGTTGCTACATGCACGGGTCAGATTGTGAGTCTAACAACCGTCGGAATACACGCACCTTTGCAATTTTCTCGCTTTCTGATAAGATAGCGAGGCAAGACCGTAGATCCTTCAAACACCATTGCCTCACGAGCCAAGGGAGGAGATTACGATCCCAGAAACATTGAAATATGTGTGAGAGCCTCTCGTCCCATGGATTCGGAGCTTGTGAGAGATGAACAACCCAGTTTTGACATGCGTAGTTGAGAGCGTCGGAAGCGGATTGGCTTTCTTCCCGCGCATCATATGCGAAACTCGAAAAGACCTTCATTGCATGGATGATATCTATGTTTAGTGGAAGACGACCGTGTGGTGACGTTGCAGGGGGATGATCCTGGTGCCTCAACGCTAGGAATGCCGGAAACATCAAGAAATCCGGCAAGTTCCTGAACTGCTGGATAACTTGGAAAGCTGGGTGCAAACGCATGTCTGGGGCAATTTTGTACTCTCTGATTGCTTCAAACATGTTCAAGAATTCTGCCCTCGTCGCCCAAGGAGCCGTCAACCACCATGTTTGACCTTGGGGTGTTTTCAGCCAGCCATGCCCGCCCGGAGTCTGCAGCCAGCGTGTCCCTTCCAGGGTCTTCAGCCACTCTCGCCCTCCCCGGGTCCCCAGCCACGGTTGCGCTCCCGGGGTCTGTAGCCAGCCTTGCCCTCCTTGAGTCTTCAGCCACTCTCGCCCTCCCCGGGTCCCCAGCCACTTTTGCGCTCCCGGGGTCTGTAGCCAGCCTTCCCCTCCTTGAGTCTTCAGCCACTCTCGCCCTCCCTGAGTCTCCAGCCACTTCAGCCACTCTCGCCCTCCCTGGTCTCCAGCCACTTTCGCGCCCCCGGGTCTGTAGCCAGCCTTCCCCTCCTTGAGTCTTCAGCCACTCTCGCCCTCCCTGGGTCTCCAGCCACTTTTGCGCCCCCGGGGTCTGTAGCCAGCCTTCCCCTCCTTGAGTCTTCAGCCACTCTCGCCCTCCCTGGGTCTCCAGCCACTTTGCGCCCCCGGGGTCTGTAGCCAGCCTTGCCCTCCTTGAGTCTTCAGCCACTGTCGCCCTCCCTGGGTCTCCAGCCACTTTCGCGCCCCCGGGGTCTGTAGCCAGCCTTCCCCTCCTTGAGTCTTCAGCCACTCTCGCCCTCCCTGGGTCTCCAGCCACTTTTGCGCCCCCGGGGTCTGTAGCCAGCCTTCCCCTCCTTGAGTCTTCAGCCACTCTCGCCCTCCCTGGGTCTCCAGCCACTTTTGCGCCCCCGGGGTCTGTAGCCAGCCTTGCCCTCCTTGAGTCTTCAGCCACTGTCGCCCTCCCTGGGTCTCCAGCCACTTTCGCGCCCCCGGGGTCTGTAGCCAGCCTTCCCCTCCTTGAGTCTTCAGCCACTCTCGCCCTCCCTGGGTCGCCAGCCAATTTCGCGCGCCCACAGTCTGTAGCCAGCCTTCCCCTCCTTGGGTCTTCAGCCACTCTTGCCCTCCGTGGGACTGCAGCCAGTCTTCCCCTCCTTGAGTCTTCACCCAGTCTTTCCCTCGCAGAGTCTGCGGTCGCTCTCCGCTGCACTGAGCCTGAAGCCAGTTTTGCCCACCCTGAGTCTGTAGCCACTCTTCAGCTTCCTGGGTCTGTAACCACTCTTGCCCGTCCCAGCTCAGCAACCAACATCCCCCGACTTTGGTCTCTAGCCACTGCGGCCAGCCTTGCCCCCCTGGGGCTTGCAGCCAGTCTCGCCTGCCTGAGGATTGCAGCATGAGGTCTCCCCCGCCTGTGGTGTACAGCGGGTTAGCCCCGATGGAAGAAGTTGGCGAGGGTGGGTCTAAGAAGTCATCCGAGGATGAATCGTCTGAGGTCTGTAGTAGCCTGGATATGTTCGAAGTCTGTAGTAGCCTGGATATGTTCGAGGTGTGGAGGAGTGAGTCATGCTCAGGCCCATTCAGGATCGGCAGCTGGTGTTCCGTGTCGGGGGCTTGCAGGCAGGCGTTCCCACTTTGGGTCTGCAACCAGTCTTTCCCTCCTTCGCTGCGCAGCCAGATGTCCCCACCCCGGGTCTGCAGCCAGTCTTTCTCTCCTTGGCTCTGCAGCCAGTCATTTCCTATTTGGCTCCGCACCCAGTCTCTCCCTACTCGGCTCCACAGCCAGATAGTCCAACTCTCACTCTGCAGCAAGTCTTTTCCTCCCTGGGTCTGCAGCCAGTCTCGCGCGCCTGGGGTCCGCAGCCACACACTGCCATGCCACGTCAGCAACCACTTTTTCCCGTCATCCGTCGCTGGCCAGTTCTTCCCATGCCGCGTCTGAACCCACCCACGCAGATTGCTACTTCGTAGCCAAGCATGCCCGTCTGGGGTCTCCAGCCAGAATCGGAGTTCTGAACTGCGATACCCCCGAAGCCATAATAGAATTATAAGTACTTGCAGTGGTGCAGGTGGCTGGACGATGAAGTCTAATGTGCATTTTAAAGTTTCGGGGTCCTCGGATTCCACAGCTTTGCTATGCTTCGTCAATTCTAACAGCACATCTAGAAGCGCCGTGCTTTCTGGAATGTCGTGCACTATCAAGCTGAGGCACCTATGAGCGAGTAGGGAGTGGGGTGGTGTCATACATTGTAAATCGGGGAGGCTGCTGTTTGAGGGGTCGGAAACATAGTCACGAATGGACGAGTGATAGATATTCACGGGGAGATTGCTGTCCGTACCAGGGACATCCATGACAGATCGTAGCTGCACCAGCACTCTCTCGACGTCCCTGCCCTGAATAGGTCCAAGAAGTTTCGAAATTTGTGACATAGGCAGGGGATCTGCAAGGGAAGCAACAATGGACAAGTGCAGGTATGCCAACTTCGGGTCAGCGCATGTGGAGAGAATACAATCGTAAAACTTGTACACCTCCGTTCCTGGAAGCAGTTCGCTCGTTAGCCTGAGCATGAGCTGAAGTTGATCACGAGGATCATTTTGCTGATCATCGATAAACTTCATCATCGTAGAAGCCACAATAAAACGTCGGCCCGCTAGTCGTGCAAGTTGATCCTCTGAGGGCTGTGGAAAATCGGGATGGCGAGTTCCCAGCTTTGCGAACGAACGTTGCAAGAAAAGACAGATGTCGATGTCGACATCTATGCCATCCAGTGAGATGGTGGCAGCAACGCCCTCCCCAGATGTCTTTACTGGTATCTCGCACAACAGCGGGCGCATTTCTGCAGTGCGCATGGCTATACAGATATGCTCCTCCGAACGACTCGTAAGAAGAATATGGGTGACGGGCAGATCAGGATCACTGAGTGCTTCGCCAAGCAAGGAGATGAGATCAGCGAGCTCGCTTTTATATGCGTCTTCCTCGGGGGATTCGGAGATGCTTCATCAAGGGCGTCAATAACAAATGTCAAAGGCGGGCATTCGCGCAATCTGAGTTGAAGCTTCCGGAGAGGTTGAAGGAATAACGCCTCCATCTGGTCGCGAAGAGACATGTCATGATCTAGCAATGCAGGATTGTCGAGGATAGTTCTTTTCACATCCTCCCTGATACTGGGAAAATTGCTTGCAAGCTGGTAGACAAGAGTCGCGAAGAAATAACCAGTTGTGCGGCGCCTCGTATGCTTGCGCGAAAAAAAGAATGTTCCTGCGAGTCGCTTTTCCTTGCTTCCTTCTTTCACTTTCAGACCTCTCATTCTCTCAGCTACGGTGAACGCAACAGCAGACTTTCCAACGCCCGCCGTGCCATGCAGCCAGATGAGTTGACTCTCTCCTTGGTTGTCCAGTGACTCGTAGATGTAGTTGAGAAGGACTACTCTGGTCCCTTCCAAACATTTCGGATGTGGCTGACGCTCACGAGAGTCATATTGAGCACCCTTGACAGCGACCTGGGAAAGCTTTTCCCAAGATCCTTCAGACATATACAAGAGCTATCAATGAGGTCAGATAGCGAGAAAGGCTATAAGAGATGGAAACACTGACACTGATTCGTTCAGAAAGGGTTAGCGTGGGTGTCCAGTGACGATGATCCGAGTCAGCTAGAACAGTCAAGCTGAGATGCGATAGAAGATGCAAGGCGTATACAGAGCTGCTTCAAGTGCTTGAGATTGAATGGATGGGTGGAACGCTCGCTAGATGCTGATAGTGGTGGAATGAGTTCAAGTAATAGACGCTCATCAGGCTTGTTACAGGAGGCGTGGTAGCCATGAGGCTGCGGTTTGCGCGGAAAATTCATGAATATTGACTTGTACTACATGGTACACAATGCAGTGGTCCGTCCGAAGCAATGTCCCACCCAAGTCCCACCACATAAAACATCGGTTAATCTCAATGACGGAAATCAACATTTTACTAGACATGTCCCGCACAGAACACACTACGAAAGGCTAAAGCTGGCGCGAAAGAACGAGAGGTGGAAGAATGGGGATCAAACAACTTTGATGAGTGGACTAAGCTGCACTATGGGCGAGAGGCCCAGCGTGCCAGGGTTGAACGTTGACCTCTAGCGTTTGCTCGCCTTGAAGGCGAGTGTCTGCTTAGGGAATGGTTGCTGATGTATGTTGGGTGTGGCGGCAGAAGTGTACCCGGATAGTAATGCAGTTCTCCAACGAAGACTGATTTATATCTCAACGACGAAACAAGATATCGACAAACTGCAAGAGACAAATATGATCAGGCAAACATGACCGTATACAGAGCCAATGGAGAGATCGGTGTACTGCGATTTGTGAGGGGCAGATTGAGCGTGCGAGTAGGTTAATTGCTTACTATAATTGTACTAGAAGAACAGTAGTTGAGGCTTTGAGCGCTCACAGTGACGATGGCAACTGGCCATGGGGACCTAGTTATAGTACTTATGAACTGGCAGAGTCATGACGCATGCGGCTCTGGAGCCTGCGAAACTGACAAATAAGCTATATACCGGCAGTTTCCGATAGTCATCATTTGTACTTGCGCTCGTACTAGTAACTACGGTGACTAAATATTGCCGTATGACTCCCGAGTCCCGGGCCAACAGTTTGATCGTTTCGTTACCCACTGCCTCATGATCATTACGGTTGGACAGACTTAATTATTTAAAACACTGTTTCAGGATATCGCCTTCTATCCTTGGACCAGCGTTCTCAGTCGCACAAATCCGTCAATACACTTCCTTGAAAATTGAGTTGTGGGTAACCTGTCTTGATCTTGATGATAGGCCCGTAAACAGACTGGTTTATACTCCATAAACAAGTCTTTCGATACCCAATATATTTCACCCTACCACTCAGGCTGTGCCGCTCCGAGATCGACCAGTTTGACTACGTCAAAACCATACACTCTCTCTGAAGGACCGTGTAGTCAAAGTGGTCACCAGTCCTGTGTCTTGGCCGTACTGTGTAAAGTACACACATTCCTCTACACGGCATCTCTGCATTCAGCTAAAAACACTCCAGCTTCTCGACACATGTGGTTTCTACGTATACAAGTGTTCATTCCATTCCCAGCATAAATCGGACCATTGACTTCCTGCAACGGATGCTGCACGCTAGTTGCCACCGGATGCCCTGCTCCTTGAAGGAGAACACATTCAGAGCACGAAGATATACAAAGGTTGGCCTTCTCTGGAACATGATAGTTTGGATGACGCTAACGGGTGGTTTTAGCCGGTGCAGGAGGCAGTCTTACCAATGTGAAAGGACTCGAGAGATAGGATGCTATCGGACGATGCGCCGGACATGATGTCATACTAGGCATGGTGTTCCATGTCACGTACAGAACACACTTCGAGCCGTAAGGTTGGCAGAGGCTGTTTTTAATGCACGAGCTTGTGGGAGGAGCGACGAAGGGTGGAAGAGTAGGAGATGGATGGAGAGTTAAACTGCCCTGTGAGCAAGAGGTCTGACAATCGCCAACTGTTTACCCAGTTTCTTTCCCCAGACTTTAATACTGACACCAATCGTTCATGTCCAGCGCTGAGGTGATAGAGAGGACCAGCAGATTTATCGTAAAATAGTATGCGTCCTCAGATGAGGAAAGGATGTCGTCGAACGCAAGCCCACAGACATGCACGACTCGATGTTCACAAGCATATGTTGATAACATCTTAGCGGTCTGCCTTCGCATCCGTGGGTTGCATTGACTTGAAGAATAACGGCTTGAATAAAGGGGAGGTGGCTTACTTTTTACCTGATAATGGATGGTGCGAAGAAAGTGCGTTCGGCGGTTCTACACGCGTCCATCTGAACTAACACAGCCAGAGGCCATTACCCCCCGTGTAGACAATGTGTTTAAAAAGTGATCTCTGCATCATGTATTCCGGTTATAGAAGGTGAATTAGACTGTTAACTTTGATGCCGAACGACCATCAGCATGATCCGATATCTCGTATGCAGTGCAAGGAGACTCATCGCTTTTTTCGGGTTTCACGAAGGCAATACATTGCCGATGGCGCAGGAGATGAAGGGTAACATACGTGATGAATATAGATCCACAGGTCTTTGTGTCTGTTCGTTCACAGCAAGGTTCACAAGCCTTTAAAGACGAGAACTTATTGTATCCTTCCAGAGCATTCAGAGAGTCTCCCAGTCACCACTGCTATCAGAGGTCATCGATCGTGAGTTTATCACTATGCATGTGGCATTTGTTGTTTTTTAATATTCCTGGACAACTTTCAAGTCACTAGGCGACGTTCTTACCATGAGCGCCTCCGTTGCTGCAACAGCCACGACCCCCTCAAAGATCTCGTGGAAGAAGTATTCCATGAATACATCACTAATGAGATGCCCATTCGTCTACTTCATATCACCGAAGACGGTGAGAAGATAAGGGTTCAACTCGTGGACAGAGATTTCGTCAGGGCGCACTTCAAAGAGAAAAGGGTCCCCGACAACATTCACGCAGATTTTGCTGAAAAGATGATCGTGGACGGGGAGGAGAGGGAGGATTGTATCAGAGAGCACGTGAAGAAGGAACTGAAATATGCCATCCTCTCGCATAGATGGTTGCCGGAAGATCAAGAGCCTCCGTATTCCCAGATGGCGAAGAAACCGACAGAAGTCCCTGTTGGCCGGGGGCGAGGATGGAAGAAGCTACAACATTTTTGCCGTACAGCGAAAGTTGTCCACAACTGCGATTTTGCTTGGTCCGATACGTGCTCCATAGACAAATCGAACAACTTCGAGGTGGATGAATCCATCCGCTCCATGTTTCGCTGGTACAGAAACTCCCATGTATGCATCGCCTTCCTTTCGGAAACGGCAGACCTCGCAACTTTTCGACTGCAGGAGAAGGGTAAAAGTGGTGAAGAGGCGGTCGATGCTTGGTTCGAAAGAGGATGGACGCTTCAAGAGCTTCTTGCTCCGTCACAAATCAAATTCTACGGAGCAAACTGGACGCCCCTCATCCAAGGCCCCACGAACGACAGAAACAACAGAGACAGCAAAGTCATCATGGAAAAGGTATCAACGCTCACTGACATCCGTATGGACGATCTTGAATCATTCACACCTGGCATCGACCGAGTGCCAGAAAAGATGTTGTGGGCATCCAGGAGGCGAACAACTCGCATCGAAGACATGGCGTACTCCCTTACCGGAATATTCGATATCAGCCTCATGGTCGCATACGGCGAAGGCAACAGAGCTTTCTTCCGTCTCATGGAGGAGATAATAAAGAGATACGATAAATGGGACGTGTTTCTATGGAGCGGTCGTTGTTCCCGCTATAACGCGGCCCTCCCGGATACTCCGCGTTCCTATGCTGCGGGATGTATTGAAACACTCCGCGACGCAGTTGACCGGGCCGCAAGCTACGAGTTTGGAGATAGACACTTTGCCTTGACTAATCATGGACTCGCAATTTGGATGCTCCTATTGGACGTCGATGTAGAGGACACCAGTGAAGAGTTGCCTAACTCAAGATGTCTTTCGTTCAAGCATGAATACTTTAGGGTGAAGGCGAGGCACATTGGCCCAAAGCCCCACGATACGAAGTGGGCAATAGGTGTCTTGGACTATGTCGTAGACGGTGAGAAAGGGTCCATCGACAGGTTTCAGGGACCATTTACCGCGTTCCTGCTGTCTTCGAATAAACATGCGTCTATTCATCTTCCAGCAACTGCCAAGTGGAAGAAGGAGATGACAAAGGAAGTTGTTAGAATTCATTCTTCCGACCGCATACAAAAATCCCTGACTCTGTTGTACCTTTAGCATGACTTTCATTATCCAGCCTCGACCTCTAGATTTTTGTTTGCCTTGTGGGTACATGCTCTCGATACGTTAATCATTAGTTAGCCTATACCACGGCACTGTCAATTGACTCAAACGCTAGAATTACGGGCCCAATACGTGTCTGCAAGTACTTTCACAAAGGCATTTATCTCAGTATCCGGTCTTCGAAGTATGCATACTTCTCCTCGCTCGCCATCGTCCAGTGGGCATAAGTTGTTCCCTACAAGGTCGGCCGCCATTGCTGGAGGGGAGGTACACGGCTGAGGTTAGTATCGGAGCGAAAGGTTCACAGAAAGAAGGGAGAATGGAGGTCGATGTTTTGCTAGGACAACGTGACACTCTTATTTCGTCGAAGTTACACTTGGAGTAGAGGGAAGAGGCCGCGATGAGGCTGCAAGGGATGAACGCATGTTGAACTAGTATTTGATGATGAAGGAGGCACACCCCAGACGTCCATATGTGCGTAGTACAAAACATCGAATAAAAATATATAATAGAAATGTAAGACCCAGGTCCCAGGTACAGCCTAAGATGGTCCGGTGCGGCCGCTGTGAGCGCTCAGACTTTGAAACCGGGTGATTTTTCATGAAATTGTCAGTCCGAATGATGCGGATCTTCCTGCGGCTTAAACAAATGATTAATGATAACTTGGTTATGAATAACAAATGAAATACCTACCAACGAGCGATGTGCAAACGACTCCACATTATTCTCGCTTGTTCCGATGAGATAATCAGACGCCTGTTTCGACCAGCCCTTGACCAGAGACCAAACCATCAGGATCGGACGGGTCCAGCACTTCTCAATCAAATTCCCCCAAAACTCAAATGCACACTCATATGCATGAACCCCAGCACCCGCGCCAATGTAAAACCATAGTGCATGACAACGTTTCTTGGAAGGTCTTTGGCTGAGTGTTCTGACCGTGTCTCCATTTTGTCACCGTCATGATTCTGTGGGTTTATCACCCATAATAAGCAGAAGGCCAAGCGTAGGAAGCCAAGGCCACGTGGATCCTCCAGGCAAATTCTGCGGGTAGTTGGAATTCGCACTAGGATAGCAGATAAGAGCCAAGTTCCTGCCATACTGGCGGCATTGACCCTTCCAGCCAAGGAAGGGTACCATTCCATGAAGATATAATTGATAATTAGGAGAAGGAGAAGCCAGATCAAGATAATAATTCGTACCGAGGCTTCCTTGATTGAGGTCATTGTGGTGGGTGTGATAGATGTAGATAGGGGTCAGACTCGAAATTTGAAGCAAATTAAAATAGGTCAATTCATGTTCACTCACCTCACCCTCAATGATTCATATGGAATAGCCAGTGCTGCAACGGGCATGAGACGATAGCACGCCGTGATCTGAAAATGTAGTTGGATACATATGCACATAGGATGGCGCGAACTATACACAGGTGTATGGAAACACATTCACATTTCCTATTTTTCGTTCGCACCTTCGCACCAGAGGAAGCTGATGTGTCGGGGAATTCCTAGATGGTTGGACAAACCAGAAATGTTCCAAACATCTCGCAAGTAAATCAAACATCGAGACACCACAATGTGGCCCTCGTCGACCGTCTAGTTTATTCGACACCACATTTACAAAGCCTCTATCTTCATTCTTTTTTGGACAACGAGACAGCGCGATCATGACCCCAAATTATAGCACTCCTTCACGCCCTCCTGCATGCATCATGCTAATGGTTTCATGCACTGGCGAAGGCAAGCACATCAGCGACTCGGACTTGGAAGACAACGAGAAAAGACAGGCTCACCCAGGCACTCAGGCTGGGGGTTTTCCTTGCCCGGGGGTCCCTTTCTTGGGATCCTCATCCTTGGGAGGTTCTTTCTTGGGATCCTCATCCTTGGGAGGCTCTTTCTTGGGATCCTCATCCTTGGGAGGCTCTTTCTTGGGATCCTTATCCTTGGGAGGCTCTTTCTTGGGATCCTCATCTTTAGGAGGCTCTTTCTTGGGATCCTTATCTTTGGGAGGCTCTTTCTTGGGATCCTCATCCTTGGGAGGCTCTTTCTTGGGATCCTCATCCTTGGGAGGCTCTCTCTTATGGATCTCTTTCACGGGGGTCCCATCTTTGGGGAGTGGGGGTGGGACGGGTAGGCCATGTGGGGGAGGTGGGCCAACTGGGAGAAGTGGGCCAACTTGGGCGTCTTGGACGTCTCGGACGACTGGGACGCCGGCTGCGATAACTACGCCAGCCATAGCAGCAGCAGTAACGATTGCAGTAGTGAGTGAAGTGAATTTCATGGCTGAAACTTGATGAGTTTTTCTGAGTCAAGTACGCTGGCTTTTATACACGAACAGTATAAGGCGCAGCCAAACGATTTGCATGTGCCTGTCAGATGAGATGCTAACTCACGCACCGTGACATAATTTTCTTGAAGGCACTCCATGTTTTTTTGGTACAGTTCGTGATGATGATGATTTATTCATCCGATTCACATTTGCAGGGATGCACAAGAAGAACTCATCAAGCATACACATAAACACTCGATAGAGCGATGCTCGGTGCCCGCATGACTTTGTCACCAATTAGAGCATTCTAGTAGCCAGGTCAGTGGTTGCGGTGTAAATTGCGACGGCGAGTGTTTTCCGAAGACGTTAAATAGATGTTGCTGATATCAGTTGTGGGACGCTTGCATAAACCTTCTTGATATTTCCAATACGAGAGTCACGAGTTGATCCACCCATTACTGGGCGTATTCTTGACATTATTTAGTGGATCCCAGAGTACGCAGATCGTGCAAATGTGTACTTCAATGCAACTACGGGTTCAAATTGCCAGCACTAGACAACAAGCGCAGGCTTACTTATTGTGTGTTGTACGGGATCTGTTATAGATGAGTTTGGCTTGGCTGCGGTACTAGAGACCAGGAATTAGATGAAAATCAAAGGAGCTCGATAAACCGCTCGCATACCATTATCCCTCAACAAATTTCCGCATAAGTCGAATCTCACAGACCCGGGGAATTACCAGCCGCTATCGCCACCAATTACGGTTCCACGACCACTGGCCATGGTGGTCAGGTCACTGGTGCTATAACTTAAACTCGTCAATATTTTTGCAATAGAATAACCGGACAACGTATGTAGTGGCATTAGCAAGAAGCGCCCCTGCGTCCGTGAGATCGGGAACCAGAGTTGCTGCACAAAGAGGAAACGGGATTCCTGGGAGTAGTCTCGAACTAGACCCTACTGACATCCGAAACACATTAGTAAGGCCTTGCAGAGAAAGCACTAGACTCGGAGTCGCATTCAGGCATGGGATGAAGGAAGCGCGCGATAGGTATACATGCACTTGAAACTGGGACATAGACGTCGCAGGACATTGCTCGGCCTACTAGCGCCAGTGATTCGCCGTTGCGTGAATCGTCTCATCGAAGGCAACCCTGAATTACCGAGGTGAAGCGTCGAGCCCAGCTCGGTTTAATACTTAAGCGCTTGTAGAGTCTGTAAAATGAATCTAGAGGCAGAGGCGGAGAGTGTACGTACGAATACACCGTTTGGACAACTCGGCCCCAGAGCCACTTGCCTTGCGGCGCTAGGCATGTATTTAGGATAAAGGAAGCTCAGGCTCACGAAACTGGGGACCTAGACGTTGCAAACAATGATTAATCATGTGTGATCAGTACGTGCTATGACTGTGTCGTCCCCGTCGGTGGTCAACCGGAGTCCCTCCAGCCCAGATTAAGTATGGCGCAACCACCCAACACGATCATTACGGAAGATCAACAAACAGGGACAAGCAAGACCGGAATTCACACTTACTGCCTGACTTCATGAAGTTCATCTTCATCATGTTTAATGTAGTGACCCGCGATTGTTTACCTGCGTGTCGCGAGCAAGGCAGGAAGTGGTTACCTTGTACCACAAGGTCAATATCATGGCCCATAATCATCAACAAATCATCCGTACCGTGCCAACCATGGAGCCTAGCAGCGCTGCCGGCGAGCTCAGACGACTCACTTCCTATGGCAGTTTACTGTTATGTACGAATGGCGAGGATGAACGACTCACGTGTGTGCGCTTCTTCGAACCTCGCTCAGATTGTCGGTCGTTATACTAGGATTCGAGCTACATTTCAACCATGCTCCGCTGCTCACTTGTTTCCCCGTGTCTAGTTCTCACACCCGAAGACTCTTGTCGTGGGAGCCAGTGACGAGGAGACGCCGAGACGGGCACCACGGATGAATGCTATCTCGTTCACCGACGTTGTGAGTGGTGGCCGCCATTGAATCTTTTTTGGTGTCTCGGTCGGCAGGAGCGTTGACGAGGGAGCGGTCACTTGCACTTGCACACGCTAAGGTGAGTAGGAGTTGACTTGCATCTCCTACAGGAAACTATCCCTGAATCCACATGTCAACCTTGCTGTAGACATGTGGTGTCCCGCATACAAGTTAGCAATACGTGCAACGCTTGTTTCAGGAGTACTGTGCTTCGCCATATTGCGGCTGATTCAATTTCTCGTCTCATCAATCGCATTGATCTCGTACTGAGAGGCGACCACTTGAATGTAACGACTCGAATCATTGGCTTGATGGCTGGGGCCGTACGGCCTATCATCGAGCGATGGCAGGACACTACTGTTACACACATTGTCGTCGAAGACCACCGCTAACACCATATTCTTCCCGTGTTCGCGCACTGTAAGGCTGCGCGAGCTGGTATATGTGGGACTGATTCGCGGTTCACGACACTACGGTTAGTCACTGTCGTTCTTGCCTGCACATTGCACAACCAGTCACATCGTCAGGCAGACCTTATACTACTAGGATTCAAGTCACATTTCAACTGCTCCGCTGTGTGTACGACATTGCCAGCAGAAGGAACAGCTTTCGAATCTGTTAAGCACTTGCCTAAGACTAGCTAGTTAAGATAAATCGACATGTGAGAGACGAGAGAAGTACAAGAACGAGAGAGCACAGGAGTCGACGAGACGACGTCTAGAGTACGAGTGAAAATCAACAAATGGGCAACTACTGCGTATGATAAACACCGCTTCCTTGCTTTCATTTCCCAGAAGAATTTTGTATTCCAACACTAACATGAAGAGTAAATGTTCAGCCGAGAAGCAGATTGACTGTAAAATAGTTTACATAGTTAAAGCGGGAGCATCACGGTTACGTCGACTCAAGCTCTTTGAGCCTTCGAGGAATGAACACCACTTTTAAGAACCACAACAGGAAGAAACACGTGCGTACATCTGAATACCCAACGATGGCGCGTGCGAAAGTAAAATTTTCACCACTGGAGCAGGTGTCGATTATGCAGGCACCGGAGAAGTTCTCCTGTCTGGATGTGTACAGGAGGACTTCAATCTCCGAGCATCAGGTACCAGCGAAGTCCTCAGCATGAAGTTGAATATAGTTCAAAAACCCAGTTTTCCTGTACCGCTCAAGGTCAGCTCAACATCATTAATCCAAGAAAATTTACCTACCACCCAATCTTCGTCGTGAAATGTCGAGCCAGAGGTTGACGCGACACACCATTTGGCAGATACACTGGGGAAGGTGACCAATGCGGTTCGTGATTAGCATCTAATGAGGTTAAAAGATAAACTATTGCAGGAAGGGCGGGTTGGTTGAACGGAACACCATGGGTCTGGAACCCGAATCCTGGTGGTTGGTGAAAGCCATGCCTATGTTGGTGATGGAATTGATTCGCAGCAAACTGGGGATTTGCTGCGTGTGTTTGCGGTATAAAAGGTTTTGATCGAAAATCCCTGACATAAAAATCTTGATGGGTTCCAACATGGGTCACTGTCGTAATGGGTGAGCAACAACATCGCAAGGTCGTGCAGGACCGAGGAAATGCCCACCAAGGATCAAATCCTCCGGCCTAATGCCACTATCGGCCGCGTGACCCTTGCCGTTCTTCAATAGATATTGCCATGCATCCTTGACACAAGAAAGAAAGGCCTCATGCACTACCACGACATCAATCTGACTATATGGAGGCACTGCGACGGGCCATCTTGTACACGATGTCATCATCATAATTTCGATCAGTTCATTCAAAAAATCTTACCCTGCGACAGCTTCAGGCAACTGGTAAGCTTGGAGAGGTTGTCTGTGTATCGGGACATGCTCCCAGCACCAGTGTTCGCCGTGCGACCGCTGAGATAGGCCGAGTATAGCCTTTCCGTCTTTGATGACGTTGCTGAGAAGAACGAAGGATCCGAAGTCTCCCCCAACTGGAATGTATCCGATATCACCAACAGAAAACTTATCAGCCGGCACGTTCCTCTCATACCATGTATGACCATGGGCGCCTTCAGCATTCCAAGTGAGATCCCGTATTTGTCGCAGAGTCAGCGAAGGGGTCTCAGATTCCGTTTCTTCGATCAGTGCTTTTAACTGTGTTGGGAGTACGGGGGTTTGTCTTCCGTTGGGAAGTAGGGCTCGTGCCAAAGTGACGAGGTGGTTGATTTTCTTTTGCATCTCTTCTGTCACTGCAATGATGTGAGCGAGTGATTCATCACAAGTTTGAATTCATACCAAATTCTTCCCCTCTATCATATGAGTATGTGACCCGCCCGTTGTTTGGCAACATCTTGCACACTCCTTAGTATGAAGTTTAAAGCATACGAAGACGGTGCTTACTCGCAAACAAGCATCTAGTAATGTATGCGCTAACCCGTAGTTTCGTGCAGTATACCACTCGCCGTTTCGAGGAGGAGGCAGACCAACCACAAGAGTTTTGAGGGAATCGACTCGCAATGAGGAAGCCTGCAGACTATAAATATCAGTTGCAATGCAGATCAGGCGACATACCTCGATGAAATCTTGAACCTTGTTCTCATCCAAGTTGAGTTGTCTCTGGACATACATCGCTGTGTCCTAGACAGCTATCAATAAAGAACAGCAACATATCTGTGGTGAATCACTCACAGCAAGGTCGCGATACTGTGTCTCACTGTGTCAAATGCTGATCATCTAGCTAAATGAAAGACCTTACAAAACGCAACAACAGCTCTATCGAGGTCCCTAGACTTGACGAGCGTAGCACTTCGCGAACTAGAGCTTGAGGACTCTGCGTCTGGACTGTTGTTGGATTAGATATCACATCGCGAATGCCCGACGGGATGAATACCATTCGCCAGCAAGATAAAAGGAGTTGGGGCTAATTCATCCGAAAACCCAAGCATCTGAGGTAAATTGGGGTGACTAGAAAATGAGACTAGGTGAAATCAAAGTGCTTCATGTGACATACTAAAGATTCTGCAGCACCTTGACGTCTCGCAGCCATTTCTGAAAGCACAATTTGAGCAACACCCCGTAGACGTATCATGGCCACGTTACAGAGTATGCATGGTCCTTGTCATCGTCATATTTCTTGATCAAGGCTCGTTGCCCTTGTACCTGGACTTCCGTCGCACCAGCCCACCATCCGTCTTGCAACCGAGACCGGCCGCGTAAGATAACCTCTGACTGGTGGTATCGTCGAAACTAGGTTGGTATATAACACATGAGCAAGCAAAAAAGAAAAAAGAACTGATTGCTGACCCCATGATCGTCTAGGGTTAGGGATGACAGTTCCACGGGGAGATAATGGTCTGTAAATCTTTTTTCAGGTGGTGACAAGGATCCTGCTGCCACCAGAGGATCGGATTCGGCAACTGTACACTCCGCTGCATCAACGATCCCTGGGCTTCGTATCTCTACGGCGACCGAGTCTGGTCCATTCAGAACCTCATGATATGTAGGCGGAGGCAGAGCATCGATAACTCTTTCAGCAGTTGCGTTCGAAGCACCATTTCCTCTCAGTGAGCTCACAGCGAGGTGTATATTGATGAGAGTAGCGAGCTTCGTCACAAGGGCTCTTCAGTAATTGGAACCTATATTCAAACACCACGCACACCTGAAAAGCCTGCGATGCCTCGTCAAGCATGCGCATGTACTCGACCAGAGCGTCGTCAATTGACGACTTACGGAGGAACCTATCACTCCATTTTAAATCAGCCAACTTTCTCATGAACTGATGAATAGAAATCAGAGTACTGTGAAGAGTTGAGAATAAGCGATCGTTCAAGAATCGTTTTACAGATAACAGCCAGGTGTACCTTTCAAACCTATCCAAATTCCTGAGAAGCGCTTCTGGAGCATCGTGGTATCGTCCACGCATTTGTTCATTGATGTCAATCAGTATTTGTGCAGCGCGACGCGCCAAGCGATCACAACCAGACTTGTTGACTTGAATGTTCTACATGAAGGCGAACACAGGTCGGAACACGCGCAGACATGTATATTTCAAGCGTCCACTCGCCTGGATAGTTTGCAAGATGAGTAGCAAAACTGAGACAGCAGCAGCGGCTGGAGGAAACTGCATGGTTGTCATGAGATCCCTGGCGAAAGCCGTTGTAGCGATCGCTGCTTGCAAAGGGTCGACATCAATCCCTAGCTTTTTCGTACGAATGAATCTAAGCGGCATGGTGAATAACTTGAAGTTGATTGAGAGCAGTAGCTGGGTTGTTGTGCCGAAGGGAGTAGCATACGAAAAAGCAAGTCGGGAAAACTATAGTTTGACTGCGACGTTGTGGTGTAGACTGACAAGAACTGTAGACAAATCTGTCATGCATGAGAGTTCAGCGGAGATAACAAGGAGGTCGGCCGCGTGAGCTCTGACAGCCAATGTACCTTGAATATACCTGCATTCTATTACTCGAGCGACATGGAAAAAGACGGCACAGACGAAATTTTTGGTTAACGTCGTTGAAATTATAGGAAGATCATGCATCCATATGAGTGTTGAACACAACCGGAGACAAGAAAGGCTATTGAAAGCAACTCAGCCCTACGTAATAACTTCTTATCAGTTAAGGGTATTTCTCAACCACGCTCAGCGTTGATTGTGTAATATTGTCACGGTCAATTGTACAAGTTGATCAGATTCAACTTTAGCAAATCAACCATGGAGCCCAGCAGCACTACCGAGCTCAGACGATGGCTCACTACTTGTGGCGGTTTTATTCACCCGTTCGTCTCTTTGTCCCAAGGTGCTCGATCTAACACGTAGACATTCTGTATGCCTTCCACCGTTTACTCTCACCGTCAGGCAAATTCGGACTCTCTGCCATCGCGCAAGACACTATCGATGCTGACACTACGATCGTATCTTGCCCATTTTCACTGGCCATCGACCTGGAGTGTTCTCTGCATGCTCTGACAGTGCTATTCGGCGATTCGACTCTCGTTGACCTGCAATCGTGGTCGGAAAGGCAGCTTATTTGCACTTATATATGCTTACACTGGATCTTCCCCGATTCAAGGCGCGTTAAACTAATTTCGTCTCTCTGCGTGGGTATTTGATGATCATACATTATAGCCCAATTCCTGATGTCCTTCGACATCTTCCTTACTTGAAAAGCCTTCCACCTGCGGACGCGCTGCTAACGCCCCTTCAATTCACGCCATCTGAACTCGAAGCCTTCCGAGGAACTAACATCTACGGCGCCACCCTTGATCGTCAGGAAAGCTGGAGTGCTGAGTGGAATAAATGTCGAACCTTTATCCACGCCGTTAATGCGGATTGGGCTGAAAGATACACTTGGTACGTGTCTCCCATACTTGTTTTCTCCACGTACTCTACTCAAACTAGACCAGGGATAAATATCTAATAGCATCGACGTATCTTTCAACCCGCGCATTTCCATCCACGCTTCTATCTCGATCTCCTACGCTGCAGACCACCTCCTCAAGCTATCCGTTCATGCTTCCGGGTGTGGATATCCTCAACCATTCTCGTGGACAGCCTGTTTCTTGGTGCACATCATATCCGGAAGGAAGTACGGAGGCAAGGGATGACTCGGCCACCATTTCTATCATTTCGCATACCAAGACGCCTCATGGCGAAGAAGTCTTCAATAACTATGGGCTCAAAGCGAACGACGAACTGATCCTTGGATATGGCTTCTCGCTCCCACAAAACCCGGATGACAAAATTACGCTACAGCTTGGTGGGTCCTCCAACAAGTGGGTAATTGGTCGTCTTGCAAGCGGTGTGGAAGGACTCTGGAATGAAGTGAGGCGATTGGTGGCTGAAACCCCGGAGGAGATAGGGTATGAAGACGATTTAGAAGCAGCACAGTTGTTGTTGGAAATGGTTCAGAAGAAGTGCGATTTACTTCCCGATTTTCCAGACGAGAACGAGGGCATACGCCCGGCGGTGAGACTGATGCTCAAACATTACCTAGAAGGTGGGTCGTCGGGGAAATTTATTGCGAAGTTTTTTGACGTTGTTTGCTAGGGCAACGTGACATTCTTACTTCATTGAAGTTGCACTTTGAGAAGAGACAAGAGGCCGCAGTAGAGGCCGCAAGGGATGAAGGCATTGAATTAGTGTTTGATGATGAATGAATATGGAGAACTTTTATTGCGGGTGCAGGTCCAGGTGCCTATGACATGTAGCGATATCGAGCAAAGATATGTAAGAGACAGGTACAGAAGAGATGGTCCAGTGCTGAACGTTCACCGTTTAGACCTCGAAGAAGTTGGATGGTTTCTCATCAAGTCGCAAGTCTGAAAGATGCGACAAATCAGGATTTTTTTGCGGCTTAAATGCAATATTAGCGTGTTCATGAATACCGAATGAAATGCCTACCAATGAGGAATATGCAAACAACTCCATATTATTCTCGCTGGAGATGAGATGATCGGACACCCGTTTCGATCCACCCTTGACCAGAGACCAAACCATGGGGATCGGACGTTTCCACTTCAAATCGCCCCAGAAACTCAACATAATCATAAACGACAGTGCCCATGCCAATGTAGCACCCCAGTACATGACAAATTTTTTTGGAACATCTACGGTGCGCATGATATTATTTGGTATTAATATTCCTAAAGTTACCGCTGCAAACTTACCTGACCACGTCTCCACGAACTCACTGTCATAATACCATAAGGCTGCCTCCCACAATGCACAGAACACCCAGCATAATCGGGAAATGTTGCGTGCATCCTTTAGGCAAATTCTGCGGGTAGCTGGATTTCGTACTAGGGCAACTGCGAAAAGCCAGGTTGCTGCCATACTGACAACAATGAGCACTCCAGTCCAGGAAGGGCACAACCTGAAATACGAGTTGATGCAATTGATTTCAAAGATAAAGAAAATCCATCTGCAGATAGCTTGTCGTACTCTGCGTACTGAGGTTTTCCCCGTTGTGATAAAGAGGCCCATTGAAGATTTGGATAGGGGTAAAATCCAGAAGCAAACGATGTCATGTGCGGATTCAGATGACATAATGTGTTCGCAAGAATCGAGACCACTAAATTGGCTTATGATAAGAGGTCTTAATGTTTCAACAATTAACTCGAGGCGAGCTCTTGAGCCGTAACTTGATCAGTATTTTGATTCGATTATTACATACAGGAAGTACGTTCACTTCCCATCGCAATTTCAATGGTGCACCATCCATTCGCTGTCTTTTTCACCCACAAGCGTTCGACATACACACTCTACATGAGTGCGACCATTGCTTTCCGCAATCTAATCCGTGTCAGGCGATTTTCAGACCCTCTGCAATTGTGTTCAATCCATCCAACATCGTGTCATATCTATTCTCGCTGATTGCGTGTCGTGGCGAGTCGAACTGCAGCCGTGATGACATTCTCGTTTCATTGAGATCGAACTTTTGGAAGATATCCGATAAAGGCTGCGAGGGAGGACTCAGGAGGCCAATTGAGGTCGCGTTTGGCGATGAATGGATACGTCTGCGAGTATATGGGTACCAAATTACCTGATCCCTCGAAACCCCATATCGGCCCACTTGACAAACGCTGAGATCACTGTACTTCTACCAGATGTATCGGGCCACTTGAGCCACGCCCCAACTTCTCCTCCCATTGTGCATCAAATATTGGTCTCAGAGATATCACATCAAACCTATTCCCTAAAATGTTCAATGCACGCACAGTCCCAGGTTCGCTATACACTATTGTCATCCCTTCATGATTTGAAGTCATTTTTAGTACATTCGTACTTCATACCTCCTGAGATTCCGGTTTTCGGCTCTCTAACTATGCCGCCAGAGGAGCGGCAAGCGGAAAATAATGTCAAGTCTCATCCTCGCCCTAGGATAAATTACAACGTTGTGGGTTTATAGTGGTTCCTGGCAAATTCCAATGTGCATATCACAACCTGTGCTCTACAAGAGATCGTCGATGGTCGGTTACCCTGGAGTTCGAGCGAATCAACTCATTTCATTCCCTTTGAAATGGCACGAAATAATATTCCCAGTCGTCGTAGCAGGGTGAATCTAGGGGACTGCTCTCATGAACGTCAATCACTATAGCCACTAGGCGCTTGGTTTCTTGTTTCTTTCTCCCCTGATTTGATCACCTATCTCAAGTGCTCGTTTCCCTTCCAACCAAAGCATCGCCTCTGTCATTCCACAATTTATCATTCAAAGAATTCATTTGAAATGCGCTCGCCCATACCTTGATAGGTCTTCGGGACGACTTGTCTAACGACCGCTCCACCATCGTCCGGATACCAAGTGAAACGGAAATCATTGGTAGTCTGCTCGTGCCCAGTCCGCACATCGACAACATTAGCCTGGACCCCAACATGCTGAAAGACAAACAGGGATTAGGAGCGAACGGCAAGAACATTAGATTTGAAATGTACCACTACACCAGGGAACTCCCCGGGAGGGGTAGTGTGAAGAACTTGCGAGGTCAGTCGCAAAATAGATCCTATGGGAACGGGTTTGGCGAAAGAGATACTGTCCAGTGACATGAATGTTACGTGCGAACGTGTGAAGAGTGATGCATTCGCGAAACCAAGCTGAAAGTATATTAGTGACGTGGCTAACAGCATCACTGGTCAAAACACCTCATAAGCAAGTCGCATGAGATAGCCTTCGCAAGACTATCAGTATTGTGCAAGGCATAGTTCAAAATAGTTACCTCCGAAGACTTTCTGGTGGACACTTCAAACATGTCATCAAAGCCATATGAAGACAAAGCCGAATGAAAACTAACTTGCGCTCTTGAGGAAACATAAGCATGGTCTTCTCTAAATGTGTCTCGCCCATCCAAACACGTTCGTAGTTGGACAGACCACCGTCTTGTCCGTATTGCAAGTACATCGTGTGCAATTCTTCTGCTTCAGTAGAACTGGGAGGTACCCTAGAAAGAGAGCGAAGGGCCAACGATTGTCTGCGCTTCTTTGCATCTACTTGTCCTCAGCGGATCCAATGAAATGTGAGAGACCGGGACGCACTTTCGCCCATAGAATATAATGCAGTCTCTTCGGGCGAACCAAGTATGAGTGGGTTTACCGGCCGAGCTTTGTGAGTTCGGGCGTCCCTGCATACCATAGAGAATCGACCTGTAGGAACGGTGCTTCTCAAGCCAAAGCTCCGACTCGAGCGGTGATTTACTGACCAAGTAGCAGAGTATCTTCCACGCCGCTTGCACCGAGAGCTTCCATCTTTACAGCCACCTCCATCGAACTGGTCCCGGTGTAGATAACTATGCCGCTCAGGCGGATATCCCTGACAGGCGAGAGAGGGGCGAGAATGTCCAGTCTGGGCCAAGTTTTAGGGCGCAGTTTAACTTCACCTTGACATCTACTAACCTATCAACAGAAGCGGTGACAATGTAAAAGCCTCTTTCACGTATACGACCGAGCGTTTCTACGTCTGGTCCCAACATATGCTTGTAAGATATCGATCCAGCCAGTGAGTCAAGGTGCTCCATAAGCATGCCAGTCCGAAGTCCACCCCATGCGTTAGTATATCGCTCAAATAACTCCGGAGACGACGCAAACGGAAGAAGGATTTCGGCGTATGTATCGTGCATGTACCGTGGAGGAAGCGGTTGTTCGGGTGCAGGAGCTTCTGCGGGATGACTCTCAGAAGATTTCGACGTCGAGGCGGCATTCAAGAGTGCCTCTGACCACAGGATTGGTGTCCTCATTGGCATAATACTAGATTGTGATTAGCTCTGTTTGCCGCCTTTCAATATGACCCGTACTTGTGGTAAGCAGGATTGGCCTTCTCGCCTGCAAAGCCGCCAACTCGAGATTAGCAATATCGTCAAAACACTCGATTTGATACTGACTGACGGCTTTGAGAAGATTATCTAGCGCTTTGATATCCTGCGTTTCAGTGGCGGCCTTGAGTTCTATTGGGGTAGTCGTTCCATCGATTGTCTTCCCCAGCTGCGTTGGAGAAGAGAATATCCACCGCTGAGAAGGGGCGAGGACATATTTGAGTGATCTACTGTGAAGACACCGTCGTTTGAGCAAACGGAGTGCAAACATACTTCCAAATGCTCGACCAATGGGTTAAAAGATCTTCAGAACGTCAGAAGTTAGAAGCATCCGTGGATCCAAAACCTTCCCCTTGAGTAAGTACCGTACTAAGTAGTACATTCAGAACAGCAAGCCGAACAGAGAAAAGCTTCGGCTTAAAATGTTGCCGGGTACCGGAGCCTGAGATCTACTGTCGCGTCATGAATCATGATACATTGGAATGTAAATTCTAAGATCTAAGACTCTAAGTACAGCTGTGGAACCACATATTCAGCCTATGAAATCGATAGCTCTGACGAAAAACACTGTGCCAGTCTACTGAATAATTCTTCCTGGCAAAAAGCTCACCAAAGCATACCTGCAGAATATAGCTCAGCATCCAGTCAATGATTCAAAGTTGCGTAACTCACTTCCCACTTACTCTCCACTTTTCGCCTTTGTTATCGAGATTCTCTGCTACTTTCTCATCTATGCCCACTGCCACGTCAGCCTTATTCGTACGAAGGCTGAGAAGCGGAAACGATCCTGCCAGTGGGCCTGCCAAATATCATTCTTAAGCAACGACGAAAAGTATTTATGGGTTACCGACCGATCGCAGTTGGAAACGGAGTGGACACAGGCCACTTAACATCACCTGCAAGTCTAACGTCGGGTCGTAACGATGTCACAGATATTAGCAAAACTCAAAAACACGCTCACTTGCGGTAGCTTTGGCAGAGCATTCAGAATTCAGGTCTAGAGATCAGCATAGTAATGGATATACTCACTTGAGATCCCCCTAAGACGTGCATATTTTGAATGCTAAGCCTTTGGAAGTTGGCAATGCTACTCACCTTGAAAATAACTAACCCAGAACCACTCAGCCACTGCCCTAACTCCGGTGCTAGTTCGTTCATGTTCCAGTAAGGCCACGGACCATTCCAAAACTCCGTCATTTTCTGTCCATTGGTAATGTCTGTGGCAAGAGTGAAAATGCCCTTATCCATATAATTTTTCCATCGAGTGACCATCTGTTGTAAGTAGGCAACAGAATCTGGACTAGTCGTGGAGTTTGGTGGAAAGAACGTGGCAGAAAGTAAAGACGAAATAGTGTTCGCAAAGTCGGTAGGGGTGACATCAGAAACAAACCATGGGAACAGCTTCGGGCTTGTGAATATAGTCAGAGGTCGTGATCGCTTTGAAGTGAGAATCTCACGACGACGTACTGAAACACGACTTGAGAGAAGTACGGAGTGTAAGTGACCAAAAAGTCCGCAAACACGAAATCTGTAAATAACTGTATTTCGAGGTTAGCAATATGCTTGCAGAGACGATAAATAACGAACCTCAAAACCAGCTGTTCATAACAAATAATCAGACACTAGAGTAGCGAAAGGTGCCGAAAAGTACCATTGTCTAGCACGAAGTCCAAACGCTTTCCTTGATTGGCCAGAGTCTTGATGTAACTCCAAACAGCACCTTGGTCATCCTTAAGAATGAAGTCTGACCTCGCTTCCTGAGCCTCTTTACCGACCGTCTGCAAGTGCTCTATGTCCGACGGCGAGAGGTGCGTCAAGAGGGAAAGATCCTACATATATCGATGTCAACGATCTGCGAAAAAGAGCCTCACGGCAGACTTGCTGTTGCATTGCCCCTAGATCGAGAGTCTATTATAACGTCACGAAAACGAAAATGTAGACCAACCAAAGGCACATCTGGATCATCTCCTTAAATAATACTTCAAGTTTATCGGGATCTCCTTGAAGTTTAACCTTCTCACTCTCTAATTCGTGCATAGTGGTTGCGATTTCTAGCAAAAGCACATCATGTCAGTGATACCCGAGAAAACCAGGGCCTAGTCGAACATACGATAGATAGCTGCCCCGCTGTTTTTGAACATTTCCTCCTTTTGGGTAGAAAAACGGGTCAAATCCGCGCCAGTATGCTTTTTGGTTAAAATACGCGCGGATGAGACGGTATCTATGCGTGTCTAAGCATGTATATTAGTAACTCCTGTTCGAAGTGACATACAAGTAGCATCTGCACGTAAAATTCAGTGATTTGAAGTTTATGGGGCAGATCTAACCTACTCTGCGTACAACCATGGTGCACTGAACCAAGTGTTGCGGGACGCTTGTTTCAGACTCTCAAGTTCCGCATTATATTCGGCAACGAGAATGTCCCCATCCTGAATAATGTTTCTGTGTCATATTATCAGCATATTGATAGAGTCAAGGAAAGATGAAGTCATGTTCTACCCACTCGAGTTCGTGGTCCCTTGCCATACGATACTTCAAACGGCTTATTTCCGAGATAATTTCCTGCCCCTCTGTTGTTTTCTTAGATAGTTCTTCTGCCTTAGAAACGTCCAAATCACGGATTTGTTGGGCTTCTAAAGTCATGTCATGGAGAAGACGATGCACATGATCGATGATGTTTGTCAAGATGATGGGCCACCTCTTCACTACTGTGTCATATCTTGATGGACAGCCAGTCAACCACAAACCTCTCGGATCGCGAGCGAAAGGAGACTCACGAGAATCTGGATGATTAGGCCCATCAGCCTTCTTCTCATGCCGTGCATAAGTACTAAGGGTTAACTCACCCAGATGTATCCGTTGGATCATAAGGTGGGTATGGTGCTTGGAACATCTCGCGCTTCATGGTCGATATTCTCTTCAACTTTGTAAGAAGAGAACTAAAGATGTCGGTGATTGACTGATCGATTCAATGGTTGCACACCGGAAGACTAGCTCAAAACTGTGGGAAATAGTGGCAGACTTCTTTCTATGGCTGGTAGGGATTTCTCTTTTCCACACGTATTACTTACACCCAAATGCACTTGATTACACACACTCTTGAGATCGAGCTGGGTTGTGTGGAAGTCGCGGGTGGTACTTCGGGGCAGGCCATTCAATGATGTCGTGCAATTGAAACACACATGATCAAACCATATCATCATATATTCGCCAACAATTTGACTACGCGTGACATACCACTGACACAAGTATGTAGAAATCAGGAATGTCGGCCAAATCACTTGGATGCGCATAGGATATATAGGTATGTCAGACTCATAGTAGGTTGGAGATGCGGCCATGCCACACCGATAGGTAGGGAATATTTGCACTAGTAGAGTCATACTGCATCGAATCAGTTCGTCTTTATCAAAACATCGTAATGGCCAGGGCTACTAAATATCAGCTTGTGATAACCAAAATTCCATCGTAGACATACCGATAGATGAGAATCAACGGTTTGTTCTTTCCGCCGTCTGGCGGTGTGATGTCTTGGAAGTGAGCTTGGCCATCCGGAGAATGACCATCAAGATATGCAATCCTGATGTGCAGTTTGAGTGCCCGACACAAGGCCGCCACCTGAACGTGATCTATCGAATGACATCAACTTGAAATCAATGTGACTACAACTCAGTATAGTGACCTGCTTCTTTCCCAAGTGGGTCGACATATTGCCGACAGAATTCGGTAGGTTCCAATGGCTCTCCTGAATCGTCGAAGAGAAAGCCAGCATAATCATCGCTCGCGGATTGGATTTGGGCTGCGGTTAAAAGCCGCAAGTACGTGACAATGCAGTTTGACGCTAGAGCGTGTCAGCTGCAGGGAGGAAGGTCGTACACGAGAAACTTACTTTCGTCCTCCAGGAAAGCAGAAAGTAAATGGTCATGCGTCAACACTTGATTAGGGTCGATGTTTCCAACGGCATCTACTAGATCCATAAGGGGTTCACAGAAAGTCGAAATGATATCTGCGTCCATGAAATTTCTTTCCATCATTCTGGAGCCTGATTCTATTACAGATTTTGCAGAATAGACGAGATTTGGCGAATCAACGAGGCTGCTGAGGTATGCGTATGCAAGAGCTTATAATATGACATCGTGAGTATGCAAAAAGGCAGAAGTTGTAGATTTGACTTCACCTCGGTAGAAGCAATTTCCATCACCTAGTGTAAATGTTCGCATCAGGTTGTGCGAGTACCTGGCTTCATTGATATACTACCTTTAGTACGAATAATCTTTGTATAACCTTGATTGATCAAGCTGTCGATCTGCGCCACAAAAGATGGGGCGCCAGTGTACTCTCCCCGGAGCTCATACATTGTCGTCGGTGGAGATATCAAAGGCCGATTTGGACCCATACTCTCCTCTAACAATTTCTAATAAGGGAGCTGTATCAATAGCGTCCGCAGCGCATCGACTAGCGACCAACCTGGCCCAATTCATAGAATTGAGATCTGTGTGCCCCGTCATAGGTATCTACCAAAGGATTGTTACACCGTGCTGCTAGTCAGCAGCACTACGTACCTATCTCTTCTGATAATTTGGGAGCACTTTGGAGGTGGGCTGACTCAAACTGGGTTCCTTCAGCTTCAGGTCGATCAGCATTTCGTAGCCTCGCTGTAGTTCGACAGTTAGAATAGAATGACCAACTCACGAGGAGATGTAGAGCTTGAAACTTGGTTGTTCATAAGGATTTGCTGGATGTCCACTGGATGTATGATTCTACTTAAATGTCGTATATGTGTGCTGCTCTCAGTGATCAGGTGGTTATGTACTAAGGCTAGTCACTGAGATCAACTTTGTTGATCAAAACCTTCTGTTTTCAATAACACCAAACATGGTCAAACATTGTTAAGGTCTGCATGCGGGGTTGGGGGTACTCCGAGTACTTAGTACACATTGTACTGCAAAAATATAGTTTGACCGCTATTGTTGTGTACTGTCTCCGACCCCCCATCGAACTTCCTAACAAAAGTCTACTGACCTCAGACGACAATGTTCAAAATCATTGGCCGCTTCTGGTCGTCCAACTTGAAGGCACGACTGTCACCTCTGGGTAATTATAAATGACCGGCAGGTCCAAATGCAAGCTTTTCAGAACCCCAATATGTGCTACCCTATGAATGTTCGAGAACAGTTTTAATATTTGGGATGCTACAAGTACAGACATATTTGCGTGATATGCTGCGACTATGCCGAGACCAATGGATGCGATACAAATATAACCTCAGTCCTCTTCCTCCTCTTCTTCAGTCACCGTCCCAAGTGCGACCAGCACACGAGCTTGAGCTTGAGCAGGAAGCATCGCGGAAAGTGATTGAGTGCGGGAAATAGAGGCGCCTCGCTTAGGGATACCATTGATGTGGCATGAAGCTGATGTAGGTAGGGCAGATAAAGATTGAGATGCTCCCAGAGGACGAGTCGACTTGGATGCTCGCAGGTTGTCCATAATCATAGACGAGTTCCGTCTGAGTTGTGCAGTTGTGGTTGGCAAAACCTCAGTGGGACCAGTAGACGTGCATCCCTGAGCAACTATTTCCAACGTCGCAGCTGGAATATCTTCGGTCAGACACGAGTTCAAGGCTTTGAACTCAGGCCATAATTCCGATAGATCATTAATCCACTGGGTATCGCAAGAAAACAAGTCGGCTTTCGCCTGATCCTCTTGAATCTTCGATTGCAGAGTCTGGAGTTCAGCTGAAGTGGGCATCATGAGACATGCACGCATAGTCGAGAACGAACTGGATACATACAGCGGATGTCACTTATGTCGTGCGGAGACGCGAGACATTGGTTAATGATGTCAAGCAAGCGCGTTCGGACCATCGAATGCGTCGGCACAATGTGCTGTGGGTCCAAGCACTGCTGGAGCGTCAGAGAGACGCTCACAAATTTATCGAACATTACGTCGGCAAGCTGGTATACCACCACGGAATCAATATTTAACACGTATTAGTACGCTAAAATAAAACCCATACCTCCAAGATATCTGAGACCTATGATTTTTGTAAGCCAGCGCGTCAACTTGAAAATGACTTGAGATGAAGCATACCAGCTGACGATTTTTCGCGGTAAGTAGCGCCAGGTCAAGCACAGGGATTAGGCTATCGCAAGTGGAGGCAAATGTTGTTATGTCTGGCGTGAAGAACTGGGCCAAAAACCCATTGAAAATTCCGTATAGCTGGTCGTCAAGGAATGCTATTCCAGGCTCGGTTTCCGTAAAGAATGCGTATGTTTCGGTGGGAGGTGGCAAATTCCGAAGCTCTTCCAAAAGGGCGTCGAGATCGATGTAAGTGTCTTCTGACATAGTGAGAATGGTAGATCAAAAGATACGCTGAAGAAGATGAGAGTTGTGTGTTGGGAGTTGGGAGTTGGAGTTGGGAGTTCTGCTGTCCATCATGATTGCGAGCATCTTTATACCTCTGTTAGTGGCAGGGCGAAAAACTATTGTTTTGCTTGAAACTTCCCTGTGGATGATGTTTACCGAACCACACCGAAACGGGAACGTACCACACTGACAGTGGTTTAAGGCACTGGCCAAAGCAGGGCCATTAACATTGATCCACAACCATAATATTTTCAATTGACAAAGTCAAGGCCTCCACAAGGTCACGTGAGGGGACACAGTTGTGTGACCATGGTCTTGACATGTGAATCATCTGAATGGCGTAGAATGGTGCCGGTGGTCTGTGGAAACAACTGATCAAACTTGAATGCCAGCCATTGCACTCGGACAGTGGCAAAGGTCTAGGCAGGAGCAACCGCCTCTATTGTCCACCTTAAAGACCACGTTCACATCACACTGGATCTGAAGGCTACGCTTGGAGCGTTGATTTCAGTATTACCGGCCTATCCCCCACTTGAACTAAAAAAACATGCCAGTTGTCATCCGTCTAATTTCCGGCGAAACACCACTACTGTGCTGTTGCATAAGAACTCCATCGGTCAACCACTTTTCGCTTGATGCACAGCGTATTGCGCTGGAGTGAAGGATTTCTGTAAAGAAGGTCGATCAACCAAAGTAGCGTTCCAACACGAATAAGTTCCCAAGCCCACCTGAGAAAACGCGTGCAGTTGTGATATTTCTTCCTTCAATGCCTGGTTGACTGTCAGACAATGAGCATCCCCGTATCATGATGAACGTTATGCTGAGACTCTCTCACTTAATCTATGCCTTGCAAGAGTACTCTTTCCCTCGAAGGCCTATGTAATGATTCCGTTTCACATTGACTATGAGCAGCTTCAGCTCATTTCGAACACGTACCTCACTAACCAGGAGAATTGCATAGCTGGACCCACACCCACTCGATTGATCTTCGATATTGAGATGGGACACGGGGAATGCAGCTCGAATGGCCCGTTCCAAATCCTTGACTGTCACAGGCATGGCAACAGTTACTGGTCGTGTGGATGAAGAAAAGCGGAAGTAGCTTTGTATTTGTTTGATCTGATAAGATATCGATGAGTCGTTTATTAATATTCCAGGTTCAGCCCCTAGATACGAATTGCTTCCGAGCACTCTGTATCATCATATCATCATCATCATCTCATCTAAGTTTCATGGGACCAATGTACAGAGAACTAGCCAAAGCCTCCTTTGGGTACCCCATCATCGATAACCACGCCCACCCATTCCTGAAATCTAAGCACCGCGACGCCATCCAATACGAAGTACTCATATCTGAAGCCCATGGCGACGCCTTAAACGACGCCGTTTACACTCTTCCCTGCTTGCGTGCAGCAGCCCAGTTATCTCAGCTCTTTGGATTGACAGGTGACAATGCTACCTGGGAAGGCGTCAAAAAGAAGAGGCTCGAGTTCGATTATGCAGAGTTGTGTAAACTCTGCATGGAGCCCACGGGAATTCAGTGTATATTGTTCGACGATGGCTTAGGTGGAGTCGCAGAAATGGCTGAAGAAGTGAATTGGCACGACCAGTACACCGTAAGTCCATCGAAGCGGATTGTGAGATTAGAAGTGGAGGGCCAGGTAAGGTATCACCATCTCTATCTTTAGGAAACGCTCAGCTCCGATGCTTAGAACATCTTACAAGACATCCTCGCCGCAAATGTCAACTCGTCTCTTTCGATTGATATTCTCTGCGACACGTTCCTGAAGGAGTTCACCAGCTACATGGTTGACACTGCCGTAGATGATCATGTGGTAGGGTATAAGTCTGTCGCTTGCTACAGGTTAGTTATATCATGACCTGGATCGATGATCAGCTCAACTCACTTATGCGATAGAACCGGTCTGGATGTCGACCCCGCACCATGCAGCGCAGATGAACTCTACGAGTGCTTAGCATCTGTAACCGAGCAGTTCAAGGAAAAGGGTTCCATTCGCTTCGAGCACAAAGCTTTGAACGATCACCTAGTCAAGATAGTCCTCGATATCGCAGGCAAATGCAAGAAACCTAGTAAGCGTTCGTTCCGTTCCGCGCAACGCCTTCCCACTCACGTCGTCGAAAGTCCAGTTCCACACAGGTGCGTTGCAAAACAACGGCCCAAGTCGCATTATGTGACGCTTATCCGCCTGAAGGTCTCGGAGACAATGACATCACGCTGACAAAGTCTTCTCCGGCGCATATGCAGCCTATCATCAAGGCCTTCCCAGAAACCATATTTGTTCTTCTGCATTCCAGCTATCCTTACACGAGAGACGCTGGCTACCTCACGTCCGTGTACAAGAACGTTTATCTCGACTTCGGAGAGATTTTCCCCTTTATCTCCGCCGACGGCCAACGTACTGTGGTACGTCAAGTGCTTGAGTTGGCGCCTACCAATAAGATCTTGTGGTCCAGTTCGTTAGCAGTCCATCTGTTACCGCACACACCACTTACCGTTCCACAGCTGATGCGGCGTGGTGGCCGGAAAGGTTCTACCTTGCCACTGCCCAAGCTCGCCAGGTGATGTACGAGGTAATCAGTATATTTCCTTAGAGGTGAATCCTCCAGATATGAACCTTGATTCTCCAGGTCCTAGCGGGCTTCGTCAGCAAAGGAGACCTCACGGAAGACCAGGCGGTATCCATTGTGAAGATGGCACTTTTTGAAAATGCGAATCGCATCTATATGCTAGGGCTTCAGCCGAACGTTAGTATTTTGTCTCCCCAGTCATAGTCGCCTTGAACACACGGGCGGGGGGCCAGAACGATTGGAACAGAGAAGGACTTGTAATACAACAGATTACAATAGTCATTCCATGGTTTCAGCGAGGTATTTTCGTACCCATGTCCTCGTTTCAGAAGCACTGAAGTATTCATCCATCGTGAAACACGACTTCAATTGGCTGAGTCCTGACTTCTCCCTTGTAATCTTCTTTCTTCCAAAAGTCCGAATCCAACGAAAGTGGGAATGTCATCATGACTGCATGTCGATGCGACACGGTCGTCGTATGGATTGAGCGTGGTTGAACTTGAACAGGGCCCGAAAGTTGCCTGAAGATGGTAGAAAGCAATGGGAGTGCCTACGTCGAGCGTTTGTGGGTAGTTACCCCTGGGCAGACCATAACAGAAGGAAGTTGTTCCTAGCTTGTGGGTGAAAGAGAAAGAGAACGGATGGTGAACCCTTATTTCAGGCGGCGCTGGGTCTTTGTAAAGTGTAATAATCAAATTCAATGTTGGACAAGCTATGGCTTGCCGCTTGGAACCATTTTGCCATGAAGCTACTTCTGTAGTGGTTGCCAGCACTGGTACTTTGCTATTCAATAACACGGTTCATGGTGTGGTCCGAGACGACCGTCATGGCGGAGGGGTGTAGCAATTTGGACGCGATCCTGTCGTGACACGCCTGTGACCCGCCTGTGACGCGGCACTGACAAGTATAGGGTGTAGCGCAAACCCGATATCATCATTCATTTCGTGACACATGTACATAGTAGCGACCATCTATCTAAGTTAACAGTAAAACCTTGAAAGCATAGGATCTGTCATCAATTCGAGGCAAGGGAAAAGGGTAACATATTCTGCTAGCTGCTGATCCGTTGTCATCACTCCACCGCCAAAGGTCAGGCTTCCCAGAGGACACTGTGACCGTGTCAAAAACGCCTTGAATTCTTCGTGAGACCATTGTCCTATATTGCGAACCTTGATCTCGCATAGATTGTGGAGCGTGACGGCATTGAATAACCCAAGATGTCCGATCCAGTCCAACCGTAAATGTCCGGATATGCGCAGGGATTGAAGATTGGCATGCGCCAATGTTTCCGAGGTCTCGATCGCCGTGAAGATTCCAATCATCGTCAAGGACGAGAGGTTGGGACATAGGCAGAGCAAACGGTGGAACGAATCTAGTCCGTCTACCACGATTTCAAGATTTGTGAGACTGGCCCATGCGAGAGGATTGAAGCCAGATAACAACCTGAAGTTAAACCACAGGTCCATCAACTTGAGACTGCGCATGCTGAGCGGCAATTGCGCGACAGCTAGTACAGGATCAGAACCGTCCGTATATATAACCAACTCCTCAAGTCTGCGGAAGTCCGCCATTACCAAGGAGCCGGCACCGGAGAAAAAACAAAGAGATATAGACGATATTTGATCGACATATGGCTGGAGCAGGCTTCGTAGCTCCGTCCAGTCATTGTTATGACACTCGAGCGTCGAAGATAGCTGACGTCCTTGTGATCGCTTGAGGTAGGAGTCATAGCAGAAAGCTCTCTGCTGCCAGTCGCCGTTCCCGACTTCCAATCCCAGCCTGCGCCATAGACTCGGCATGTCCACAGCAACCTCCCTCCATCGTCGACATACTGTGGTTAACAACATCGGGGCCAGATATGGCGCGGGCGCCCAGTTTCCGTCTTCTGGTATGCAGTAAAGGAAGATTTGGGCGAGGATTTCCGTGGGTAGGCGCCAAATAGCAGATGAAAATCTCTTGTGTGAACTGTTGGACTGCAAAATCTTGGCCTTCCCTCCGACGAGTTGCCGGTGACGATAGCTAACACCATTTTGGCCTGAGACGTCGTGCATGACTACATCCGACCGCTGAAATGGACGCTTATTCTTATATTCAGACGCCAATACCTCCAAAACCAAGCACTTACAATGTTCTGCGGGGTATATGAGACCGCAGGTGAATCGGTGTTTGAGTTGAAAGTTTGCATATTAACACGAAGGAGGTTTAGATGTTGGAGATGGTGATTAGAAGCAGGAAAACTAGCGTTCTGCCAACCCTCGCATCCCTATTTAAATCACGACGCTTCGCAAACCACAGGTAAACAACAGACACACCTTGCTATTATAGTTTCTCATAGCGGATCTTGGGGAAAACACCAGCCATCCACATCTCTAGACCTTGCATTGTTGCAAAGGGAGTTAGAGCGAGCGCCTGTGGAATAAGGGTGATCTCGCTTGCCGGTGGCTTCGACACACTCGGCTGGCACTACTATGCCATCCGAGATCTTTTGCCTTCTTATGTAGTCGACAACTGAATGTTACAGAACAGATTTGTCGAGCTGTGACCTTTATTTCGCCCCAATGTAGTATTGCGTTTTGGGTTTGATAGGTACTCACAAAAATCAGGCCTGGAATCTCTTTGGGACCTCTCCACAATCCTATCGTACGCACTGAAGGGCCGATTCCCAGTTTCGTCAGGTCACATTCTTCACTACATTTTAGTACTGACACACCTGAACTTTAACAGAGGACGCTCTTGTTCAAGTTGTAAACAATACGCTATCCTCAGTTTCAGCAACCAGGGAGCCCATCTTCGGAACCGCTACCAAACGTCAATATACAGCATACTGACATCAGTAGACCTCACTTTCGCACCATTGAACGTAGCTAAAGAATACCCTGCCTGTACTTGGCTACTTCACGGTTTCGTTCAGAGACACAGCCATGGCTTCCGCATTGACGAAGGTAGCCAGGTATAAATCGAATCTGACACCATCAATGACTTGCAGGGTCATGGAGAGTATATTGGATCTATATCCTATTTCCCAGATGGCCAGCGGATGATCAGCGGATCTGATGACAAGACCATTCATCAGTGGGATCTGAAGGCGGACAAGGAGATTGAGGAAGTGCTGAATGTTTGCGAGAAGGAGGCTATTGGTGGTGAGGTATCAAGGGATAGGTCGATGGATGTCACTGGTGGCGATGGTGGGGTGCTAAAAACCTGTGAGGTTGAGACGGGGATTGTGAAAAAAGTCGAAGGCCACTCACGGATGATCACCTTCCATTAATATCTCTGCGGACAGCACGCTAGCGGCTGGCGAGCGGGGTACGCGACTCTACAGCGCGGATATGGAACTTGGACACTGGCAAACTCAGGGCTGATCCATTCAAGAGCGTTAGTTGGATGGGTGCAGTTCGATTCTCCCCAGACTCTAGGAAGCTCGCAGTCAAGTCGTGTGTGGGGAAGCAATTTGAGGTTTGGGATGTCCAATCATAAAAATTGCATGTGAGCACTGAGCATAGGGAAATTTAGTATCGGAGGATTTACAAATGTGCCGACCTATAGCCGACGGTATATTGTGGACGAACAAAAACAAAAACATCTAGTTGACTTCATATGTTCAGCTTCGGCGCCAGCTGCAGAGATGACGACGCCAGGATAATCTACGAATTTGTCGGATCACAAGATCTACATATGCAACACTCCACCCGACTGTCTTCCTGCCACTCCGAGTCAGGCCGCATTGTAAGAAAAAACCGCAAACATCCACTTTTTGTGTGCTAACTTTCCCTCATGTACAGACCATTGCAGGCAAAAAGCCAGCCCTCAGGCCCACGATCAGTGATCTACTAAGTGTGTGTGTTTCATTTTGTGAGCCGTTGCACTCATCGATCACCATTATTGCAGTCCGACAGTCCGACATATGCCTGTGAGGGAATATTACTAAGCTCAAGTTCTGCTCAACAATTAATGAATTTTAGATTTTACCCCTATCTAAATCTTCTCTTTACGATTACCGCACCCATCACAATATTAATGGCAGGAACGATCACTAGTACAAAAAATTGTTATCATCTGGTGCTACTTTCTCATGTACATCAGTTTCCTGAACATGGAATTATTCCCTTCCCGGACTCGGACTAGAGTGGTCACTACTGCCGTCAGTATGGCAGAAACCTGGCTCCTAGCCGTTGTCCTAGTACGAATTCCAACTACCCGCAGAATTTGCCTAAAGGATGCAATTGTGCTTTCCATACTATGCTGGGCCTTCTGTGGATTGTGGATTGTAGCCCTGCAGAATAATGATTTTAAGACCGTGGAGATGTGGTCCACTGGCAGGTAAATTTACAGCAGCAACTTCAGGAACACAGACTAATATGATGCATACCATAGATGTTCTAAAACAAAATGCCTTTGAATAAGTTCTACATTGGCGTGGGCGCTGGAGTTTATGATCATGTTGAGTTTCTGGGGGAATTTGAAGTGGAAGCATCCGATTGCGACGGTTTGGTGTCTGGTCTCGGGCATGCTGGAAGAGGTGTCTCATGATCTCATCCCCAGCGAGAATAATCTGGACTTGTTTGCATATTCCTCGTTGGTGAGTATTTCATTTGGTATCATTCATAACCAAGCTAATATTACGTTTAAGCCCCATGAAGATCCTGATCTGTCGTATCTTTCAGACTGGGAACTTGACGAGAAGCCTGACAAACTCGAGGTCTGAATGCTCGCAACATTAGACTATCTCGAATTCTAGACCTGGCTTTTACATATCTTCGCCGATATTGCTGCATATGTCGTAGGCATATTAGGTGTACACCCACAATACAGTTGATTTCAAGTTCTCTATATTCAGTCATCATCAAATACTAATTTAATGCCTTCGTCCCTTGCGGCCTCTATCGCGGCCTCTTGTCTCTCCTCAAAGTGACTTCAATGAAGTAAGAATGTCATGTTTCCCTAGCGAGCGACGTCAGGAAAACCCGCAACGAATCTCCCGGCAACCCGGTGACCTTCTAGGTAATGTTTGAGCATCAGTCTCACCACCGGGCCTATGCCAGCGTCGTCCTCGTCCGGGAAATCGGGAAGTAAATCGCACTTCTTCTGAACCATTTCCAACAACAGCTGTGCTGCTTCCAAATCTTCTTCATACCCTATCTCCTCCGGGGTTTCAGCCACCAATCGTCTCACTTCGTCTCAGAGTCCCTCTGCACCGCTTGTATGACGACCGATCGCCCACTTGTTACAGGACTCACCTAGCCGTAGCGTAATTTTGACATCCGGATTTTGTGGGAGCGAGAAGCCACATCCGAGGATCAACTCGTCGTTCGCTTTGAGCCCATAGTTGTTGAAGACTTCTTCGCCAAGAGGCGTCGTGGTATGCGGAATGACGGAAATGGTGACCGAGTCATCCCTTGCTTCTGTACTTGCTTCCGGATATGTCGTGCACCAAGAGACAGGCTATCTACGACAAAGGTTGTGGATATCCACACCCGGAAGCATGAACGGATAACTCGAGGAGGTGATCTGCAGCGTAGGAGATCGAGATAGAAGCGTGGATGGAAATGCGCGGGTTGAAAGATACGTTGATGCCCTTAGATATTTGTCCCCGAGGGTCATACGTGGAGAAAACAAGCACGGGAGATGCCTAATTACCAAGTGCCCCATCTGGATTAACTTATTCCACTCAACACTCCAACTTTCCTGACGATTACGGGTAACGCCATAGACATTAGGTCCTCGGAAAGCCTCGGGTTCAGATTGTTGGAAGGAGAAGTACGGACAACGGTCCGAGGGATTAACCTCGTACTTCCTTTCCTTTTCTTGTTCACTTATCCGCATCTTTGCACCTTCGACACCAGTTGCGTCGTCCTACCGGTAGCATTGGCTCCGCACCAATACATATGTCGTCTCTCCGGTAGCGTTGGCTCCGGCTTCTTACTATACGCGTCAGTCTCGTAGCATTATACCTCAGCTTTGTTTATCTTTAACTCTCGCTGAGGTACGCATCATATTCATCGTTCGTACTTACATTAACTAACATATACCTCAGACTTGCTCTAGGTAATAAAATGTTAGCGTTGTTATCTTTAACTCTCCGCTGAGACTTGCTCTAGCCTAAACAGATGGCGTGAATTGGAAGGGGCGTTAGCAGTGTATCTGCAGGTAGAAGGCTTTGCAGCAACCGCGGTCGGCAAAACTGCCGAATTCTGCCAACAACACTAGCGTTAGCAGTGTGTCTGCAGGTAGAAGGCTTTTCAAGTAAGGAAGATGTCGAAGGACATCGGGAATTGGGCTATAATATATGACCATCAAATACGCACGCAGAGAGACAAAATCAGTCCAACGCGCCTTGAATTGGGGAAGATCCAGTGTAAAGTGCAAATCAGCTGCCTTTCCGACCACGACTGCAGGTCAACGAGGGACGATTCGCCAAGTAGCGCTGTCAGAGCAGTGATAGAGAACACTCCACGTCAATGGCCAGCGAAAATGGACAAGATACGGTCGTAGTGTCAGCATCGATAGTGTTTTGCGTGATGGCAGAGTCCGAATTTGCGTGATGGTGGAGGCATAGGCTATGAAGTGTCTACGTGTAGATCGAGCACCTTGGGACAAAGAGACGAGCAAGTGAATAAAACCGCCATAGAAGGTGCCGGTGAACCATCGTCTGAGCTCGGCAGTGCTGTTGGGCTCCATGATATTGATATGGTTTACTTGTTTAAGATTAACTTGTGCAATCAACGTTGAACGCAAGGGGTCAACCGGCCTTGCACACGGTCTTGGAGTACTTTGAATATATGTATGATCTTCAGACTCAACCCTCCTCGAGTAAGTACTAGTATATCTAGTGATGTTTGATCAGCAAGAACTACTGATAGTTGCAAAATGTACAACGTTGAGATACTAGTATGGCATGGTATAGTACTTATAAGTTACAAGTCGAATAAGCAAAGAAGAGGTATAGCAAAGAAAGGGAGAATGTCCAGCGCGATTCACGATGCGAGCTTGCTCTCCCTTTTCGCTTGTTGCACCTGCGCCAAGCGGTGACTGCGTAAAGTCATGGATGAACCCTGGGCTGCCTTCTTTGTTGCCGCTGCAGGCACAGAAGGTGCTACAGCAGCCTGAGATAAAGCTATTCGCGTGTCATCCGATGCAAATCCAGGAATACGGATATTGTGGTTGCGTTCTGAGACAGAGCAATGAGAACTAGAACGAGGAATAATGAATTGATCAGGCTTACCAAGGTGAAGCTGGAGGTCTTTGACTTCGAGCGTGTCACCGCCGCGATGTTTTGCTAGTCGACAGCCAAAGTTCGTGACCGAGTCGATGAACTCGTCGGCGATTTGAAGAAGTAGCTGTAAACGATACAATGAGCGACGTGTCAAACCATTTGAGTGCAATGGCTCACATCCTCCACCTCAGGTTCAATCCGAACATTGGGATCAACACTTGAGACGAGGTCTTGAATTGACCGTCTCATGCTCTGATCTCCCGGGGTATTCTTTCTCCGTGTGTGGCTATCCTCTAAGCTAAGCATGCCAACGTCGTCCGTAGATCGTGCGATCGAAGCAGGGGTACCTGGTAACATGGATCAAAATCAGTACTCGGACGGGACCGCTACTTTCCCGGTAAATAATCATCAGGAACTCACCAGACAATCTGCCACTAGTCATCCCACCTGTAAGAGTTGGTCTTCCTTGCTGCGCAGCAGCCCACTGAACGGGCCCTGGATTGGTAGTGTTGAGAGTTTGGCTAATGGGATACCCGTCACCAGGTGTGGATGTAAGAACAGGTGCTGGTGACCCGCTTTTAAAAGCGGTAGCAGTCGTCGCAACAGCTCCGGTCTACCACAAACGGGATGAGACAAAGGAGGTTCCTACCCATTGTGTCGTACCTTTGTACCGGCATTCGCGGTTGAAGTGCCAGCCACGTTTCCCGAAGCACTGGTCGCGGACTTGTGTTTTTCAGCGTAATCTTTCAGCTATAGATAAGACACCCAGGTGAGATAAATAAATCTCACTTGATTTAAAAGCCGACGGACCTGCTGGATCTGTACGGCAGTAAGCTTGCCCTGCCGCATGAGCTCGCCAAGCTGGCCCATATTCTGCTCGAGGAGCTGGGCTATGCGCGTGCTCGATGCTGCCTCGCCATTTTGGCTCTTAAAAGCACTAGTCAGGGCGGTGATTATGTTTGCGGGGGTTGGAGTCGCTGTTGTTGCTGCTTCGTTCGTCGCCATTTATGATTTCTCCTCCTCGTTGTCCAACTCTTAGAGGAGTGGCGCGAGCGTGAGAAATATGTAATTCTTTCCATGACCTACATAATAATAACTTTGTCTTTTTCTATAGAATAACGGCTCGCTTGCGGACGGAGATCCACCCATGCTGAGCGGATTCTCTCTATGACATTGGATTGGCCGTGGCAACGTGTCCAGGGAAGTTGATGACATATATTCCTTCAAGCGAACTCTGCCATCAGATACACGCCGGAGTTCGTTTGACGAATGATCTGGTGATTCTGGTCTTGTGCGACCTTCAGGCAACCTAGGTTAATTCTAACCACCCGTACACCGACATTGGTTCGTCCGCAACTCATCTTTTCATTCGGTAGCAGTAGACATTGGGGACGCACGACAACGCTTCACAGCGAACAGCCTCTCGTCTTCCCTGGTGGTTGAGAAGCTAATCATGGACTGAAGGTTAACAGAATGTGATCATATGATGCTTGGGCCCCTCAGTTGCACAGCCTATGCTGTGTATAGGCTGTGAAGCAAACACGATGATAAAACGTCTTTAACGTACTAGGAGGCAAAGGATTCCACACAGACCTGACGGAAACACCCATTGTTCCCCACTGTCTGTCTGTCGTTGTTGTCTTCGTAAGTGACGATTTTGGGATTTAAAAGATGAAGGCTAAGACAGCACTGCACTCGGCAGTAGGAATTCTGGAGCATGGATTTACCCACCACTAAAACGAAAGAGGCATCAGTAATAACGCCCCGCCAGAAATTTGAAGGACACACTGATGGTGTCTGGGGCGCCATACACCTGCCAGGCGGACAGCGGATCATCACTTGTTCGTTCGATGGCTCGCTGCGAGTGTGGAACTTAGAGAGCGGGAAACAGATAGGAGAAGATTGGAGAGATGGAAAAAGTGCAGTGCAAAGTATAGCGTTGTCTCCGGATGGGAAGAAAGTGGTTGGTGGGAGTTTGGATGGTGCAGTGAGGTTGTGGGACATCGACACATGCAAAGTTCTCGCGAAATGGATGGGGCACACAAACCCTGTGTGGTCTGTCTGCTGGAGTCGAGATGGTCGGAGAGTGTTAAGCGGATCTTCTGATGGGACTGCAAAGCAATAGGACGTGGAAAGCAGAGAGGCATTCCTTGAGCCGATCATGACTCGCTCGGAATACACTCGCCAGACACGACCTTGATTGCAACTAGTGGACGTGGCTATGATGGATCCTGCACTGGAGCACCCGTCGAGTGCTCGATCAAAATCTGGGACACAAAGACAGGCGAGCTTGTTGCAACTCTCAAAGGACACATGGACGCAGTGCGTTGCCTGGCTTGGACGCCAGATGGAAAAACGCTTATCTCCGGATCCTTTGATAACTCCATTATGACATGGAATACAGCCAAGTGGGAGCAAATTGCGGTACTTGTTGAGCACACTTTTCCTGTCTATGCCATTGCAATATCACCGAATGGCCGCATCCTTGCAAGTGCATCTTTCGACAGTACAGCGCGATTGTGGAACCTCGACGATGGACAACCCACCAGTCCATCCCTCCAGCATGCACGACCAGTTCAATACGTATCATTTTCGGACGATGGAAAGCTACTAGCAACTGGCTGCTCGGACCAAAACGCGTATACATGGGATGTTGCTGCGATTGTTCGAGAAGCGGGACTCAACGACCTTCTTTCGGATCCAAAGGTGAGTTGACAGGCATGTCTCATTGTATTACATTCTCGCAACTGAACGTGCACTGCCAGGCCAACAAGTTGGCGCTCCATGTACGTGACACCTTCATTAACAAATCCCGTTGTGCTCAACACACATAATACAGGCAGATGCTACACGACGTCCGCCTGCTTATCGGGTACCCCAAGGCTTTTTCGATGGTGCCCCACCAGATGTTTCTCAAGTATGTTCTTGCTATTAGTTTTTTTTTCCGACTTCGTGTTTCCAGTTCTCTGCACTAAGCGGCCCCCAATCCTCCTCAGAACCGCAGGGAAGCACACTTCTTCGTCGCTTATTCTACCGCAGCCCTCCAAATGCCCATGATACGTCACCGTCCTCCCCTTTCAAGTGGGCTCAAGCCCTTTTGAAACGGCCCAGACAAAGTAGTGAAAGCGCTGAGTTGCAAGGGCGTGGCCAAGTTGCCGAGGTTCCGTACGCAAAGGGCAAACGTGTATGTTCTTTCTCCCTCTCGGATGCTCAACTCCACCTAACATCACGTAGAGAAACGCTTGAGCAAGGGAGGTTGTATTAGCGAAACAGAAACAGAAAATGAAAGCGTTGCACTCCAAGAACTCTACTGCGGGCAGCTCACGGCCTCCAAAGCCCAATGTCGCTAAGCCATCTTCGCAACAACAGGCAACTGGCTCCTCATCGTCTACCACACCTGCTGCCGGTGATAATACCGCGGCTACGAATTCAGCGCCCTCGCGCCCTGATGTAATTCTCAGACAGGCTGGACTCTGGACTCGCTTCTGGCTCTTCATTGGTTGTCTGTCTCCTGAATACCAGGATGGTCGTCATTAATCTACGATTTCCTCGTCTACAATGATCTGTCGCGCGCCTCTAGAATATCACGCCTCTCATGGATGAGGTCTACATCCCTGCCATGTTTTGAACTGTCCTTTTTGCTACCGCTTGCTAAGCTCTGGATTGGATCGGACGTCTGCAATATCGATGGACGTTCGAATGATCTGACATCTACCGTGTGTAGTTAATTTTACTTTGGGGTGTTTGTGAGCGATAGGACAACAATTAAATAAATAGACGTCTTTGATGGGTCCGGTATATTCTCCTACTTCAAAGTAGTATCGCAGAAACGGACTTAGGTAATTCATACCCTCACTTGAGGCTGCCAGTGTTGTGTGATAGATGGGGCGATCATGTCTATGTAATCGCTCTGCCCATCCGATAGCAATCGCGTCTTAAACGGCATGCACGAGCGTCCGTTCAATTCATTCCTGCTATAACCATCAGGCGTCTCATCTTGCTTTTGTGTTCTATACTTGCCCACCTTGCCTATTCGCCAACGTTCGTTGGTCACATCGACGTGATCAAGTCTCTTCCTCTCAAACAAAGGCACGTACTTAGCATCGCACTTGTACATCTCTACACCGAGTGCAAGAACCGGTTCTCGGCCCAAGTTCCAACGACGGAGCGTGTGAGGTATCAGTCCTATCTGACTGAATGGGAAATATCGAGGTAATGCAGAATGATATCGGGCGGCAACTGTGAGGAAGTGCTCGTCCAGGGCTGTGTATACGAGGGAGTGTTGATGAATGGAATGGAGTTGGTGATCTCTGTACCGTTTTCGTCCGTCTACTATTTAGCATGTCATAACTGAGTCTATTCCAGAGTATAAGAGCGAGGGCATCTGCCATCTAATACTCGGGTGTGCGTATAGGAGATCTGATTCTACGACATCGAATACGCACACCCGTGAACTCTGGAGACACGGGATTGATTGATCTGTGCATGCATGACCTGTTTTCCTGGATCAAATACGCAAGTGTGATCCTGGGTCATCCGATGGTTGACTATCCGCGAGTTCGTCGCCGCCGACGTTAGCATGTCCTGGGATCCACCAGACGGCTAGATTAAAGTAGCCTGCTGTTTCATTAAATAATTGGTTAGCTAACGGGCGCTAGCATATAGTCAACGCAACTCACAGATCATCCCCCTATTCAGTAGTAGTAGATATTGAGGACGCTTCGCAGTGAACGGCCTCTCGTCTTCCCTAGTGGTTGAGAACTAGTTAATCAGGGATTGAAGCTTGACAGAATGTAGCCTTGCGATGCTTGGGCGCTTCAGTTGCACCGCCTGTGTATAAGCTGTAAGGCGAACACGAGAATGAGGCATGTAAGACGTTTCAGGAAGCAGTGAAGCCAACTCTGACTTGACAGAAACGCCCATCGTACCCCGTTATCCGTTGTCGCTGTTGTCTTCGTAAGTGATGATTTTGGAATTTGGTGGATGAAAGAGATGTATCAGCGGTAAAACCGCGCCAGAATTTTTGACATGTTGGTGCTGTCTGTGGTGTCATCATCACCTGCCAGACGGACAGCAGATCATCACTCGTTCATTAAATGGCTCGTTGCGGGTATGGAACTTGGAGAGTATAGGAGAAGACTGGCGTTGGAGAAAGTGCGGTAGCGAGTATAGCATTAGCTTCGGACAGGAAGAATGTGGTTAGCGGGAGTGGAGTCGACCGGGCACAAATACGTGTTTGCAGTTGTCTATTCATAGTAAGTAGAAACTAGTAGTTTTGCCGGTTATAACCGGCGTGATTGGCAAATCTCTCGTTATCTAGTAGACGACCTTGATTGCGATGGGTGGATATGATTAGCCCAGGTTGACGTCGACGTCGACGTCGTAACTCAAAGGTTCAGTACGTACTCGGGACGGACAAACACTCTCCCGTATGATCACTTGATCATTGGAATACCACCAAATGGAAGCAAACTTGGAAGCGTACACTTCCATATCACCACAAATGGCCGCATCCTCACAGGCGTTTCGTCCGACAACACAGCCCGATTGTAGAACCTCGACAATGGACAAACCCATTGGTTCACCAGAGCAAGTGAACCGTATGTCATTTTATGCTCGTCGACAGCTACTAGCGACTGGCTGCTGGGACAAAAATGCGTACGCATGGGATGTTGCCACGATTCTTAAAGAAGCTGGCCTCAACGACCTTCTTTCAGATCAAAAAGTGAGTTGATAGGCATCTCTCATTGTATTACATTCTCACAACTAGACACACACAATCTGTCAGTCCAACGAGTCAGCACTCCATGTACGTGACACCTTCATTAAAAGATCTCCTTGTGCTCAACATATATACTCTAGTCTGATGATGCTACGCGACATCCGGTCCAACGACACGACTCATCTGCCTGTTTATAGGACACCCCAAGGTTCTCTCGCTTTGGGAGCCGAAGTACTTCGGAAGGGTAACTCGGCTTACGTCGTGATGTAGGTCATTTTGGTGGATTAAAATGATGGTAAAAAAAACTCCAATTCGGCGCCTTCAATACCTTAAAATCACCCGGCATCCCTCTCACACCTTTCAAGGTGCTCACTTCCTTCCTTCCTTCCTTCCTCGATCTCTTCTCCGTTTCTAAGAACGAGCCTGGGCTTGACGACAATCCCAGCGGTAGTACATTTGACGATCCAAATATCTTTGAAATTGTCGACATGAACGCCACCCAGCACCCAACCTCATCGACGTTGCCTCCACCTGCCGTCCAGAACCAGTTTTTGCAGTATTCAATAACCAAGAAAAAACGCGACGATGAAGATGATACTTCGGCTATGGTGACGTTGAAGAATTATTTGTTTGAGGAAGTCGATGGACAGCAGTCCACGGCACCCTTGAATGCATATTGCTTCATGACTGGTTTCACGTACGTACAATGTACTCTTCATCTACGGCGCATCTCACTGGTCTTTTTTTCAGTGACTCGATTACATACTCTGCTACATTTATCTGGTGCGCTTTCCAAACGGGAAACAGTCTAAGAGTGCGTGTACCTCCGCAGTTGCAGAAGGACTTTCCCAACTGACATTTGCGCCATAGTTGGCCCTTGCCTTTGCTCGCCTGTTCGACGGACAGCATGACCCCTCATTCGATGTACCGGATGGTCTAGCGCTGTGCTCATTGCTCATGTTCATTTTCGGCGCCTTCATCGGCCGCCTCGGCGATAAGTTGGGCTGCAAGACACGGTTGTGGTTGACCCTCGGCACATTCGTTCAAACCCTCTTGACAATGGTCGCTACTATTGCGATATGGAAGAGCCATCAGGGTAGCATTGCTGATGGTCCCGCTCACCCCGCATGGACTAACGTGTTGTCCTTCATGTGTATCGGCTCCATGAGCGCGAGCATGGGCTTGCAGGCCATTATGGGGAGGCGTATCAATACGCAGTTCGGTACTACAGGTGTGTTTCAGGTGTATTTATATTTTTTTCTTCTTAATCTTTTGTTTTCTCCGCAGTTGTGTTCACGTCGGTTTGGTGTGAGCTCATGGCTGACCCTAAGCTCTTCAACATCCGACGAATCGTCGTTTCGCGCGATCATAAGATCATGGCTATCATCTTCATGTTTTTGGGAGGCGTCGTCGGCCCGTGTATTGATCGACAGAGTTGGTTCAGCTACTACGTTGGGCATTGGCACAGGTATCCGTATGATTATCACCGTATGGTGGCTTTTCATCCCAGAGGAGCAGGGTAGAATATGTTTGTGAAGTGCTTATATGCGTGTTTACGACCATGTACATATTTTCATTGCTGAAGCGCTGACGACTCACCAGTAGCTGTAGTTTAGATGTATCAGTCTTTGTAACACCACGAAAAATCAAATACAACAATGCGCTCATTCAATGTTCGACTTTCAACACTAGGAATTGCAACTTATCTTGAACTCCCCACATCATGGTCATCACAAGCTGTTTGGTTCTGCACCTGGTCCTTTCCTTTTCGCTTTCGCCATTGCCAGTGAAGATGATCCGTTTGGCCAAATGGCTCATCTTCATTGGCATAACTTTCGCGTGGGCCCCGAGTCGCCGTCGTTCTTTCTGAACGCATTTGCGGGTTGATTTATGCTTTAGATTTTTTAATGTAACCCGCAAAAATGTCCAGAGAGGAACCGTGAATATACTTTGATAGAAGGAGCCTACCCATACCTAATGGGCGGATTCTCTCTATGACATTGGATTGGCTGTGACGACGTGTTCAGGGAAGTTAGTAACCTATAGTCATATCAGGCCTCAAGCGAACTATACACGCCAAAGTTCGTTTGAGGAATGATGCTGTATAAACTGTGAAGTGAACACGAGAAATCATCTATAACGTACCAGGAAGCAAAGAATCCACACAGTACTGACCTGACAGAAACGTCCATTGTGACCTGCTATCTGCCTGTCATTGTTTTCTTCATAAGTGGAATTTTAAGGATGAAGGCTAAGACGGCACTGCAACTCGGTAGTAGGAATTCTGGAGTTTGCTACTAAAACGAAAGAGAAATCAGTCGTAAAACTACGCCAGAGATTTTGACATATTGATGCTGTCTGCGGTGTTACACCTGTCAGGCGGACAGCAGATCATCACTTGTTCATTGGATGGCTCGCTGCGGGTGTGCAACTTGAAGAGCGGGAAACAGACAGGAGAGGACTGGCGGGATGGAGAAAGAACAGTAGCGAGTATAGTGTTGGCTCCGGACGGGAGGAAGGTGGTTTGCGGGAGTATGGACGGTGGAGTGTGGGACATCGACGCAGCCATGGTCGTCACGAAATGGATGGGTTACAAATACTCAGGATGTGGTGTCTGTCTGCTGAAGTCGGGATGGTCAGAGTGTGAAGCGGATCTAACGATGAGACTGCAAGGCAATGGGAAAAGGGAGAGAGACAATCCGTATATAGAGAACAGTTGACCAGGCACAAATACGTGTCACCAGACACCTTGATTGCGATTGGTGGATATCATTCGCCCAGGACCAGAAAACCCGAGTGCCCGGTCAAAATCTGGGACACACAAAGACCATGACAGGCGACAACTCCAAAATTTGAAATGACACGCAAGCTAGTGCTTCAAGTGGGACCCGGGAACACTTATCTCTGGATCATATGTTGATTAGGATGCAATACCACTTCAAGTGGAAACAAACCGCAGTAACAACACTTCCATCATTAATGTGTCTTGACCATTGTAAATGGGCGCATCCTCGCAAGCGCTTCGTCCGATAACACGGCGCGATTGTGGAACCTCGACAGTGGACAACACATCAGTTCACCACTCCAGCACGGAGAGAAAGTGAACTGTGTGTCGTTTTCTGCTCCGAATGGACAACTACTGGCCACTGGCCACTGATACAAAAACGCGTACGCACGGGATGTTGCTTCGATTCTTAAATAAACAGGCGTCGACGACCTTCTGTCGGATCCAAACGTGAGTTGATAGGCATGTCTCATTGTATCACATTCTCACAACTAAACGCGCTCTGCCGGGCCAACAAGTCGGCACTCCATCATGATGTACACGACACTTTCGGTTAAATAATCTTATTGTGTTCAAAAATACACCCTACGCTGATATTACACGACATCCGGTCCAACGGCGCCAGCCTGCGGATCAGGTAACCCAAGGTTTTTTCAATTTGGGAGCCGAAGTACTTTAGAAGGGTAACAGGACACCTACCACTCAGTCTACGTCGTTGGGCCATTTTAATGGATCAAATTGGAGTACAAAAACCTCCGACAACTCGGCACCCACAATCGGATAGCATCACCTTAAAATCGCCCGGCATCCCTCTCATTTCTCACAAGGGGCTTCCTTCCTTCCTTCCGACCTCGACCTCTTCTCTGTTTCTGAGAACAAGCCTGAACTCAACGACAATCCCGGCGGTGGTACATTTGACGATCTGAATATCTTTGAAATCATCGACATGAATTCCACCCAGGGCCCGACATCACCGACAATGCCTCCACCTGCCGTCCAGAACCAGGTTTTGCAGTATCCAACAGGCAAGAACAAACGCGACGGTGAAGATGATGCTTCGGCTATGGTGATGTTGAAGAATTATTTGTTTGAGCAAGTCGATGGAGAGCGGTCCATAGCGCCCCTATCTGTGTATTGCTTCATGACTGGTTTCACGTGCGTACAATGTACTCTTCATCTACGGCGCATCTCACTGGTCTTTTTCAGTGACTCGATTACATACACTGCTACATTTATCTGGTGCGCTTTCCAAACGGGAAACAGTCTAAGAGTGCGCATACCTCCGCTGTTGCAGAAGAATTTACCCAACTGACATTTGCGCCATAGCTGGCCATTGCCTTTGCTCGCCTGTTCGACGGGCAGCATGACCCCTCATTCGATGTACCGGATGGTCTAGCACTATGCTCATTGCTCATGTTCATTTTCGGTGCCTTCATGGGCCGCCTCGGTGATAGGTTGGGCTGCAAGACACGGTTGTGGTTGACCCTCGGCACGTTCATTCAAACCCTCTTGACAATGGTCGCTACTATTGCGATATGGAAGAGCCATCAGGGTAGCATTGCTGATGATCCCGCCCACCCCGCATGGACCAGCGTGTTGTCCTTTGTGTGCATCGGCTCCATGAGCGCGAGCATGGGCTTGCAGGCCATTATGGGGAAGCGTATCAATACGCAGTTCACTACTACAGGTATGTTTCAGGTATATATATATGTATATATTCTTAATCTTTCGTTTCTCCGCAGTTGTGTTCACGACGATTTGGTGTGAGCTCATAGCTGACCCTAAGCTCTTCCACATCCGACGAATCGTCAATTCGCGCGATCATAAGATCCTGGCTATCATCTGCATGTTTTTGGGAGGCGTCGTCGGCCGTGTATTGATTGACAGATTTGGTTCAGCTACTACGTTGGCTATCGGTACAGTAATCCGTTTGATTATCACTGTATGGTGGCTTTTCATCCCTGAGGAGCAGGGTAGAATATGTTTATGAAGTGCTTATATGCGTGTTTACGACCATGTACATATTTTTATTGCTGACGACTCACCAGTAGCTGTAGTTTGGATGTATCAGTCTTTGTAACACAACGAAAAATCGGATACATCAATGTGCTCGCTCAATGTTCGACTTGTAACGCTTTGAATTCCAACTCATGTTGAACTCACCCCGCATCATGATCATCGCAAGCTGCTTGGTTCTGCACTTGGTCCTTTCCTTGTCTATTGCATTCGCTTTCGCAATTACCGGCGAGGATGACTCGTCTGTCCAAAGGTCATCTCGCATGGGCTCCGAGTCGCCGCTGTTCTTTCTGAATATATTTGCTGACATTGAATTGGCTGTGTCAACGTGTCCAGGGAAGTAAGTGACCCATAGTCACATCAGGCCTCGAGCGAACTCTGCCGTCAGCGGATACACGCCAAAGTTCATTTGAGGAATGATCTGGTTTTCCGTCGGAGGTGATGGAGACTGATATAGAAACGTCAGTACGTGAATTTGGGTATCACTTATCAGCAAGTACTCGTCATTGATTGCAAATGAAGCTGGTTATACACTGAATGCCGATGGATTGCTAAATACTTCAGTCTTTCCGCCAGCATTCAATTGATGTGCGTCCTTCAGGTAACCTAGGTTAATCCCAACCGCCCGAAAACCGACGCTGGTTCGTCCGATCCTTGACAATGAGCGTCGTACCTGTGAGCCTGGGCCATCCGACGGCTACCTATCCGTGAGTACGTCGCCGTCGACTTTAGCATGTCCCGGAATCCGCCAGACGGTCAGTTTCAAGTGGCCTCCTGCTTCTCGCAGGTTCGTTAAATAACCGCTTAGATTACTGGCGCTGGCATGTAGGCAATGCAGCTCATCCTCCTATTCAATAGTAGTAGATATTGAGGACGGACGAGGATGCGCCTCTCGTCTTCCCTAGTAGCTGAGAACTACTAGCTACTAATCATGGCCTAGAGCTTAATGCAATGTGATCATGTGATGCATAGGCGCTTCAGCTGCACAGCCTATGCTGTGTATAAGCTGTGAAACAAACACGAGGATAAGGCATATAAAACGTATCAGGAAGCAATGAAATCAAACAGAAACGCCCATTGCTATCCACCTCTCGTTGTTGTCTTCGTAAGTGATGATTCTGGAATTTGATGAATGAAGGCTAAGACAGTACTGCACTCGGTAGTAGGAATTCTGGAGCATGTCTTCGCCCAGTACTAAAACGAAAGAGACATCAGCGATAAAACCCCGCCAGAAATTTGAAGGACACACCAGTTGGGTCTGGGACATCATACACCTGCCAGGTGGACAGCGGATTATCACTTGTTCAGAAGACGGCTCGTTGCGGGTATGGGACTCGAAGAACGGGAGAACAAATAGGCGAAGACTGGCGGGATGGACGAAGTCCAGTGAGGAGTATAGCGTTGTCTCCAGACGGGAAGAAAGTGGTTAGTGGGAGTATGGACGGTGGAGTGAGGTTGTGGAACATCGATACATGCAAGGTCATCGCGAAATGGACCGGGCACACAAACAGTGTGATTTCTGTCTGCTGGAGAAGAGATGGTCGAAGGGTGTTGAGCGGTTCCATAGATGGGACCGCAAGGCAATGGGACGTGGAAAGCGGAGAGACAATCCTCGAGCCAATCGTGACGGAGCACCTTGGGGTATGGGCAGTCGTCTATTCACCAGACACGAGCTTGATTGCAACTGGTGGACAAGACAAGCCCTTGACTGGGGCACCCATCGAAACCTCAGTCAAAATCTGGGACGCAAAGACAGGCGCGCTTGTCGCAACTCTCAAAGGACACACATGGGTAGTGACTTGCCTGGCTTGGACAAAGGACGGGAAAACGCTTATCTCCGGGTCATACTACGATTCCTCGATTAGGACATGGGATACAACCAAGTGGGAGCCAACCGCGGTTCTGGTTGAGCACACTCACTGGGCCTTTGCCATTGCTATATCTCCAAATGACCGCATCCTCGCAAGCGTTTCGGACGACAACACAGCGCGATCGTGGAACCTCGACAACGGACAACCCATCAGCTCACCCCTCCGGCATGTAGAACCAGTTAAGAACGTATCGTTTTCGCAAGATGGAAAGCTACAGCCACTGGCTGCCAGGATTCAAACGCGTACACATGGGATGTTGCTGCGATTCTTAGAGAGGCTGGCCTCGACGCCCTTCTTTCAGATTCAGAGGTGAGTTGACAGGCATGTCTTATTGTATGACATTCTCACAACTAAACGCGCTCTACCAGGCCAACAAGTCAGTACTCCATGTACGTGACCCTCATTCAAAGACCTCCTTGTGCTCAACATATATTCTCTAGTCCGATGCTACACGACGTCCAGTCCAGCAACGTCCGCCTGCTTATCGGGTAACACGAGGTTTTTTCGATGGAGTCCTAGCAGATGGTTCTCGAGTATGTTCTTGATATTAGTGTCACTCCGTCTTTTTTCAACTTTGCTTTTCCAGTTCTCTGCACGAAGCCATCCCCGGTCCTTCTCAGAACCGCAAGGAAGCACACTTCTTCGTCGCTTATTCCATCGCAACCTCTCCAATGCCCAGGATAGGTCGACATCCTCTCCACTTGACTGGGCTCGAAACATTTTGAAACGGCGCGGACAAAGTTATGAAGGCACCAAATTGCAGGGGCGCAGCCAAGTTATTGAGGTCCCGTATGCGCAGGGCAAACGTGTAGGTTCTTTCTCTCGTTCTGACGTTCAACTCCACCTAATATCACGTAGAGAAACGCTTGTGCGAGGGAGAAACGGAAAAGACTATTGCCCTTGAAGAACCCTACTGCGAGCAGCTCACGGCCTCCCAAGCCCAATGACACACAGCAATCCGGCACAGCAACTCAGACTCAGTCATCTTCGCAACCACAGGCAGCTGTCTCTACCACACCTGCTATCAATAATAATGCCGCGGCTTCGCGCCCTGATGTAATGCTCAGACAGGCTGGACTCTGGACTCGCTTCTGGCTCCTCATTGGTTGTCTGTCCCCTGAATATCAGGATGGTCATCATCAATCTACGGTTTCCTCGTCCTCTCGCGCACCTCTAGATATACACCTCTTGTGGATGAGGTCTGCCTTTTTACTGTTTTGAACTATCCTTTGTGATATCAAGCTCAGGATTGGATTGAGCGTCTGTGATATCGATGGATGTTCGGATGATCTGACAATATTCGCTTACTTCTCAGTCTGTCGCTATCGCAAACTAATGTTAATTTGGGGTATCTGTGTAAGTGATGAGACGGTGATCGATGATCCATTAGACGTCTGTGATGGATCTGGTATATTATCCTACTTCGATGTATGTAGTATCGCAGAGAAACGGACTTGGCTAATTCATTCTCTCACCTGGGGCTGTTATGTGATCGATAGCGCGATCATGTCTATGTAATCGTTTTGCCCATCCGACAACGATCACGTCTTAAATGACATGCACGAGCGCCCACTCTGTCGCATCAGGCGTCCCGTCTCGCTTTTGCTTCCCATACTTGCTCACTCTGCCTATTCGCCAACGTTTGTTGGCTATATCGACGTGATCGAGCCACGTCTTTTCCTCTCCAATTAAAAGCACGTACTTTGCGTCACGCTTGAATGTCCCTGCACCGAGTGGGACACCGAGGAATGGTTCTTGACCCAAGTTCGAACGAGGGAGTGTGTGAGGTATCAGTCCTGTCTGACTGAAAGGGAAACATCGAGGTGGTGGAGAATAATATTGGGTAGCAGCTGTGAGGAAGTGCTGTCTAAGACTGTACATGTGGATGATGGAGCGTTGATGGATGGAATGGAGTTGGTGATCCTTGTAGTATCGTCGTCGTCTATTTGATCTGAGTCTAGGTATGCATAATCCCAGAGCATGAGAGGAGGGGCGTCTGTCATCTGATACTCGGGTTTGCGTATGGGAAATCAGATTCTGCAATTGTTATTGTGGACTCTAGAGACACGGGATTAACCGACAATGATCTGTGCGCGCATAACGCAGTATAATCTGTTTTCCTAGATCGAATTTCGAAAGTATGTCAGTGTGATCCTGGGCCATCGGACAGCGACCTATCCGCATGTTCGTCGCTGTTCATCGGCGTCGGCGCTAGCATATCCCGGGATCCACCAGACAGTTAATTTAAAGTGGCCTGCTGCTTTTTGCTGTTTCGTTAAATAACTGGTTAGATAACAGGCGCTGACATACACGCAACAAAACTCATCCTCCTATTCAACAGTAGTTGACATTGAGGACGCACGAGGATGCCTCACAGCAAACAGCCTCTCGTCGTCTCTAGTGATTGAGAGTTTGCTAATCATGAACTGAGGCTTAACGGAATGTGACCTTGCGATGCTTGGGCGCTTCAACTGCACAGCCTATTGCTAATATAAGCTGCAAGACGAACACGAGGATAAGGCACGTAAGACGTACTAGGAAGCAGTGAAATCAACTCTGACTTGATAGAAACACCCATTGTGCCCTGCTATCCGCCTGTCGTCGTTGTCTTCGTAAGTGATGCTTTTGGAATTTGATGGATAAAAACTGAGATGGCACTGCACTCGGTAGTAGGAATTCTGGAGCATGGATTTACCTGCCAATAAAACGAAAGGAACATCAGCGATAACACCCTGCCAGAAATTTGAAGGACACACTAATGGTGTCCGGGACGTCATATACCTGCCAGGCGGACAGCGGATCATCACTTGTTCGTTTGATGCCTCGCTGCGAGTGTGGAACTTGAGGAGCGGGAAACAGATAGGAGCAGATTGGAGGGACGGAGAAAGTCCAGTGCACAGTATAGCACTGTCTCCGGACGGGAAGAAAGTGGTTAGTGGGAGTGCGGATGGCGCTGTGAGGTTGTGGGACATCGACACATGCAAAGTCATCACGAAATGGACTGGGCACACAGACTATGTAGTGTGTGTCCGCTGGAGTCGAGATGGTTGGAGTGTGTTAAGCGGATCTTTCGATGGGACTGTGAGGCAATGGGACGTGGAAAGCGGAGAGACAATCCTCAAGCCAATCGTGACTGGGCACCAACATGTGTACGCAGCCGTCTATTCACCAGACACGACCTTGATTGCGACCGGTGGATGGCATGGGCCTTCGGCTACAGAACACGGGGAGTCTCCGGTCAAAATCTGGGACGCAAAGACGGGCAGGCTTGTCACAACTCTCAAAGGACACATGCATGCAGTGCGCTGCCTGGCTTGGACCATGGACGGAAAAATGCTTGTCTCCGGGTCATATGATTGCTCGATTAGGACATGGGATACCACCAAGTGGGAGAAAATTGCAGTGCTGGATGAGCACACTGACTTTGTCTTTACCATTGCAATATCACCAAATGGCTGCATCCTCGCAAGTCCATCACGCGATCGCACAGTGCGATTGTGGAACCTCGGCAATGGACAACCCATCAGTTCACCACTCCAGTATGCAGAACCAGTTGACTATGTATCGTTTTCGCAAGATGGAAAGCTACTAGCCACTGGCTGCCGCGACAAAAATGCGTACACATGGGATGTTGCTGCGATTCTCAGAGAGGCTGGCCTCGATGACCTTCTTTCGGATCCAAGAGTGAGTTGACAGGCACGGCTCATTTTATTACATTTCCACAACTCAACGCGCTCTACCAGGCCAACAAGTCGGTACTCCATGTACGTGACACCTCCATCAAAGACCTCGTTGCGCTCAAAATATATACTCTAGTCTAATGCTACACGACGTCCGCCTGCTTCTCGGGCGCCCCAAGGTTTTTTCGATGCAGTCCCACCAGATCGTTCTCAAGTACGTTCTTGCCATTAGTGTCTCTTCGTTTTTTTGTCGACTTCGTGTTACCAGTTCTCTGCACAAAGCGGCACCCACTCCTCCTCAGAACCGCAGGGAGGCACACTTCGTCGTCGCTTATTCCACCGCAGCCCTTCCAATGCCCGGGATACGTCACCGTCCTCGCCTTTCAAGTGGGTTCAAGCCCTTTTGAAACGGCGCGGACAAAGTAGTGAAGGCACCGAGTTGCAAGGGCGTAGCCAAGTTGTCGAGGTTCCGTATGCGAAGGGCAAACGCGTATGTTCTTTTTCCCTCTCAGATGTTTAACTCCGCCTAATAGCACGTAGAGAAACGCTTGCGCGAGGGAGAAACGGAAAAGACCATTGCCCCGGAAAACCCCTACTGCAAGCAGCTCACGGCCTCTCAAGCCCAATGCCACGCAGCAATCCGGCACAGCAACTCAGACTCAGCCATCTTCGCAACCACAGGCAGTTGTCTCTACCACACCTACTATCAGTAATAATGCCGCGGCTACCTCGCGCCCTGATGTAATGCTCAGACAGGCTGGACTCTGGACTCGCCTCTGGCTCTTCATTGGTTGTCTGTCTCCTGAATACCAGGATGGTCATCATTAATCTACGATTGCCTCGTCCCCTATGATGATTTATTGCGTACCTCTAGAATATACACCTCTCGTGGATGAGGTCTGCCTCCTTACCATGTTTCGACCTTTGATGCCACTCGCCAAGCTCTGGATTGGATTGATGTTCACTTACTTCTCTGTCGCAAATTGATTTTACTTTGGGGAATTTGTGAGTGATAGGACAATTATTAAGCAAACGTCTGTGATGGATCTGGCATATTCTCCTACGTCAATGTAATATCGCAGAAACGAGACTTGGGCTAATTTTTGGGCTGTTGTATTATCAATAGCCTGGGCGACCATGTCTATGTGATCGCTCTGCCCATCCGACAGCGATCGCGTCCTGCACGAGCATCCACTCTGTCGCATCAGGTATCTCATCTCACTTTTGCCTGCTATACCTGCTCCCCCTGCCTGTTCGCCAACGTTCATTGGCCACGTCCAGGTGATCAAGTCTCTTCATCTCCAACAAAGGCACGTACTTTGCGCCGCGCTTGAACGTGCCTGTACCGAGTGGGACACTGAGGACCTGTTCTTGACCTAAGTTCGAACGAGAGAGTATGAAGTATCAGTCCTGTCTGACTGAAAGGGAAAGTATCGAGGTGGTGGAGAATGATGTTGGATGGCATTTTCGAGGAAGTGCTCGTGTAGGACTGTGTGGATGAGGAAGTGTTGATGGATGGAATGGTTTTGGTGATCCCTGTACCGTCGTCGTCTGTTTTCCATGTCATATCTGAGTCTCTCTCAGAACATGAGAGGGAGGGCGTTTGCCATCTGATACTCGGGTTTGCGTACACGAAATCTGATCCTACGATATCGAATATACATACCCGATCATCACCATCGACTCTGGAGACATGGGATTGATTGACTGATATAATGCAGTGTATTTTTTTTTCCTGAATCAAATTTCAGAATAGTACGCAAGTATGATCCTAGGCCATCCGATAGCTACCTATCTGCGAATTCGTTGTCGTCGATGTTACCATGTTCCCGGATCTACCGGATGGTCAGTTTGAAATGGCCTGCTGCTTCTCGGTGTTTCTTTAAATAACCGGTTAGATAATGGGCGATAGCACCGTGACATAGGCAACGCAACTCATCCTCATATTCGATAATAGTAGATATTGAGGACGCACGAGGATGCTTCGCAGTAATGGGCCTCTCGTCTTCCCTAGTGGTTGAGAACTAGCTAATCATGGCCTGGAACTTAAGGAAATGTGATCATATGATGCATGGGCGCTTCAGCTACATAGCCCATGCTGCGTATAAGCTGCGAGGCGAACACGAGGACAAAGCATGTATAACGTACCAGGAAGCAGACGATTCAACACTGACTTGTCAGAAACGTCCATTGTACCCTGCTATCCGCCTGGAGTCGTTGTTGTCTTCGTGAGTGATGATTTCGGAATTTGATGGATGAAAGCTGAGATCGCTCTGCACTCAGTAGTAGGAACTCTGGAGGATGTCTTCACCCTCTACCGAGACGAAAGAGACATCACCAATAAAACCTCGCCAGAAATTGGAAGGACACACTGATGTTGTCATGGGAGTCATACACCTTCTCGACGGACAGCGGATCATCACTTGTTCATGGGATAACTCGCTGCGGATATGGAACTTGAAGAGCGGGACACAAATAGGAGAAGATTGGCGGGATGGATATATTCCAGTGGAGAGTATAGCATTGTCTCCGGACGGGAAGAAGGTGGTTGGCGGGAGTATGGACGGTGAAGTGAGGTTGTGGGACATCGACACATGCAAGGTCACCACGAGATGGACGGGGCACACAAAGGAGGTGAAGTCTGTCTGCTGGAGTCGAGATGGTCGGAGAGTGTTAAGCGGATCCGACGATGGGACTGCAAGGCAATGGGACGTGGAAAGTGGAGAGACAGTCCTCAAGCCGATCGAGACCGGGCACACCTTGGTGGACGCAGTCGTCTATTCACCAGACATGACCTTGATTGCGACTAGTGGATGGGATGAGCCCAGGAATGGAAAAAACAACGGGTCCTCGGTTAAAATCTGGGACGCAAAGACAGGCAAGCTTGTCGCAACTCTCAAAGGACACATACACTCAGTGCCCTGCCTGGCTTGGACCAAGGACGGAAAAACACTTATCTCAGGTTCATATGATTCCTCGATTAGGACATGTAGGGTACCGCACGGGTAACACCGAGGGTCGGAAAGTTGACACCGCACCCGCACCCGCCAACACCGTACCCTTCACGGGTACGGGTACACACCGACCCGTCAATGTCGCGGTTTATGGAAAACACCGCGGTGTCTCTGAACACCGCGGGTACATTACCAAGAAGAGTGTATTAAGTATTAACAACAATGAAATAAAATAGTACTACTTTTCCTATCCTTGCCCTTCATGGCGTTGTTGACGGCATCCTCGCCAAAGCATCCAATGGCATGGTGCTTCAGATTAGTCGTCGAGGACTTATCCTTTGTATCCTGATAGCGGCGCACACCACCTAAAGCTGTCTTACACTTACGCGCACCACACGGGAAAAAATGACACAAGCGGCCATTGTGGTGTTGGACCACAACTTCGGATGAAAAGAAACTATAGATAGGTGACCGCCAAGTCTTCTTGAGAGCCTCCGTATCATTGTATAATCAGATATTTGCAAAAATCAATGGAAAGAAACATACCAAGATCTGCAGAAGGATCGGGATCAGGCTCGAATGCACCTGCCGTTGATTTGTTATCGTCAGTGGCAAGTGAATCAGTACTTGATCGCGTAAGATCAACGGTGTCTGTGGGGCTCGATCGAGAAGACCGAGACACAAATGACTGCTTGACCTTCTTCAAGGGGCGGGCCAGAGCCTTAGCACCCTTTGCAACAGCCTTTTTGAGTGACCTGGCCTTCTCGGAGATGGACGACGAGATAGACTTAGATGATGAGTGTGACTGGGTAGACGAAGCATCAGATGCCTTCTTTGTGAGCTTAGTTTTCATGGGGAGACGACTCAGTGGACTTACTGGTCTCGAGTTTTTGCCTTGGCTTTATGGTAGTGACTCGAGCTTCTCTGCAACGAAGTGTCAGCTCAATAAATTGCTAGAATGATTCACGGGGGTACAAAAGACATGACAGAAATCAGTATAGCATTCACTTGTGATCCTCAAGCTCTCAGAGGAAGGAAAAACAGAGAATCAAACACGGTGTTCAATGGCTGTCGCGCGCCTGGTTCCCGATTTGGTATATTATACCCGCCCAAACACCGTCAACCCGCGGTGAATGGCCACGGTATGCTCAAGGGTACGACTATCCTACTCCGTACCCGTACCCTCCAAACCCGTCAGCATAGAACCGCGGTGTTACCCGTACCCGTGCGTTTCCCTAAGGACATGGGATACAACCAAGTGGGAGCAAAGCGCGGTACTTGTTAAGCATACTTCTTTTGTCTATGCCATTGCAATATCACCAAATGGCCGCATCCTCGCAAGCGCATCACAAGACCATACAGCGCGATTGTGGAACCTCGACAGTGGACAACCCATTGGTTCACCCCTGCAGCATGCAGGTGTAGTACGCTGCATGTCATTTTCTGCGGATGGAAAGCTACTAGCAACTGGCTGCGAGGACAAAAACGCGTACGCATGGGATGTTGCTGCGATTCTTAGAGAGGCTGGCCTCGATAATCTTCTTTCGGATCCAAAGGTGAGTTGACAGGCATTGTATTACATTCTCACAACTGAACGCGCTCTGCCAGGCAAACAAGTCGGCACTCCATGTATGTGACACCTTCACTAAAAGATCACCTTGTGCCACTCAACATATACACTATACTAGGCTAATACTACACGACGTCCGGTCCAGCGACGTCCGCCTTATCGGGCACCCCAAGGTTTTTTCGATGGTGTTCCACCAGATCGTTCTTACGTTCGTCATCACTATAACTTCGATTTTGTTTTCCTGACCTCCGTGTTATCAGTTCTCTGCACGAAGCCGTCACCACTCTTCAGCACTGCCAGGCAGCACACTTTTTCGCCGCTTATTTCGCCGCAGCCCCTCCAATGGCCATGATTCGTCACCGTCCTCCCCTCTCCAGTGGGCTCAAGCCCTTTTGAAACGGCGCGGACAAAGTTGTGAAGGTACCGAGCTGCAAGGGTGTAGCCCTGCAGTTATCAAGGTTCCGTATGCGAAGGGCAAACGTGTAGGTTTTTTGCCTTTCTCAGTCCAACTCCACCTAATTTTTTTTTTTTTTTGGATCCTTGTTTATTGTCCTGTGGGGCGGGGCCCTATGGTGGACACTACCTACAATAACTCCACCTAATATTACGTAGAGAAACGCTTGCGCGAGAGAGAAACGAAAAAGACCATTGCTCTCGAAGAACCCTACTGCAAGGAACTCACGGCCTCCCAAGCCCAATGCCACGCAGCAATCCGGCACAGCTACTCCGAGTCAGACCCATCCATCTTCACAACCACAGCCGGCTGTCTCCAATTCGTCTACCGCACCTGCTGTTGGTGACAATACCGCAGCTACAACTTCAACACCCTCACACCCTGACGTAATGTTTATACAGGCTGGATTCTGGGCTCGCTTCTGGCTCTTCATTGGTTGTCTGTCTCCTGAATACCAGGATGGTCATCATTAATCTATGATTTCCTCGTCCCCTATGATGATCTTTCGTGCACCTCTAAAATATTACCTCTCGTCAATGGGGTGTGCCTCTTTGCTATGTTTCAAACTGTCCTTTTTTGATACCATACGCCAAGCTCTAGATTGGATTGGTCGTCTATGATATCGATTAACGTTCGAGTGATTTGACATTCGCTTAGTTCGTTTGTAGTTATCTAATTTTACTTCAGGGTATTCAGTGTGTGAGCGATATGACGACGATTAAATAGTTAGGCATCCGTAACGGATCTGGTACATTCCCCTACTTCGATGTAGTATCGTAGAAATGGGCTTGGCTATTTTATACCCTCACTTGGGGCTGCCAGTGTTGTGAGATTGATAGGGCGAGACGGATCTTGTGTCGACACGCTGTATGTGGTGGTCCGTGCACAGGTCCTGCTATCGGTATGCGATGGTATACAGCATGCTGACGCCAAGAACTCGAACTTGGAAAAAGTCTTGCCCATGTGCGTGAGTGGGACGTTGGAATGCAGTGGAAAGGGATGGTCCATGTACTGGCGTACAAAAAGTGGTATGGGTGGTGAACGTACGTCGGGGTAGGTGTTGATGGAGAAACGCATGCGACGCGGAGGTAGGCGAGTGTGTATGCATGTAGCGTCTGAGAGATGGAGGGTCCTTGCTCGTCTACAAATAAACATCAGCCTGGGCCACATTTCACCGAAAGCAGACCCTTTCAATTCTATTTGTGATAGAGGACATGATATTCTTCAGACTCCAGAATCGACAACAATCGGGGCTCTACACAAGACATTGGCGCTGTGAGGAAACGCCAGAGATCTACATGACGCCGTCATAGGTGGTCGAATCTGCGAGGAAACACGTGCATTTTATATAGGTCTGGACCTAGAATGAAGATTCGAAATGTAAAGAGACTCACCAGCCATCCGGAGGAGCCACATCCTCTGTCCCTTCAACGCTCCCTCCACAGCAGCCACAAAGCATCTTGTAAGCCGCATGATTAACGAGGGGGCTTTCACTGACATGTGGAATGAGGCAAGATATGTTAGTGTTTGAAAGTTCAAAGGTGAGTTGTGCATGGGGAGGTGAAGCTTTAAGCTTGGGAGCTTAGCGCTTAACGTGAAGGGGCTAATTTGAATGCTGGGTACGGGCACGTCGTTTTTATGTTGCAGCGTCAGAAAGACACTCAAGGTGATCAGAGCGCGATCAAGCCGAAAATGGTCGATGTTGACAGGTTGTGTGGGTTGGTGGGTGAGCGCTAGCACTTGAGCCTTGGATACTTGAGAATGTCTCAACAATGGGACGAGGAAAGGTTGTCTCCGTGTTGTCTCCTTGCAATGTTAAAAACGCGTCCGCTGGCGTTTAAAGCGAAACTGAAAAACGAGCCAGCAATGAAAAGTGAATGTTTAAAGGCTGAAGGTACAACATATCCGAGCCATCCAGATAACACCGGGTAGGACATATAAATTAACCTGATGCGTAAGACCACTCGGCAATGATGTCTCAGATCTGAAGGCGGGCAAGGAGTACTAGTATGCTGTAAATTTGGTCTGACCAAACAAGACGCTCCACCCATGCAACGGACTTTGCCAGAGTTATCTCGGCATGTGCTGTTACATGTTCTGTGAAATATATAGCAAAAATCCAATTGTACTGTCGACGAAATTCAATGGACAACCTTCTCCCTTTACTACTTGAACCTCCTCGACCACCCGATTACCTTGTGTCATACGATCTCAACATACGGCATATGCAAGTACAACTTTTAGATTCCGACACTGTTTGCAAGTTACAGGCTCCACACTGCTTGCATGTAAACAAGCCACAATTGCAAATACGCTCTATTAAATATGACGCGGATGGGGTCGGACGGTCGGATATCCCAGGATCGAGATGTCCTCGATTGTTCAATGATCGTTTTTCGACGGGTCTAAAATCTGATTAGGCTGGTAGTGAGAAAGAAAGAAAGATCATTCGCTTCGCACTTACGTGGAACACAAACCTCCGAGCAGCATATAAGCTCAGGCCCCCAAGGTAATCCGCACTCTATTTTTCCTACCCTCATACCGTCTGAGAACCTAACATTCCGCAATGCCCCCTGTCGCAGTCGCCCCTGCTAACATAAACACTGGATTCGTTACAAACCTTAAGACATCTGCTATCTCTCCACAACTCAATACTCTTCACGACGTCATCGCTCAAGCTGTCGACCGCTCTCCGTTGCACGAGCTTGGTTTCATAACCTCCTTGGCACATGACTCCTCCATTCAGACGAAGACCTTCAGCGCGTTCAACCAATATGTTCGCAATCTTGCACGTGTCATGCTAGAGTGGGGCAAACCCACAGGTTCAGTCGTCGTCGTGTACCTGACGGAGCACGAAGACAATATGGCTGCTGTATGGGCATGTCTGATAGCTGGTTATGTGCCCTGCTTGCAGCCCGCACTTAGCGCGCACTTAGTCTCTTCAAGCAAGGCCAGCTTGCGAAGCACATCGCGCGCGCTGAAGAGCTTCTCAGTCAGGCACGAGGTGTTTCCTTCGTTGCTCCGTCCACCGAGACGGAGAAGGCGCTTGCCAAGATATATGCAGGCATCTTCAACCTTGCGGACAGCACGGTGTCAGCCAGCGACAACTTCTTCGAGATCGGCGGTACTTCCATTGATGCTATCTGGTGAGTATATCTATTTCCGCCTTTAAACGATGACCTCACATAATCTCCAGCCTCAAGCGTGAAGGAGAGGAATACTTCGGCCTGCCTGACATCTCTGTCATTAAAATCCTCAAGCACCCCGTTCTCTCGAGCCTGGCGAACTACATCAACTCTTTGCTCTGCAAGGGCACCCAGACTGAGGGCTGCGACCCCATCGTTCCCTCCAACTCAGTGGAAATAAGACGCCAATTTTCTTCGTGCACCCTGGTAGCGGAGAGGTTCTCACTTTCGTCAATCTTGCCAAATACTTCCATAATGAGCGTCTCTTCTATGCTTTTCGTGCTCGTGGCTTCGATGCTGATCACCCCTATTTCACCTCCATGGACGAGATGGTTTCCTGTTATACCGCAGCAGTCAAGAAGACTCAGACGACGGGACCATACGCTATCGCAGGCTACAGTTACGGCAGTGTTGTCGCATTTGAAGTTGCAAAGCGGCTCGAGGCCATGGGCGATGAAGTAAAGTTTGTAGGTCTCGTTCACATCCCCCCTCATATCACCCCTCGCATAAACAAGATTGATTGGACAACCTGCATGCTCTACTTGTCGTACTTGTTTGGTCTCATGTCAAAACATGATGTCAATGATCTGGCTCTTCCCATGAGACTGCTCATGAAGCAGGAGCAGCTCGAGTTTGTGTGGAAGAGGTCACCTCCTGAACGAATTGTCGAGCTCCAGCTGACGCCCGAGAAGCTTAATAAATGGGTGGATCTAGCTGAGTCTCTCTTCCATTTCGGATTAGACTACAGCCCATCAAGCTCAGTTTGTAAATCTGTCCACTTTCTGACTTCAGAAGCGCCTGCTCACACCAACTCCTCAGCCGCACTTGAAGTTTTCTATGCCATTCCCCTTTGCCGGAACCAAGGTTGACTGGCTCAACAACCATCTCAAGCTATGGTCTAGCTTCAGCTGCGGCGAGGTATAATACACTGATGTGCCTGGGAACATCACACGCTCATGGACCTTGAGCACGTCTCGCAGTTCCAGGAGATCTTCCGCAGTCATCTCGAAGCTCGTGGGCTGTAGAGGTTTGGAGGAGCATATTCCGATTAGATATTGTCTTGCGTCGATTATTATTGAACTATACTTAGAATCCCCGACTCTCATAGATAGTGGGGAGCAAAATGGGTGACTTATAGACATAACAAAGTGTTGATCATAGCGTCGTCACCTTTTGATGCTTTCGAACTTCAAGAAACACGATGCGCTATAAGCCTATACCCAATTTCATATCTTCATCACAGCTCTCCTTACCACAACCAGTACTTACACATCCAACGTTGTTGTGCATGACTCGTTCGCGACAACTTGACTTTGCACTCCAACTGTCAGATACGTCCTAAGTGCGTGCATTCTAGTATATGAAGGTCACATCGTTTATACGATAAGGTTCGTAGTCCATTGGACCATATGAGATCTCACTGTAGCGCACAAATACAAAATGTGCGAAAACAAAAGAAATCAAGAGTGTCACAAAGGTCTGCTCCAAAGGCAAGGAAAGAAAGCTGATGGATCTGTGCCGCAGCTGAGCGTAACGTTCGGTGGTGAAAAGTTGGCATCCCCGCAGGCGCCAGTCAATTGCGGGACCTAGCTCACTCACATTTGTAGCACCTTCCAAACTGATGCAGAGCATAAGATGTATATAGTTAGCCTGCATGTCTGCGATAGAAGGATGTACGATACCAGTGATGTAATGATAGAGACAGAAGACACCAGCTGCAAGCCCATCTCGATAGGAAAATACCCATACCTTCCTTTCACAAAGAATCAAAAGAAAAACGACTTCAGAAGCGACGACACAAGCAACTGTGTACTCGTTCGATGAAGGATCATCAATGATCGAAGTATTCATGAAGTTGTGGCCGCTGCTGCTCAGATCCGATGCACGTTCCAATTAAGACGAGGCATGGTTTGCGCTATCACGTTAGGAGAGGTACGCGTTCAAAACTCACACCTACCACCACTCTTCTCAGCGCAGACTCCAATCCCCAGACTGCTCGGTTTCGGTGCAAGCTTGTTAGGCGCAGCAGTCTGCTTCTTCGTCGCTTTCATGACCCTCCCTTTCATCGCTATCAATCCCACAAAAATTGCTTTGGCATTTAGGTATGCATAGCTGGTCGTTCTTTACCTTACGATCCATAATTCCCTTCCAGTCTGGGGAGCTTACTTGCTCCCCCTGTCCATTAGCAAACATTCGTGAGCTACATCGACATGATCAAGTCTCTTCTTCTCCAACAAAGGTATGTACCTTGCACCGCGCTTCTACGTCCTTGCACCGGGTGGGACATCAAGAACCCGCGCTCGGCCCAAGTTCGAACGAGGGAGCATGAGGTATCAGTCCTGTCTGACCGAAAGGGAAGTATGTATTGAGGTGGTGGAGAATGATATTGGGTGGCAGCTGGGAGTAAGTGCTCGTCTAGGACTGTGTGGATGACAAGCGTTGATGGACGGGATGAAGTTGATGATATCCGTACCGTCGACATTCATTTGCCATGCCACATTCAAGTCTGCGCATGCATAATCCCAGAGGAGGGTGTCTGCCATCTGATCCCCGAGATCGCGTATAGGAAATCTGATTATACGATATCGAATACGCACAACCGGTTATCACTATGGGTTCTAGAGACACGGGATTCATTGATGATGATCTGTGCGTGTATACCACAGCGTAATCTGTTTTCTTGGATCACGTCTCGGAAGTAAGTGTGATGCTGGGCCAACCGAAGGCCACATATCTGCGAGTTTGTCCCCGTCGACGTTGCCATGTCCCGGGATCCACCGGATGGACATTTTAAAATGAGTTTCTCGCTGTTCCGTTGAGTAACCGGTTACATAACAGGCTGGCATGTAGGCAACGCAACTCATTCTCCCATTCGACAGCAGTAGACATCGAGGACGCACGAGAACGGTTCGCAGCGAACGGCATCTCGTCTTCCCTAGTGGTTGAGAACTTGCTAATCATGGACTGGAGCTTAACGGAAGGTGATGCCAGGGCGCTTCAGCTGCACAGTCTATGCTGTAAAAGCTGTGAAACAAACACGAGAATAAAGCATATAAAACGTACCAAGAAGCAGAAAATTCAATTCTGACTTGACCGAAACGCCCATTGTGCCCTGCTATCCACCTGTCATTGTTGCCCTCGTAAGTGATAGTTTGGAATTTGATGGGTGAAAATTTTCACTGACATGGAATTCTGGAGCATGTCTTCACCCACTACTAAAACAAAGGAGACATCAGCGATAACACCCTGCCAGAAATTTGAAGGACACACTGAATGGGTCCAGGGCGTCATACACCTGCCAGGCGGACAGCGGATCATCACTTGTTCAAAAGATGGCTCGCTGCGAGTGTGGAACTGGAAGAGCGGGAAACAGATAGGAGAAGACTGGAGAGACGGAGAAGGTGCAGTGGTGAGTATAGCGTTATCTCCGGACGGGAAGAAAGTGGTTAGCGGGAGTGAGGATGGCGCTGTGAGGTTGTGGGACATCAACACGTGCAAAGTCATCGCGAAATGGACGGGACACACAGGCTGTGTGGTATCTGTCTGCTGGAGTCGAGATGGTCGGAATATGTTAAGCGGATCTAACGATGGGACTGCAAGGCAATGGGACGTTGAAAGCGGAGAGACAATATTATTCCTCGAGCGAATTGTAACTGGGCACAAACACGTGTTCGCAGTCGTCTATTCACCAGACACGACCTTGATTGCAACTGGTGGATATGATGAGCACATGGCTGGGACCGATGGAAATGATGGGCCCTGGACTGGAGCACCCGTCGAGTCCTCGATCAAAATCTGGGACACAAAGACAGGCGAGCTTGTCGCAACTCTCAAAGGACACACTCGGCCAGTGCGTTGCCTGGCTTGGACCAAGGACGGAAAAACGCTTATTTCCGGGTCATACGATTGCTCAATTAGGACATGGAATACCAAAACATGGAAGCAAACCGCGGTTCTGGATCACACCAACGGTGTCTTTGCCATTGCAATATCACCAAATGGCCGCATTCTTGCAAGTGCATCGCACGACAATACAGCGCAATTGTGGAACCTCGATAATGGACAACCCATCAGTTCATCCCTCCAGCACGCACAATCAGTGTGCAGCGTGTCATTTTCCGCGGATGGAAAGCGACTAGCCACTGGCTGCTGGGACAAAAACGTGTACACATGGGATGTTGCTGCGATTGTTAGAGAAGCTGGCTTTAATGACCTTCTTTCTGATCCAAAGGTGAGTTGACGGGCACGTCTTATTGTATTACATTCTCACAACTGAACGCGCTCCGCCAGGCCAACAAGTCGCCACACCATGTACGTAACACCTTCATTAAAAGATCTCGTTGTGCCCAACATATACTCTAGTCTGATGCTACACGACGTCCCCCTGCTTATCGGGTAACTCAAGGTTTTTTCGATGGAGTCCCAGCAGGTCCTTCTCGAGTACGTTTTTGCTATTAGTGTCACTTCATTTTTTTTTTCAACTTTGTATTTCCAGTTCTCTGCACAAAGCGGTCCCCACTCCTCAGAATCACAGGGAAGCACACTTCTTCGTCGCTTATTCCACCGCGGCCCCTCCAATGCCCGGGATACGTCGCCGTTCTCTCCACTCGACTGGGTCCGAAATCGTTTGAAACGGCATAGACAAAGTCACGAAGGCACCGAGTTGCAAGGGCACAGCCAAGTTGTCGAGGTTCCGTACGCAAAGGGCAAACGTGTATGTTCTTGCTCCCTCTCGGATGTTTAACTCCACCTAATATCACGTAGAGAAACGCTTGCGCGAGGGAGAAACGGAAAAGACTATTGCCCTTGAAGAATCCTACTGCAAGCAGCCCGCGGCCTCCCAAGCCCAATGCCACGCAGCAATCCGGCACAGCAACTCAGACCCCATCTTCGCAACCACAGCTAGCTGTCTCTACTGCACCTGCTATCAGCAATAATGCCGCGGCTACCTCACGCCCTGATTTAATGCTCAGACAGGCTGGACTCTGGACTCGCTTTTGGCTCTTCATTGGTTGTCTATCTGAATACCAGGATGGTCATCATTAATCTACGATTTCCTCGTCCCCTACAATGATTTATCGCGCACCTAGAATATACACCTCTTGTGGATGAGGTCCCTCCCTACCATATTTCGAACTTTCATGTCACTCGCCAAGCTCTGGATTGGATCGATGTTCACATACTTGTCCGTTTGTAGTTGTCGCAAATTGATTTTACTTTGGGGAATTTGTGTGAGCGATAGGACAATTATTAATCAAACATCTATGATGGATCGGTATATCCTCCTACTTCAATGTACAATCGCAAAAACGGGACTTGGGCTAGTTGTTGGGCTGTTGTGTTATCGATAGCCTGGGCGATCATGTCTATGTAATCGCTCTGCCCATCCGACGGCGATCGCGTCCACTCTCTCGCATTAGGCGTCTCGCCTCGCTTTTGCCTACTATACTTGCTCCCTCTGCCTGTTCGCCAACGTTCGTTGGCCACATCGACGTGATCAAATCTTTTCATCTCCAACAAAGACACATACTTTTCCCCAGATCGACGGCCAGCATGGCAGGTTGTACTTCGAATACGGGGAGTGGAACCCTATTCCTGAGAGTTGGGCGTATGAGTAGAGGAGGAGGGTTGCGTTTGGGGGGAGGGGTTTGGTGGTGTTAGAATGAGGGATTGGGATGGGTGGGTGACCATGACCAAGTGCCTGGTGTGGTCATTTGCGAGGGGGGTATGAATGGGTGAGGGGAGCGGGTGTTTCTGCGATTGGGTCTAGTGTTGACGTAGATGTGCCTAAGGGGGGCTGTACTTCGTTTAACCGTCGAATACTGATTGTTTGCGTGCGTGCGTGCGGTTCTGGGGTACGTGGAAGGTCGTATGTGGTGTTACTGCGATCACTTAGAACTAGTCAAATGGACGAGGATGAAGAACTCATCTGAATCTACTTCATAAGCTTGTACATACTCTTCACTAGCAGAAATATCCACGCTAGCACTGCGCTTGGCCTTTTCCAATGCACTACGGCTGGCTTCAAGCACTTCCTTGCCTTTCCCCTTCCCATCCACTGCTCCAATCAATCCCTTCCTCCCCCCTTCGCCAATGCCAGTTCCAAGCGCTCTGACGAAATCTGGTGGACGTGGGCTCAAGCCAGGAGACGTAGGAGGCCTCGCAAGCTGGGCAGAGCTTATAGAATGCGCATTTCGTTTGTGTGATTTCTGAACTAGCGCAGGTGCTGACACTGCTGAGATGGGTGATGTATTGTTTGAGCGGGTATTGGTGAATGTGCGACGGTGAATGGTTCGCCTGCAAAGTATGCGCTTTGGGTTGGGGATACTTTGATTTTGATAGAGGTCAGGGATCTGTGTCTGTTGGGTCCATGGTTGAGCTTTAGGTATGATTTCGTCGATCCGAGCTTTAAATGATAATATGAACGAGGGAATGAAATCACCTTGCACCCTAATATATAACACAAGCTTCCACACATACTAATTGGACGATTAGATTCTTCCACTCTACCCAGCTGCACCGCCTCGAGGCTTGTACTAACCTTCTCATTATCTTGCTTCGCTTCAACTGCCATTCACAATGAGGAAAGGCAACTCATCGACTCGGAGGGATTCAACTCACACAACTAGCGAAGCAATAGCTAGTGGAAGCTCGGTACGTGACTGATGAGGATCACTCAGTCCACTCCATTCCAAACACTGACACATCCTTCGTCTAGCACCGACCCCGTGGAAAACTCGGTCGGCTTCTGAAGAAGGTTAAGGACGGTGCTAAGAAGTTAAGGATCTCGGTGAGTCCACAAGCATGTATAATGAGTGTCCTGGAATACGACCAAGATTGCCATAAGCGCTCGAAGGATTCCCGCACCCTCAGCCCTGTTCTCCCGAATGTCAGTCATGAATGTGCTTCATCGACCCCGAATCTCGAGGTAAGTTCTCATACTTGTCCTCCAGTCTCTGTGCTCTCTCTAAATTCTAGTGGTTGCGCAGGTTCAGGCGGTTCCGTCTGGTGTGGAAGTGGAGGCTGCCAGTGATACTACCCAATTGGCACTTCGAGATGCACAACAGGCTGCAAAACGCATGCATGCACTTTCGGGAGCTGTGACACCCGTGGTTTCTATTGTTCAAGACACACCAGAAGATCTCGATGCTGCTGACAGTTTCCAAGACACATATCTCAAACCCCTCAGGATATTCGACACTGTTATCGAAAAGATCGCGGATGTATGCAGGCCCTCCTTTCGATCAGAATCGAACTAATTTAGTTCCACAGGTACATCCATATGCAAAGATGGCGCTGGGCGTGTTGTCTTTTGCAGCCAAAGTATGTTTTCTTTTTATCTCTTCCTATCTCCCACCGCTCAGCAATCATTTGTACAGATTATTCTAGCTCAAGCGGATCGCGATGCAGCGTTACTCAAACTTCTCAAGAAGTTATCTGAAATTTACGACTTCATGACACAAGACGAGAAGCTTAACCAAATTTTGTCGATGCACGCTATCCTTGCAAAGATTTCTCAGCAGACTCGTGAATGTGCCCAATTTATCACGAACTATTCGGAGATCAGCAACTTTTGTGAGTACTACAAGCTGTTGCGCTCTGTACCGTCTCGACCTTCTACCATCATCACAGGGAAGAGACTTGGAAAGGAAGTCCTCTCAGAAACGGACGATACGATCAAAAAGTACAATGACGTGTTCGACGGGCTCATGCAAAACTTCCGGGACCAGGTTACTCGCGACGTAGCTATAGGCGTCCACGAAATAAGCATACACGTTAACAACATAGCCATACACGTCCATCGTATGGGTAAGGGTTCGGACGTCCTTGTGACTTCACACATATTCATGCCTTTTCAGAAGAAACATTGGACCTCAGCGGTATGACTTATGCAGATCGCGCGGGACTAGATACCAGAAAAGAATGCCTTCAAGGGACGCGCACGGAAATACTTTCCCAGATCACGGAATGGGTCAACAGCACTGGGGACGACATTCCACGTGTGCTGTGGCTATCTGGCCCTGCGGGCAAGGGCAAATCTGCCATCGCCCACACCATTGCTAAGTGGTTCAAAGACGTGGGAGGGCTTGGTTCGTGTTACTGTTTTGACCGAGGAGTAGATGGTCGCCATGAAAAGATTTTTTCCACGATTGCGCGCGACCTGGCTGATCGTGATCCGGAGATGAGGCGGGCATTAGCAGATGCAGTTAAGACCGCGAACTCGCTCAAGAATACAGCGGATATCATCCAGCAGTGGCAGAACCTTCTTGTCGAACCACTGAGGAAGTCATCTGGGTCAAATGTGGGACCGATCGTGATCGTGATCGACGCACTGGACGAGAGCGGCGGAGCAAAGACACGAATGGACCTCCTCCGTATTCTAGCTGGCAAACATCCAAACCCTGACGTTCCAAAAATTACAGACCTTCCTGGCAACTTCCGCTTCATCGTTACCTCTCGCCCGCTTGATGATATCGAAGACAAGTTTCGTGGTGTTCAGCATATTCGACAGATGTCGATGGATGGTATTCCACCAGAATTTGCTAAGCGCGACATCCGTGCTTACGTATCCAAGGAGTTGGAAGGGTTGGGTTTCCAGGACAGAGAGTTCGCAGTCCTCGCTGAGAAAGCTGATGGACTTTTCGAGTGGGCGCGTCTCGCCTGCGAATACATCAAAGACTCCGGTATGGTGTCTCCAAAGGATCACTACGAGGTTGTCACGGTGGCGTCACGCAATCCTGCTGAGAGAAGCAAGCTGTTGTACAACATGTATGACCTCATCTTAACAAACATCATACCCAGGGATACATCTCCGGATCCGCCGAAACTGCGTTTGAAGAAGCTAGCGAGATTTCGCTCAGTGATGGGACAAATACTAGGCGCAGCTGAACCCCTTCCCTTAGTTTCTCTGAAAGCTATGAGGTCCCATTTTCCAAAGGAAGAGGACCATTTCGACGTGGAGCTTGTGGTAAAAAGCATGGGCTCCCTCCTCAGCGGCACCACCAACCCAGATTCCCAAATCCGACCCCTCCACGCGTCCTTCCATGATTTCTTGACTGACGAAGAATCCAGTAAAGAATTTTTCATCGATCTGTCAAAGGCGCAACGCGACCTTGCATTCGCGTCACTTCGAGTGATGGAACACGGTCTTCGCTTCAATATATGTGCTTTAAAGTCGTCGTATCTACCTAATAGCGAAGATCCCGGTCTACAAGAACGAATTCAAAAATGCATTTCCCCACATCTGTCATATTCATCTCGTTTTTGGATGTCGCACGTACGAACCACAACCTTCGACCAGGAACTCGCGAAAGAAGTGAAAATGTTATTTGACAACGAACGGGTGTTTTTCTGGCTGGAGTCACTTGCCCTGACCAATGTACTCAGCGTTGTAGTTGGTGCCCTTCCGCCCATTGCCCAGTGGTTGAAGGTGAGCACAATGCTACTAGGTGTCAGATAAAGCGCTCATGCGCATCCACAGGGCCATCCCAAATTCAAAGATGTCTCGTCGACTGCAATGGACGTACAGAGATTCATTCAAGTCTTCGGCGGCATGATTTTACACAGCACACCACATCTGTATATATCAGCACTCTCATTCTCGCCTGCCAACTCTCCGCTATCTAGAAAGTTTTCTGCACGGTTTCCGAATACTCTTCGTGTGGCATATGGACGTGATATAAACTGGCCGGCTGTTCAGGCCGTGCTCAGGGGGCACACTAAATCAGTTCGCTCGGTCTCGTTCTCGCCGGACGGCACTCGCATCGTCACTGGTTCTTCGGATAAGACTGTTCGGCTGTGGGATGCAGGGACAGGGGAGCCAGTCGGTGAGCCCTTGCGGGGGCACACTGATTCAGTTAACTCGGTCTCATTCTCGCCGGACGGCACTCGCATCGTCACTGGTTCGGACGATAAGACTGTTTGGCTGTGGGATGCAGGGACGGGAGAGCCAGTCGGTGGGCCCTTGCAGGGGCACACTGAATCAGTTCGCTCGGTCTCGTTCTCGCCGGACGGCACTCGCATCGTCACTGGTTCAAGGGATAAGACTGTTCGGCTGTGGGATGCAGGGACGGGGGAGCCAGTCGGTGAGCCCTTACGAGGGCACACCGATTCAGTTTTGTCTGTCTCGTTCTCGCCGGACAGCACTCGCATCGTCACTGGTTCTTGGGACAACACTGTTCGGCTGTGGGATGCAGGGATGGGGGAGCAAGTCGGTGAGCCCTTGCGGGGGCACACTGATTCAGTTTGGTCAGTCTCGTTCTCGCCGGACGGCACTCGCGTCGTCACTGGTTCTTCGGACAACACTGTTCGGCTGTGGGATGCAGGGACGGGGGAGCAAGTCGGTGAGCCCTTGCGGGGGCACACTTCATCAGTTAACTCGGTCTCGTTCTCGCCGGACGGCACTCGCATCGTCACTGGTTCTTGGGATAACACTGTTCGGCTGTGGGATGTAGGGACGGGGGAGCCAATTAGTGAACCCTTACGGGGGCACGCTTCTTCAGTTAACTCGGTCTCATTCTCGCCGGACGGCACTCGCATCGTCACCGGTTCTTCGGACAACACTGTTCAGCTGTGGGATGCTGGGACGGGGGAGCCAGTCGGTGAGCCCTTGCGGGGGCACACTGATTCAGTTTGGTCAGTCTCGTTCTCGCCGGACGGCACTCGCATCGTCACTGGTTCTTCGGACAACACTGTTCGGCTGTGGGATGCAGGGACGGGAGAGCCAGTCGGTGAGCCCTTGCGGGGGCACACTGATTCGGTTTGGTCGGTCTCGTTCTCGCCGGACGGCACTCGCGTCGTCACTGGTTCGGAGGATAAGACTGTTCGGCTGTGGGATGCAGGGACGGGGAAGCCTGTCGGTGAGCCCTTGCGGGGGCACACTGATTCAGTTTGGTCGGTCGCGCTCTCGCCGGACAGCACTCGCATCGTCACTGGTTCGGAGGATAAGACTGTTCGGCTGTGGGATGCAGGGACGGGGGAGCAAGTCGATGAGCCCTTGCGGGGGCACACTTCATCAGTTCGCTCGGTTTCGTTCTCGCCGGACGGCACTCGCATCGTCACTGGTTCGGACGATAAGACTGTTCGGCTGTGGGATACAGGGACGGGGGAGCCAGTCGGTGAGCCCTTGCGGGGGCACACTTCTTCAGTTTGGTCGGTCTCGTTCTCGCCGGACGGCACTCGCGTCGTCACTGGTTCTTCGGACAACACTGTTCGGCTGTGGGATGCAGGGACGGGAGAGCCAGTCGGTGAGCCCTTGCGGGGGCACACTGGTTCAGTTTACTCGGTCTCGTTCTCGCCGGACGGCAATCGCATCGTCACTGGTTCTGAGGATAAGACTGTTCGGCTGTGGGATGCAGGGACGGGGGAGCCAGTCGGTGAGCCCTTGCAGGGGCACACTTCTTCAGTTTGGTCGGTGTCGTTCTCGCCGGACGGCACACGCATCGTCACCGGTTCAAGAGATAACATTGTTCGGCTGTGGTATGCAGTGATGGGGCAGCCATCGCAACAGTGCGCTGAGTTAGATCATCCATCATTCTCAGATGCACATCGCACGATCGAGGCCACCACTACCATGACATTGAACACTCTGAACAATCACTTCATTTGCTTCTCGTCCAACTCTATCCACGCGCTCTGCGACACTTCTGAGTTAATGGAGGGTGCATCCCATGACGGCAGCAGTTCGACCCCCTTTGTCCTGGATAGCGGCAGTGGATGGGTGATAGGACCCGAACGTCGGCTGTTATTTTGGGTACCACCCGCTTCTCGACAGTCATTGTGGAGCCGCGGGACTGCATTGATGATACCCAGAGGTCCTGACCTTGATTTGAGCTGCATGGCACATGGACAACACTGGCAAAAGTGCCGGGAGGAGTAAGTCTCTTCGAAGCCCTTTCTGTTCCTCGCGCTTACTAAAATCAACACTTGCAGACCTTAGTACCAACGATTATCGCAGCAATGCATCCATTATGAATATTTCAGATACAGTTTACATGTGACCGAGTGTACAGTAGATCATACTTCGTATTCTATTCTATACCCAGCGTTTAACCTGAGTTTAAGGCCGTCCATGTAAACGACTTGAACTGACTGTGTAGCAGTACTTATGATGTTCTTGCTAGCCCGTGAGAGCACGTAACAACGAACCAAGCATGCCGATTCCATCAGAGATGCAGTTGCGCGTGCGCCGTGGATTTGTGTTGAAGTGATGCATAGCATCGGTGCTGGGACTGAGAAACTGAACAGATGGACACCGTTGTTGCGATCATCTATGCGCGTGGTCGTTCAAGTGGGGTATATTCAGAGTGGGATAAAAATCCGAGATAAGAGATAGGATGGAATATGTAGTTCATTGCAAGTGTTCACTGTACAGCATGTAATCGCGACATCCACGACGAATGCAGTGATAACGAGAGCACTATGAAAACGATGCGTGTAGCTGTGGGGCGTGAAAAAATAACTGGACACTGGGCGAAAGCAAGCGAACAGGGGATGAAATTGAGGCAATGCGAAGAGTAGGGGCTAACATGAGAAGTTCTGGCACGATAGGTGACATTGAATTGAGGGTGATATTGGACGTAGGTGCACCAGGATGTCACAACGGACATCCTCGTCAAGGAGCTCTTCGATAGTCGGTTTCTGGATACTCAACAGGAAGAGAGTATACAATTCAGTTCCATAAGTCTGCATTGAACTTGCGATAAATATGTGACAATGTGAATCTCTGCAGATGAGACTAGGAGAAGTAAACTGCGACTCAGTATTGGGTGGTGCATATTGACAATTTCCGTGGCCTATTTTTATCCTCTCCGGTGCAAAAATAGGAGGACTCAGCGTAGCGGTGTCTTCATTTTCGCAGAGGCGTGAGCACATGGGAGCGATCGCAGTTGGAGGAGAGAATATGAGGGTCTTGATCCGCGCTTCTACGTCCCTGCACCGAGTGGGACACTGAGGACCTGTTCTCGGCCCAAGTTCGAACAAGGGAGTGTGAGGTTTCAGTCTTGTATGACTGAAAGGGAAAGTCTTGAAGTGGTGGAAAATGATATTGGGTGGTAACTGTGAGGAAATGCTCGTCTAGCGTTCATGGATAGGATGGAGTCGGCGATATCTGTACATACCATCATGGTTGTCCATTTGCCATCTGACATCTGAGTTGTATGTGTAATCCCAGAGAATGAGAGGAAAAGCGTCTGTCATCTGATACTCGGGTTTGCGTATAGGACATCGGACTCTACGACATCGAATATGCAGTGCACCCGATTATGATCTGAAGACACGGGATTGATTGAGTTTGTGCGTGCATAACGCGGAAGCAGTATAATACGTAAGTAGGCGCAGTTTCTGGCATTGGTGTCACATGTATAGTACTCTTTCCCTGTCAACACCATCATGCCTCCATCTTCAGAACAAAGCTTCAGATCAAATCTCTCTCAATTCCGCTGGGCCAGAGGCGTCACAGACGACTCTCAACAATCCCAGCAACCACTCCCATCATCAAACCCATTCTCCCGCTTCTACAACGCCCTAGCAGGCGACTACATCCCTCTCAGATCCGATGCACGTTCCAATGAAGACGAGGCATGGTTTGCGCTATCACGTTGGGAGAGGTACGCGTTCAAAACTCACTCCTACCACCATTCTTCTCAACACAGACTCCAATCTCCAGACTGCTCGGGTTCGGTGCAAGCTTGTTAGGCGCAGCAGTCTGCTTCTTCGTCGCTTTCATGACCCTCCCTTTCCTCGCCATCAATCCCGCAAAATTTGCTTTAGCATTTAGGTATGCATAGCTATTCGTTCTTCACCTTCCGATTGATAACTCCCTTCCAGTCTGGGGAGCTTGCTCGTGATGTTCGGGTATGTCCTACCAACTCCGTGTCGATCCGAGCCATCATAACTGATTATCATATTCAAGTTTCTCAGTCCTCATAGGACCATTAAACCACGCAAAGCATTTAGTTTCAAAAGAGCGACTACCCTTTACCCTTGTCTACTTCTCAAGCTTGGGCTTGACCCTCTATTTCTCCATCAGCGTGAGTTTGCAGTCCTTCATCTTGAGACTCCATTTCAACAACTCGTATTAGGTCCACTCGTACTTGGGTTCGCTACTAGCAGGTATCGTCCAGGTAGTATCTCTAGTAGCGTACGTCCTGGCGTACTTCCCGGGAGGTACACAGACATTACGCTTTGGTGGACAAGTCGCTCTTCGGGGAGCAGGAAGCCTGCTACCTTTCTGAGTAACAGTAATGACAAAAACCCAACCAACACGACTGTATCCTCACACACGATATCTAGATCTAGTACTTGCTCGTTATTCATTCCAACGACATCGATCAATCCATCATAAGCGCAATGCGATACTTTTGAATACAACAAACGACGACAACAACGAACCATCTACTCCAAAGCCTCATGCAACCCAACCGTATCCCTCAACCTCCGTGACATAATCTCAATATATCCCTGGTATGACTGCCACTCACTTCCCAGCGTATCCACCGTCTGACAGGAACATCACCGTCATTAAAAGTCAGACGAGCTCAAGCTAACAAACGTACCAGATCCAACGTTGATAACCTCGCGAGAGCACCAATCAATTTTTTGCCCGCGTTCGCCTTGAACGAATCAGAGTCCGGGGGTGGAAGAAGCCTGAGAGTGCTCTTCATATTTATAACTGGCGCCGCAGTTGCGCCGCTCGACAAGTCGCGCTCCACATAGCTCACGAGATGGCGCCATAGCAACAGTAATACCATCTCAGTGGTGCCTATGTATGCGTTCATGAATATCACCCAGCAATAGCATTCCGAGATAATTCTCACCGAGCATGTTTTTGACCTCATCTTGAGCCTCGTTCCTGAACCGCTCATACTCTCTGAATATTAACGACCTTTTCTGCGCGATGTCTAGATCTTGGAGGAATGCGGGATCAGACACGCTGACGATCTGCGCAGATGAAATGTTCAAATCCAGAAAAACCCTTGAGAAAGACACGCAGACGTACCTCTTGGATGTTGTCAACTCGAATATGGTCTCGTGAGGACAGTTCAGCAGACAAGTCAGCTATCTGTTTCAACGTCTCTGAAAGATCGTCGCAGAGTCCACTCAGTGCCTCAATAGCATCGCCGACCGTCGGTATCGTAGCTACACCAAACCATGTAAGTAGGTGAGGGGTGACATAGAGAAGACGACTACATACCTACGAAACGAGACGACCGTTCATCGTGTCGAGGAACCGTGACGACAGGAGAAAGCACCAGTGTAATCTCAGGCTCTACAATCAAAAGAAGGCAAAATCAAAAAGGCACTCAAACCAAACATCAATCAACTCACCAGTGAATTCACTAGCAGTCCCAAGGTACTCCACGATAGCCTTGAGGAGCAACCGTTCCTGGCGCCTCAAACTCAGATCAAATTGACTAGTCGATCCATGCCCAGATGCAAAGACGCTAGCTCGTAAAACCTCTGCGTCCGTCTGAGGTTTGACCGCTTGACTCCAGTTTCTGTTTCCCAAGCACCGCGCAGCCAGGCCTAACACAGCACCGTGGATGCCACCAAACCCGGAATTCGTCGACATCTAGAATATCGATCATCAGTGGCAAAGCGTATGTGTGAACGATGGCTTACTAGCTCAGATTTTGGAACGAGCGTCAGGACGCTTCTGCTCAGCGACACTATGAGATGGATTTCTTGAACGATCGACAAGCCAATTTCTTCAGAATCATTTTTGAGAAGAATAACCATCGTTTCTCGATGGCTTGATAAAAAGTCGAGTGCCTGATGACAAGTCAAAATCAATGCACATCCACCAGACACAATTCAGGAATCAGTCGTACCTGACTGCTCGCCGTAGCATGCTGAGCTCCCAACGTCGTCAACATCGCAGCAACGAGCTGAAGTGCCGGCATGAACAGCTGGTGGTATCGCTGAATCGCCGAAGGCAAGAAAGAGTCCTGGTCTTCATAAAACAACTCAGCACGTGAAACCCCTCCGAGGGAGACAAAGTAAACATACCCATAAATGACTGATCCGCTTCTGGCCTTGTATCCAAGAACTCGCATTGACTCAGCACTGGGAAAATTCGAGCTTCAAGTAACCGTTCTGCCCCCGGCCTCGTTTGTGCCATCCGTATCAAGAAGGACATCTTTGACTCGTAAACGTATAAAGGATTTAGATCGTCTGCATCCATATTCTCTTTAGTTTTCTTCGTAATACAAGTGTACTGTGCACGTACCTGGGTCTGGTTTGAGCACATACTGCATTTGCGACTCCGCTTCCTTCAGTCCTTGGACAAAGTTTGACAAAATCCCATAGCGAACCAAAGACGTAAGGAACATGCGGGACTTATCCGAGCGGCACAGCTGAGCGAGAGAGTCCAACAGCATCAAAGCAACAGTCTTCCAAACTTCAGTACCATCGATTGCGTCCCGAGATATGATCGTGACCAGTCTCTCGAGCACGCTTTTCAGCGCAGCCAGCGTACCGAGCTCTAGCGTTGATGTATTCGTTGCAGGCTTTGGCGTCCCGCGCATGGATCGAGAATCATTTAGGGATAAATCGTCGTGCGAGGAGCGAACGGAGAGGGACATCGACATTGACATCGACATCGACATCGATAACGAGTGCTTCCCGAACGTCTCCAATGACGCATCTCCCGAAGACCTCTGGTCACTCCCTCCAATAAGGTGGAAGTAATTAATCAAAGAGGCGTATAGGTTGCCACGGACCAATTCAGAACGGTTGTTGTCCAGGATGCAGTCAAGGATGCTGCGAAGAAGCGCATACAGTCTCTCTGCAGGCAAAGAGCCTGCGTCAGTGTCTCCGCCGGCGGATTGTAGCATAATTTGGTGACGCCGATCTTCGCGTAGCTTCGTGATGCAAGACAGTACTGCTTCCGAAAGGAGAACTGCAGTAGGCTCCTGGATGTCAGAGGAACGAATTGCAGTAGGTAGAACGTGCAATAAGTCAAAGAGCATGTTCTCGCGCCTGTCATGCGGCAGACGCTGGAAGCACTTGGTAAGGGTGATGTCCAATACCCTCCACCACGCTTCATATCCGGTAGCAACAGCAAAAGCAACCTCACGGCGATGGTTCTCGATTGCACAGCTCTCCAAGACGTACGAGGTCTCAGCGTTTAATTTGTCAGCGTGCGCGCTACTGGTGATTCGGCCTTGGGCGTGGAGGGAACGTCGAGCGAGCGTCAACAGGGATAATAGCGCAGATCTATCAACGACTTCACACCCAGTGCCATCCACACGGATGCAGGACTGGAGGTTCAACTGACCAAGGAGCTCCAGGTCGACAGGATGAACGGTTAAACTGTCTGACCAATCAAAGCTGAGGGACTGCACGGACTCGATGATCCGAAGATGAGACTGGCCCATCTCCTGGAACGGCTGCAGCGCATCCACATCCCATTCGAGCACATCCTCGCCAGTCATAGCCTCCGAGCCGAATATAATTTGCAAAACCTCCAAAACGCCCTTGTGGTGGCCTTTGCGGGTCAGGACATGGAGATCAAGCGATACTAGATCCAGGATGCGAGAGCGTACACCCATGAATGACCGCAGAGCTGATACGCTGGTGATAACGCGAGAACCATCATGATATAGGACCTCAATGACAGGCTCGTCATGCGTTTCCGGGGCTTTGGAAGGTATGGCTGCAAGATGGCGGGCGAAGAAGTCTTCTCGCGTGCGGAGGTACCGCATGGTGGCCTCTGATGTCCGTGGATGCACACAGAGTTGATGGATGACCTGATAGCAACGCTCTGCCAAAGCAGGGATGGAAATGAACAATGGATCAACCTGACGCGCAAGTCGACGTTCGCGTTCGCGTTCTTTGCCTTTGCTATGCACTCTAGGTACTCCAGCGTTGACAAGGTCAAAGATGACGTGGGCACACGTTCTGTGCACACCCAACGCGTGTGGATCTTGGATTTGATGCTCGTTTTCTGGGCCACCGAACAACAGGAAATGACCGATGGTGGGATATGGTCGGTTTGGTCGCGTGTTCTGGATGAGCAATTCAAGGATGGCAAGTCGTATCGCTTGATCGAGTGATTCTTGCGCTTCTCTATCAGGAGCACCAGCGCCCGTCACCTGTTCAGCCTGCGTTTCACTAGCATCCACATTGTCAAATGACTCAACGCTGAGTAGTTGCTTGAAGCCGCTGAGGACACGATCCGAGTCATTGCTGCGCTCGACGAGGGTGGTTAGGTTGCTGACCGACGACGACAGTTGCGTGACAATCTTGACAGCGAGAAGGACAAGCTCAGGGTATGCAGGGTACACTACATACGCAGCAATTGCAGGAATATGCTGTGTGCCATACGACAACGCTTGGTCGAAACGCGTATAATATGACCGAGCATGAGCGACGCCGACAAACTGCGAGCCATCAAACTCCGTGAGGAGTGGCACAAGAACGTCAAGGAAGATATCCTGAATATCCAGAACGCGGTGGACGACCCGCAAAACGCGCACGATCGTATTCTTGAAATGCGGTTCTTCATCAGCGAAACCTTTCTCAAAGCCTTCTACGCCATCGACGATGTACGTCAAGATACTGGTTTGCAACAGCGAGTTTGTCAAGAGACGCTGCATTATGTCATACCCTGGGTGGACGAGGAGGGGAACAATGGCCTCTCGCTTTAAGACGACATCTTCACCTGACGAGACCAACAGCTCTAGATCGTAGCTGGCGAGGACTCGCTCGACGAAGGATAAGCACAAGTCATTCATCTGCCACCTATCTGAAGGTCGCCTGTACTCTCTCCGGGGGATATTAGCGAAAACGTTGTCGATGACGAAGGATATGTAAGGTCCAATTCCGGGAAGACGGTATGGTTGACCAAGGGCATCAGGAATGGTGTTCAGTGGCTCCGAATCTGTGATGAGGTCCTTCAAGGAAAGGCGTTTGGGAGTGTGGATGAGTGTGCTAAGGAGATTGAGGAACGGAACCGTAGCAGGATAGAGCTTGTGAATAGCTTCAACCTCGTCCAACTCCACCTCGACGCCCTTGACGGGATGCAACACTCCGCCAACACGGGAGGAACTTGCACGGACGTTTATGACCTCTAGCCGCTCCATCAACGTCCATACCGATCTGCATATCTCCACTCCAGCAACACCCGCTCCAGGTTCACAAAAAGCTGCTAGGGTGTCAAAAATTGCTCCCTTCAGCTCCAAGGGTATCCCAAGAGGTATCAGCGAGACCAGCGTTGGAATAGCCCTGAAGTGCGTGTTTCCCGAGACCGCGAGGCGGACAGCGACTGAGCACGAAACCACCGTAGATAGAAGGCGGAGGAACGATTGGGCAAGTAAAACATCGTTAGGTCCTATTACAACCTGTTTCTGCTGCTGTTGTTGGGAGGCAGCTTGAGACTCGGCGAAATGAGATGACCTGAAACCACTGAATGATGTTCCCAAGTTCTGTTGCGGAGGTGGATGGGGCTTGGGGCTGGAGGAGGGAACTGCCCAGGATTCTAGCAGAGCGAATATGAGTGTCCAGGATACAGCCGAACCAGCACTGTAGTGAGATGAGCTGGCAGCGAGGCTGCTTCCTGGTACGACTTCTACACCACCTCTAGCAAGGAAATTATATGCGAGCTCGCTGCATTGTTGGCCTTTTGCTAAACCAGACAGCATGTCGTATAGCGCAGTGGTCATGACAACATCACGAGTCTGTGTGGACCATACTGCCCACTGAAGGAAAGAAGGAAGCCTGCCTGCGTTGGTCTCCGCGATCTCCATGTACGTAAGACGATGGGTTTCAGTGAGTGGTGTAGCCCCCCAAAACTGCAAAGCTCGTTCGGGAGGAAGTATGGAGTATAGAAGACCTATAAACGAGTACAGCATGGCGATGTCGTTGCGTGGATTTGCTTGAGAATCTGAGTCTTGCCCGGAATGTGTCACCGACCGGAATAGACGTGCACTGGCGAGAACAATATCCTCTTGACGTTGTTTGATTTTGCGTAGCTCCGAGGATGCACATGTGATCACCGAACGCACCAGCGCGTCGCAAGCATTCAGAACGGCCAGCTTAAAGTCTTCATGAGGCGGTTCTCTTAGTTGCTCCTGCTCGGGCGTAAGCTCAATGAAGGCAGCGAATGACGTTGCTGGTGAACTTCTCGACAACTGGATAAGCGCTGTGGTGAGGTACGTAAAGGCATCGCCCTGGACCGCATTCCAAATTTGAGTCTCCAGCTCTGTAGTTTTAAAACCCTCCCTGGCCTCCAGAGAGGGGTCGCGGTGACGAGTCTCGGTTAAGAGGAGAGTCCACTTTAGCAATACAGTTGCTTTTAAACCCGTGTCCTTCCACTCCGTATTGCGAGAGAGCTTTTGCTTCGTATATGATATCATTGCATTGTCTGTAGCCAGGCGTTGGCGATTCTTGCCACCGACAGACGAGGGGTCTACCAAATCAAAGGCAGCCAGAATAGCGGCCAAGACATAGAATGTCATGGCGTCGTTGGGATTCACAGATAGCCAATCGAGTGAAGTGCGAATGTCGGAGACTGTGAGACATCCAAGACGGGCAATCTGGAAGTAGACAGTGGCAAGGTATCGTCTCTCGTATTTGAGCGAGTCGCAACGTGCACTGAGGATGTCGTAGCCCAAAGTGGGTGAACCACCTTTAACGATGATCTATCAGAGACCAACAGCACGACGAGGCAGCACTCACCAGAAGGAGCTACAGTATTGCTCACGGCGCACTGTTTTGCTTGTTGCGCCCGTGCAACTGTGTTCCCCAAGTTCTCTAGCTCTTTGAATATTCGTAACGCCAGCGATACCTCTCCCCCTGGTCCCTTCGTAGGCGGGACGAGATCCTGCCTAGCAAAAGCATCTAGCCGTTTGTAAAGTCGCAGTGCATCTGGCAACTCAGCCAACTCTGCAGCCTCAAAGATGTAACGCAGACAGTCGACCAAATGACGTCGTCTTTGATGAAATTCAACGACTGTGGCTTCTATGCAACCGACTGGACCGATATTTGGGTTTTCGGTCATGACAGAATGCAGTATGCTCGCGATGTATTTCTCGGATGACTTGAGCTGCTGGGCAAGGAATATTGCCTGCTGAGCAAAATCCGCATTGACGGCAAATGACCTGCCATTGATCGTGATCCTTCCTGCAGATATGCATCGAATTTTACGCGTTGACACAGATTAGCAAAGCACTCACCACTTCGCAGCTCTTGTTGTTCCTGCTGACTGCTCTGTCCTACCTCAAACAGCTCAAGCAGCCTCTGCTTGTGCATCATGAGTTCGTCAAAAAGCTCTTGCTCTCCATGTCCACGAGAGCTGAGACACGTCAAAAGCACGCTTCTGAATCGCGATATGGACTCCATAGCGCAGATCAAGTTGTTTTAAACGATCGTTTCGTTGGAATTTGGATGTTGTATAAGCGTGGGAATATTGAAGGTCCACCGGAGACCCCGCCATGGACTTTGCAATTTCGGTCGCGTGCTCGCCTCGAGGATGCGTCGTGTTTCCGCTCTTGCTCCTGACCTTTATCTGAGACAATGACTGAAATATTGTACAGACAGTATGTAGGCGAATCTGATTTACCACACATTATGGCGCTCGTGCAGAGTGAGCTCAGTGAGCCGTATGTCATATACACATATCGTTATTTTCTCCATCAATGGTAAGTCTCGTCATTTATTTCGCTTGGCGGATTCGAATCACTAACTTATACCGTTGACTATGTGCAGGCCACAACTTTCTTTTCTCGTGCGTGTTACGAACCCCTTCTATCACCTGAAATGAATCAGACGTGTCCCCTTTCAGGCAATACCTGCGGGATCGTCGGAACCGATAGGTGTCATAGTGTGCAAGCAGAGTATGCATAAGCATGCCTCGAATAGAGGCTATATCGCCATGCTCAGCGTTAGCAAAAGCTGGCGCAAACGTGGTGTAGGTACGCGGTAACCACGTGCGCTCCCACCCAATCATCTGTATTTACCCACCGATTTTAGCAAGCACGTTGGTCAGACAATCGGTGGAAGTCATGAGACGACATGGAGTTGATGAAGTGTGTGATTCATGTTCTAGATTTCGGACCTCTGCTAATGCCCAACTAGGTCGTTCTTGAAACCGAATATGATAATGCGCCAGCTCTTTCCCTCTACGAGTCTTTGGGATTCATCCGCGAGAAACGGCTGTATCGATTTTACCTCAATGGAAAGGATGCGTTCCGTTTGGTCCTCGCCGTCCCTCCATCAGAATTGGATCAAGACCTTCCCCACTACATGAAACTTTCTCCCACCAACACCATTTTCTCCTATCCAGCTGCTCCAGACGACGACGAGGTCTCATATCGTTGACGATTTCCAGTCACACGACCAATATCATTTCCCTCTGACCCTAACATCCTAATCTGGCTTTCGATAGCCATAATGGCCCCTAGCTGTACAACATCACCGTCTCAGTTGTATAACCCTGTTCGATCTAGGTTCAACCATTCATTTCCTGTTTCTCATCGTGTCAAGGCACTAGTATACCCCACATACATGTGTAGTGATATTTGTAGTAATATTTTGATGTAGTCCATTGTTCACAGGATTGTGATCCGAATTTCAGATATGGAGTTCCTGTCCCCGGTAGCTTACTACGGCGCAAGATGATGAGTTAGCGTCGTGGCATCAATGTCGACCTCGCCTGTAATTAGGAAGGCAAGACTCCCAGCCATTCCACGGTAAAGGCTCACGATATCGTACTACTTATATCTGGTGGACGTGTATTACTTCCGTTAGCCGCCGCATCACGGTTCTGCTCCGTTCTGGGTCGCTTCTGGGGAGGTACTTGATCAAGCTCACAGCCGGGCCTGGAAGCTCGTATCTCAAATTATCGTATCACGTTCTCGAGGCAGATCTCACGCAACTTGCTTATCAACTGATACTATAAGTGCTCCGGTGCCCTTCGTTGATTAATTAGTTCAACATGGTCTTCTCCCCAACTGCTGGTGTCGCCTCTGCATTACTATTGGTAACTCCGTACACGCCGAATATTGCTACCGTTGAAACCACACCAGGTTGTTTAACGGACAACTTCTATGGAACATACGGAGGACGGAGCATTTTCTATATCCCACCTACTTGCCTCGAAACCAACTCTATCAAAGGCTTACAGTCGGCCTCTCTGCTTCCGTATGTCGCCAATGGTGAACGTCAACTTGTATGGCTGCAAGAGTCGGCTATCGACAGTTCTCTGGTAACTCGAGAGTACGAAGCGGAGGTTCAAGGTTTCTTTAGGTGGTTGGGAAATGACGGATACTCCATGGGTGGCGGACAACAGTTGTCTGGTCATCAGCATTTACTGTCCTCTGCAGATGAGCCTGGAGTAGAGCTTCACTTGATGGATTTGCAGCCAGCGGGAGGATCCTATGGACTTATAGCCGTCGAACAGAGTCTAGCGCCCAGCATCGAGGCATTGCTCCCTCGTTACTGGAAGCCATACGTTCTACCCAAGCAACCCGCGTCATATCTCCCGGTCCCAAAACCTGCTATCGAGCATGTCAAGAACCTCCTCGAGACCGTTCGCTTCGATCCAGTCGTATCGTCACTCGTAAACAGCATCTCATTGAATCAGATGCGTGACGACATCAGATGGCTTACGGGTGAGGATGGAGAGTCTGGAATCATCTCCCGCCACTCGTTTGCAGAGGGCTCTCGCGTCGCTGCTAATTGGCTCAAGGAACGTTTTGAGGAGACAGGCGCAACTTGCGAACTTAAGACTTTCTTGACGGGATTCGCGCCGAATGTGGCCTGGTAAGCAAAGTCTACTCATTCTTGTAGTACTTGCTTAGACAATCCATCAGCAAATACTCTGCGCCGGAGGACACAACATCCACTGTCCTCATTTCTGGGCATTACGATTCGCGTGGTTCCTTTGGTTCACAGAGGGTAACGTCTTTATCCGCTATCACCGTCTTTGTATTCTGAATATTATCAGGCTCCCGGAGGAAATGATGATGGCTCAGGCACCGTTGCCCTTCTCGGAATTGCACGTGCCGTTGCCCACTCCGGTCTCACTTTCCGCAGCAACGTAGAGCTTGTCGCTTTCGCAGGCGAGGAGCAGGGCCTGTACGGTTCAAAGGCTTACGCCCGTGAGTCAACACCTGTTTGTGCGCTTCAAAGATTTGACCACTCCATGCAGGCGAGATGCGCGCGAAGGACGCAAACATCACTGTAATGATCCAGGCTGATATGCTTGGGTACCACGCCCCTGGCGAACCTCCTCAACTTGGACTTCCGATGTAGTGCGTCATTTTATACCTGATCTACTAAACGGATATAAACGACATCTTTCATTTCACAGTATCGGTACTCCAGAAGTGGCTCAACTTGTTTCCAACATGTCGGCCATCTACAGCCCAGAGCTTACTGTGGGCTACACTGCCGCATGTTGCAGTGACCACCAGGTCAGTTCTATCGTTTTATGCATGCGCGAACGCAAGCCTATTCGTGTTGCTTTCCTGTAGTCCTTCCATGAGCAAGGATACGCCTCGACGCAAGTGTTCGAGCGTGCTGGTCCAAGTAAGCCCTGAACGCACATACTCTTCAACGTGCTAATTTGTGTCTACTTAGTTGCAGACCCCATGTACCACAACAGCGGTCAGTCCCTCGCACCTTCCCCATCCTTACCCCACGATTGACATTCCTGCAGGTGATCTGAGCGAACGTCCCGGCTACGACCTCAGCCAAATTCGCTCAATTGCGAAAGTTCAGGTTCGTCTGTTTATCCAGCACGCTCTCGTTCTTATCCTGATGAATTTACAGTTTGCTACCGTGCTTCACGCCGCAGGATTCGACCTTCCCAGCGATGAAGCTTTGAACTGATATACATTCTGTTATGCATACCAGAGCAATGTCTTCATGTATATCCCTTCAGACGAGGAAAGCAAGGTTTTTTGAAATATCTGGTGGTGTTTAAACCACTGTTGCTAAATTCTGCGTGCTCAGACAAGTAAATTGTCGACTTGAAGATGGGTAACTTTGACTGGACGACGGGCAGTGAGGTTGTGGAACATTGACACAGGCAAGGTCCGGGGGCACACAATCACTGCAGTCTGTCTTTCTGCTGGAGCCAAGATGATGAGCGAGTGAGCGGATCTCGACTCTTGAGATGAAAATGTTCGAGCAAATTGTGGACATACTGTGATCTCTGCGATAGGAGCTTTTGGGCTTGACCAAACGGTTTCCTTGCCAGAGACACCTCTGGTATTCGACTGGCCCACCAAAGGGGCGGGAAGGCAACGAGACTGGTTTCAGTACCGGCTTTGATGCCGAGCAAGTTCCAGACCAGCGACGAACCCTTCCTCTCAACTGAACCAGTATGTGGTTTACACGGTTGTGTATTAGGAAGACAAAGAATAATGAGATGGGTTGTGGATGTAAGAATGTAAGTTGCTGGACCTTGCTGGCCCGACGTCGGATACTATGACAAAAAATAGGAGTATTCTCCATTCTGGTACGGGAAGGGACTACCTGTAAATTCCTCACTCCAAGACTCCTTCAGGCCTTCAAGTCTCTCTTTCACGGCCGCATAGCTCTCGTGGGATACCTTGCCATCTCCTTCACAGCCAAGCTTTGTATTAAAAAGTTCTATGGCTGCTTGGTAAAATTGGAAGGCACGCCATTGCCGCTCATGCTCTACAATTTCATCCTGGGAGAACTCAATCGGGCAAGGCACACCAGCGGGAGCAACTTTGATCCAATTGTCGCGCAGAAAGAGCAAACACTGGCGTAAATCGAGGATGCCATCTGAGCACGCACGTACGACGTACGCCGGCAGCATAATCAACTGTTCTATATGTGGTAGGGAAGATGCGGCGTGCCTGCGCTTATGGCCGAGTCGAATTTCAGCCTGATACAAGTTGTGTCGTGTCGCTAGCCGGTGATGCAAGCGGAACTCCTCCTTTTTTGCTGAATCAAGTGTATCCGGGGGTTCACGTGAAGAAGCGAGGGCAAGTGGGTGCAAATGGGGATTGAACTGATGGCCCTCATATGTGATGGCGGGTGGCAAGGCCACTTGTTGAAAGTAGGGTAAAACAGCAGCGTGCTGCCAGTCAATAACACCTTGGATAGAAGGTATGTGCGATTCGGAGATTAAGATATTACCAAGGCTTAGGTCAGGGTGCCATAAGGTCGGGGCGCTAAGCTCCGAGTCTTGCGGGATCACAAAGGGGATCGCACGGATGTACATGTCCAACAATCGAAGGTGTGTTTCACGAGGGTGTATCGGGGTCCTGCGAAAACTGGGCGTCTGCGAATGAGGGAGAGGGGTGTGTTGAGCGAGAAGTTTCTGTTCGTTTTTTGCAGCAGCCAGGTAGTAAGAAGTTGCATCTGGCCCTGAAAACATGACAGTGAGATAACAAAAAGAGGTAAAACAAGTGGCTGCAACTCACAGGGCCCCCAATCGAACGCCATACGTGATCTCACTCCCCGCCACCAGTGATGGTCAATCAACGGACCAATACGGTACTTTTCGGCAAAATATTTCATTGAGTCGTCTACCTCACCTGCAAAGAGCGAATGTGTCTGCAACTGAGGTGCAACGTCTTCTTTGAAATAGAGGCTGCCATACTGTGAGAAACGAACAGACTCCATTCGACTCTCAAAATCCAATAGGCCATCCACCAATGGCGACACTTGTTCGCGCCCAGCGACTTGGTTCCAGCGCATGCCGAGGGGCACGCCAGGGACGGCCTCCATTATTATGTAGTCGACGCCAACGCAGTTCGTCGATCCTTTCTCAGCACCACTCCATGTCAGGATGCGCGGGACAGGTAGCTGGAGAACCTCGCGAGCAAATTCGAGGGTTGCCACCTCGCTGGCGGTCGTAAGATAGGAAGGTCCAGCTATAGGACATGGTATGCGCGCGATGACCTGGGTCTCATTATCGAAAGTGAGCAAAAACGCCTTGTTATAAGATCCTAATGGGAAGAACACTCAGCATGAAAAAGACGTGAAACCCGTTTCCATCACCTTCACTCAATTTTGCTACTGCAGTGCAACTCCGTGCGCCTACTGCCTTACAGGCAATGTCGAGAAGGCTATCGACATCGAACTTGACATATCGACAACTGTTCTCTGTAGATGTGTCAAGGTCAATCTTGAGTGCCACGCAACTAGGACTGCTACTTACGCTCCCGCTCGTTGTATAACCAACGATCTGTTGTATACCGGAATAATTTTTGTATTTCAGTTGGATCAACAGTAACGTGCTTGTTCGCTACAGTGCACAGGCGGCGAAAGGAGATTGATAGAGGCGAAGAAAAAAACAAATGAGTACTGCGTTGCCTGCGAAAATTTTGCAAGACTCGGCGCAAGTTGAAGTTCATCCGTCCTGAATCAATCTACGCTTAGCATATGGGAGGTCTCGACTCTCATGTTTAGGGCAAGCGGAGTCCCCCAGCTCCATGCTCGGGGGACTCGGTCACATTTGTCATAGACAGAGTCACAGAATACAAAGGCATTGAGTAGACGCTAACAGCCGGGAACAAGAAAGAAGATGAGACTAACTAGAGAGATTGAGGCTCGAGAGAGACGAGACGAGCTAGAGGCTCGGAAAGATGCTACAAAGCCACGAGAAATGGTGGGTGGGTAGCTAAAAAAACTCAAGGGTACAGATGTGCACGAGCAGGCGGTGCTTTGCGAGGACAATTGAGAGACGAAGAAGAAATCCAGACTCGTCAATAAGGCATATATCGTCGAAAGAGGGGCCTCGAATGTGCAAGCCGCTGAGGCTGAGTCACGAGTTGGATTTGACCGGCGTCGCGAATTGATTCAACTAAGTAGGTCAAACAAGTCATAACGTTAAACCCAAGTTAAACCACGATGTAACTGGCCTTATGTCAGCAGAATCAACGGCCCTTGGGTTCCCTTCAGTATGCTCATTGCCCGGCCCAAAATGCGCATTCCACATAATAATTTAACACTACTAGTCAAAGAAATGCGCATATGCGTTCAAGTTCCTGCTCCCCGTCTTACAGTGGCAAGCCGCTGATCAAGATTCAAGATTATCAACAGCGCTTGCGCTTATGTAACGAAACTTTTGCTAAATAACCTCAAATACGGAGTCGTCCTTCGGCAAGAGAAAAGGTTTATTTGCAAGCAACCATGAGCTTCCCACTGGTCGCTCCAATGTTTCCTGCGGGGAGGGAACCCCTTCCTCCAGGAATGACAGAGGACGACCGTGCTCAGTTACTCGAAACCAAAAAGTACCAAGGGTGGATGACCATGGGCATGGAATCTTGTGCGGCAAAGACGGTTATTGCTGGTGTCGGCGGTAAGTGCACCATATTCGAAGGCGCCTAAGTCATGACCCAAAATTCATTATCAGGATAATTCTACAGGTCTCGGAATTGGCGCATTCTTCTCTCTTATGTCCTCATCGTTTGCGTACGAGGATCCTTTGCTACGGCAATCCACGCAAGCTGGCATGAACAACACTCAGAAGGCCCGTGAAATCTTCAAGGAAATGGGTAGAGGGATGTGGAAAAGCGGAAAGGGCTTTGGAAAAGTTGGAGCATTGTTTGCCGGAATAGAATGTGTGATTGAAGGCGTAAGTTTTCACTTAATTATTTTCCTTGACCTAATCTCATGCCTTTATCAGTACCGAGCGAAGAATGACATGGTAAATCCGATTGCTGCAGGCTTCGTTGCCGGAGGTGTACTTGCGCGAAATTCGGGACCTAAAGCTGCTCTTGGTGGTGGATTGGCATTTGCTGCATTCTCTGCAGCCATAGATTTGTTCTTACGGAGGGAACCGTCAGAGTAAGTGTGAACTGTTATACACATGTCTTTAACAAAGCATTGACATTCTTTTTAGCGACGACTGAGTCGTTATACATATTATGACATTAGATCATTATTCCTTGCATTTGGAATTAATATTAATATGCGATTCCATGCGTGAAGCTTGTCAGTAGGATCTAGATTATGTATGTGATTGCGTCATCCATCGTTCCCTTGTTTCCTTGTTGATGCGGACGGGTACACAGAATGTATATAGATCACGTCATAGCAAGATAGGCCTTAACGTGACGCCCACTAGTTTCGCACATGTTCGGTTTGGACATCAGACCCTACACAGTGCCATGGAAACTGTAAGGATAAATCGCTTCTAGCAGTGACCTTGTCTATGTGCATCGTGACGCATCATATGCAAGCTTTCTTGACCAGGTCACAATCTATCATCATGGACCAGACAAGAAAAGTTTAAAAAAAGGATGCCTCGTCTCTGCTATCCGAGCCATCAACTCCTCTGGGTCTGTATACCTCCAAGCGCATCCATTCAGTAGACGCTTACTTCCCGTGTCCTTGGTAACTGTCACCCTTTGCCTCGTTATAATCAAGAAGCAGTTTATTGCATTTGATAGTGTCAACCCCTGAATGCCTAGAGCATCGATTAATGTCTGAGCGCCGATATATCGCATCAATGTACAGCATCGGCCACGCGGCCAGGTCATTGCTCGTCCTGAGTTACTGATTATCAATGTGACGGGGCCCAGATCGGCGGGTAATGCACCTTTGCTGTGGTACTGATTGACAGTGATTGTGCTCACTGGGACGGGGGTTTGCAGAACCTGTGGCGGCTTCGGAGCGCTCGATAACGTTCATCGTGCGCGTCGCGTTTTCGCTTGCTTTGTTACTGCGGTCCTGTACCATTCAACACGCCCTTCGCAAGAAAATTCATTGAAAGGTGGTTCAGTGATTCGGTCGGGGCTAAACCACCAGATTTGTGCCTCCTTTTTATTATCCTGTGCAAATAGTTGTTGAGTCTCACTGACATAATGCGACCCTGTAGAAAGAACAAATGCACAGCTTATGCTGCGAATTGCATGTAGAATACTACGTACACCATCCACTGAAATTATCGACGGATTCGGAATTTTGGGTCTGAATTGACCAAATCACCCACCGAGTAATATGCACCTGGTGCAAGTGAGAAATGCCTCGTAAGTGATGACTTTTTATCTTGAAGGATGGAAACTGAGGTGCGCTGCACTCGATAGTTGAAATAGTGTCTTCACTAACCGTTTGAACACATGAGACGCTCAGGGCAAAAACGCTCTGCCAGAATTCGAAGGACATGATGCGCATTGAGCCTGAGGCATCATTCGCGTGCCAGACGGGAAGCGCATCATGACTTGTTCGATCGATTGATCGTTACGAGTATGGAACTTGGAAAGCAGATGGGTGACGACTGGCGGGATGGGGAAAGTCACGGTAGTACAGTATGCATAGCGTTATCTCCAGGCGTTGCGACGTTCATCTCTTGCCTCAGCCGTGAATGAGGACTTTCTAACAGGAAAATGTCTACCCCTCAGTGGTTACTTACGAGTTTATTTTTCTCTGCAGACAACTAGCATTACGTGAGACTCACAGTACACAACGAACACATCAGAAGGAAGCGACTCATTTAACCCCTTAAAACATTGACCCGTTCGATGGATATCGAGAGCACTTCTTTGTCTGCGCCAGGTAAATTTTCGAGCCCAGAGGGCGGGGAACGGATGGCGTATAATAGGGATTGGGTTGGATGAGACGGAATAAGGAGGAAAAGTGGTTAATAAGTGTGTTTTCATACGATGGAAGATGTACTGGTAGTATAATTTTGACACGTGGAGGGAGACGCACAGAGAACTGAAATATTTGGAGGTCAGAAAGAAAACTTGAAGAAATATTAACTAATATAGGACTGTCTCGTGGAACGTCGAAAAAACCTCGGGTATCCGACCAGTATCCTTGGGCCGCTGCACAGGATGTCGTATGTCATCGTCCTAGAACGCATGTGAGATCTCGTTTGGCAGTCCTGAAACATAATGAAATGAGAAGAGCAGTTTGATCAACTTGCATTTGAATATCGCACTTACCAGATTTATAGTGATTCACACTTGGAAGAAACCAAGCTATGAGACAACTCGATCGGCAGTTTTGATGCTGAATTATACGACCATGATGGTCACGGTGAGGAGTGCAGCGATTAGAGATAAAATCGACGTATATCTGGTGTAGAAGTGCTCGAGTCAGATATGAATAGTGGCATATATCAGTCGTCCGCAAGAGAGACACAACCAGCACCCTGCTGGCTGTTGCCAACAGCCAGCAGGGTGAAGTAATAACATGAGGCCGAGGCTAGCACCATCATGATCGACCTCCAGATATAGCTTCATTCTGTAGCGGTCCGATAATAATGAACAAAAGATGAAAATTTGTCTAATCAAGAACTAGCGAACATTTGAATCTTGCGACCGATAGAGCTGTGAGGTTGAACATGAGGACAACCAATGTAAAAACAACTTATGTCGCCATCTAGACAACTCAAACGTCTAGCTGTGGGCAGTGAACGCGACCGTAAATCGACCAAAACACAACCAAATACTCTTTACGCATCACCTGGGGTCTCACTGGAAAACGTCTCCTCGGAGTCGTAAGTGATGATTTTATAGTTTGATGAAATGGAGTACCGATGCAGGGGTAGTTGAAATTCTGATGGCTTTCCTGTCCGACCTGTCGTGGGATGGCGGGGATGATGACTAAGCGCCTGTCCCGGGACATGGTGAGCGGAGGCTAAGCGCTAAGTAACGGGCCGGCGGGAAACGTTAACATGGTGGCATGTAGTACAAGCGCACGCGACTGCTCAGAAAGGCTGCGTGTCCCATCATGAAGACCAAAAAGTCGAGTCTGGCTTTGGGACACGCAGCTGCCCACCTAATTAAGATTAAGCTCCGAGGTGAAATGAGGATTCTTCAAGTTGCCTGGGACACGTGGGTTTCGCCCTGGAGCCAGCGCCGAATGCGAGAAGCACGAAATGTCATGACTTTGTAGTCCATCATGATTGTGCCGTCATTACCTCTGCGGCAGCTCAGAAACTCGAATTTTGCGGATAAAATTCATCCTTTGCACGGTACAGTATACCACACGTTCCTACGACATACCCAGAATTTTCTGCCACGAAAACGGTGCAGAAAATACGTCTCTGTGCTCGAACGCGTCCGTGTCATCACTTCGGGGTCTTCGATAGTAACGTGACTGGGAAATTTACGGCTACCTACTGCGTGGTGTAAGGTTAACCTTCCCCCATCCTTGGGACGCAGAACTCGAAGACATTAGCGATGGCGATCCGCCAGAAATTTGAAGGATAGACCAAAATCGTCCGGGGCATCATACACCTGCCAGGGCCCAGGCAGAGAACGGATCATCACTTGTCCAGGCGACGCTCGCTGACTATGGAAACAGATAGGGATGACTGGCGAGATGGACTCGGATGAACTGCAGTTCGGCATCACATAATTGTTTCCGGATGGGAAGAAAATTGTTAGCGGGAGTCAGGGTACAGCGAGGTTGTGAGATATCGATACAAGTAGTGTCACACACATATTGTGAGGTCTGTCTGCTGGAGTCAAGATGGCCAGCGAGTCACGGTGGTGAGCGAGCGGATCTGAAGACAATAAAACAGTGGGACGTGGGGCGTGGCGGAAAGTACCAATCGAGACTAGTATTGATCTGTTACAGGTTTGGTACGCAGTCGGCGTCTACTACTCGCCCTTGATATGATTGCGACTACTGGATATCACGGGAACTTCATCAAAATCTGGGATGCGATGACCGCAAACGAGCTGGTGACGACACTCTGCGCTTCGACAGTGACACTTGTATCTGCTCTAACCCACCACGTTGGCCTCACAGAGAACCGACGGGTCCTTCCGAGTCAGGGTGCGTTATGTTTAATTGATTGCGTTACCTTTACGTTGTGATATTTACTTCTAGCGACGAAAATAGAGGATGCCGCACTCTGCATATATTGTCGTGTAACAGTATATAAGACAAAATGTCTTTGTCGGGACCTTGGATCATATTCTCTCTCCCGGACTAATAACTGTGCAATGAGACATATCCTAGCAGGTTTGGTGCTCTCGACCACGCTTGTTGCCTGTGCGTGGGCTGGGAAACCAACTCAGATTTATGGTGTTAATTTGGGTTCTTGGTAAGCGTTATTCTACGCCTCTGACCGACTATTTAACTTAAATGGTAGCGCAGGTTAGTTCTAGAGCCATGGATGCTTCCTCAAGGTGATAAACCAACGAACCTTGCAAATACGCGTTCACTAAACACGTTTAGAATGGTTGGACATGGGTGGACAGTCATGTAGTGACAGTTGTTGGACATGCATTTCAACTGAGTCGTATGTTCCAATTCCGCTGTTTGTATGTGGAATTTAATTTGTTCTAGATCATTTGCAAAGGCGTACCCCGACACTGTTGACACTAAATTCGCTCAACACTGGGACACCTGGTTTACGCAGGACGATGTCAACACACTGAAGGCAGCTGGTATCAATGCCGTCAGGGTTCCTGTGAGTTGATTCTAAGGTGCGCTGTGAACTCGGCCAAACTAACGTTCGACGGTTTGATCTGCTTTGCCCTTTTCATCCCGTGCAACCTTCCATGTGTTATGCAACACGTTCATTCATAGCTGGGATATTGGATTGTGGAGGCTTTGGTCGATAGGTCGCACGAATCATACCCTCGGGGCGGTCTTAATTATCTGGTGAGAAGCTCTGCCGTGGTTGAATTCTTTAGTTATACTCGAGCGTTTGCAACTAGCGTCGGGGCTTGGGCTGGCTGAAAGATGCTGGGATCCAAGCGATCCTGGATCATCATGCAGCACCCGGGGTTCAATCGCCTGACCAAATGTGGACCGGAAAGTGAGTTCCCATTTGTTTGCTATCTGTTCTGTACTGAGATTATTTTTTACCAGTTGTACTACCGATGTTCAATTCTACGTGAGCCATTTTGCAGCCGGTGAAAGTAACAGCCACAAGTCCTTACACACAGACTCCATACAACTACCACCGTGCACTGGTGTGGACAGCGGTCATGACTGCGCTTTCTCACCTGGACCCTAATTTTGGGAGTGTCTTTGCGATCGAGGCAGTCAACGAACCCATTATGGACGCGGCTTTGACACCTGGCTATGGCACCTGTATGTATCACTCACCATTCTTTTATTTGTGCCCTCACGATTCCTGAACCTTCGTGCAGTCCAAAAGAACTTCGTCCAGGTAATGCGTGCAGTTGAGCTCACACTCGGAATATCTGTGCCGTCATCTAGTTTATCGTTATCGGCATCAGTGTCCATCTCGAACAACTTCACCGCTGCATTGAGTTCGACATCTTCAGCAACCATATTCTCGGCGGAGGTGCAAGCGGCACTTTTTGACGCCGTTCCAATTTTACTAGAAATTGGAGCAGCGTGCGGTTTGCAAACCATATTCGAAGCATCACCCTTCAAACGGTCCCGTGATTCATTGGTGGCGAAGTGAGTCCACCACAGGTCCTTGCTAGGATGCATTGACAATGGCATGCATAGCTTTATGGATGTGAACTGGCAGTACGACAACCCTTCTAACCCAGCTGACGCGGCGATTGGCCCTCAAGCTTATGACAACCATTTGTATTACTCGTGAGTGCGCAGCTGACTATGTCAAGTTTTCATGGTTTCTTAATCTTCTCTTTATAGGTTTGGCGTATGTCGTGTGCACGCAGCTTTTTGCTTCGCATTGACATTTTTACAGGGAGTTGCGGCTGCTGACCCAACGTCTTACATGATTAGCATCTGCAGTGCGTCTTATTCGTTAGTTCGGCAATGACGTACTCATTTTTGGTAAAGATCTTTCACGCATCCAGGCTGACGCAGCGGTCGGCGACTCTCCGCTCTGGTTCGGAGAATGGGGACTTTCGACACAGTTTAATGCCACGGACGAGTTCCTCTACAAGTGGGCTGACGCACAGAAGTTGGCCTATAGTAAAGGTGCTGGTTGGATTGTACGTGTCCCTTTGTGTTTGATTAAGACATTGCTCAAAGAAGAATATACTTCAGTTCTGGAACTTCAAAACTGAAATATCAGGCCTTACCAATGGGAGTGCCCTTGCAAGGCAATGGTTAGTCATGATGCATCCTAGGGTGCTTTAGGAACGTTCTGAAGGTCGTCCATGTAGGTCTTACCTTGAGGGGCTGAAACTCGGATTCCTGACCCAGGACCCCGCGGCGCTCCACGATCCGAACGTGTGCGTTCCATACATGAACGATACCGCTAATAGCACTAGTTCATGATTTGCGTTCTTGGTGACTAAGTAAGCGTACCTATATCTTATCCCTGCTGACCCACATTCTTTTGTCGACGTTCCTTACTGATTCCTCTGTAACTGCCTCCGGAGCCAACTTATTCCTAGGCTTGCTATTCTAACAAAATTAGGCACCATAAATAGATAACACGTTGAATATATCTAAACTAACTCATACTGCAGTTTCATATGCAATACGCTGAAGACAGTCGGATTTGCCATCTCGGATACTGGAAGGCACTTGTTTTTGGGTCTTCCGATCACTCGATTAGGACATGGAATAATCACCACGTGAGAGCAGGTCGCTGCATTGGATGTTGAACCTGCCAGGATGGCGACAAGGCATTACTCGAATAATAATCGACGTCCCATATGCACAGGGCAAATACGTGTTGTTTTTTCATGCTTCTCCGATGTTTAATTTCATACAGAGGAATGCTTCAGCTAGAGACAAACGGAAGAAGAATCCGTTGACCTCGACGACTTGGACTATCAGTGACAGGCAGCTCACAGCCTGCCTAGTTTAGCGTCACGCAGCAATCCATCGGAGCGGCTCAGCTTAGCTCAGCCCACTCATCTTCACAACCATATATCACTGCTTTCACATCATCCACCACACCTCTACTTCCGCAGCTACATTGTTACGCCCTACAAATTGACAATAATACATGCTGGACGCTGGACTCGTCTCTGGATCTATATCTGTTTTACTTCCTTGAATTTACTACCTAGTACCGACGGCAATCATTAATTAAGTAATCTACACCACTAGCACTACGATTGCTACCATTGTTAATAAAAGTAAAGGACATATAGTAATTGAAAGCGAAGGACGTAAAGTAATTGCATAGTGTGAGACTAATTCAAGTCATATATTAGCTCAGTGATTACCCGCCTCGGACCGACTGAAGGTTATCGTTAGTACCATCAAAACAATGTCCGTGAAAACAGTAATTGAATTTAGCCTGAAAATGCGTTACAAGATGTCTGCATCCAAATACTCCTTGCCTGTCGGTGGTCGGCTCTGGTTCCAACTTGAAGTCCCGTACACACGGGTACTGTCGGTGTGCGTGGAGCGGGGTGTGTTGACCTGCAGAGGCTCCACAGAATATTGCGGAAGGCTCCATCGTTCCGTTTCACTGGTAATCGCCTCACGGGCAGGTCGGCTCTGGTTCCAACTTGAAGTCCCGTACACCCGGGTACTGTCGGTGTGCGTGGAGCGGGGTATGTTGACCTGCAGAGGCTCCACATAATATTGCGAAAGGCTCGTTTCACTGGTCATCGCCCCACGGGAAGTCAAGACCTGACTGTGAGTGTTTTGACCAATCGCGATTCGAATTATTACCATGTAGAAAGCAATTGAGATGACCGGCGTGAGCTAGTTGATCGAAAATTAGTCATTATTATAACATGTGTTGTTGGGGTAATCACCGTGTCTATCACAGTAAACGGTCCACTGCCCGAGCAGAGGGCTCCAGTTACTGTAGCGAGGAGCGCTATGGTGTACAAGATAGTAGAATCCATTATTACGCGTATTATACGCGTGGTCGTGACCTTTGAAGTGCGAGAGGAAGAGACATTGCGCTCGATTTTCCAGATGCGATACGCGAGTAATCCTTCAAGTTGGCATGAGATATGACACCGGGTCGGGCAGAAGCGTGCTTACCCGAACTTGACAAATTTGCTAGAAGTGTCAGGACACAGAACACTCCCATGCATTCCACATTCACTGTGGTAGAAATGATTCCGGTACTGCTGGTTTGGGAATCGCCGTAAACTGAGAGAGCACCAGTGACTAAGGCAATATTAGAACATGCGACTCCCAAAATCAATGTAACCCAACCTGCGACGCCGCACCACAGCAAGCTTGGTAGAATGATGACCCAGGCAGCTTGCCAGACGACGTAACAACGATAAATCTGTCACCAGAAAGCCATTTCTATAGCAATCTTAAACTCGCAAATAAAAATTTGAACCCACCACCACCGCATCACCAAGCAGAGTTTGCAGAACGTATATTGAATTCTTGATCACGTATGTTTCTTGAGAAACATCTGCGAAGTACGCCGCTGGCACACCTTGGTACGTCACAAATCCGTATTCGATCCGAATAATGCTTAAGACTATGTGCTTGGAGAAATGTTTCAATAGATGATATTTAATGAAAGAGGCGAGGGGCTAACCGCAGTACTCAATACCGACAGCAGGACGGCTGCGGCAATGACTGGGCGATTGAAATCTCGTACGGAACGTTTGTAGGACATTGACCACATGGTGCCAATAAACATGAGGACCGAAAAACCTGAAAAATTCTAGCTTTGTGGTCACTAGACAGACGAACTGACAGAGATGCTCACCGTATAAAATGCCTTCCAGCGCCGTCGATATTAGAGCTGCGGTATCCAGCGAGAATGAACTTGTAAAAGCCATGGCAAGGATGACGCTCGGGAATGGCTTGGGGTAGAGTCAATTCCATGTATATATCATAGTTCTACTGGTAATACGAAGACCCCAGATTGACATCGCATCCAGGCTGCGGATACTTTTTGTTCCGCGCTCTAGGCTTAACCTTAACTTCATTCATGGCAGCCAAGAGTCAGGACCAACGCGTTCTGTTACTCACAGTGATAAGACCTATAACAGGCAGTCACACGTTTGGGACACCGTGCACCTTGTTTTTCTATCCGACATCAGTGAACTAATGGACGCGGCACTGGCGAGCCTTGATGCAGCTACTACTGGCGTGCCAGTGCAAGCATTCCTATGTCCTACATTCAACTCCCAGATCAAGTTGCACGGGCTCATGAGTCATGACCATTCCTTTGTTATTTTATTCATCACATACTACCACTAGCTAGTTCGATGAGTAACAACTACAGTGAAAGTGTGCACCAACTTGAAAGGCATGAGCCATTTTCGACTTGACCGGAAGCACTATGAATGTTTCTCAGAGAATCAACGTGCAATTTTTGTATACTCGTAAGATAAGATGTCAACACAAAATAGTATGCTATATACACCTACACCATCATCTAGGTTCTTCGACCGCAACTTGATGTAGCCTATCACGGAATAAGCCTCCGCATCACACTGGTTCAGTCAGGGCTGTCAAGGAACTTCTGAAGTAATACGAGAAGCGAAGGTATCTCGTGCCAAGTCGAAGGAGGGATGGAGCATTTGAGGCGGAGTGTACAGTGCCACCAGTTCTATGTGTCACAGGAGCTGTTGCAATGTGCGGAGCCTCATCTGTGTCCACTGTCAGAGAGGTAAGCAAAGAGTAACTCGCTTACATAAAGCATGCGACGGCTGAGTAGTCCACCAGAAGATAGGCTATATATTACCTGTTACAGGATTCGTGACGGTGCCGTGTCAATTTCACCTCACGGGGTACACGAAGTCCCGTTGCCTACTGTGGGTGTGTGATGCGGTGGTCCTGGTTTCCATAAAAGAGTAAGTTTGGAATTCAAAGAGAATATTTGCTATTCGTAATTTCAGCGGTACGGTTTGCTCCACTCCTTGACGCTTTTTGCAAATGAAAGAACGCGCGCATATACACTATGTGGAACAACTGTGGGCTGATTTGGGCATCGGCGCGTTTCAACTCACATTTTCATCTCGTCAGGATGCCTTCAGTGATAATCAAGGTCAGCGGAAAACAGTCCGATTACTTGCCATGAACATGAACATGATAATCTTGTTTACTGCAGAAACACTATGTTGTTCGATCTCGGCAGAGGGGTGATATCGTCACATATCTCATTCCATCCAAGAGAAGCACCGGTTTTTGAAGTCCGGTGGCGGCGTACATCAGTGAACGAAAACAGTTTTGGATGCGTTCACTAACTGTACTAGTGCCATTGTCGTGCCATTGCAATATCTTTCAGTGGCCGGATCCTAGAAAGCCCATCATCGGTTCATCCTCCAGCATGCAGCTGCAGCTAGCATTTCATTAGTTGCTCGTTTGCAACAAATGGAAAAATACTAGCCACTGGCTGCATTGGCAATGCATACACCTGAATGTTTCTGCGATTGTCAGAGAAGCTGGCCTCGACTCGGACAACATTTTTGTCAGATCCAAATTGAAATACGCGTTGAAATGGTTTTCGCATTTTATTTATCTGTGCAAACTCAACATGTTCTAAACTTCTACCAGGATGGTGACAAGGCCTTACTCGATGTATATGACATGTACAAAATCATCTCAATGTGATTAAGTTGCAGGAACATAGTAATTGACGTCCCGGATGCACAGGGAAAATACGTGTTTTCTTTCATGCTTCTCCGAGTCTTAATTCAAACTGATTCCATACAGAGGAATGTTTCAGCTAGACAAACGGAAGAAGAACCCGTTGACCTCGGCGACTTGGACTACCTCATCGCCTGCCTACTAGTCCGGTGTCACGCAGTAATCCATCGGAGCGGCTCAGGCGCTCATCCTCACAACCATATATCACTGCCTTTACATCATTCACCACACCTCCCGTCGCTGCCACTTCTGCAGCTACAATGTCACACCCTATAATGATACTTGCTAGACGCTGGACAGGTTTATGGCTCTTCATCTGTTTCACTTCCTTGAATTTACTGACGGGAATCATTAATCTACTGACAAGGCATTACTCGAATAATAATCGACGTCCCGTATGCACAGGGCATATACGTGTTGATTTTTCATGCTTCTCCGATTTTAATTCGACCTGATTTCTTATACAGAGGAATGCTTCAGCTAGAGACAAACAGAAGAAGAATCCGTTGACCTCGACGACTTGGACTATCGCAGGCAGCTCACAGCCTGCCTAGTTTAGCGTCACGCAGCAATCCATCGGAGCGGCTCAGCTTAACTCATCTTCACAACCATATCTCACTGCTTTCACATCATCCACCACACCTCTACTTCCGCAGCTACAATGTTACGCCCTACAATAATACACGCCGCCAGTGGACGCTGGACTCGTCTCTGGATCTTTACCTGTTTTACTTCCTTAAATTTACTACCGACGGCAATCATTAAGTAATATATATCACTAGCACTACGATTGCTACCATTGTTCATGAAGTTGAAGGTCATAATATCATATAGTAATTGAAAGCGAAGCACGTAAAGTCATATATCAACCAGTCAGTGATTCTCCTTCGCTATTGCGCGCCTCGGACCGACTGAAGGTTATCGTCTGATACTATCAAAATAATTTCCGTGAAAATAGCAATCGAGTTTAGCCTGACAATAGATCGCAAGATGTCTCATCCAAATACTCCTTGCCTGTCGGTGGTCGGCTCTGGTTCCAACTTGAAGTCCCGTACACACGGGTACTGTCGGTGTGCGTGGAGCGGGGTGTGTTGACCTGCAGAGGTTTCACAGAATATTGCGGAAAGCTCCCTCGTTCCGTTTCACTGGTTATCCCCCCACGGACAGTCAAGACCTGACTGTGAGCGTTTTGACCGATTGCGATTCGAATGATTACCATGTAGAAAGCAATTGAGATGACCGGCGTGAGCTAGTTGATCGAAAATCAGTCATTGTTATAACATGTGTTGTCGGGGTAATCACCGTGTCTATCAGAGTAAACGGCCCATTGCTCGAGCAGAGGGCTCCAGTTACTGTAGCGAGGAGCGCTATGGTGTACAAGCTAGCAGAATCCATTACTACGCGTATTATACTCGTGGTCATGACCTTTGAAGTGCGAGAGGAAGAGACATTGCGCTCGATTTTCCAGATGCGATACGCGAGTAATCCTGGAAAATATCAAGTTGGCATGAGAATATGACACCGTGGTCGGCAGAAGCGTGCTTACCCGAACTCGACAAATTTGCTAGAAGTGTCAGGACACAGAACACTCCCATGCATTCCACATTCACTGTGGTAGAAATGATTCCGGTACTGCTGGTTTGGGAATCGCCGTAAACATAGAGAGCACCAGTGACTTTAAGGCAATATTAGAGCATGCGACTCCCAAAATCAATGTAACCCAACCTGCGACGCCGCACCACAGCAAGCTTGGTAGAATGATGACCCAGGCAGCTTGCCAGACGACGTAACAACGATAAATCTGTCACCAGAAAGCCATTTCTATAGCAATCTTAAACTCGCAGATGAAAATCTGAACGCACCGCTACCGCATCACCAAGCAGAGTTTGCAGAACGTATATCGAATTCTTGATCACGTACGTTTCTTGAGAAACATCTGCAAAGTACGCCGCTGGCACACCTTGGTACGTCACAAATCCGTATTCGATCCGAATAATGCTTAAGACTATGTGCTTGGGGAAATGTTTCAATAGATGATATTTAATGAAAGAGGCGAGGGGCTAACTGCAGTACTCAATACCGACAGCAGGACGGCTGCGGCAGCGACTGGGCGATTGACATCTCGCATGGAACGTTTGTAGGACATTGACCACATGGTGCCAATAAACATGAGGACCGAAAAACCTGAAAAATTCTAGCTTTGTGGTCGCCAAACGGACGAACTGACTGAGATGCTCACCGTATAAAATGCCTTCCAGCACCGTCGATATTAGAGCTGCGGTTTCCAGCGAGATTGAACTTGTAAAAGTCATGGCAAGAATGACGCTCGGGAATGGCTTGGGGTAGAGTCAATTCCATGTATATATCATAGTTCTACTAATACGAAGACCCCAAATTGACATCGCATCCGGGCTGCGGACTCGGATACTTTTTGTTCCGCGCCCTATGTAGGCTTAACCTTAACTTAATTTATGGAAGCCAGGAGTAGAGCGTACTATTTGCAGTTAACGGCTTGTTTACATGCAGGTGTGGAGGCAAACAGCATCGGAATCTAAAATTTGTACTTGCGTATGCCGTATGTTGACGTACGTTTGACACGAGGTAAACTGTTAAGCATAGTAGACTCTATCAGCATCAACAACAGCACTGGATATTGCTGCTAGCGTGACAGGCTGTAGGACCAGGGTCCAGGGGTGGTCGAGGAGGTTCAAGTAGTAAAGGGAGAAGATTGTCCATTGAATTTCGTCGACAGTACAATTCAATGGATTCTCTCACAGAACATGTAACATCACGTATACTTGTAACATGCCGAGATAGAGTCCGTTGCATGTTTGGCCAAGATATTTTGATTGTGGGCGCTGCTCTAGTCAGCACCAACGCGTTCTGTTACATGTTACAAGACCTATAACAGGCAGTCACACGTTTGGGACACCGTGCACCTTGTTTTTCTATTCAACATCAGTTCACTGATGGACGCGGCACTGACGAGCCTTCAAGTTGATGCAGCTACTGGCGCGCCAGTGCAGGCATTCCTATATTCTACATTCAACTCCCAGATCAAGTTGCACGGGCTCATGACCATTCCTTCGTTATTTTATTCATCACATACTACCACTAGCTAGTTCGATGAGTAACAACTACGGTGAAAGCGTGCACCAAAGGCATGCCACCGAGCCATTTCCGACTTGACCGGGTTTGACACGATGAGTGATAGATGTGAAGAGGCACTGACGCGGCATGGATGAGGTTTGACGAGGCATTGGCGCAGCACAATTTGCTTGAAGCGGCACTGACACAGCATGCAAGTGGACCTTGACGCGACATAGATAAGTGTAGAAGCCAGTGATTCTCACTTACCTGTGCTGCGTTAAGGCCTACTTGGATGTTAACTTGTCATGGTATGAGTGGTGCTTAACCTAGTCTGAATGAGGCCTGACATGGCATGATAGAGGCTTGACTCGGTAGTGCAAAGTACGGAAGCTGCATCGGACTTGACAAGGTGGGGTCGAGGCTTGACACAGTGAGACAATACTTCATACTGCGGTCTCAACACTATCAATGATTTGGGCGATACAAGACAAACACAAGGTACACACTACATTCCGGAAGATTCCCGAGTAGTACGAACGCGGAGGACAAGCACCGTAAATATCGTGGGAATTGAATACAGCACTCCAGGACCTGTACACAGATAGATATTCATACGTTTGATCATTAACGGGGATTCAAAGCGTTGGGAGTTCATTAACATTAATTACGTTTAGAGAGCGGTATTTGTCATGACAGTGCCGCGTCAATTTCACCTCACGGGGTGCACGAAGTCCCGCTGCCAACTGTGGGTGACACTGACTAACTTAAACGAGCATTGGTGGTGCTGGTTTTCATAAAAGAGTGAGTTTGAAATTTGCTATTCGCTGTCGAAGCTTCAGCGCTGCAGCGATATTTGCTCCACTCCTTGGTTATTGCAAATGGAAGAACACGCGCATACACTATGGATTGATTTGGGCATCGGCGCGTTTCAACTCACATTTTCATCACCTCGTTGTAGGACGCCTTCAGTGACAATCAAGGTCAGTGGAACAGCGGAAAACAGTCCAATTACTTGCCATGAACATGAATATGATAATCTTGTTTACTGCAGAAACACTATGTTGTTCGATCTCGGCAGAGGGGTGATATCGTCATATATCTCATTCCATCCAAGAAGAGCATCTGGATGAACTGGTTTTTGAAGTCCGGTGGCGGCGGTAATCCTGAAAACAGTTTCGGATGCGTTCACTAACTGTACTAGTGCCATCGTCCTGCCATTGCAATATCTTTCAGTGGCCGGATCCTAGAAAGCCCATCATCGGTTCACCCTCCAGCATGGTGCAGCTAGTAATGCGTTAGTCGCCCGTTTTCAACAAACGGTAAAATCATACTAGCCGCTGGTTACATTGGCAATGCATATACATGGTTGTTTCTGCGATTGTCAGAAGCTGGCTTCAACTCGGACAACCTTTTTGTCAGATCCCAATTGAAATATGAGTTGAAGTTGTTTTCGCATTTTATTTACCTGTGTAAACTCAACATGTTCTGCCAGGATGGTGACAAGGCCTTACTCAATGTATGTGACATATACAAAATCATCTCAATGTGATTAAGTTGCAGGAACGCCCATATTGTAATCGACGTCCCGTATGCACAGGGAAAATACGTGTTTTTTTCATCTTTCTCCGAGTCTTAATTCAAACTGATTCCATACAGAGGAATGCAGCATGCTTCAGCTAGACAAACGGAAGAAGAATCCGTTGACCTCGGCGACTTGGACTACCTCATCGCCTGCCTACTAGTCCGGTGTCACGCAGTAATCCATCGGAGCGGCTCAGGCACTCATCTTCGCAACCATATATCACTGCTTTTACATCATTCACCACACCTCCCGTCGCTGCCACTTCCGCAGCTACAATGGCACGCCCACAATAATACATGCTGCACGCTGGACTGGTTTATGGCTCTTCATCTGTTTTACTTCCTTGAATTTACTGGCGGGAATCATTAATCCACACCGATAGCACTACGATTGCTGCCATTGTTCATGAAAGCGAAGGGGGTATAGTAATTGTACAAAGATTAATTCAAGTCATATATTAAATCAGCGATCCTTCTTCGCTATTATGCGCCTTGGACCGACCGAGGGGTATCGCTAATACTATCAAAACAATGTCCGTGAAAACAGTAATTGAATTTAGCCTGAAAATGAGTTACAATCCAAAGACTCCTTGCCCGTCGGCGGTCGGCTCTGGTTCCAAGTCCCGTACACCCTGGTACTGTCAGTGTGCATGGACCGGGATACGTGGACCTGCAGAGGCTTCATAGAGTATTGCGACGAGCTCCCCCGTTCCGTTTCACTGGTTATCCCCCCACGGACAGTCAAGATCTGAGTGTGAGAGTTTTTACCGATTGCGATTCGAATTATTACCATGTAGAAGGTAATTGAGATGATCGGAGTGAGCTAGTCGATTGAAAATCAGTCATTTTTATAACATGTATTGTCGGTGTAATTACCGTGTCTATCAGAACAAACGGTCCACTGCCCGAGCAGAGGGATCCGGCTACTGTAGCGAGGAGCGCTATGGTGTACAAAATAGCAGAATCCATTATTACACGCATTATACTCGTGGTCATGACCTTTGAAGTGCGAGAGGAAGAGACACTGCGCTCGATTTTCCAGATGCGATACGCGAGTAATCCTGGAAAATATCAAGTTGGCATGAGAATATGACACCGTGATCGGGCAGAAGCGTGCTTACCCGAACTCGACAGATTTGCTGCAAGTGTCAGGCCACAGAACGCTCCCATGCATTCCATATTCACTGTGGCAGATATGATTCCGGTACTGCTGGTTTGGGAATCGCCGTAAACTGAGAGAGCACCAGTAACTTCAAGGCAATATTAGAGCATGCGACTCCCAAAATCACTGTAACCCAACCTGCGACGCCGCACCACAGCAAGCTTGGTAGAATGATGACCCAGGCAGCTTGCCAGACGATGTAACAACGATAAATCTATTACCAGAAAGCCATTTCTATAGCAATGTTAAACTCGCAGATAAAAATCTGAACCCACCGCCACCGCATCACCAAGCAGAGTTTGCAGAACGTATATCGAATTCTTGATCACGAACGTTTCTTGAGAAGCATCTGCAAAGTACACCGCTGGCACACCTTGGTACGTCACAAATCCGTATTCGGCCCGAATAATGCTCAAGACTATGTGCTTGGAGAAATGTTTCAGTAGATGATATTTAATGAAAGAGGCGAGGGGCTAACTGCGGTACTCAATACCAACAGCAGGACGGCTGCAGTGGCGACTGGGCGATTGACATCTCGCATAGAATGTTTGTAGGTCATTGACCACATGGTGCCAATAAACATGAGGACCGAAAAGCCTGAAAATTCTAGCTTTGTGGTCACCAGAGGACGAACTGACTGAGATACTCACCGTAAAAAATGCCTTCCAGCGCCGTCGATATTATAGTTGCAGTATCCAGCGACATTGAACTTGCAGAAGCCATGGCAAGAATGAAATGACGTTCGGGAATGGCTTGGAGAAGATACAAGAGAGTTTCACTCTTGTCAATTCCATGTATACCATTGTTCTGGTAGAACTTAATACGAAGACCCCAGATTGACATCCATCATGCGGATACTTGTTTGTTCAGCGCTGCTTAAATTATCAATCGCAGAAAACGATGAAGCTGTATCCGTCCATGTCGGATCCAGGGACTCTAGACTATCCATTGGGTCAGAGGATCCATATGTGCTCTGGACTTATTGCAGTGTAACGTCGCTAGCGTAGTAAGCGCTGACCTTTCACGGAGTGCGCCCCGAGGGCAGTGTTTGGTATTGGACATTGATGACTGGCCCCCTGGCACCATCGGATCGATGTAACCCATGATCATGGTGGATGACTAGACTCGTGACCAGTCCTAACCTGGGCAAGACGCGACGGCTTGCCTCGTAGCTTAGGCCTTTAGGCCTTAGGACTGATCACGAGTCTAGTTGATGATAGTAATACACCAGCTGGTGGCATCAGCAAGTGACGGGTCTCAACGTGGAATCTTTTTCACTTGTCAAGAAGTCGATGGGCGGCTGACGTACTTGCTAATGAGGCTTTGGTACTTGCAAGCCGCTCGGCTGGATTGAGTCGGAGTTTTATTCCAATGATCACCCATCTGTCATCAAGTAATGGCAGTTCTCTCATGCTACCCCAGGATAATACCTCATCATGCGCCTGTAGAGCTCTGTTTTTCTCAAACTCAAATGCGCACACCAGGACGTTTAAAAATGGCATCGACCTATTTATGTACTGCATGTCCTCTAATGGTTCCGTAGGATCCAGAGTGAGCCGGACGGCCCAAAGAATAAGGAGGGCAGTTATGAACACCGATCTATACCAATCGAGGTGAGCTCGAAAAACTGTGAACGTGTAAGATAGCTTTACCTGTCCACGACATGTTGAGTGGGGCATACACTGAAAGCACTGCCATTCAGGAACGAATAGCTGAAAGGGGCGAAGCCGTAGACAAAATTGAAACGCCTCTCAGGCTACTTTGGGCATCTATCCAGCGCTGAGGCTTGAACACGTTAGGCTCTGGGTAGACATCTGGATCGCAACAGATGGGCCTAGAGCCATGAGCGTTGGATCTTTAGTATCTTGAAGCACGAGGCTTACTGAAGGTGACTGAGTGCCCCAACTGAAATACAATGATTTTTCTGACGGGCTAGATCATCATTCGCCCGACCAGTTGTTCAAACATCACTTGCCCAAATCATGTCTTGGGTTGCTCGGTGAGCCAATGCTACATCGTGAATGTTGTGACACTTAAGTACAAACGCAAATGAAGCTGATCGCTACTGGAAGCCCCAGGTCGTTATATTAAAGCCTCAGATACGAATACTTTCAGACGAGAAAAGGATCTTAGTCGATGACTCGGAAGGTCGGTGCTACCGCAGAAAATTATTCAACCCGCAGCACTGCAAATTGTACTACCCATCATTCATCCGGATTTGAATTCTATTGCTACTCGCTGTGCTGCTTTGAAGAACTTAACCGTCAGGAGCTCAGATGACAGCACAGAAGACGAACTGTCCTTGCTCTCCGACAGTGCCCGTTTGTGCAAGCGGCTTGTAACTCCGTGTTGCCCAGCGCTCGGCTGGGAAACATGGAAACACCTCTCCAACCTCCCCCTTTTTAGACTGACGATTAGTGAATTCCGCAGTTCCTGCCTACATTATCACAGGCTGTTCACAGCCTTGCGACACTCGGAATTCCCCTTGTTAAAAAAGTTCGTGATGATCATCGCAGATAAATTTTCGACAGAGGCTGAGACTGTCCCAGTGCAAAGCATGCCAAACCCTGGAAAATTCATCATTTTTGCCGTTCATGAAGGACCTCGAGACCCCTCAGGCAGCTCTTCGACAGCGGTTACACAATTTCACTGCTTCACACAGCTTTGAACCCTGCGACTCACCCTTCGTCGACCTCCTTTTTGAAGCCATGTCAACTTGGCCGCACATGTTGTCTTTGATAATGGAAGACCCGCGTCTTTGTCCATCTACCGTTACATTCCGCAGATTATTTGCGGCGCTCCGTTCATGTCCCCACTTGCATACACTGCGATTGTTAATTGATATTGTGAATATCGATGGGGCCTCCCTACAAATTGACACTTGATCGCCGTCTCTCACAGCGGACCCTATAGCTAACGCTCGCCGCATCATTCTTTCCATGCTTCCGAGGCGTCAACCAAGTTAACAGCATCACGAAGTAGCATGAAGTCAACGTGCATCTCGCATCTTTCAAAGCTTTTGCGCTATTTGACCCCCATGGTTTACAGGACCCGCCTCGAATACTTATGTTCGGAGAATGATCGATTGTTATATTCCTTCGCGTTCGGTCTCGCCCTGTCGTTGTCATTATCGTTGCTGTTGACTATATGTAGTTGTAGTTATTTCTCGTCTGACCGTTAAAAAACACTATCGCATGGGGTCTCCTCACACGTTTATATGGAGTATCTGTACCGGTCTTCGCCTACTTAAAATAATCTCGATTCGCTAGCTCCGTTTGTAAAACAAACGCAATTCCACATCCCTTTGGTGTACGATTTGAGTATATTAAATCTATGATGGGCCCAATATCGAAGTTCTTCATAGTATCAAGCCCCAACAAGGACCTCCCTAACATTCACATTCACATTCTTCTCCTCTGACTCCGAATACTTGATACGCTCCCCTCACTGCCCTTTCCAATGTTTGGCACTGGGCCCGTGAACCAATGCACGCCACCATACACAGGGCAATAGTACCACATGATAACGACAACATGCCGAGGATGATCGAGATAATCGCGACGAACCAAACGGTGTTGACGGGCGTCTTGGTAAAGCTGTTCATGCGATAGATGTAAGATGAGAACGGAAGTGCGCCATCACGGGAAAAAATGTTTGGCGAGATGATGCAAGGACCATGCTCGAGCCCATCATATATCTGCACATAATCAATCATAGTTCAAAGAGCACCACTGTCGACTTACTGAGCAAGCACGACGAAGGACCACAATGCAAGCGTTCCATTTTGGCCGAAGCTGTTGAAGAAAATTTGGGCCATGGGCTGTCCAATCGGGCTGTTGAGAAGGGAGTTCACGTCGGTGCCCATGCAGAATGCAAGAGAGACGTTGATTGCTGCAAGACGGTAAGTAGTGTTTGCGAAGCTAATAAATGCGTACCCCAACCAAGGACACCTGCGATGCCGATGGCGCTGACCTGGAATGCATTCAGCAATTGAACAAGTACGGAGTCTGAGGATTACAATGGCCCATGGAACAGCAGTGGCAGCGTTAGACGATTCCTCGCTGATATCAGCGTGCGATGCTTTTTTTAAAAAAAAGCCATTTCATCCCACCCCAAGTACCTCACACATCGCATCGCACTAGATGACCTCACAGTCCCATTCAACTCCCCCCACTCCCCACTCGTCAATACAAAATTCGACTCCTCCTCTCCTTGGGTCGCTCTAATCCCTCCCAAGAACCCGAAATGATTGCGTTTCTGCACAGTTGAAAAGCGCCATCGCAGCTTGTTGCGAACGGATATAATTCCTAGTTCCATCCCAGCATCAACAACCCAATCCAATTTCATGCGGGAGTGAAAGGAAGGGGATATATGAAGGGAACAGACTCACCTAACAACATTCTCCTGAAAACCTTCATCCTTCTCCACTTCGCCATCAACGCCGAACGGGACAGGTTCGACTAAGGCTGATATCAATGCATTGAGCATTGCTGTAAAGACCCCTCTTATATATCTCCTCCTGAATCGCAGCGAGCGTGGGAGCAGACATAGAGACGGATGACGGATCAAAGAACTTCGAAGCATGACGATTTGCGTGAATTTGGGGTGGTTCGGTTTCTGAGATTGACTAGTGATCAGGTACTACCGTTACTCATATCCAATTCTCGATTGCACGAAACAAAATCTGTCTGTTTGGAATCGCGGTTTCCAGCACCTCATCTCAATCGCCGGGCGGATTATGATGTAGCTGGGAGAGAAGAATGAAGTGCGTGGCAGGGATACTTAGCCGTTTATTCGTAGACTGTTGCTGATATGATGTACGTGCTTGTTGGAGGTAAAATATGACTCAAAGCAATGAGCTCGAGAGAACGTTCCAGAGCCGATTAGATAACCGGTACTAGCATATAGGCAACGCAACTCACTGAAATGCTAATTCATTGTCACATTCTGATATTGAGAATGCATGAGAGCGCTTCGCAGCGAACTGCCTCTCATCTTCCCCAGTGATTGAAAACTAGGTAATCATAGATGGAGGCCGTATGTAATGTGACCCTGTGACGCTCGGGCGCTTCAGCTGCACAGCCTATGCTGTAATAGCTATGAAATGAACACGAGGATACAGCATGTATAATAACGTACCAGGAAGCAGTGTATTCAACTCTGACTTGACGCAAACAACCATTATTCCCTGTTCCCCGCCCATCGCTTCTGAGAAACCTCCTCGTAAGTGACTATTTTGAAATATGACGGATGAAAGCTGAGATGGCGCTGCACCACGTAGTCGGAATTTGAAGCATGTCTTCACCAACCGCCAAAACGAAAGAAACATCAGCGATAACGCCTCGCCAGAAATTTGAAGGACACACTGATGTTATCTGGGGCGTCATACACCTGCCAGGCGGACAGCAAATCATCACTTGTTCAGATGACGGCTCGCTCCGAGTGTGGAACTTGAAAAGCGGGAAACAGATAGGAGAAGACTGGCGGGACGGAGAAAGTGCCGTGGGGAGTATAGCGCTGTCTCCGGACGGGAAGAAAGTGGTTAGCGGGAGTGAGGATGGTGCAGTGAGGCTGTGGGACATCGACACATGCAAAGTCATTGCGAAATGGACGGGGCACACAAAGCTTGTGAGGTCTGTCTGCAGCAGTCGAGATGGTCAGAGAGTGTTAAGCGGATCTGTCGATGGGACTGCAAGGCAATGGGACGTGGAAAACGGAGATACGATCCTGGAGCCAATCGTGACAGGGTACGAATACGTGTGGGCAGTGGTCTATTCACCAGACATGACCTTGATTGCCACGACTGGTGGACGTGATAGGTCCTCGACTGGAGAACCCAAGTACTCAATTCAAATATGGGACACAAAGACAGACAAGCTTGTTGCAACTCTCAAAGGACACTCGGACTGGGTGCGCTGTCTGGCTTGGACCAAGGACGGAAAAACGCTTATCTCCGGGTCCTATGATTGCTCAATTAGGACATGGAATACAACCAAGTGGGAGCAAATCACGGTTCTGGATGAGCACATGCAAGGTCTCCTTGCCATTGCAATATCACCGAATAGCCGCATCCTTGCAAGTGCATCATTCGACAACACAGCGCGATTATGGAACCTCGATAATGGGCGACCCATCAGTTCGCCCCTCCAGCACGCAAAGCAAGTGAACTGCGTATCGTTTTCCGCAGATGGAAAGCTACTAGCCACCGGTTGCAGTGACAACAACGCGTACTCATGGGATGTTGCTGTGATTATTAAAGAAGCTGGACTCGACGAACTTTTGTCAGATTCAAAGGTGAGTTGGCATGCATGTCTCATTGTATTACATTCTCATAACTGAACGCGCTTTGCCAGGCCGACAAGTTAACACTCCGTGTATGTGATACCTTCATTCAAAAGTCTTATATCGTTCAACATATACACTCTAGGCCAGTGCTACACGACGTCCGATCCAGCTACGTCCGCCTGCTAATCGTGTACCTCATGATTTTTTCGATGGAGCCCTACCAGCTCATGTACGCCATTACTATCACTTTGAGACTTATTCTGACCTCTGTGGTTTCAGTCGTCAGCACTACCAGAAACCACACTTCTCAGGCGTTTATTCCACCGCAACCGCAACACCTCCAGTGCCCATGATACGTCACCATCCTCCCCTCTCGATTGGGCTCGAAACCTTTTCAAACTGCGCAGACAAAGTGGTGAGGAAGTTGAGTTACAAGGGCGCAGCTCTGCAGATGTTGAGGTTCCATATGCGAAAGGCAAACGTGTATGTTATCTCTACTTCTCAGACGGTCAACTCGACCTGATATCACATAGAGAAACGCTTCAAAGAGGGAGGTTGCGTTAGCGAAACAGAAACAGAAAGCGAAAGCGTTGCACTCGAAGAACTCTACTTCGGGCAGCTCACAGCCTCCCAAGCCCAATGTCACTAAGCCATCTTCGCAACCACAGGCTTCGTCGTCCACCACACCTGCTACCGGTGACGCTACCACAGCTACAACATCAACACCGCCGTCACGCCGTCACGCAATGATAAAAGATGCTGGACTCTGGACTCGCATTTGGCTCTTTCTCGGTTGTCTCTCTCCTGAATATACGGACGATCATCATTAGATCTCGTCATCCTTCATGACTCGCATGCCTTTACATCTCTCGACGGACTCTCATTGATGTGTTCCACCTCTCCCTCTCATGTATCTCGAACCGTCCTTTATGTATGATACGGACACCAGACGCCTCGCCACCTCCGTCTGCAATGTATATTACCCATACATTTTTCTGCAGATGAAAGACTGCCGTTACAGACGAACGTGCATACAATCCTAACTCGAACATAACGTCAACATTTCAACCATTGCATGATAATCTAATATAGGAGCAGGAAAAAAAGACTCGCCTGTAACGATCAAGTCAGGCTCGACACCAAAGCATCAAATGACAAAGGTCAGCGGTTGAAAACAGTTTCGGATACGTTCACTGACTGTACAAGTGCCATTGGTGACTCCTGCCATTGCAATATCTTTCAATGCTCAAATCCTAGAAACTTGCCCATCGGTTCACCCTCCGAGCCCAGCATGCTACAGCTAGTAATACATTAGTTACTCGTTTTCAACAGATGGAAAAATAGTAGCCACTGGCCGCGCTGCATTGGCAACACATACATGGATGTTTCTGCGATTGTCAGAAGCTGGCCTCGACGAACTTTTTGTCAGATCTAACTTGAGATGGATTTGTTTCTAGCTCTTTATCCGTTGTACTTCCTTGAATTTACTGACGGCAACCATTAATCTACACCGCTAGCATTACGATTGCTATCATTGTTCATGAAAGCGGAGGACGTATGAAAATTATACAAAGATTAATTCAAGTCATATATCAACTCAGTGACTGTTCTTCGCTATTACGAGCCTCAGACCGACCCAAGGTTATCGCCTAATACTATCAAAACAATTTCCGTGAAAACAATAATTGAGTTTAGCCTGACAATGCATCGCAAGATGTCTCACCCAAAGACTCCTTGCCTGTCGGTGGTCCGCTCTCGTTCCAACTTGAAGTCTTGTACACACTGGTACTGTCGGTGTGCGTGGAGCGGGATATGTCGACCCGCAGAGGCTTCATAGAATATTGCGACGAGCTCCCTCGTTCCGTTTCACTGGTCATCCCCCCACGGACAGTCAAAATCTGAGTGTGAGTGTTTTGACCGATTGCGATTCGAATTATTATCATGTAGAAAGCAATTGAGATGACCGGCGTGAGCTAGTTGGTCGAAAATCAGTCATTGTTATAACATGTGTTGTCGGGGTAATCACCATGTCTATCAGAGTAAACGGTCCAGTGCCCAAGCAGAGGGATCCACTTACTGTAGCGAGGAGCGCTATGGTGTACAAAATAGCAGAATCCATTATTACACGTATTATACTCGTGGTCAGGGCCTTTGAAGTGCGAGAGGAAGAGACATTGCGCTCGATTTTCCAGATGCGATACGCAAGTAATCCTGGAAATTTACAAGTTAGCATGAGAACATGACATCGTGGTCGGGCAGAAGCGTGCTTACCTGAACTCGTCAAATTTGCTGCAAGTGTCAGGCCACAGAACGCTCCCATGCATTCTACATTCACTTTAGTAGAAATTATTCCGTTACTGCCGGTTTGTGAATCGCCGTAAACTGAGAGAGCACCGGTGACTTCAAGGCAATATTAGAGCATGCAACTCCCAAAATCACTGTAACCCAACCTGCGACGCAGCACCACAGCAAGCTTGGTAGAATGATGACCCAGGCAGCTTGCCAGACGACGTAACAACGATAAATCTGTCACCAGAAAGCCATTTCTATAGCAATTTTAAACTTGCAGATAAAATTTGAACGCACCGCCACCGCATCACCAAGCAGAGTTTGCAGAACGTATATTGAATTCTTGATTATATACGTTTCTTGAGAAACATCTGCAAAGTACGCCGCTGGCACACCATGGTACGTCACCAGTCCGTATTCGATCCGAATAATGCGGACGACCATGTGCTTAGAGAAATGTTTCAGTAGATGATATCTAATGAAAGAGGCGAGGGGCTAACTGCAGGTACTCAATACCGACAGCAGGATGGCTGCGGCAGCGACTGGGCGATTGATATCTCGCATGGTACGCTTGTAGGTCATTGCCCACATGGTGCCAATAAACATGAGGACCGAAAAACCTGAAAAATTCTGGCTTCGTGGTCACCAGACGGACAAATTGACTGAGATGCTCACCATATATAATGCCTTCCAGCACCGTCGATATTAGAGACGCGGTATCCAGCGAGAATGAACTCGTAAAAGCCATGGCAAGAATGACGCTCGGGAATGGCTTGGGGCGGATACAAGTCTCGTCAATTCTATGTATATATCATAGTTGTACTAGTAGAACTTAATACGAAGACCCCAGATTGACATTCCATCATGCGGATACTTTTTTTGTTCAGCGCTCCGAGGATTAAATTTATGGAAGCCAGGACCACCGCTACTCTGTTACTCACAGGTGACAAGACCTATAACAGGCAGTCACACTTTGGGACACAGCATGCAACTGGGCCTTGACACGACATAGATAAGTATGGAGGTTGGTACTTCTCACTTACCTATGCGTTAACGCCTACTTGTATGCTAACTTGTCATGGTATGAGTGGTGCTTGACCTAGTCTGAATGAGGCCTGACATGGCATGGTAGAAGCTTGACTTGATAGGTACAAAGTATGGAAGTTGCATCGGACTTGACAAAGTGGAGTCGAGGCTTGAAATTTGACACAGTGAGACAAATACTTCACGCTAGCACGTCTGAAATTCAACACTATCATAATCAATGATTTAGGCAATACAAGGCAAACACAAGGTACACACCACATTCCCGAAGTAGTACGAACGCGGAGGACAAGCACTGTGAGTATGGTGGGAAGTGAATGCAGCACTCCAGGGCCTGTACGCAGATAGATATTCAGTGATCATTCAAAGTGTTGGGACTCGCAGTTCATTTCGAGCGATGTTTGTTATTTGAAGACAGTGCCGCGTCACACACGAGCACCACACCGCGTCAATTTCACCTCACGGGGTGCACGAAGTCCCGCTACTTATGGGCTAAGGAGCGCGGCAAGTGGTCCTGATTTCCATATAATTTATCAATCGCGAAAACGATGAAGCAGTATCCGCGCATGTCGGATCCAACTATCCATTGGGTTAGAATTGGGCGCTGACCGGTCGACCTTTCAGGGAGTGCATGATAGAACCTGTGCAGCTCGGCAGTGATTGATATTGGATGTACACCCCCTGGCACCCTCGAATCTAGTATGATACCGGTAAATCACCTGAAATTTGTACTCGTCCGCAAATTTGCACCCAGCCATTGGCCACTCCCTGGTGGAATCAGCAGGTGACGATACTTAAGGTCTCAACATGGAATCTTTCTTACCTGTCAAGAAGTCGATGGGAGGCTGAGTCTGACACACTTGAACTCGTTACTCGAGGCTCTGGTACCTGCAAGCCGGATTGAGTCGGAGTTTTATTCCAATTATCACCCTATCTGTCATCAATGGCCCAGGTCTGGCCTGAACGTTCGAACTCTGTTTCCGGAATCCTCAAAATCCAATGCGCAGTGCACATGCGAGGACATTTGAAAATGGCAAAGGTAGTAGACACCGACACCACGCCATATGCATAAGCAGCCACTCGCTGGCAAAAGAGTGAATTTGAAATTCAAAGAGATGCTGTTCGTGTCGAAATGTTGGAAGATCTCTCCGGCTTCAAGCTTCAGCGTTGTCTGCTCCACTCCTTGGCGGTTATTATTTTGATGCAACTGGAAGAACGCGCGCATACACTATGCGGAACAACTGTGAGCTGATTTGGGTATCGGCGTGTTTCGAGTCAACTCACATTTTTATCACCTCGTCGTATGACGCCTTCAGTGATAACCAAGGTCAGTGGAACAGCGGAAAACAGTCCAATTACTTGCCATGAACATGAATATGATGATCTTGTTTACTGCAGAAAGACTATGTTGTTCTATCTCAGCAGAGGGGTGATATCGTCACATATATCTCATTCCATCCAAGAAGAGCATTTCGACGTACTGGTTTTTGAAGTCCGGTACTAGTCTTGGTGTTTTTGAAAACAGCGTTCACTAAATGTACTAGTGCCATTGTCCTGCCATTGCAATATCTTTCAACGATCAAATCCTAGAAACGTGCCCATCGGTTCACCCTCCGAGTCCAGCATGCTACAGTAAGTAATACATTAGTTACTCGTTTCAACAGATGGAAAAATACGGCCGCGCTGCATTGGCAACACATACACATGGATGTTTCTGCGACTGTCGGAGAAGCTGGCATCGACTCGGACAACCTTTTTGTCAGATCCAACTTGAAATACGAGTTAAATGGCTTTCGCATTTTATTTATCTGTGTATACTCAACATGTTCTGCCAGGATGGTGACAGGGAATTACTCGATGTATGTGACATGTACAGAATCATTTCAATATTAATGTGATTAAGTTACAGGGACACCCAATAGTAATCGACGTCCCGTATGCACAGGGCAAATACGTTTTTTTTCATGCCTCTCCGAGTCTCCGAGTCTTCATTCAATCTGATTTCATGCAGGGGAATGCTTCAGCTAGGGACAAACGGAAGAAGAATCCTTTGACCTCAATAACTTGGACTACCGTAGGCAGCTCATAGCCTGCCTAGTCCAGTGTTACGCAGCAATCCATCGGAGCGGCTACAGACCCACTCATCTTCACAACCATATATCACTGCTTTCACATCATCCACCACACCTCCCGTCGCTGCTACTTCCGCAGCTACAGTGCTGGACTCGTTTCTAGCTCTTTATCTGTTTAACTTCCTGACGGCAACCATTAATCTACATCGCCAGCATTACGATTGCTATCATTGTTCATGAAAGCGAAGGACGTATAATGATTATATAAAGACTAATTCAAGTCATAGATCAACTCAGTGACTCTTCTTCGCTATTACGCGCCTCAGACCGACCCAAGGTTATCGCCAAATACTATCAAAACAATTTCCGTGAAAACAGTAATTGAGTTTAGCCCGACAATGGATCGCAAGATGTCTCATCCAAAGACTCCTTACCTGTCGGTGGTCGGCTCTGGTTCCAACTTGAAGTCACGTCCACACGGGTACTGTCAGTGTGCGTGGAGCGGGATATGTCGACCTGCAGAGGCTTCACAGAACGTTGTGGAAAGCTCCCTCGTTCCGTTTCACTGGTCATCGCTCCACGGGCAGTCAAGACCTGACTGAGAGTGTTTTGACCGATTGCGATTCGAATTATTACCATGTAGAAAGCAATTGAGATGACCGGCGTGAGCTAGTTGATCGAAAATCAGTCATTTTTATAACATGTGTTGTCGGTGTAATCACCATGTCTATCAGAGTAAACGGTCCACTGCCCAAGCAGAGGGATCCAATTACTGTAGCGAGGAGTGTTATGCTGTACAAAATAGCAGACTCCATTATTACACGCATTATACTCGTGGTCAGGACCTTTGTAGTGCGAGAGGTAGAGACTCTGCGCTCGATTTTCCAGATGCGATACGCAAGTAATCCTGGAAAATTTCAAGTTGGCATGAGACTATGGCACCGTGGTCGGGCAGAAGCGTGCTTACCTGAACTCGTCAAATTTGCTGCAAGTGTCAGGCCACAGAACGCTCCCATGCATTCCACGTTCACTTGGTAGAAATTATTCCGTTACTGCCGGTTTGTGAATCGCCGTAAACTGAGAGAGCACCAGTGACTTCAAGACATTATTAGAGCATGCGACTCCCAAAATCACTGTAACCCAACCTGCGACGCAGCACCACAGCAAGCTTGGTAGAATGATGACCCAGGCAGCTTGCCAGACGACGTAACAACGATAAATCTGTCACCAGAAAGCCATTTCTATAGCAATTTTAAACTCGCAAATAAAAATTTGAACCCACCGCTACCGCATCGCCAAGCAGAGTTTGCAGAACGTATATTGAATTCTTGATCAGATACGTTTCTCGAGAAACATCTGCAAAGTACGGGCCGCTGGCACACCTTGGTACGTCACAAATCCGTATTGGAACCGAATAATGCGGAAGACTATGTGCTTGGAGAAATGTTTCAGTCGATGATATTTAATGAAAGAGGTGAGGGGCTAACTGCGGTACTCAGTACCGACAGCAGGACGGCTGCGGCAACGACTGGCCGATTGAAATCTCGTATGGAACGCTTGTAGGTCATTGCCCACATGGTGCCAATAAACATGAGGATCGAAAAACCTGAAAAATTCTGGCTTTGTGGTCACCAGACGGACAAACTGACTGAGATGCTCACCGTATAACATGCCTTCCAGCACCGTCGATATTAGAACTGCGGTATCCAGTGAGGTTGAACTTGCAACAGCCATGGCAAGAATGACGCTCGGGAAAGGCTTGGGGTAGAGTCAATTCCATGTATATATCATAGTTGTACTAGTAGAACTTAATACGGAAGACCCCAGATTGACATTGCATCATGCGGATACTTTTTTGTTCAGCGCTCCAAGGCTTAAATTTATGGATCCAGCCAGGACTACCGCGCTCTGTTACTCAGTGACAAGACCTATAACAGGCAGTCACGCTTTGGGACACAGCATGCAAGTCACTGGGCCTTGACGCGACATAGGTAAGTGTGGAGGTTGGTACTTCTCACTTACCTACGCGTTAACGCCTCCTTGCATGCTAACTTGTCATGGTATGAGTGATGTTGGACCTAGTCTGGACTCTGAATGACTCGGCTTGACATGGCATGGTAGAAGCTCGAGTTGATAGTACAAAGTACGGAAGTTGCATCGGACTTGACACAGTGAGACAATAATTCACACTGCCAGTCTGCCACGTCTGAAATTCAACACTATATCAATGATTTGGGCAATACAAGACAAACACAAGGTACACACCACATTCCCACAGATTCCCGAGTAGTACGAACGCAGAGGACAAGCACCATAAATAAGGTGGGAAGTGAATGCAGCACTCCAGGGCCTGTACGCAGATAGATATTCATATGTTTGATCATTAACGAGGATTCAAAGTGTTGGGACTCGGAGTTCGTTTCGAGCGCATCGATGTTTGTTATTCGAACGATTTGTGACAGTGCCGCGTCACACACGAGCACACGCCGCCCTCACGGGGTGCACGAAGTCCCGCTACCTAACGCGCGCGGTAGTCCTGTTTTCCATATAATTTATCAATCGCGTAAACGATGAAGCAGCTACTAGCTGTATTCGAGCATGTCGGATCCAGAGCCCATTTGGTTACAATTGGGCGCTGACCGGTCGACCTTTCAGGGAGTGCATGACAGGACCTGCGCAGCTCGGCAGTGGATGTATACCCCCTGGCACCACCGAATCTAGTATGGTACCAATACCGCCTGAAATTGTACTCGTCCGCAAATTTGCGCCCAGCCATATATGTTGGCCACTCCCTAGTGGAATCAGCAGGTGGCGATAAAGTCTCAACATGAAATCTATCTTACCTGTCAAGAAGTCGATGGGCGACTGAGTCCTGACACGCTTGAGGCTGCAAGCCGCTAGGCTGGATTGAGTCGGAGTTTTATTCCAACTATCACCCTATCTGTCATCGATATCAATATCAATGGCTTGGCCAGGATAATGCTGCGTGGCTCTGTTTCCGGAATCCTCAAACTCCAATGTTGCTCCAATGTGCAGTGCACACGAGAACATTTGAAAATCGCATCGACCCGTTCATGTTACATGTCCTCTGATGGTTTCGTAGGATCCAGAGTGAGCTGGAAGGCCCACTTGGAAGAATAAGGAGGGCAGTTATGATTCATGAACACCGATCTATACTAATCGAAGTGAGCTCGGAAAACTGTGAGCGTGCAGAATAGCTTTTACTTGTCCATGACATGTTGACTGGAGGCGTCAACCAAGTTAATAGCATCATGAAGTAGCATGAAGTCGACATGCATCTCATCCTTCAAAGCTTTTGCGCTATTTGGCCACCATGGTTCACGAGACCCACCTTGAATGGATAGACCTGTGTTCGGAGAATGATCGGTTGTTAGATCCCTTCGTGTTCAGTCTCGCCCTGTCATTGTCATTATCATTGCTGTTAACTATAATTGCAGCTGTCATTTCTCGTCTGGCCATTAAATGGCTGTATCGCTGCATGGGGTCTCACATTTATGTGGAGTATCTGTACCGGTCTCCACCTGCTTAAAAGAATCTAGTCGATCCTCTCGGTCCGTTTCTAAAACAAATGTAATTCCACATCCTTGGGTGTACGATTTGAGCATATTAAATCTATGATGGACAAATCCTTCTAGTATCAAACCCCAACAGGGACCTCCCTAACATTCACATTCAAATTCTTCTCCTCTGACTCCCGAACACTCGACACGCTCCCCTCAGTCCCCTTTCCAATGTTTGACACTGGGCCTGTGAACCAATGCACCCCACCATACACAGGGCAATAGTACCACATGATAGACAAGGTGAGTATACCGCCCAGCACGACCACGGTATAGTTCATGTTCGCAACGTCGGTTTGTGGCGTCGTCGGGAATAAAAATACGATGTCCATAACGAGCATGTACGACACCGCAATGATAGCAATTGGAAGGCTCTTCAAATCACAGTTCAATGTTCAACATCCCATCATCAAGCACCAAGCTGTCCGACTCACAAAGATACCTAAATTGAATGGACCGGGCTTGAAATTGTTTGTGAACACGAAGCGCGCGGTCATTGGGATCGCATATGCGATGTATAACGCCGTCACGGAGAGAGGCGAAGATGGCGTTGATAGCTTGCGAGCCCGCAAACGACAACATACCGAGGATGATTGAAATAATCGCGACGAACCAAACGGTGTTGACGGGCGTCTTGGTGAAGCTGTTCATACGATAGAGGTAGGATGAGAACGGGAGTGCGCCATCACGGGAAAATGCGAATGTTTGGCGGGATGATGCAAGGACCATGCTCGAGCCCATCATATATCTGCACATAATCAATCATAGTTCAAAGAGCACAGCTGTCCACTTACTGAGCAAGCACGACGAAGGACCACAATGCAAGCGTTCCATTTTGGCCGAAGCTGTTGAAGAAAATTTGGGCCATGGGCTGTCCAATCGGGCTGTCGAGAAGTGAGCTCACGTCGGTGCCCATGCAGAATGCAAGAGAGACGTTGATCGCTGCAAGACCATAAGCAGTGTTTGAGAAGCTAACTTAGATAAATGCGTACCCCAACCAAGGATGCCTGCGATAGCGACGGCGATGACCTGGAATGCACTCAGCGATTGAACAAATACGGAGTTTGAGGATTACAATGGCCCATGGAACAGCAGTGGCAGCATTTGACGATTCCTCGCTGATATGCACACTTGAGTCAAAGGAAGCTTCAACATGACATGAGTACTAATGACACGTGTAACGCCCTGTGAGAATATACCAATGGTCCACGCGGGCGCAAGGAAGCTCAGAATGAATGCATAGCCATCTGGCCAGCCGTTCACTGCAAATACCATTCTGAGATCAGTCAGGTTCGCCACCGGAATGTATTCACTGACAATTTGCGAAATTACCAAGCGCATAGCTTGCGCTGTTCATGTTCGCCTTTGGGGTGGCAGCAGGAAGGCCGATAATGACGGCGAAACACAAACTACCCGGAGTAATTTAGCAACTCGAGTGCACCTATACGATTTGAGCACAAACCAGATATTAATAACAACATAAACAGTTTGCAGTCTAGCGAGAACCGCAGTTCCCAAGCAGCATATGACTGCGTGCGACAGGACTATTGCAACGTAGACTCCACTAATATTCGACATCATGAATAAAATTATTGATTGGATCGGTGTCTTGCATAACGCACAAAGTTTGGGCACTCGTTGCAGTAAAAGTCTGGCCTGAGCCAATGGATACTGCAGCCATGATTTGCACCGCACATCCCCAGTCAATAGATGCTATGCAGAAAGTCATGCTTAAGTAAAATTTAGCATCATAAGGCAGCCATGAGCGTCTTACCGACCGATGCTATGCTCCCAATGGTGTTTGCGTCTGTTATCGGGTCAATATACCTCTGCTCATAAAAATCACTATAACAGAATTACACCCAACAATCCATGCAAGTAAATTTCTACACCGCGGAGATGACAAGGCGTGTGTCCAGAAGTATAACTGTGGTTCGTCCACGTCACTCGAGAACACCACGTCAACGAAGACAAAACAGACTCACGCCTCCGGATGTTGGCGCCGCAGAACCCAATTCGGCCATCGACAAACCTACGCAGAGGATGAAAAGACTGGCAACTGCCCACTATGGGATATCGACAAGCAACCATGACATCCATCAGCATAATTCGCGCATGGAGATAGCTGAAGCAAGGACGTACACCCCACACCATTGATGCTGGACCTCCATTAGGCACAGCGTAAAAGAGAACAGAGCTATGGAAATGAATTGGATGCTTGGAAGGTAAATAAAAGGACGACGTACGCAATGGAGGGGAGTAGGCCAATAATACTGAAAGCTATACCAAATACCTGTGATCGTCTTCGGTATCAGTTCTGTAATCGTAGCACTGATAATACCTCCAAGGGAGTGAATGCACGCTTGAACTCCTGCTTGTAGCCGAGCTCAGCGAGTAGGGCCTCGTCTGCCTTTCCAATGGCATGCTGGGGTGGTTCCATGTCGCACGCAGCTAGTGGGATGGAAAGAAGAGAAGAAGCGGAAGGACTGTTGAATCCCATTTGGTTATCTATGACATTTGCGGAGTATGCCATGTCGTAATAGAAGACTGATATGTAGAACTGAGGTCCTGATAAGCACCCACCGGTGACACCTACTTACCGGTAACCATAATCGTTCGATGACAGATAGGCACTGAGCTGTGTAAATATTGCACCTACAGGATTAGCTACCCACTTGGAGTTGGCACATGTGCATGAGGAGATTGTTCAATCTAAAATCAATTGATTGCTCAGGTGCATGAGGAGAACGTTTTCAACTGACCGTATCTCCATTTACGTAACACGTAAGCCTGGCAGCGTGGTATCCTTCAAACGCTACGACAGGAGCAGGTTGGCATACCTGAACTTTAAAGCGCTAAAACCTTTCAAGTCCACCTACCTGGACTCGTCGCTTCATGGTCAACACAAAGTTGGACAAGTCTTCACGTACATAATATGGACAAGGAGTCATGCTATACAGCGAGGACAAATGCCAAATTGTGGAGCACCAGTACTTAGCGTATACATCCCGACGTTAGCGGGAGGAGCTGTCGAACACAAAAAACTCCTAAAAATTCCCATCATGTGCAATTTGTAAAGCTGTGCTACATAACATCGCACTGGGCAGATGCAAAACGATGTCATTACGATACATATACTCAATAGTCTAACGTCGACGTTCCACCGGTCGTTAGCTAGTCTTGTATATGAATATGAATATTTTATTTAGCCGCATCTACGCTCCAGGATTCCAAATCAAGTGACCCAGCGTTTAACTTGTAGTTAGGCAACTAGGGCCGAGCTAGCCGAAGTCGCAAGACGCAGAAATAGATCATGGTAGGCTGTAAGGATCCTTTTTCTTTGATTAGCTTGACCGGATCATCTCAAAAAGTTCATTTGCGATATTTCATGACTAGCCGCAGAAAGTTGTCGTATTGTGTAAATACTGAACGTTCATAAGTTTGTAGACCTTCCAGAATTCCATGAACGAAGCGTAGGTGTAGTTCGGCATGGAAGCGAGTTGTCGTTATCTTCTTTGTATTTGTTTGACAGGCAAGAAGTTCATAACTTTCATATGACCTTGCAAGCAAGGTGAACCGGTGACGTGTTGCCTGTCTGCGCACCCCAGATTCTGAAAAAGGGCTCGTCATATCCACGGGTGACCTAATCGTGCGGGATCCAGCCGCTGGTCGTGGTTTCTAGAGAGTTGGACGACTGTGATCACGTGTCGGTTTCCGAGCTTCTCTACTACAACTCATTAAATACCTTACAGTTCCATCGTCGAATTCACTCAAAACTCGTCAGTCATTTCAGCGACTCTAGCAGACAGTCCGCACCGGCTGTCTGAGCCCCGTCCGTTTAGCGATGTACCTTGCTTGCGTCCATTTCCCACAACTTCACTGCACTGTTTCCACCCTCACTAAGGTCCACTTTTTCCCACCCGGAGTCAACGCTATGGCAATACACACTGCAGTTTATCCGTCCCGCTAGTTTTTTCCTATCTGTTTCCCGCTCTCCAAATTCCATACTCGCAACGAGCCATCGTTTGAACAAGTGACGATCTGTTGTCCATCGGGCAGGTGTATGACGTCCCGGCCAGTAGCAATGCATCCTTCAAATTTCTTGCGAGGCGTTATCGCTCACGTTTCCTTCGTCCTCGTGGTGGGTGAGGAGTCTGAAGACATACCAACTACCAAGTGCATCGCCATCTCAGCTGGCATACGTAACAGTCTAAACTCATCACTTAAAACTTGTCAGAACTCGATGCTGCGAGCACAAGGGACAATGAACGATCAAGTCCCCTGGGGGCAAGAAAATCCAAATCACACCAAGATCGTCGGGTGTGTTCGATATCCCTTGTCTGCATGATTACCTTGAACATCATGTGCATCGTTATCCTCACCCCTTTATACTTACAGTGACATACGCAATGCGGTTGAAGTACCCGCTAAGCCTCGTTAAGAGGTTATCATGGTTAGCTCGTGACGCATGCCCCTCCAACGGCTCTCAGTGTTAGATCACATGCTTCCTCGTGTTCTGCCACATGTTCATCGATTGGCATCTGACGCAGTCACTTGGCAGTTTAGTCTCTTCAGTCATTTCCACGCCGTCCCGATATACATTCGTCAGGTCAGGCTAAGCGCGTGTTAGCGTCGCTGACGCGCCAATTCCCGACTCCACCAGGCCTTTCCACTTCCCATTTTTCTGTCTCCGTCACCACCTTTCCCACTCCTGTGTGTCCTTGTCAATCTCTTCGATTCTCTTTCTCTCAATTTCCAATATCAAAATTTTGTTCCCCAACCCGTCCTGCTCAGTGAAAACCTCCCACTCGTCCACTTATTTTCTCTCACTGTGACGCCGATTCTCCCGAACTATGTACGGTCCCTGTCGCGTCTTAGTAAAGGAGGTAAACTTGGGCCAAGAGTAGTAAGAATACATGAATGCATATCAGCAGAACGGCCAAAGGCCAATTGACACAATGAATGTAAGTGGAAGCTTCAAATGTGTTCAAAAGAGAGAACACAACCCGCAAATCACGTACTACAAATGCGACTAGCTCGTGACAACCAAGAACAAAGGTTTTGGGAGAAGCAACGCACAACAGATGGTATTCAGGGTAATCATAAACAGCATCATATTATATAGGTTAGTCTGAGACCACATGCGCAACTGAATGTGGTGGACAGCATTCATCAAGGACGCATGCAACATCGCACGGACCGCACGGTACTTTCGAAACGAACATCATACACTGTTGGACGGGTGAGGGAACGGGAACAGAATGACCTACGAGGAAGCAGGAGAAAAGACGATAACGAGAAAATAAAAGACCACTGCCAAGTTCCAACATACAAACTTTGAAAGAGGTGCTGCTTATACAGATTCATGATAGCACGCGGTACTTCCCTCACTACCACAGGTCCGTTTGCAGAGAATGACACATTTCCTGCAGACAGAACCCTCCCCTGGACCCACTACCGTGGGAGTCGGGAACGACTAAACAATAACAAAATTCTAGAACTGAGCATCCCGTTGTCTTTAGGCTGAAACGCTAGTTCGAACTTCGACAATCATTGATCGATGCCATCCCTCATCAAATATCACTTTGGTGATGTAAGCACTGGATTATGGTATATCAAGCACGACTCGGAATGCGATCGTTATACGTCCACCAAGTTCATCCGCTCGCTCACTCCCATCCTCTAATAGTATAGTATGACTGTAGTCTCAAATGATCCCACTTGGTGGCCAATCATCAATGCGAGCATGATTAGTAGCTATTTTACAGGTTCGTGGAAAGTCAGCTACATGACGATCGATTAACATTGGTTGCGGTTTTACAGTTGCTGCATCTGTCGGGGTAACGTACGATTGGGGTGAGCAACACGAAGTATGAAATGACCACTGATATCCTTATCGTATTCTCAGCGCTTACGTTCGCACAAGAAGTAGGTCGATCCATTACTGGAGCAGCCAACTCACTCAGAATTGTGTTATAGGTTGAACTGATCTGGGTAAGAGGACTCCTACATCAAAAGAACGATGTGAAAATACAACTTGTTCATGACAGAGGCAACGCTGGTCCCTGATGACTTTTCTCTATCTCAGTGTATGTCCCTTGTGTTTCAATATTTACGCTTAGCAAGTTCAAGTTTTGCTGAGTTCAGAATATCCCAGGTGCGCTATGCTGGAATAGGATATGCTGTGTACGTTTGGAAGTTTAAGCCATTGATGTTGCTCATTACCCAACTCTCACAATCAGGATGTACATACTAGGTATGTATCCTCGCATAGACTCTGTTTTTTCTTATGACGGGCGGTATACAGGCGATGTTCCAACTATTTCGATGACAGATACAGTGAGTATTCCACACCGATGCCTTCCGTTCCCGTCCAAATAACTGAACTGCCATGCAGGGGTGAGTGAGATTCTCGAGCAACTCGTTGATTCAACATGACGACTCTCACAGTTGTGAGTTTGTTTCGAGCCTGTGATCTTCCGAAGTTGATAACTATTGTTGCTGGATTTATCTAACAGGCCTTGTCATATATGACGTATATGATTGGACGAGTGACGTTGTAGAGGCAATACTGGGCGGTGAGCTATACGCCTCCGTGATATTGACTTGACTGAAACATCATGCAAGCTATCATGATCGCTCGGTTACATGCCATGTATCAGCGATCCAGAAAGGTGCTGATATTTCTCGTTGCCACCTTTCTGGCCATCAAAATCGCCAATGCAGTGACGCTCGCAATAATCACGATGCAAACTTCAGGAGGTAAGTTTTAATTACGTATGAAGTGTTCAAGTGCATGAAGCTCATTGACAAATACCAGAGGAATTCGTTCTCTCCGGCACATATCAGTGCATCATTGACAACACGGGAGATTCCTTAGTTCTAAATTCAACGACTTGGATACTTGGCACTGTATGGGAGGTCCTTGCACTGTGTCTCGCAGTCTGGATTGCTGTAAAGCACTTCCATGAACTACGACAACACTCAACAAGCAGTATTCTTGGGGACTGTTTCACGGTGTTGATGAAAACTCACGTTAGTTACTTTGCAAGGTGAGCTCATGATCTGAATATGATTCTCTTGTTCTGCTCAAGTTTCGCTCGTGCTAGTTTTTTGGCTATCTCTTGCTTCCAGATCGGTATATTCTCTCCAACGCTCTCAGCGGTATGTCGGTCTGTCAGCGACCTCTACATACAACCATGATTCATCGTTTTTATAGGACTTATTCTCCCTGGACACTCAGATTTATCTTGGTCTCTCTCAGATATTCCAGTTCGTGCAGTTGTTTGTGCTGGGACCGCGCTTGATCCTCGGTGTTCGAGAATATTACGCTGAGCTCGTGGCTGACTCTGATGCAGCAACCGCTATGACTTCAATTGCTTTTCAGGAGTGCGTTCATGTATCAACCGACAGTAGTGTGTAGCGCAGGAGATGCTCGATATGATCGATTTGCTATGGGCGGGTTGTGTGTAGAGTGCGGAGAATTCATTTTTATTTATTGAGTTGTTCGTACAGTCGTCGAGCTACAGTATGGATGTCTTATTCCTATTTAATTGATATGTTTAATACGGTTTTACATGTCACTGGTTAGCATAAGAGTCTTGAAGTCTAAAACCCGGATTCTGGAACTGCTAGTTCTCCTACTCCTATTACTGTACTATCTACGTACGACACTTCACCATCAGAGAGATGTCACATTACGATCCAATACTAGCTCGAATTGGGAACCTCAGACGTCTTGGCAGATCTTGACCCAAGCATTACCGGCGTGTATATAACAATCGATTAATCCTACTAGTACGGTACAACAAGTTCACACCCTATTTGTGAACCAATGACTACCAATCCCGATGCATCTGTGGGAGTCCAAGAAATCTTACTTTCGGATCGTAGGCCAGCGAAATTCAAGAACGACCGCGGACGTGTTCGTCCAGCTTCGCAAGTATCTCATTCTGCTCTTCGCTTGACTTCCGAGCACTACTTATGTATTAGCCGAAGTTATCTGCGGCAACGTTAGGTTTACTCACAAAGACTGGGCGAAAACAGGTAGGTCGGCTGGGCTATTGATCATGCTTAGTTCGACCAGCGCCATTTGTCGTGAGGCCAATCTACGTCAGACGATGAGCAGGAGTCTCAACACCTCATACCTTGTTTGAGAACTCACTTTGATCGCGGAGACAGAGGCGCTTTATGGTGCTTCCGTCGAGGCGGCCATTGTGGTTCAGGGGTTTTCGATTTCTGAGGGGTGCTTTGGTTTCGCTCGGATTTTAGTTTCTTGGCAGCTGCTCTTTTTATCTTCGCCTCCTGCCATCGCATTCGCTCAACGAGCCTGTGAGAGAATATCACGAACACTAACCTTAAGTGCGGTCCGAGAACGTTCTTCTTCTATACGACTTGGTAATAGCACGTCGTCGTTGCGGTGGCTGTACTTAACGCCTATTGCGCTGAGTGTTTTGTGAATGTCATTATCATCTGTAACCTCCGGAGGTTCTTTGAAAATACAAGAATCAGTCTTTTCTCACACTGGTTGCAGCTGAAGCTCACCATCATCAAAGAGAAGAGTACTCAGCCCCCGTAAGTCGGCCTGACGCATGATTAGATGGCGCGAAACAAGTAGACAGGGGACTTACTTCCTCCTTTCCGCTCTTAGAATCGGCCTCATACACCCAGTCATCGGCCTTGGATTTTGCTGATTTCTTCGACTTCGAGGAGCTGAGATGAGCAAGAGCCCAGTCTAGCTCCATGATCGTTGCTTTCTCGATCTGCGGCAGGTTTGCATCAATATCTCCTGCGCAGAACGTACGGACTTACGGCCATCTTGGTCGCCAGAGTATCCTCATGCAACTTGAAGATGTTTTTGATTCCAAACAGTTCTCCTTGTCTGGAAGTATCCCCTTGAACGCCGGAGAAATACCTAAGAGGGAATTTGAAATCATGCGCTCGAATCTTGGTCCTTATTAAATACCTTGTTTGCACGCTTGCCTGATACCCAATGGCCATCTGTTGTTGCTTGTACAGCTGCCTTGCATAAATCAACTCTTCGATTGAGCCGGCTCCAAGGAGGCGGTAGACGAAAACGTCGCGTGTCTGCCCAAAGCGATATGCTCTGTCCATAGCTTGCAGGTCGTGGGCGGGATCTACGTGGACATGAGTCGGTGGAAAACAGAAATCATGCAACTACATACTCCAGTTTGGATCTACATAGCATCCGGGTCTAAATCTGAACAATCAAAGCAGGATGTTTAAACTCACCGAAAATGACCACTTTGTTCGCTCCAGTCAAGTTAAGACCAGTTCCTCCAGCAAGAGTAGAGATGAGAAATATGAAGATATCGGAGTCCTGGTGAAATCTATCTATCATAGGCATCCCTGAAGCCTGTATTAGCAACCACGGCATATAGAGGCATCGTTCTTACTATCACTCTGCTTCGTGGATCCATCCAGTTTGAGGAAGCCATAACCTGGCAATCGATCAGTATTCGATCGATACAGAACGAGTCTTGTGCATACTATTGGTGTTGAGATGAAATTCCAGCATATCGAGAAGCTTGACGGATTTAGTAAATATAAGGACCTTGCTTGTGCGGTCTTTTCTCCATTCTCTAAGTAAAGTATCGAGTACCTGCAAGGGCAGCGTACAGTGTAGGAGATAAACTTCATAAAACAACAACTTACAACCCACTTCCCGCAATACTGTGGCAGTAGCATGGCTGTCCCATACTTTGGTATAGACTGGCCCGGGAAGGCTACTTCAGCGAGCTCCCTATTACGTAGAGTCTGGAACAACTATCAATGCGCCATGAAGATAGATAGCAACATCCACACGTACTTGCTCTGGGCTATCGTTGGGGGCTTGTAGATATGAGAATTTATTTGGTAGCGAGCCACTGAATCATCGACGATACCTGGAAGTATTAACGCTAAATGATTTGAGATCTTGATGAGTATTGACATATACTTGAGGACGTCCCCCTTCTCAATAGGGTGGCAGCAGTCTTTGCGTCTGTACAAAACACGATTTTTAGTATGCTCTAGACATGGAAAGGAAAACCAACTTTTCCCCTGATCCGCAATCACAATTTTCGTCTTTTCTGACGAGATTCTGTACGGGAGTCATGTTCAGGATGCGTCTGTAAACGGCAACCTGTACAGGCGTAAGCGGACAAAAGACTACTTCATCTGTTTTCGTAGGTAACTAATAGTTATGTTCAGCACAAGATGGTATACCAGGTAGAAGCTTCGCACTTGGTCCTTAATGATGTCCTTCGTTCTGAGGAAATCAATATTTTAGGCAATATTTGTAAAAAAAAACATTGGCCATACCTCCTTTTAAAGAACTGGGGTAGTACTTTGTCTCTGACTGTAATGGCGACTGTCTACCAGACATCAGAATGAGCCGCGGGATGCAAGATCCGCACTCACCAAAGCCTTTGTTCTCTCCTCTTCAGTGGCACTAGTGGATTGTCCTATCGTTAATGGCTTCACAATATAACCTTTCCATTGCTTGCTTGTTCCCAGCCGGCCAGGGTTGGTCCAGTCGAGTATCGTCCATGCTTCCATGTAGCTATTTTGAATGGTCGTGCCTAATTATCCCGCTGCATCAGACCACCCTCTAGAAGCAGAGTAGTCTTACCTGTCAGACCAAAGCGGCAAAGACATGCGAATTGATTGTATGCAAGGGTAATCATCGACTTTGGATTCTTTATTCTATGCGCTTCGTCGACGAAGACAGCAGACCAAGCGAGGTCGTCCAATTGCGCAATGTCCCGGCGGGCAAGGTCAAATGTGGTAAGTACTATTTCTCAGGGTTATCAGGGGGGCAGAAGAGATGTGCTCACGGACATACCAACATCAAGCCTGCCCATTTTGAAGTCGGTAAGAACATCATCTCGTTCATTCTTCGAACCTGTATAAGATCCAACTTCAAAATACCCCCACTGAGGAGGGGGTGAGACATTATGGCGTGATTCGTTGCTTGTAGGCACTCACCGTCTGAAATTCGCGCTCCCAGTTTGGCACAACAGATGTGGGGGCGATAATAAGACAAGTGGGCCAAGTCTTGTTTGCCGGTGGCAAAGTGCGATGTTTTCTCCACTCCGGTCCATCCTGGAGCTTAGACACATGATCTCGACGCCTGTTAATATCGCGTTCGTCCCCGTGCTTCTTCATTATTGCTGAGAGAAACGATATCACTTGTATAGTTTTACCCTGAGCAGGTGGAACATTCAGTCAAGAAGAAAAGAAGAACACGTTTGGACTGACAAGACCCATATCATCACCCAGCAAGCCACCGCGACCTTGTTGATATAGATCCCAGAAAAAACCGACGCCTTCCCTCTGATATTCTCTTAGATAGGTATTAATTGACGCGGGCACCCTGATACCCTCGGCTTTGTTCAACACTATAGGTCCAAGAGGACTCTGATCGGGAGCAAGAGGGAAGCCGGGCTTTGGATGGAGATTCTGTATCTGCTCAGTAGATGACAATCAGAGAATTAGATCAGGTTTTACTGGGTCAGGGTATGTTTCTATTTCGTCCTCGTCTTCAGGCTCCGTTTCGGAGTCGGATTCGGGAACTTTCGTGGTATTAAGCGGGAGCTGTTTTAAAACTCTTGAAACTGTAGGTAAATCTATGTCGGACTCTGGTTCAGTTTCCGATTCATCTGTAGCGGGCGTCACGGTAGGTCTATTCTGGCCATAAGGTTAAACGTACCGTCTGGGCAAGGCGTTTTTCTGCGCTTGGAAGTTGGCATAATCTGCTCTGATGCAGGTGACTTCCGCTTCGTCGAAACCTGAGCAACCTCTGGCTCGGATTCAGGTTCTAAAACGAAACGTATGCGTTGACAGTTGTAATATGTGTCCAATATGGACTTACCAGTAACAGAATCATCATCGACCGGAGTTTGTGGATGACTTGGCTGTGTAACAGGAGTACCCTCTTTCGATGCTTTAATGAACGCAGTTATGGTCCTAAGTTTTACCGGTTGATCAGGTTCAGACTCGTGCTCTTCTGCCGAGTCGCTGTCTTCGCAATCTTCTTCGTCCATTTCGCCGTCATCAGACGCAGACTGCAGTCCAAGGTCATCGTCTGTTGGTAGTAAGCTTAAGCACTACTGAGACTATTTCTCAACGAACCAAAGTACTCCTTGAGTGGGTTATGGCGTCGAGACGCCTCTGGATCCATTGGTCGGCGCTTCTCTAATATGATCATCAAAAACACGTATTATTTCGTTATAAAAACGACTCACGACTTATGGATGACGATTGAAAATTGCCAAGAACTTCGCTTCGTCTTTTCCGTGACTTGCCGCGGGGGGCAGATGGAGCCGCATCCTCAGCAGCCGTTGCTTTGCGCTTTCCGCGTTTCTTAGTCTCATAGATGAAGGTTCCGGGGTTAAATTCTGGATCCGAGTCAGGATCTGTATGGGAGTGAGCAAATTATTCATAAGATTGTCAGTGTTGTTTCGTATGGATTACACAGACCTAGGGGTGCAGGGACAGATTCGAGAATCCCTGCTTATGATCAGCCCACGAGCTAATCCCGAGGAACACTAACTTACTTTTCCCGTATGTAGAAGTTTTAACTTTGGCAGCTCGTGGTGGCATCTTTAGCAGGCCAATGTCAAGTCGCTGGATGTGGTGTGGGTAAGAGAAAAGGAGCACACCGATTTTGGGCGCGTTCTATATTATGCACCACGTGATTGTTTGTGTCACAATCACGTGACTGTGGTCACGAAAGCTGATGCTCTGTGGTCCTGGCAGTCTGCGACTCTGCATCAAACAACTCCGCAAACTTGCCACAGAAAGTTTGATCATACAATACAATCTTTTCTGAAGTAACGAAGGACAACATGCAGAACATAAATGTGTAACAAAACACACGACATGAATAGCGACACGAATGAAAAGGAAGGCAAACGGTACGAGGGCTCGTGGGGAGTGCATTACGAGTATCGCGTGTTTCGCATAGGAAGTTAAGATACTCAACTGACATGAAAATGGCTTATGACGATTATGTTAGAAGAAAGCGGACAGTGCCTTCATATGTACAAGGAGACAAGGGAAGCGGCATCAATCTTCCTCTTCATCGGCTTGTTCCTCCCCATCACTTTTCTCTTTTGCTGAAGATTTAGTCTGCAAAGAGATGTTCAATACGTGCCGCAACATGGACAAATAACATACACGTACGGCAGCCAGGGATGCCTTCTCCTCCTCTGCCCTTGTCTTGTCCTTGGCGGCCAATTCGATATAAGGCTGTTCAGTTGTGTCAGCACCAACCGCGCTTTGTTTTATACCTTAGACGAACCTGCTTGTCTTCCTCGTCAAGCTCCTTCCACTTGGCACCTAGTAGTTTGCCAACCTCGCCTATGATGGGGATCAGAAAACAGAAAGATAGGAAGAAACACCATAGGCATACCGAAACCAGCATCTGGGTTCTCAGTCTTGATTCTCTCCCTCCAATCTTGACTGAAGAACATGTACGCGGAGAGTGCACGTTTAGGAGCGCCCTTAGCCTTGGCAGCCTTAGCCTTGGTTGCCTTTCCCTCTGATTTACCTGCAGCCTTGCGCTGTTGAATCAATCAGCATCGTGGTTGGTGATGAGCACGACCAAGTGACGTAATGGAAGTTGAACAAGGCAAAAATAATGGAAAGTGTATGATGCATATGGAGGAAGTGGTATTAAGACCAAGACAAATGCATAGGAGACTAACCTTGGTTTTGACTTCTTTGGGCATCTAGAGCGCGAAAAATGCATAAGCGATCGATTCAACACGTCGTGAGCATGAGAGATATCGAGGAAAACGAATGAGACGCGGAGAGACGCGGTGCGCGTCAACGCGTCGGTGGCCAAACAAATACGGCCGGCGCCCGTCTTCGCTTTCTACACGAGCTCGACGACGGTAAAACGACGTAGAGAGTGACAGTGAACATCACAGGACGTCCGTGAAGCAGATAGAACATAATAAAAAATAAAAAGATGACTGACTGTTGTTGTGTTATACGGTGAGTATTAAGCACGGTTTGATTTAGGTGGGTGAGGACCACAGTACAGCTATACAGGCAAGGTTGGCTGAGGGGACGTTTGGCGGGTGGGAGCCTTGTATAAGGCCAGCCACCTAACAACCGTGGGAATAGGGCACGGACTCTTGCTGACATAACCACTAATTCAACAAACCCACGATGCAACGGCCCGTCTTTTACACACAGCAGATCTACGCGGTTTCTTTAGCGATAGTTCATCCAGGGCCAGCATTGGCCCAACTAATTTAATGACGATGGAGTCTTGACACACGTAAATAGTACGCAGGCCCGTGATCCAGATAGCATGAACGATGTGAATATGCAGCAGAACAGCGGATCTAAAGACAATAAATAGCACTTAGAAATTAGCATCCTTCAAGTCTTTCCCAAGCTCTTTACTCACCTTCGAAAAGAAATGAATACCTAATAAGAAATTTTGTCCCGTTCATAATTTTGCCTGCAATAGATTCGATCCTCAGGTTCAGCATCGAAGTCAATGTCAGGTAGACAGAGCTGCCCCAAGCCAAGGTCAGGCAATCGCGCCATTTTGAGTAAGAGACTGAGCCCCTTGTCACCCTGTCCACCCCCAGGACCATTGAGAAGGTCCCATGTAAAGTCATCTATTTGATCTGCGGTTCTACCCCAAGTCGTTTTAATTGCACCTGGGTACTCGAACGACGCAACGATGAAGCAGAGAGGAGAACCTATACCAGTCAGGGTCGTTTTCATTGTAATTTAAATACAAGTACATACAAAGACCTGATATCTCCTGTTCCCGGGCAAGTAAAGGTGAACGAGTTTCATTGATGTGATTTTCGCCATCGTCCGAAGTGAGGTCTGGCAAAATATCGCCCAGGCGATAAAGCCGTCGGCATGATGGACAGATGCGACTAGTAGCACGGCTCTTATTGTACCATAGGACCTTGGGGGATCATTTTGTGAGCTCGCTAGCTACTCCACATAGCACTCACTCACTATAGCGGTTTCCTCCGACAGCGCGGTGCAAAGCATCTGAAGGACTTCCTCCTGTGAGAATTCCGCACATAGAGGGTCTTCCAGTGAAGGAGGCTGGGCAAAAAATGAGGCTAGGAAACCCCGGAGGTCGCGAACTCGCGGACCGTTTCCGGGATCATGGATGATCGGTAGCACTTCTTCATGGAACTCCTGGACATGCGGAGCTGGTAGTTTAGGTGGAGGCTCATGGACAGTACAGACAATGTCGCTTGGAGGTGGCTCAAGTTCGTGAACGAGGGGGGGAGGTTCCGGAAGGGCCGTAGCTTGAATAGCTGATGTACTCTTCTTGTTCTTTTTCGCAATTGCTTTCTTCTTCTTTTTCGAGTTGCATGGACCTGGCATCAAGAAAAAGCTCAGAATAACCCGATCGAGAGGAGTCCGTGATTGAGTGGCACGGAAACAAAATCACGAAACGAGTTGTGATTGGAAAGGAAGAGTGTACGGTTTTAGTACCGTTAAAATCATTAGCGCTCGATCACGTGTCACGCGTTACATGACGCGCTCGTGACT